AAGCAGTTTTCGAGTGAGGTAACTGCGAAACAAGAGGATCATCGGAAATGGAATTACCACGATCAGAATATATAGGATTGCTAAAACACCATAGGCAATATGTTTTCCTGAGAAGTACCCAATGTTGCCATTTGCGTACATCACGTAGGTGGACCCAAATTTTGCAAAATGTAGGATTCGCAGTGAGATTCTGGTGATGTCAGTGTAGCAGAGCACAAAAATGGTACAAAACGCTCGGAAAGGAGCGGCTCTGACACGTTTGCTGAACCACCAGTTGGGATGATTACCTACAGCCCTAGCTAACAGCATTACTAGAACCAAGACGAACGTTGGTAGCGCGTACATAATGGCCAATTTGTCTGCATCGTCTAGACCAGCGGCAAAGCAAATCCCACCAGACCGAGCAGAGCCTATTTTGAATTGGAAGTTTCCCAGACCGATGAGAAACTCGATGAAAGGGTCGAACTGGAAGCCACTAGGGGTAATAACGTTCATGACTTGGTAGGAATACACCCATGCGTTCAAATATCCAGTGAAGAAATCGAGGTTGATCAACATGACACCCATGACGACAATCAACAGGATCACTCCGTACAAAATCAGCAGCAACAAATACCAGTTGGAACAAGTGTTAGAACAGTGTTCCCCTCCGAATAGCACGCCATAGTTCGCTTTACACTCGCCACAAAGCACGCTACTCTGATTTCTGTTCTCATTGCAAAGTTTCCCGGAATCATATTTCTGTTCGGTCGAAGGATGATCACTTATGTTACAGTATCCATTAGGACAGAAATGAGTAACAAATGCTCCATTGACTAGTCCTGCCCAGTATCCATATTTAAGATAAAATGTCTTCCCGTCCGACTCACAACTGGATACACCAGCATCGGTGGTATCCTTGCAAACGCAAGTATTCTCCTCTGCCATGAATCCTGGATTACACTGTTTAAGTGATAAGTTAGAGATCGTTTCAGTTAATAGTCCTCTCCCCATGTACCACAGTTTCACCGAAAACTTTTCTCCAGCTTTCCCAGCGAGTTTAACGTTGGAAACACTTCCATTAGCAATGAATAAGGGCGAAGACGTGTGCAAATAAATCGAGGATTGATCCTGAAGAGGAATTACTCTTACATTGATGCTACCAACGACGGAGTTACCAATCTCGTCGAGCAATGATAAAGAGGCATTAAAAACCTCACTCGGGGCCACCGACCAGTCCTCTCTGTCAAACTCTATTTTAACTGGTTCAGTGGTGACCTCCTTTGTTAGGAAGGTTTTCTGTCCATCGGCGCTCCTGAATTCCACAAATTTCCACTGCAAAACGGAGTTGTTTAGACGCGGTTCACCTGCTCGTCGACAGTTCTTTAGCGTAGTGGCGTAAACTGAATTCCCTGCAAACGCTGCTTTGTTGCCCTGGAAGATAACCCTCGTTTCCCAGTCATCGAAGTCGACAGAAGCATCCGAGTACCCGAAGAAACAAATGTGCGTATTTATACCAGTTGCATTGAAACCAACAAGTGGTGGTCCGGGGGCGAAGATGTACAAAGCCCCACCTCTGTCGTCGCACTTGTTACCGTCAAAGAGTAGGTAAGAATTTTTGTTAAAAAAAATCCTCGAACGTCCGTACATAGCTATTGCACCGCCTCTAAATCCTGTGTTGTTGATGAAGTGTACGTTCCCGCATATTTCCATAGTGGAACCATCAAGGGCCATGGCCGAGTTGGTGTTGTTAAAGAATGTCACATTTCCTTGGAATATCAGAGGCACTTGTATACTGTAAAGTGCGCCTTCTCCAATGGTCACCAGTTGTTCTTTACGCATCACTCGATTACCCTGAAACGTTGAGAAATTCAAGGTTACCTGGTAAGGAATTTCAGGTCCGATTTGATCTTCATTCTGATTGGAGAGAAAAGAAGCCATGGCAGCTCCAACTGTTCCAGTGTTCTCACTCCAGTGACACTCGTTGAAGTAGAACTGGGTTAAGTCATACGCGGTTGTGTCAGGAATGGTCGTTCCAAAGATCGATGCCCCTCCTCCCCATATAGCCTCGTTTCTCACGAACGAGCAGTTGATTACAGAAAATGTATTGAGACCGCGTCCGCTTCCCTTGATAAAGTTTCCGATTCGAATACCTCCACCGGCCATACGTCCTTTATTGCTGTCAAAAATGGTGTTTGCCATTGTGAATAAATTCCTTCTACTCTCTTCTTTCATTTCGAGCATGAGACCTCCTCCCCAGTCCGCACGATTTCTGATGAAAGCACACGATTCTACGTCAACTAGGCATCCACTAGCATTCGATCGAAAGTAAATTGCCAAACCGCCTCCTCGACTGAACGGAAGCTCTGGTGTGTCAACAAAGTCATTTTGTTTACTTTTATTACGCCACAAGGCTTCGTTTCCGAGAAAACGGCAATTTTGAAAAATGTATGTATTGTTATGTTGGTATGAATCATGTTTACTTGGCGAGACTTGGACTGTATTGGAACCGTACGGATCCAAGCCTAAATAAACACCACCTCCAGAGAACACGTAATTTTTACTTTGATTTCCAAAGAAGTTGTCTTCGATACTGCGACTTAAATTTCTTTGCGTTGCGTTACTGTAGCGCGCAGTATTTTCCGTAAACGCGCTGTTTGTGAAGTTTACTACGCCTCCACAGTCATAACAGTTGACAGCGAGGCCCGATGAAGACAAAATTTCGACGCCGTAGAAGCGTATGTTCTTGCAATATCTAAAATCTAGGGTTGTTTTGAAATTTACTCCATCGAGTCCGCTATAAGGCTTCTTTGCTCTAACTGCGCTCTTTTGCCAACCTCCACAATTCTGCAACATGATTCTTTCGAAAAATATATTTTCGCTCAGAACAAAAGACAAGCTCACATTTGATTTACAAGTGATTTGTACATCTTTTGGAGTCGAACCCTGCCCTACCATACCGAAGTTCTCCACATTTGTAAATCTGTAACTCTTTGTCAGGGTGTAGTTTCCTTCTGCTGCTTTTATCTGTGTTGAGTTTGCTCCACTTTCACGTGCGATTGAGATGGCGAAATCCAGCGATAGACACGGTTGACTCTCCTTTCCACAAGTTTTAACGTCCATGCCTTCTGGTGAAACAAAGATATTTCTAATCCTGTCCGATGCCATCGAACATCGAACCGTTAAAAGACTCCAGATCAAGAAATACAGGCCAGAACTTAGCGCTTCCATCGTTAAAAGTAGCACGACTAATTCGAACAGCACAAAGTAAATATTAACAGATTTCCGAGAAATATTGTGTGACATACAATGGAAGTTGCGTATCAGCATCACGACTTCCGGCCTTAGTATTAGGATGGCCTATATTATTAGGAGCTATTGTCACAATACTTGAACTATTTGCTTGTACGTTACAGGTTGTTCAGTTATTATAAAGGAGCAGTTTAATGTTGGATTATGAGGGTATTTGAACACCAAAAAGGCAGAAATAGTTATAAAAATAAGGAACAAAGCTAGAAAAGATTAGAACGGATTACAAATGCCGAATTTGAAACGTCTTTGCTCTTCTGTACCGTGACCTTTTACGCTCCGCCTCTAAGCTGTCTAGACACGTTTCTTAGAAATGAATGGTGCAAAGTTCGTGTAACATTTAAATCTTCATTTCTGACAAAGAGTGGGAAATGAAGGGTTCCTTTAGTATGAACTGTCTCTTTCTATGTTTCTTCCTTCTCCTGCCTTCAGCGGCAGCGTGGAGTAAAGAAATTTTCGTCTCACCGAATGGTAACGACTCGTCGAGCTGCGTTGCACGCGATCAGCCTTGCAAGTCCATCGACAAAGCTTTCGGCGTAGCTTTATCTGGCGGTGCTAATTCAACGTTGATCAACGTAAAAAGCGGAAATTACACCATGGCAAAGAGCTTCAACTTCACTAACGTGGATACCTTCGCTCTTGTTGGCGATGAGAACTTAGGATCAGGCAAGGTAAGAATTACTTGCAAGCCAGAAGTAAGCATTTCGTTCGTTCTTTGTGAAAATATTACTTTCGAAAGAATACAGCTGCATAGATGTGGCGGATGGCGAGAAAGTACCGCAGGAGCAAACAAGTCGGCCCCTATAGGACCTGGTAACCGAGGTGTTCTGTTTAGGACCGTATTAGACTTTCGATATTGTAGAAACGCGAAGTTCACCAATGTTGAGGTGTCAAACACGCCAGGGGTTGGAATAAACTTCTTTAATGTTGGAGGCATTTTGAACTTAACGAAGTGTGCATTTACCGACAATAAAGGCGCAAACTATAATAACTCAAACGGGCCGCCACAAGTCCCATTCATTGGAGATGGATATGTGCTTTCAGGAGGTGGGGTTATTTTGACTCTTAGCGTGTACGAAGAAGACACCGTCTTTAATGTCACACGAGGCCAACACGACTCGTTCCAACACAACAACAGCTACATCTTCTCGAGCTGCACATTTCTCGGAAATGAGGCGATCGGATGGAATATTAGTAGTATCTACGATCAAAAGAAGGATCCCGGTCGATCAGAATTTAGCTTAGGTGCAGGATTGGCGATAAATTTCAAAGGCAATGCCAGCAACTGCAGTATTCAAATTCAGTCTTGCTCATTTACTAGTAATCAGGCAATATGGGGAGGAGCTCTTAACGTCGAAATAAGAGATCAGGTGAAAAGGAATCGTTTCATGATAACGAACACTTCATTTCGTGACAATTCTGCGAGACTCACCGGCGGGGGAGTTCGAATTGGCAATTTACAAACACGGACTGCAATGGACACCATGAATACATTTATCTTTGATAAGAACTGTGTATTCACAAATAACAAAGCTATTTGGGGCGGTGGTGTGTCACTGTATGGAAGATCTATATGGGACTCTTCCAATACGGAGACTCGATTCATGGGGGAGTTCAATGTTTGTATCTGGCGTGACAACCAAGCAACAGTAGGATCTGCAATAGCGGTCATGCTTGACAGAGATCAGGAATCAGGAGTTCCATTCTCGATCAAGTTCAAAGACTGCGAGTTGAAAGGGAACCAAGTTGTCCTTATAAAGGAAGGCGTTAAGATAGGAGAAGGCGCGTTGTACAGTGATGGGGTGGCCCTTAACTTCCAAGGGAAAACTTTGTTTATAAACAATACGTACACGGCATTGTCCTTAGATGGGTCGGTGACAAAGATAAGCGATCATGTCAATTTTATCAATAATCATGGTTACAGAGGAGGGGCCTTGGCAATGCGTGGCTATTCAAAAATTATTTTTCAGAAGAATTCGACCTTATCTTTTTACAACAATTCGTGTGACCACAAAGGAGGAGCAATGTACATTGAAACTGCTGGATCTCCAATGGTGGCTTTCAACGCAACTGGTGTTAACTTTCAGAATTGCTTTTTCGGATACGAAAACACACAAGACTTTCGCTACTGGAATATTTCTGTAATTTTTCAAGGCAATGAAGCAGTTGACGATAAAAAAGGACAAAAAAAAAAAAACTCGATATACGCAACAACTCTACGGAACTGTCGGCGGCCTGGTGAGTCTCGGCAAGACAACACAGTGCTGAAATGGAAATTCATCCATTTCAAAACTTTAGATGGTAAGATTTCCTCGAGAAAGAACGAAGTAACAACTGATGCTGTAGAACTACATTTTGATAAGAAAGATTGGGAAGTTGCTCCAGGAGAAGTATTCAACGCAATAGTCGAGTTGGTCGACGAGATAGGGAACACCGTCGTTGGAATTGTGGACATTAATATCGATGTTCTTGAAAATACACTACCAGTTAAACTTACAACTACCTCCACGGTCTTTCTAGCTGACGGACAAATATCTTCTCTAAGTCTGACTGGAAAGCCAAAGAGTGTTTTCACGGTGGTTCTACAATACATGGGGGAAGAATTATTACACGTTAAAATCGTAAACGTCTCTTTGCAGAATTGCCACGCAGGCTTCATTTATAACAGTTCCGTTCAGAATTGCGTTTGCATGAAATCTCCAGGAATAGCACGGTGTGACTTAAATGATAAAAAGACTGTTTACCTGAAGAAAGGATATTGGGCTGGGAAAGTGGGCGATAATTTCACAACACATCTCTGCCCAGATGGATACTGTACCACTCACAAGTCCATATTTCCTTCTGAGTACAAGTACAACGGAACAGTGTGCAAAAAGGGCAGAAACCAGACGAGTGTACTTTGTGGCCAATGCAAGCCTGGTTACAGTATCATGTTTGTGAGCGAACAATGCTCACGCCATTGCACTGATAAATGGCCATGGATGATTTTTGTCTATGCAATAACCCTAATTATAGTTACTTGCTTCGTGTTGTTGGTTAATCCGAATCTGTCAGGGGGACACCTGAATGCTTTTTTGTACTCATACCAAATCATGAAAATACTAATCCCAGATGGATTTACTTTCGATCCTTTTATTGAATTTCTCATCGGACTGACTAACTTTCAACTTGGAGGTAGACGTGGCGTTTGTTTCGCAGCTGGTTTAAGCAATGTTGACAAGCTGGCCATATCGGCTCTCTTTCCAATCGCTGAAATACTTCTGATATTGCCTTTGTTAAGACGGGTGTTGATTAAAACCTGGAGCAGGGGGTTGGACTTGCTAGTTGATAGACTGAACGACAGAGAGCGTTGTCGTTGTGGTTGTTTCTGTCGAAACGCAGTTGTGAGCTGGCTGGAGTTCTTTTCTGCTTCATTCAAAGCACGTATAGAGAATGGATTCGACCATGCCTTCTTCACCATCGTAGTGTTGTGCTATGCCGACATGGCCAACATTGCACTGCGTCTCTTGCATTTCGTGAAGGTTGGTGGGCGGTGGGTGTTGTTTGATGATGGTAATGTTGAATTCTTTGACAGCGTTTTACACGGTATATTCATAATTGGTGCTATTTTGCTTCTGCTGTTCGTCATTTACATCCCGCTGAGACTTGCAATCCATCCGGAGAAATCAAACTTACGACTTCAAACTCTTCATGCTTGTTTTAAGCCTGGATATCGCTCTTTTGTGGCTTACTACCTTGTGTGTCGACTGGTGCTGTTACTTATAGGTACTTTTGTACCTAATAGTTCTTTGAGAGCCTCTTTGTTGCAATTCTTTTGCATTCTATTCATGTTTGCCGTCGCAACTGTGAGACCTTACATAGAAAGGAACCTTGGTGGCAATGGAAACGAGGCTCCACGAGCGACAACTCAGAGTGGTAACTTTACAGAAGGAAGGCAAGTATCTAAAGAAGCAAGTCTGAGCGTCAATGAAACACCAGCCCCTCCACAAGAACTAACTCGTGTAGGTGTGGATGGCGACGAAGTAAAAGAAGAACAAATTGAGACCGAAGGAGAAAAAAATCCAAGAAGCGCTTCGACAAGAAGTTCCAAACAGGCAGCAAATCATCGCACTGCGCGTAACAATGAAGGAGAAGAGGCAGAGAGGCCTGGTCGCCAAGAAGAAGGGGAAGGACGTCTAAGAAATGCTGGTCAAGAGATAATGGAAAACCTGTACATCTACGAGTCCGACCTAGTGATCTTAGTGACGCTGAGTGCCATTGCAGTTTTCAGTCCTGCCACCGACACTGAAGTATCCGAAACCACTAAACTTAGTCTGCAGTATTGGGTTAGGATTTTGGCATACGTCCCACTGGTGATGGCTTTGGTTCCCTACATCTTTTATTTAAGGCGCCTACTACAGCGGTATCGCCATGAGAGAAGGGAACATCATGTCCCTAAGCCACAGGGTGTATCATGTATGTCGCCTTCCCGTTTAATTGAGCAGAGCCCCGCAGTACAAGATGATCGGTCAGATGAGAAAACTCCACTGATAAGAAACAGAGAAGATACAGCTTCTGACCACGGCAGTAGATTTTATACAATCCCCTAGAGCCTTGCATTGTAGACGAGGTACGTCACTATTCCTAAAATACCTAAACACTGCATGCATTCCTTACTTCCCCTTTAATCTTTCTGTGTAATCGTTTGAACGCCATTGCACATGAGACAAAGAAATCGAGGAAAGCTGTGAAACACCTTTCTTGAGGGTGAAGAGAATACCTGCATGAGTGTGGTAGATTAAGAGAGAATTCACCGACTCTTTTAATCCGGTTACTGCACACGGCGCTTTCGACAACACTGCCACGCGGAACTTAACATGCAGGATATTTGTCCCATACGAGCCTTCAATGAGCAGTTTGGGTCGTAGCTTGCTTCAAAGTTTTCTTACTTGCTGGCGTCGGACTCCGCCTCCCCTCCCCGCTCCTCCCCCTCCCAGCCTACGAAAAAAGTTAAGTTATCTCTATCAGTCTTACCACGCAGCTGGGGTGTAACATTGTCTAGTAGGGTGGGGGAAAGAATGGTTTATAAATCGAATCGGAATATCTGAAATCATTGTCAAGATCATTATTTCCTTTCAGTTTATTTTTTCAAAGCCTTTACCTTTTCTCCACAGGCAAAAATAAGACATCCTGTGAATTTTCTTTACTAATTTTGATATCCTCTTTTGATTCCCTTTAGTTGCCAGAGATGAAATTGTACTTAGCTGCGAATTTAGAAGCTGACGTTTCAGTGAGTTGGAATAAAGAAGAATTGAACGCTTTCTAACGCAGTTGAAAATAATCATCCCTGACCAAAACCAATGTGACTTTTGACTCTAATTTTGTGCTGATGCTTTTGTTGTATCGGGGACTCTTACAGTCATTTTTTTCTCTAAAATTGTGATTTCACGAAAAAAAACTGTTAGGTGATCAGAATTATTTCATTTGCAATCAGCGATCTATTATAGCAAGCGTGAAACAGTTTCAGACAAAACCTTAATAATGGAATTAATTATAAATTGTCATTATGATGACGAGACTCACCAGAACCCTTATTAGGCTCAAGTGTAGTCAATCGATAAATTTTGATGATTGATTTGTATCCGTAATTATACGAACCCACTAAGTTTAACTGGAATTTCACAGTTTAGTTTAGGATTAAGCAAGACATTTACTTACGGCTGAAGCTAGGCTGTCCTTTATCTATGATCTGTGACTTGTACTGTTTGGTTGGTTCATCAAGTTTTCTACTTTATTAAATTATAAATTTCCTTTTTATGCTCGTTTTTACAACTTTAGTTGGTCGATCTATGATCAAGGGGCCCTTTTCTTGGTATTCCCATCTGCGTTATACAACTCTTTCTGTTTTGGTGCATTCTTTCAACGATTACCTAAGAAACCTTTCCTGTGTGTTTGGTTTGTTTCCCCATTAGTGAAATCCAGCGAGAGACACAGTTAACTTAGCGTTCTCTGGTAAAACAAAGATATATCTAATCCTGGCCGATGCTACCAAACACTGAACCGTTACAAGACTCAAGATCAAGTTTGGACGCACTCAAAACAAAACTAGCATGATTGATCCAAAGGGCATCAAGTAAATTAGACAGATTTCTGAGAAATGTTGTCTGACAAAGGATGCAAATCGCGTGAGTGGCTTCGTCACGCAAACTTCCGTTACAAAATCCTGGCATGACAAACTCACATTTTTGGCCGATTAACATCGTTGTTAACAATAATAAAAACTTATTTTCCCCACATGGACAGCAATTGCATGGCACAAATAGGATAACTGCATCGATAATGCAACAGTTAAGATAGCAGATTAAATAGTTAGTATCAATGAATTACTAATCGTGACACTTACCATCTTTCGTGAAAAGCTTCCAAAACAAAATGTACCTCGATATTTCGAGACACTTTTTTAACCTATTGCATTAACAGAATGAAAAAAATTATATCCTTTTCTGAGTCAGTAGAGATTGAGATGAATTTTCTTTTTTCACTTCATCCAGAGCTGATTTTAAAGTCGCAATTGTACAACTGATTGCCTGTGATGTTAGTTTTATTTTCAACTGTTCCTTCTAAATGAAAGTCTCTTCAATTAGTTTTGTTAATAGAATTGAATGTAAGTTTCGTATTATCATGTTGAGTTAGTTAAATCGAAAATTACGCTCAAGGCTGCCACTAACTGTTCTACGTACCCAAGTCAGAGTATTGATAGATTTCTCAGAGTGGTTTTAAATACAATTCATAAGAAGCCGTAATTTTCCTTATTTCAATTTTCGTGTTTCTTTAAAAACATTTCAGGGCTGTCACCCTCTTCAAGCTAGCTACATGTCAGGGGCAAAATAACAACAGTCTTTTGGGTGTTTTACTGAATATGTCGACCTTAGTTACGTCAACCTTAGATCTAAAATACGCATGATCTCATTTCATTAGAATGAACAGAGAGGACGCAGCCGTAGCACATCAAGATCTTTATCACTTTGGACCACATACAAAGATCAAGCCTTGTCAACAACATTAATTTCCTAGAAATGAGAGCTTTTAGCCACAAATATATGGCAGCTGTCCAATCATTCTACTTGGCAGATTTTTAAATCGGGTCCTGAACTCATAAAGCGCAAACGAAGAAAGAAGCGAATATGTATATAACTTGAATATGTATATATTTTCACTGAGTGTAAATAACAGTGACTTTCAACCTGTCATTTCATCGCGACTTCCGGCCTTATTACTAGGAAGGCGCTATTGTCACAATACTTCAACTACATGCTCGTACGATACAAGTTGTTCACTCCTTATAAAGGAGCCATTTAATGTTGGATTATGAGGGTATTTGAACACCAAAAATGTAGAAATAGTTATGAGAATAAGGAACAAAGCTAGAAAAGATTACAACGGATTACAAATGCCGAATTTGTAACGTTTATGCTAAATTGTACCTTGATCCTTTACGCTCCGCCTTTCAGCTGTCTGAACACCTGTCTTAGAACTGATGGTGCATTTACATCTTCATTGTTGACAAAGAGTGGGAAATGAAAGGTTCCTGTTGTATGAACTGTCTCTTTCTATGTTTCTTCCTTCTCCTGCCTTCAGCGGCAGCATGGAGTAAGGAAATTTTCGTCTCACCGAATGGTAACGACTCGTTGAAATGCGGTGCACACGATCAGCCTTGCAAGTCCATCGACAAAGCTTTCGACGTAGCTTTGTTTGGCGGTGCTAATTCAACGTTGATCAACGTAAAAAGCGGAAATTACACCATGGCAAAGAGCTTCAACCTCACTAACGTGGATACCTTCGCTCTTGTTGGCGACGAGGACTTTGGATCAGGCAAGGTAAGAATTACTTGCGAGCCAGAAGTAAGCATTTCGTTCGTTCTTTGTGAAAATATTATTTTCGAAAGAATACAGCTGCACAGATGTGGTGGATGGCGAGAAAGTACCGCGGGAGCAAACGAGTCGGTTCCCATCGGACCCGGTAACCGAGGTGTTCTGTTTAGGACCGTTTTAGACTTTCGATATTGTAGAAACGCGCGGTTCACCAATGTTGAGGTGTCAAACTCGCCAGGGGTTGGAATAAACTTCTTCAATGTTGGAGGCATTTTGAACTTAACGAACTGTGCATTCACCGACAATAAAGGCGCAAACTACAACGAGTCCAACAGGCCGCTACAAGCCCCATTCATTGGAGATGAATATTTGCTTTCAGGAGGTGGGGTTATTTTGACTCTTAGCGTGTACGAATACAATGTCTTAAACGTCACACCGAGCCAACAAGACTCGTTCCAACACAAAAACAGCTACATCTTCTCGAGCTGCACATTTCTCGGAAATGAGGCGATCGGATGGAATATTAGTAGTATCTTTGATCAGAAGAAGGATCCCGGTCGATCAGAATTTAGCTTAGGTGCAGGATTGGCGATAAATTTCAAAGGCAATGCCAGCGGCTGCAATATTCAAATTCAGTCTTGCTCATTTACTGATAATAGGGCAATATGGGGAGGAGCTCTTAACGTCGAAATAAGAGATCATGTGAAAAGGAATCGTTTCATGATAACGAACACTTCATTTCATGACAATTTTGGGAAACTCGCCGGCGGGGGTGTTCGGATTGGCAATTTACAAACACGGGCCACAGTGGACACTATGAATACATTTATCTTTGATAAGAACTGTGTATTCACAAACAACACAGCCATTTGGGGCGGTGGTGTGTCACTGTATGGAAGACCTATATGGGGCTCTTCCAATACGGAGACTCACTTTTTGGGGATGTTCAACCTTTGTATCTGGCGAGACAACAAAGCAACAGTGGGATCCGCAATAGCGGTCATGCTTGACAGAAAACAGGAAGTCCAGGTTGATTCGGGAATTCCAATCTCGATCAGCTTCAAAGACTGCACGTTTACAGGGAACCAAGTTGTCGTTTTAGATGAAGGTGTTATGATAGGCGAAGGTGCATTGTACAGTGATGGGGTAATCCTTAACTTCCAAGGGAAAACTTTGTTTATAAACAATACGAACACGGCATTGTCCTTGGATGGGTCGGTAACAAACATAAGCGATCATGTCAATTTTATCAATAATCATGGCTACAGAGGAGGGGCCTTGGCAATGCGTGGCTATTCAAAAATTATTTTTCAGAAGAATTCGACCTTATCTTTTTACAACAATTCGTGTGACCACAAAGGAGGAGCAATGTACATCGAAACTGCTGGATCTCCAATGGTGGCTTTCAACGCAACTGGTGTGGACATTCATGATTGCTTTTTCGGATACCAAGACACACGAGACTTTCAATACTGGAATACCTCTGTAATTTTTCAAGGCAATAAAGCAGTTGATGACAAAAAAGGAAACTCAATATACGCAACAACTCTTAAAAACTGTCGGCGGCCTGGTGAGTCTCGGAAAGACAACACAGTGCTGAAATGGAAATTCATCAATTTCAAAACTTTAGATGGTAAGATTTCCTCGAGAAAGAACGAAGTAATAACTGATGCTGTAGAACTACATTTTGATCGGAAAGATTGGAAAGTTGCTCCAGGACAAGTATTTAACGCAACATTAAGGTTAGTGGACGAGATAGGGAACACCGTCGTTGGAATTGTGGACATTGATATCCATGTTCCTGAAAAAGCACCAGCAGTTAAACTTGGAACTACCTCTACGCTCTTTCTAGCTGACGGACAAATATCTTCTCTAAGTCTGACTGGAAAGCCAGAGAGTGTGTTCACGGTGGTTATGCACTACATGGCAAGAGAACTGTTACAGGAAAGCATTGTAAACGTCTCTTTGCAGAGATGCCACGCAGGCTTCTCTTATGACGAAACCACTCAGAATTGCGTTTGCATGAAATCTCCAGGAATAGCACGGTGTGACTTACATGACAAAAAGACTGTTTACCTGAAGAAAGGATATTGGGCTGGGAAAGCGAGCGATATTAATTTCACAACACATCTCTGCCCCGACGGATACTGTACCACTCACAAGTCCATATTTCCTTCTGAGTACAAGTACAACGGAACAGTGTGCAAAAAGGGCAGAAACCAGACGAGTGTACTTTGTGGCCAATGCGAGCGTGGTTACAGTATCATGTTTGTGAGCGAACAATGCTCACCCGATTGCTCTGATAAATGGCTATGGATGATTTTTGTCTATGTAATAGCCCTCATCATAGTTACTTGCTTCGTGTTGTTGGTTAATCCGAATCTGTCAGGGGGACACCTAAATGCTTGTTTGTACTCATATCAAATCATGAAAAAACTCACTCCAGAAGGGTTTACTTTCGATTCTTTTATTGAATTTCTCATCGGACTGACTAACTTTCAACTTGGAGGTAGACGTGGCGTTTGTCTCGCGGCTGGTTTAAGCAATGTTGACAAGCTGGCCATATCGGCTCTGTTTCCAATCGCTGAAATCCTTCTGATATTGCCTTTATTAAGATGGGTGTTGATTATAACTTGGAGCAGGGGGTTGGACAGGCTAGTTAACAGACTGAACGACAGAGAGCGTTGTCTTTGTGGCTGTTTCTGTCGAAACGCAGTTGCGAGCTGGCTGGAGTTCTTGTCTACTTCATTCAGAGCACGTATAGAGAATGGATTCGACCATGCCTTCTTCACCGTTGTAGTTTTGTGCTATGTCGACATAACCAACATTGCACTGCGTCTCTTGCATTTCGTGAAGGTTGGTAGGCGGTGGGTGTTGTATGATGATGGTAATGTTAAATTCTTTGACAGCTCTTTGCACGGTATATTCATAATCGGCGCTATTTTCCTTCTGCTGTTCGTTATTTACATCCCGTTAAGACTTGTAATCTGCCCGCATAAGTCAAACTTGCGACTTGAAACTTTGCACGCTTGTCTCAAGCCTGGATATCGCTCTTTTGTGGCTTACTACCTTGTGTGTCGACTGGTGCTGCTACTAATAAGCACTTTCATGCCTACTAGCCCACTGAAAGCCTCGTTGTTGCTGTTCTTTTGCATTTTCTTCATGTTTGTCATTGCAACTGTGAGGCCTTACACAGAAAGGGACCATGGTGGCAATGAAAACGAAGTTCTACAAGCGACAACGCAAAGTGGTAACAGGACTGTAGGAAGACAAAGATCGAGAGAAGCAAGTCCAGGCATCATTGAAACTCCATTTCCACAAGAACTAATCCGTGTAGGTGCGGGTGGCAACCAAATGGAAGAACAACAAACAGTGGCAAATGAAGGCAATGCTGAAGGAGATCAAAATCCGAGAGGAGAGGCAGAGGGTTCCCAGAAAAACCTGTACATCAACGAGTCTGACCTGGTGATCTTAATGACGCTGAGTGCCATTGGAGTTTTCAGTCTTGCCGCCAACACAGAGGTCTCCAAAAATACTAAACTTGGTCTGCAGCGGTGGGTTAGGATCTTGGCATACGTCCCTCTGGTGATGGCTTTGCTTCCCTACATCTTCTATTTACCACGCCTAGTACAGAGGTATCGCTATGAGAGAAGAGAGCATCAAGTAACTGAGCAACAGGATGTATCATTCATGCCGCTCGAGCGTAGCCTCGTATTACAAGAAGATCGGTCAGGTGAGAACACTCCACTGATAAGAACCAGAGAAGATACAGATTCTGACCATGGTACAAGATTTCATACAGCCCACTCGAGCCTTCCAGTGTAGACGAGGTACGTCATAGTTCCTAAGATACTTAAACAACGTATACTTTACTTACTTCCCTTTAATCAAACGTTCTGTAATTACGTACAGGCGCCAATGTAGATGGCGGAGAAAAAGGAATTGAGGAAAGCTGTGAGGCACCTTTTACGGGGGCAAAGAGGATACCTGCATGAGAGCTATAGATTACAATACAATATAATACAATATTTATTTGCCATATACGACATTTACACATGGAAAAAAAAAAATGAAGAAAATTGATGACAGAAAATAAATGGCGAGAAAACCTGAAAGAAACCACGAGGCTTATAACAAGTCAGGCTTTCTCACTTAAAATAACTAATCTTATATTAGAATTACAATATGGACTTATGGTAATTAACTTTGACCGCGCACACGTACACACACACACGCACACACATATTAACTAAGTTAGTTAAGAATTACTGCCTTACAGAAGCTAATACTTAGAGAGAAGAAATTCCTTAAGCTTTCTTTTAAAAGAAGCGGAGGAGGGAGAACTAGTTATGTCAGAATTTAACGAATTATAAAAGTTTGGACCTTGAAAGTAAATTGAAAACTTCCTGGTGTTCGTTCTGCACAGTGGCAAACGGAAGGACTGAGCATTCCTAGTATTATAATTGTGGATTTGACTATTCAGTAAAAAAAAAAAGTTATTGAATTTGGAAGGGAGTGTAGAGTTCTTGAATGAAAACATAAAAGTACCTAATTGAAACGAATGGATATCATGAAATTTTAAGAGTTTAAGTTCCTTTAAAATAGGGCCAGTATGGGCAATGTATGTAGAATTGCTTACTATTCTTAACGCACGTTTCTGTAAGGTTACAATTCTTTGAAGGTTTGACTTATAGGTACCAGCCCAAGCTAAATTGCAATAATACAAATATGGAAGGATCATAGAATTGTATAAAGTACGAAGGGAGTGAGTAGAGAGAAAAAACCTAGATTTATGAATAATACCTATAGATTTGGATAATTTATTTGCTGTTAAGGATATATGCGATTTCCAGGTCAAATTGTCATCTAATAAAACACCCAAAAACATGGTCTCAGAAACACGAAGAATAGGCTGCTCATTTATGAAAACTTGAAATTCAAAGGATTGCTTCTTTTGCCAAGGCTTGAATACCATAAAATTAGTCTTGGCTAAATTCAAGGAGAGCCGGTTTGCTGCAAACCAGGTTGACAATTTGTTTAATTCTCTATTTAATGTGTTAATTAGGTAAACAGGGTCATTATGGGAGATAAATAAGTTTGTATCATCAGCAAACAAGATTGCATCAAGCAGGGAAGCATTGTTCAAATCATTAATTCATTAATAGATTAAGAACAACTTTACCATCCCTCTGAATCTGATTACTGCACACGGTGCTTTCGACCTTTCTGATCCTCGCAGTACTTCATATGCAGGATATTTATCCCATACGAGCCTTTAATGAGCAGTCTGGGTCGTAGCTTGCTTCAAAGTTTTCTTACTTGCTGGTATCGGACTTTGCCTTCCCCTTCCCAACTGATGACTTGAAAAAATTAAGTTATCTCTATCAGTCTTACCACGCGGCTGGGGTGCAACAGTGCTTGGGAGCGTGTGGAAAGAATGATTCATAACTTCTGGAAATCATTGTCGAGATCATTATTTTACTTGTAATGGCAGGTACTTTTGCCATTCTTCAGAGTAACGTATCTCATAGCTCACAAAAGAGCTCCGTGTGGCTCAGTAGCAAAGTAACGCCCCTTAAAATGGAAAGTCTGAGGTTCGAATCTTTGTTCGTTTATGTGACGATCGAGCTTGAAATTTGCTGTTTAATTTCTATCTGCGGAAGCAGTTACAGTAGGACTCTTGCGTAGTGGCAGTATCACTACATAATTACCTTCAATATTTTTGAAATATCTATACTAATTTTGATTTCCTCCTTTGTTTCCCTTTTTGTTGCCAGAGGTGAAATTGTACTTAGCTACGAATTTAGAAGCAGACGAGTCACTGATGTGCAACAAAGATTTGAATAGTGTCTATCGTAGTTGAAAAATAATTATCCCTGACCAAAACCATTGCGACGTTTGACTTTCTAATTTTGTGCTAATGCTTTTGTTAAATCGAGGACTCTTAATGCCATTTTTTCCCCTAAAATTATGATTTCACGCTAAAAAACTGGGGTGATTAGAATAATATCATTTTCAATCAGCTATCTATTATAGCAAGCGTGACACAGTTACAGACAAAGTTTTTATATTGAGGTTAATTATAAATTGTTATTATGATGACGAGACTCACCAGAACTTTCATTAGGCTCTAGTGTAGTCAATCTATAAATTTCGATGATTGATTTGAATCCGTAATTACACGAAGCCACTAAGTTTACTGGCATTTAACAAGTTAGGTAAGAATTTAGCAAGCAATTTTTCCTCCACCTGAAGCTAGGTTTTCCTTTATCTAAGATATTTGACTTGTACTGTTAGGTTGGTTTATTAAAATCTCTACTTTATCTAAATAACAATTTCCTCTTTTATGATTGTTTTTTTTTTAACTTTGATTGGTTGATCTATGATCAGGGGACTCTTTTTCGGCATTCCTATGTACATAGTACAACTCTTTCGTTATCTCTAAATTTATATTTTTCGTACTCTTTCAGGGATAACTTAATTAACCTTTCCTGTGTTGGGTTCCGTCCTCACCCTGAAGACTTCGTTCAGTAATCATTACGCAATGCTTGCCGTTTAGACAATCCCCGCCCCCCCCTCCCCCCCCCCCTCCCCTCTCCCTCCCCCTCCCCGCCCCCTATCCCCTCCCCCGCTCCCCTCTCCCCTCTCCCCACTCCCCTCCCTCCGCTCCCCGCCCTTCAAAACATAAAAAAACGCTTCGGGCGAAGAAATGTACCCTGGTTGAGTTTCAATACATTTCAGCCGGGATTCATTTCGTCGAGCTCGAGGATTGGATTTCACTTTTAATGGCAAACTGTTTAAGATTATGTGTAAAATTAAGGCCCCCCATCAATATTAAAAAATTGAACTTGAAATCTAATCTAAACCAAAGCAATATGTGTCACTCACGGGATGTTTCACAATCACTTTGAAGTCAAAGTTCACTGCAGCAAATTTTCACACGTTTCTCCAATTTCCGGTGTAACGCTAAAAAAAATGTCAGTTGTGAGTGACACTTTGATAGGCAGTGAAATTGTTAAAGCGGATATGTCAGATTACCTAAAAGCTTTTCCTGCAAAGTTCGCACGCCATCTGCTGATCAAGAAAGTACCACGAACATCAAGACATATACCACTTCTAGATCAAACAGTCAGGGAAGGCATTATTTAAGTCCTCCGGCTAGCAGAGAAAGATTCATCACAGAGGTGAGAGAATTATCGTGTTTTTACGTAGCTTCAGTTTTCGCAAATATATGATCGGTGCTAATCGTGAAAAATAGGGACAAAAAAAAGCACACTGGTATGGCATTAATGTGGTGCTAAAAGCATCGAGGTGCGTCGTCTCTTTACGGTCGTAGATTTAGAATTTAAGCGTAATTTGTAGCCAAGAAACAGGCTCAGTGTAAGAGGCAAAGTTTCTGTTCATAAAGATGATGTCAAGTATGTTTCTTATGAGATGACGTCAACTTAAAGAAACAAATGTCTTCACAGAACCAAACTTCTAGTTTACCTATAAACATTTGTGGCAAATATTTTTTGAACAGCAGCGTGTGAAAGCAGGCAAAGGAAATTTCAATAACCACATGACTTGCATCATTTAAAATGTGAAAAATCTAAGTGCAGATGTGATATAGAGAGTCCTTGAGTCGTCTGCCATAGCGCGAGGAAAGTTGTGCTGTCAGTTTAACAAATGAATCTGTTATCTTGCTGTTATCGAAACATCTGTTGGCGATCTAAGAGTACGATGTCCACATCGTCTTCGGGGACGGGAGTGGAATCATTTGACCCTCAAGATTCGTGATGCTTGCCTTTTTTTTAGCCCAATATTTTATTATTCTTAGATTTTATTTGTGATATTTATGATCCATTTTCTAACCATATCTCGTGTTTCATAATTACCAAGCTTTAACCACCGAGCGAAAATCCATAATTCCTTCAAATTTTACCGTTACGATTCATCAGTTATTCACACTTCCGCTTCCACCCCAAAGTCTCTGGAGTTTCACTGATGCGTATACCACAGATTCTAAGCAATGGAAGCTCATGTCTCCAAAGTTTATTTGTTGGAAAAGAAGCAGTGTTGTAGAAATGTCTACAACGAAAGAACGCTGTTACTAAAATGAACTTAATATCTTTTTACTTTTGCCTTAAGTAAGCTTCATCTATGAAGGTATCTCTTCGGTAATTACTCGTAAAAATTCTAACCAGACGACCACAGTCACCTTTCTGACGTGTACTGAGAAGAATTTAGCCTGTGATGAGTCGTTGCCATTTTGAGGGACCGCGATCACGAAGCGGAGTTGGCGGGAAGGACTGAAACCCTGTCACACCATCGCTCTTCCCCGTAAAGAGAACGCCAGACAGCAGGTTTTTAAAAAAATTATGCTCTGCAAGCAACTTCGAGTCGGAAAACTGTGACATATGATTTTGAACTGAAATACGTAACACTAGGCCGACGCTCCATCTCCAATGTTGTGCCAGATAAATTTGATGTTAAACATCTAGGTATCTTTGAATGCGACGTTCGGCTCTATATTAGGATTGGTCAGTGGGTCAGGTTTTACCACGGCATTTGCAAGATACCTTTCATTTCGTTCCTTTCCCCTACAGTCATTCCCGACGATACACAAGAACATATTCTGAGAAAATCTTTTCATGAATTACTGATCGGCTTATGAAACCACAGGAAGGATATTCCCACCAGCGCTGTACAACTCGGGTCAAAGTTATCAAGTTGTCCGTAAGTAACACACGTTAGGTCGAAAGCGACAATTGAAAATCAACTGCTTATGCTGAAAGAGTCCCATGAGAGTAAACTCATCATAATTGGCCACTTCAGCAAAGAAAAGTGAGAAGAAAAGCCACTTGCTTTTTTTGCCAATAATGACCTCCCCCATTGAGTTGTCACCGGAAAAGCCGGTACACCGCTGAATGACCCTGCATCAAAGATAAAAGCCTGCGGTTTTCAATCCTTACAATCTAGATAGTCTAGATACTGAACAAAGCCTGAGCTATAATGCGAGACGGATAAACAGTTTTTATCTACCAGCGGTCGTTATGTTCGATGAGTTAAGGATTCTTAACCCAATCGGATTTTCAGATCAAAATGGTCTAAAAGTTAAGTAAGCAAGCTCACGCAGAACTTCTTAGACTTGGATTTCCGTCCACTGTCGCTGACCCGAGGAAATCCTCAGAATACCAAATAAGGCTGCGAACTGAACCGACAGCAAATGTTCTAAAACAGACAAAAAAGGAACCTATTTGTAGTTTATTGGAGCACACCGCCTGACAATATCCTAGGCTTATTTCTGTCTGAAATATATAACAAACAACTCATAGCCTTTGCGACTGGCGGAAGTTTGGAAACTGATTACAAGCTCAGCGTAGAGTACTATAAAGAACCCTTTAAGGTACGTTGAAATAATGACATTATAGCTCGCTCTGTTAAGAGTAGTTCTTGGATTTAAACGTGGAAACAAAGAAAAAGAATCAGACGCAGCTATCAGTAAAATTAATTGCAGAGGGTCTGGGGCAATTATTAATTTCAAGAAGCGACTGATAGCTCCAAAGAATTGGTAAGGCTGATTGCACGTGAACATATTTCCAAATCTAAACACAGGAAGGTGATCCTCGAGATTATTATTATGCCCAAGCAACTTGATGGTTCCTATTCGAATGTCTTGAAAATTTCAATGCTCCTCTTCATGCGTTGCAGTGAAATATGATTTGTAGCATTCGCTATTCCGGTTGCATTCTGAGAAAGGACATAGAGCAGGCACGATACGACAATACAAACATGAGTCATACTTGATACGTAATTCAGATATGGTTATTAAAGGTGTTCGCAACATCTAATTTCAAGTAAAATTGAACCTTGAAGAGCTTTCTTTTACTCTCCAGTGTACTTTCGTACATTTACATGCTTGCAGTTGCCAGGCAGCTGCCGAAAGTCAACTATCATTGTTGCCGCTAGCACGCGCTGTCAGTCTTGACCTCTCAGGTATGAATGACGACGGCGTCTAATTGAGAACCGCCAAACTTTACGTCTGATTTAAGCCGGCACAATATTAGATTCCCGAACTTAATAAACAATTGAGTCAATTAATCAGTTCACCGGGACGCAGTAGCGTTGGTATTCAACCGTGTAATACGAGATTTGTTGTTAAATAAATGTATTAAAGCGAGGCCTCCATTACACAACAAAGCCCTCTCTTATCAACTTGTAGTTTATTGTCAACGCAAGTATGCAATATTGCGATATCAGTTATTGCTGTAGACAATCTAATATGCAAATCTGCGGTGAACTCAGTTCCATAAATAAAGTATCAATGTTTTGTTTTACAACAGGGAAAACTTAGACGCATCGGAACATGAAGATGAAAACTCTTATAATTTACGTTTTGGCCACACTTTTGACAACAGAAATGATACAATTCCCGAACACAGCACATGCTGCCCCGAGTCAACGAAATTTCAAGAGCGAAGATGGTAAGATGATGCATCATTTGTAATATTGAGCAACGTCTAGCCTTCCTAATTTACTCGGTAGGAAATTTTGCTTTCTTTTAATGCCATTTTGGTGTTGAGGATTTACATACTTACTATACTCCTTACAAGTGAATCGTCAAGGGTATCACTGAACTATGAGTACGTGAGAAGCCTGCAGTTTTAATTCATCATAGTTCTTTTAGCACCGCAGATATTCTTCAAAGATATCGAGTAAACTAAATAGCACATTAGAACAACTTTTTCAGTGAGAATAACCAGCAAAAAATAAAACGACCATCATATATTTGCTGCGGTTTTAAGCCTTCATGACTAAAAGTCGAGACATCTCAATTTGTTCCACACATCACTCATCAGTCTCGATAGTTTTGTTATGCACTGGAGTTCTTGTTTTTTTTTGTTTTGTTTTTTTTAAGCCACTAATTGATGTAGTACCTCATCATATCACGCCATTCGCGTATGGTTTTCTTTCGGAAGTACTTCTAGCGTGTTGAACAACTCCGCTGTCAAATTTAGTAGTGAGATCAATTTTAATCTGTCACCCCCGTAAACCACTTAGTTTCTGATGGATTTGTGTGGAATCTGACTCCAAACTTCCGAAAGATAGCCCATGGTCATTGGTAACTTGTGTGTCTTCTCGACATTGATTGCGGTGACCTTTCAACACACGCATTCACTTTGAAGGATGTCAGTCTCAGCTGTATACAACTAGAACTTCCTATTGCCTAAAATTTTACTGCTCGATACAACCGTATAATAACAGTGGGCAATATCGGCATTTTCAAGAGACATGTTTATATCGGACATTTGTTCTGACATGACTAATTTGTCTTACGCAAGATATTACTTTTCAATTTGATCAGCAGAGGGTACTGATTAAATTCAGAAACCGTATCTTCCATTGTTCACCTCGAAAAACAAAAAAGCAAGATCCGAAGAGAAATTGATGAAGGAGTTTACAACAACGATGAGTTACAAATATAAAAAAAAATTAAAAGATAAACATTCTTAAAAGGAGTGAGAGAATCAACACGCAAAAAAAACATAAGATTCTTCTGAAGAGGGACGAAACGCATCGTGGCATACACAAGGCACGTGCGTTTTCCGCGTTTGACGCCGCTGGCGGAAAGTCAACGCTATAATTCTGATTGTTTTATTGACTCCAGCTGCGTCTGCTCATATTTCATGAACCAAATTGAAAAAGACATCAAAAGTCAGGGACAGATTTTGAGGGACATGAAGTCAATTTTTTAGCGCAACATAAGCGAGTATTTGCTTCGCCGCCTCACCGACCTCAGACAATTCACCGGTGAAATACTAAACACTGTTTTTTTTTTTTCTCACTACTCAGAGATAATAGAAGGTGACATATTAGTGACCGAACCTCTCCGACGTGCCATGAAGGCGGGCAACTCAAGGACCAGACGTGACATTGTTAGCAACAAGATCAAAAGATGGCCGGATGGCGTAGTGCCATACAAATTAGATTCTAGCCTAAGTAAGTGTCTTTGTGTCATGCTGCGTCAGATAGCGGCAGTCAACCACGAAGACTGAGTGGCCGCGCCTCCGAAGAGTCGGCCTAATAGTCGAGGTTGTCCTAATTTCCTTTAACCTGCTTTTTTTCAGGTAAAGAAGCTATCAAGGCAATTAAGGTAGCTATACGTGAGTTCCACAGAAGGACTTGTGTAAAATTCGTCCTTCACACCAACGAACAGGACTATCTGGAATTCCAAGGAAGTTACGGGTTAGACACATTTCTACAGACTTCTTGAGGCAAATAATTGCAAAATCAAAGTTTCCCAACTGACATAATTCTGGGCTATGACTCAAAGCTACAAGTCGAACCCAGACCCCTTGATACGAAATCGCAGAGCGTTTTCCCTTGAGCTAATTCGTACAATTTCTCCACGTTTTAGCTGCTTCTCAGCCATTGGCCGTCAGGGTGGAAAGCAGCGACTCTCTGTCGGTGAAGGATGCGAATATAAGGGAACAGTCCTGCACGAGATCATGCATGCTCTGGGATTCTTTCACGAACACTCTCGTACTGACAGGGACGACTATATCATGGTTCTATGATGGAACATTGAGCCAGGTATTTTCGTAAATAAACCAAGTTTAATATGTTTTGGGCCGTTCCAGGAAACGTAGGTGTTGGGCACGAATGTCGAGGCTTGCTACTGGTAAACCACGCAGAAAGAATGACGTGAAGTGACAAGCTTATTGTTTTGACGCATTTTTGTTGTCGATGTTAATGGTTTTTACACCAAGTCACAGTGTACACCTTGGGAAGAAAAAAATTAGCGTTAGCCTCGACTTGATGTACTCGACCCAGTTTACTAGCTCCGTTCAAACAGATCCACTCTGGTGAATCAACCCTTTCACTCCACTGACCAAGAAAGAACTTCTACTCTCAATATCCATGTATTTTCAATCACGACGTTGATGAATATCAACCGGAGGGTTATCCTTGACTTCACTACAAATTCTCAGAACTAAAATAATACGAAATGTACTACAGACAATGCAAAGAACTGGAATATAGACTGTGAAACGGTTAACATACAGCAATAATCTGACATCTGACACCTTAAGCATTATTTACTTATTTATTTATGGGGGCATCCTAATGAAAAGACTTGGGGGGGAGGGGAGGGAAGGGTATTAACTGGAATATTAAAGACCAAGTGGATACGTTGTGACACACGAGAGGTTGCTTGTCCAGATTCCCATGGCGTCAGCATCCATCTGTTAAATTCTAATGATGTGTGGGTTTCATTTCTCGAAGGATTCGAAAAGAATTTCGAAAGTTACGGTCCTGAACGACTTGACAGTGTCGGAGAACCGTACGACTTCGACAGTCTTATGCACTACGACAACCAAGCTTTCAGCAAAAACGGCCAAAACACACTGGAGTCTTTAGCGGATCCCAACAGATCCTTGGGGAATATGGATGATTTTAGCAAAATTGACATAAAACAGCTGTTAAAGAGTTACCCCTGCAAGGCTGGGGATAAGAAACCAAAAGACAAGAAAAAGGAGAGATCACCAGAGAGTAAGAGCGTTTTTTTTTTATGCTGTCCGACAGGGTTTAACTACACTACACGAGCTAACTCTCCTCTCTTTCAGCTATCCGACTCATCGTTGCCGCAAAAAAAAAAAATTTATATAATTTACCAAAAGTTAGTCTGTATATTGTTCGCTAATTTGTACAATAAACAGTCGCAGTGGGACGGATCCAACAGAAATTACAATGTTTGCTGTCCCCTGTATGAAATATTCTGTTCAATTGAGTATACAGAGTAACCTTGGATTCCGTTGGTTTTATTTTAACTTTGTTCTCTAATTGGCTCAAGAAACACGCTTCACCCTCTCCACCAATCAAAATTAGGTCTTAGGCATTTCATCAACCGCGTTTTCCCGCTTTCAGGCGGTTTACTTGTTTTTACTCCGTGTTCTCATTGGCTTCTTCCGATATTTTCCTTTGTTCTGATTGGCCGTAAGGATAAGTTGTGGTTTTAATTTTACGACACTGAAATAAAATGCCCTCTTATTAGAAAGAGAGTTGACGGGTCATTTCTCTTCCAGGTAAATGCCTTGATGTCTATCAAAACAGATGTAAATATTTCGCATCTTACGATGGATATTGCCAACATTGGAAGTCGTTCATGAAAAAGTGGTGTCCCTATTCCTGTGGCTACTGTAAAACAGAGTCGCCTGGTGAGCTGAATTGCAGTTTTACCTTATCAAATATCGTCTAATTATAGCTTGTGAACAATCCTTAATTTGTGTTTTCAATGTACTGCCTTTTCAAGGAGAACTCATCTTCCTTTGTCGATATTGCCAAAGCTGATGGCTTTAACAACCAGTATGAGACAACCTAGAACTTCGTCGACCGCATGGAGTTGCAATTGCTGATTTATCAAGCTGTTTTAAAGCTTACCACATACAAAGTAAAAGCCTGACTCAGTATCGAATTCTATAAAGCTCAGTTGTGGAGCATCGAATCACGAAATTACGCTCACGAGATCCAGAGGCCTGGGATTAAATTCTCTCCAGAGAGAAACCCTTTTTTGCTGTTGTTTTCTGTCCCTCGCTCCTAAGAAAATGAATAAAATCTTTCTATCCTGTTTCAAAATACGCGGAAAAAACTTGTCTGATTATTTCCTCAGTCGAAAAATCACTTTTGATTTAGGAAATATAAACATTTCTCCCGCAAGTTCCAGAAAGTTTCTAACTGACAATTAACCCCACTGAATTTTAGATGTTCATGTACTTCAATAAGAAAATCCTAGAGCTAAGCTTATTCTTTTTTTCTCAATTCTTTTCACTCACAGATAAAAGGCTGAATATATGGAAAGGAGAAAATGACACAAAGTGAAAGGCTCACTGGTTAGAGTGCATTTCCATTAGGTGTCGTGAAACTAACTCAAAGTGATCACCACAGTCGAACAGAAAAAAGAAACTACCACAAGGAGCCCTGGAGAACGCAAAGGAAAAACAAAAAAAAATGCCTGACGCGCGGGAAACGCGAGAGACGCAAGCGCGATTAGTTTTGGTTTTGCGTCTGATTGGTCGAGAGGTTGGCGCGAGTTTCCTGGCCCAATCACAGAATGTCTGAAACGTCATCAGCACTGTATATCTAGCAAAAATTATACTCGAGAAAATAAGAACCAACCAAACTAGCAGAGTTTTAGTGATTGTCTTTCGTTGAAAAATAAATAAATAAATAAATAAACAACACATCAAGAACATTTCAGCGTACTTGAGCTCAATTAATTAATTTTTGGTTCCTGGTTCTTTGTAGTAGAGCTGCAGAAATGATATAAGATGAACTTCTCTGCAACATAATCATGGGCTTATTTGTACAGCATTAAAAGACATCTCTATATTTTTTCATTATTATTCTCCCCCTGTGACTTGTTGTTATATTCATTCTATGAAAAAAAAGGTTTACTTTTACGGGAGTTTTTGAAGCCTGGCTTTCAAATAAATTCTCAACTTTTTCAAAGAAAAAAAAAAGTTTGTAACATGTTTGATTTATTTGCAATCAGTAGGGCAATAGTCACTTACAGTACCTCGACTAATCTTTTTTATACATCACTCAGTCTGACAGAATTTCTCCATTCTTTCTTCATTGACTTATCCAGTTTGGTGACTGAAGCTTACCAGCTGTAGAGGTTTATTGATTCCAATCTTCCCATGTGCCTGCCTGCAGTTAGCTATTCAGTGGTCTGATTGGCAGGTGGCTCTCAGAGGAATACAGAGAAGAATCAAAGGGAAGATAGCCTCTGCAGTTTAGTGCACCACATTGACAACTTTTTCGCTCCTTGCCCCGTTTTTGCAGAGATTTCAATTCATGCTGTTCAACTTTTATTTCATGTGAGTGCCAGTGATCAAATTCTCCTGAACAGTCAGAGAGTTCCTCTCCAATGTCTATATTTCTGGCTGCAAAGAGAGCCAGTTGTGGAACAATGGAATCAACTCTCACTGGTACCATTATCAGATTAGGGTTGCATGAATGATTGACGTGCCACCATGGAAACGAGCATCAACATGAGTTCTTAGAATTTGGTTGTCATTCGAACTGTGTTCTCTGAGAACAATCAAGTAATTTCCGGTTTCATGAGTCAGTTCCTGCGCACGCGTTTTAGCCTCTTTGATTGAAATAAGTTCACCAGCATATTCACACACAAAAGTAAAATTTTTCATGTTTTCCAAAGTCCTCAAGTCCCATCCTTTGAGTTTGGTTTTAAAGACTTGAAGTTGAAGATGTTGTCCATTCTGAACCACTCTGTTCTGACAAGATTTGGAGCAAGAACCGCCACTGTTGCACTCAAACACGGGTTGGCGAAACTCTATCGACAGTACGTCCCCAAAAATAAAACTTGATGTATATCTACTAACCCGAAAGTCATTTTTCATGCCCGAAAACATTTTTCGCGAGCAGAAAAAAAAAAGCTGTTTTGCTCTCGGCGCTGCCACTGTAGAATTTTTTTTTAAAAGTCTACCGCAACACGTGAATGATTAACATGCATTACAGACATTTTAGAATTTAGAAACAAATTTTTAAGAAAAAAAAAAAGGCGTTGAAACTGCCGGTGAAAGCGCTTCATTCTCCAATTTGCCGCCAAAAAAATATTCCCGCCGGAGTATTTCTTAGCAGCTGACAGGGGAGATATCTATATTATTAGAGGGGATGAAAATTTCATAGCTTTCATCAGTTTGCTTCTCATTCAAAAGTAGTGCATTAAGAAGATCATTTTTCGGAAGAAGGTTTGTTTGAGAGTCGGTTTTCCAAGTCAAATTTCAAGTTCACGGGAAGTGGAAAAGTGGAGGTGCCGAGTCGCGCATTAGTGAACAAATTATGCAACAAAAATTATGCAAATTTGTGGTTCATCTTGTTACAAGTAACCAAAGGTTTTAGGTTTCAAAAGAAAAAAAATGTTCGTTTCATTTCTGTCAACTTTCCATCTGAAAGATTTTCGTGAAAAGTGAAAACAATACTATGTGGTCTATATATTTTAATCAACAAACACTAACGGCATCGGTGTTTAGAATTTACCATATTGAAACGCACTTGACCAATAGTCTCTAAAACCTTCTCAAACTCATTCGTATTGCATGAGGTAATTAACCAATTGTGTAGCCTCATTTGGGTCGCATAGATGCCCCTTGATACCTGATAAAGAACAGATCCAAACACTCGTGATTAGATATTCGAACACGTGTGTTTGGAGATCAATTTCCAAAAGAATGCAGTACGTGAACAAATGCCTTTCTTGCTCCAGTTATTGGTGACATATCTATAGAAACATAACCTGAATAATATTTGGAAAAACCACAAAACAGGCAATAGGAAAAATACATCTGTATGGAGCTTTTACATGATGAAGTGGGACTTTGAAGGTAAAAATAAAAGACTTGTCTCTATTAACAAGATTAACAAGCATAATGCTTGTGTTTGAGCTCACTCGTTAAAAGCTTTTCCGACTGCCTCAAGCTGATACTAAAGTTAAAGGAAAACTGTTCATTACAAGATATCAAATACATTTTCTCTTTCTGATATTCTTGATGGAACTATGTAACTCCAAATGTAATATCAGTGGCTGCTTTTAAAAGCTTGAGGTCGAGCCCAAACCTGCACTTGCAGAATCTGTCAAAAGACGACAAAAAATAACTATGACGCCTATCTTGACAGAAAAAATGGGCTAAGTCACGCAATTCGAAATGATGTAACAATTACGAGCAGGTTACAAAATCAACTAAAACATTTCAACAACAGCTCAAAACGTCAAAAGAACGTCAGAGAAAAGGTAAAAGCCGAAAAAATTGTGCGTCATTTTGGCCCTCTATCAAAGCGGTTGTTTCCACATTGGAAGAGGGCTCACGTTCTTGTAACGAAAACTACAAGGCATAAGGAAGATGGCCAGTGTCTTCTTTGTCCCTGAAAGAATGTTGTCCGACACTTCTCCCTAGAGATGTCGCAAAGTCCCTCATGTCTCCTGTTTCTTCAAGGGTCATTCTCGCTACTCTGTCTTCAATCAACGTCACAGGTGGTTTGGGAGGAGGAGAGGAATCCATGGCTTTGTTCGGGTAATAGCTCTTAGGGCCGGTGAAGTAATGGAAATGACCTCGATACATTCTCATCTCAAGTTCTCTGACACAAGATGCGCGTACGAATGGAGTCATGGTGAACGCATTAACTGCTGTGTACCTTTTCTTATCACAAAACTTGATCATCAAAGCAAGTCCCTTTTTGAGACATAAAATGGTGATCGCGATCCTTATCCGAGAATCGTTATAGACAAAGCTAGACAAGAACACAGACAGTGGTTCTCAGAATGGAGTAGCTTTATTATATGATCGTAATCCTCACTTCACGAAGCGGACCCCACTTTAGATCCATTTTGTCTTTGTTTTTCCATGCTGATTTGGCCTATTAATAGCTTAAAACATGTTCATTACCGTTGCAGAGGTTAATCATTTCAGTGCAAAAATAACGATGGCAACTTTTGCGCGGACATTATTTCTTTGTAAAAATGAGCATGCTATCTTTATCGCCGCAGCTGTGCCAAAACCTTAGCCTGAGTAATAGCCTTTTTCGTTTCCATTTAGCAAAGCGTATGGGCGGCCGTCACCACCAAAAATACAAGGATGTCAAATAGATCAACAAATACAAAGCTAGTCTAAGGATCGGCTGCAGGGTAGCGTAGCTATTAAAGGAATGGCGTGGCCAAATATAGACGGTTTAGTTTTCCTTCATGAAACAGAACACCCTAAACATGAATAGTTTAGCCAAATGTAAACGGTCTAGTTGTATGAGTGGCCGTCACCACCAAAAATACAAGGATGTCAAATAGGTCAGCAAATACAAAACAAGTCTAAGGGTCGGCTGCAGGATAGCTTAGGTAATAAAGGAATGGCATAGCCAGATATAGACAGTTTAGTTTCCCTTCATGAAACAGAACACCCTAAACATGAATAGTTTAGCCAAATGATGAACGGTCTAGTTGCCTATGTCGAGTTGGAACATGAAATTGTGAAATAGACTAGCTCAATTGCGAATAGCTTAGCTCTCATTTGCAATACAGGACACAAACGGTGTAGCGTTGCGTCAAATGGCTCAACGAAATGTCGAGTGGTACAGTGTACACACATACGGTGTAACGTTGTGTGAAATGGCTTAGCGCAATGTCGAATAGCACAGCGTACGCACAAACGGTGTAGCGTTGCGTGAAATGGCTCAGCGTAATGTAGAATGGTACAGTGTACATACAAACAGTGTAGCGCTACGTGAAATGGCTCAGCGTAATGCCGAATGGTACAGCGTACAAACAAACGGTGTAGCGTTACGTCGAATAGCTTTGCAGAACATCAGACGCTCTATCTCAACATTAAATTGCTTAGTATTACATGAAATATTTCGATGTTGTGGCGAATCGTCGAGCTTGCTCGTGGCGTCACGTGAAGGCTATCTCGCCGAAACCACCAAAAATACAATCAAAGTGATATCGGAATGCTTTAATTGCAAACACTATTTTTGGCATACCAATTAAAACGTTCCGATATCACTTTGATTGAAAAATGTCAAAACTGATATTCTTGATCTGTTTTGATATTTTTCAAAGTGATATCGGAATGCTTTAATCGCAAACACTATTTCTGACAATCCATTTAATGCACATCGATATCACTTCGATTGAAAAATGTCAAAGCAGATCAAGGATGTCAGTTTTCTTACCATGGCGTCCAACTCTGTACACAAAGGCACACACAAAATCCAACTCCTCATTTACTCCTGTAATGTTCAAAGAGCCGTTGAAGTTAAACTCTCATTGAAAAGTAAGCGCGAGTCAGAGAAGAGAAGATAGTTCGAAAGGCGACATTTAATGCACGTCACAATACTACAAACAATCAGGCTAACCGACGCGTGCAAACTGTGGTAAACCGGGAGGCCGGCAAACCGTTGTAGAATTCAGTCTTGCTGCTATTTTAATTAGCGCTTTCATGAACAACAACGAATAAATGTAATATCAGCTGGGAAATCGCTGTTCCATTCGCGGTTGGTATTTTCGGTGGGTTTCGGCGAGATAGCCGATAGATCCCATGGTAAGAAAACTGACATCCTTGATCTGTTTTGACATTTTTCAATCGAATTGATATCGAAATGCATTCATTGGTGAGCCAAAAATAGTGTTATAACATAGCGCGCGTGCTTGCCCTGCATAAGTCCTATTGAGCCGCTATGAACAAAATATTTATTTACGCACGCCCGTGCGTAAATGAGATAACGAGAGCATTTTTTTTAACTGGCTTCAGAGTTTCCGTCCTGTTAAGCTGCAGTGTAGTTTTCCTTCTCTTTGAAATATGGAAGAAACCAGTGAAGAGCTGCCCAATTCTTCTATCGGCATTGACCTTTTAGGTCCTGATCCAACAAGCAACAAAAATAAAGCCGAAAAAAACTCGTAAGTAGTTTCGGTCTTTGACTTTTAAAACATTTTTTAGTGACACTTGAGTTCATTAGGCTTTGATTTTCTCCAATTATCCTGTAAATTTTGAGCTTTTCATTCACAATTATCGGTTAACTGGCTCAAGTGTTCTCGCTCAAACCAAAGCATGAAATGTGACGTTTTTATTTTTGCCAGCCAATAGGGACGTTTGTTTACTTTTTTTGTGCGTTGTGATAATTTTGCACTTTATCACAATAAAAGGCTTCTTCGCGCAGATCCTTGTTGTTGTTGTCTGTTGTAGAAGAATTTGCTCATGCTCTTAGCTGTGTGTATGTCGAGTTATGGATGCACCCGGGAAGTTTGGAGAGCACTCAAAAAGCTGGAGTTGCTCTCGGCTGCGCCTCGAGCTACTCTTAAGCATTTTCGTGCTCTAAACTTCCCGCGTGCATACGTAACTCCATATAGGCACGCTAAGCATGAACAAATTCTTAATTTGAAATTTAAGCATTCCGATATCACTTTGATTGAAAAAGCGTAAACGAGCCGAATAGAAGAGCCTTTTTTCCGCGCTTTCAGGCTGCTCAACTTTCGCTCGCACACCAATCCTGGGAAAGCAGAAAGAGTAAGTGATGTTCACAGCGTGTAGTACCGGCGGCGATCGACTTATTATTGACTGGAAAAACAAACGCGATCTTTGTAAACCATGTTGAAATCATGGAACTTGGAAACTTACAGAAAACTTGTCAAGCTGTCTCACAACTCGAAACACTTCCGGCCGGAACTTTCTCAGGGAGACCGTTTGCTTCTCTTATGGTTTTACTCTGCACATTGTTGATTTCACTTAAAAAAAAAGGCTTCTGAAGATATATCAGAAAATACATAACCAAGAAAATCGAATAAGAAAGTGGTTTTTATTATTCTCATGGCATGACTATGTCATTCACTATTCCGAGGCTTCCAAACCCAATTATTCATTATTTACTTTTAACTTGAACCCGTAATTCATTATTCATTCAGCTTCCACCCCCGAAACTGATGGTGCATTTGAATATTCATTGCTGATAAAAGCGGGAAATGAAGGGTTCCTTTAGTATAACGAACTGTCTCTTTCTCTGTTTCTTCCTTCTCTTGCCTTCAGAGGCAGCGTGGAATAAGGAAGTTTTCGTCTCGCCGAATGGTAACGACTCGTTGAGCTGCCGTACACGCGATCAGCCTTGCAAGTCCATCGACAAAGCTTTCGACATAGCTTTGTTTGGCGGTGCTAATTCAACCTTGATCAAAGTAAAAAGTGGAAATTACACCATGGCAAAGAGCTTCAACTTCACTAACGTAGATACCTTCGCTCTTGTTGGCGATGAGGACTTAGGATCAGGCAAGGTAAGAATTACTTGCGAGCCAGACGTAAGCATTTCGTTCGTTCTTTGTGCAAATGTCATTTTCGAAAGAATACAGATGCAAAGATGTGGCAGTTGGCGAGAAAGTACCGCGGTGGCAAACAAGTCGGCTCCTATCGGACCCGGTAACCGAGGTGTTCTGTTTAGGACCGCATTAGACTTTCGATATTGTAGAAACGTGCGGTTCACCAATGTTGAGGTGTCAAACTCCCCAGGGGTTGGAATAAACTTCTTCAATGTTGGAGGCATTTTGAACTTAACGATTTGTGCATTCATCGACAATAAAGGCGCAAACTATAAAGACTCCAACGGGCCGCTACGAACCCCATTCATTGGAGATGAATATGTGCTTTCAGGAGGTGGGATTATTTTGACTCTCAGCAAGTACAGAGACAATGTCTTTAATGTCACACCAAGCCAACATGACTCGTTTGAACACAACAACAGCTACATCTTCTGGAACTGCACTTTTCTCGGAAATGAAGCGATCGGATGGAATATTGGTAGTATCTACTATCAAAAAAAGGATCCCGGTCGATCAGAATTTAACCTAGGTGCAGGATTAGCGATAAATTTCAAAGGCAATGCCAGTGACTGCGATATTCAAATTCAGTCTTGCTCATTTACCGGTAATAAGGCCATATGGGGAGGAGCTCTTAACGTCGAAGTAAGAGATCAAGTGAAAAGGAATCGTTTCATGATAACGAACACTTCATTTCGTGACAATTCTGGGAGACTCGCCGGTGGGGGAGTTCGGATTGGCAATTTACAAACACGGGCTACAGTGGACACTATGAATACATTTATCTTTGATAAGAACTGTGCATTCACCAACAACAGAGCCATTTGGGGCGGTGGCGTGTCACTGTATGGAAGATCTATATGGGGCTCTTCCAAAACGAATACTCAATTTTTGGGGAAGTTCAACCTTTGTATTTGGCGAGACAACCAAGCAACAGTAGGATCCGCAATAGCGTTCATGCTTGATAGAAAACAGGAAGTCCAGGTTGATTTGGGAATTCCAATCTCGATCAGCTTCAAAGACTGCACGTTTACAGGGAACCAAGTTGTCGTTTTAGATGAAGGTGTTTTGATAGGAGAAGGTGCATTGTACAGTGATGGGGTAATCCTTAACTTCCGAGGGAAAACTTTGTTTACAAACAATACGAACACAGCATTGTCCTTGGATGGGTCGGTGACAAAGATAAGCGATCATGTCAATTTTATCAATAATCATGGTTACAGAGGAGGGGCCTTGGCAATGCGTGGCTATTCAAAAATAATATTTCAGAAGAATTCTACCTTATCTTTTTACAACAATTCGTGTGACCACAAGGGAGGAGCAATGTACATTGAAACTACTGGATCTCCAATGGTGGCTTTCAACGCAACTGGCGTGGACATTCATGATTGCTTTTTCGCATACGAAGACGCACGAGACTTTCAATACTGGAATACTTCTGTAATTTTTCAAGGCAATGAAGCAGTTGATGATAAAAAAGGAAACTCAATATACGCAACAACTCTTCAGAACTGTCGTCGGCCTGGTGAGTCTCGGCAAGACAACACAGTGCTGAAATGGAAATTCATCCATTTCAAAACTTTAGATGGTAAGATTTCCTCGAGAAAGAACGAAGTAACAACTGATGCTGTAGACCTACACTTTGACCGGGAAGATTGGGAAGTTGCTCCAGGAGAAGTATTCAACGCATCAGTCGAGTTAGTGGACGAGATAGGGAACACCGTCGTTGGCATTGTGGACATTGATATCCATGTTCCTGAAAAAGCACCACTAGTTAAACTTGGAACTACCTCTACGCTCTTTCTAGCTGACGGACAAATATCTTCTCTAAGTCTGACTGGAAAGCCAGAGAGTGCGTTCACGGTGGTTATGCACTACATGGCAAGAGAACTGTTACAGAAAAGAATCGTAAACGTCTCTTTGCAGAACTGCCACGCAGGCTTCATTTATAACAGTTCCGTTCAGAATTGCGTTTGCATGAAATCTCCAGGAATAGCGCGGTGTGACTTAAATGATAAAAAGACTGTTTACCTGAAGAAAGGATATTGGGCTGGGAAAGTGGGCGATGATTTCACAACATATCTCTGCCCAGATGGATACTGTACCACTCACAAGTCCATATTTCCTTCTGAGTACACGTACAACGGAACAGTGTGCAAAAAGGGCAGAATCCAGTCGAGTGTACTTTGTGGCCAATGCGAGCGTGGTTACAGTATCATGTTTGCGAGCGAACAATGTTCATCCGATTGCTCTAATAAATGGCTTGGGATGATTTCTGTCTATGTAATAGCCCTTATCATAGTTACTTGCTTCGTGTTGCTGGTTAATCCGAATCTGTCAGGGGGACACCTAAATGCTTGTTTGTACTCATACCAAATCATGAAAAAACTCACTCCAGAAGGGTTTACTTTCGATTCTTTTATTGAATTTCTCATCGGACTGACTAACTTTCAACTTGGAGGTGGACGTGGCGTTTGTTTCGCGGCTGGTTTAAGCAATGTTGACAAGCTGGCCATATCGGCTCTCTTTCCAATCGCTGAAATCTTTCTGATATTGCCTTTATTAAGACGGGTGTTGATTAAAACTTGGAGCAGGGGGTTGGACAGGCTAGTTAACAGACTGAACGACAGAGAGCGTTGTCTTTGTGGCTGTTTCTGTCGAAACGCAGTTGCGAGCTGGCTGGAGTTCTTGTCTACTTCATTCAGAGCACGTATAGAGAATGGATTCGACCATGCCTTCTTCACCGTTGTAGTTTTGTGCTATGTCGACATAACCAACATTGCACTGCGTCTCTTGCATTTCGTGAAGGTTGGTAGGCGGTGGGTGTTGTATGATGATGGTAATGTTGGATTCTTTGACAGCACTTTGCACGGTATATTCATAATCGGCGCTATTTTCCTTCTGCTGTTCGTTATTTACATCCCGTTAAGACTTGTAATCTGCCCGCATAAGTCAAACTTGCGACTTGAAACTTTGCACGCTTGTCTCAAGCCTGGATATCGCTCTTTTGTGGCCTACTACCTTGTGTGTCGACTGGTGCTGCTTCTTATAAGCACTTTCATGCCTACTAGCCCACTGAAAGCCTCGTTGTTGCTGTTCTTTTGCATTTTCTTCATGTTTGTCATTGCAACTGTGAGGCCTTACACAGAAAGGAACCATGGTGGCAATGAAAACGAAGTTCTACAAGCGACAACGCAAAGTGGTAACAGGACGGTAGGAAGACAAAGATCGAGAGAAGCAAGTCCAGGCATCATTGAAACTCCATTTCCACAAGAACTAATCCGTGTAGGTGCGGGTGGCAACCAAATGGAAGAACAACAAACAGTGGCAAATGAAGGCAATGCTGAAGGAGATCAAAATCCGAGAGGAGAGGCAGAGGGTTCCCAGAAAAACCTGTACATCAACGAGTCTGACCTGGTGATCTTAATGACGCTGAGTGCCATTGGAGTTTTCAGTCTTGCCGCCAACACAGAGGTCTCCGAAAATACTAAACTTGGTCTGCAGCGGTGGGTTAGGATCTTGGCATACGTCCCTCTGGTGATGGCTTTGCTTCCCTACATCTTCTATTTACCACGCCTAGTACAGAGGTATCGCTATGAGAGAAGAGAGCATCAAGTAACTGAGCAACAGGATATATCATTCATGCCGCTCGAGCGTAGCCTCGTATTACAAGAAGATCGGTCAGGTGAGAACACTCCACTGATAAGAACCAGAGAAGATACAGATTCTGACCATGGTACAAGATTTCATACAGCCCACTCGAGCCTTCCAGTGTAGACGAGGTACGTCATAGTTCCTAAGATACTTAAACAACGTATACTTTACTTACTTCCCTTTAATCAAACGTTCTGTAAATACGTACAGGCGCCAATGTAGATGGCGGAGAAAAAGGAATTGAGGAAAGCTGTGAGGCACCTTTTACGGGGGCAAAGAGGATACCTGCATGAGAGCTATAGATTAAGAACAACTTCACCATCCCTCTGAATCTGATTACTGCACACGGCGCTTTCGACCTTTCTGATCCTTGCAGTACTTCATATGCAGGATATTTATCCCATACGAGCCTTTAATGAGCAGTCTGGGTCGTAGCTTGCTTCAAAGTTTTCTTACTTGCTGGTATCGGACTTTGCCTTCCCCTTCCCAACTGATGACTTGAAAAAATTAAGTTATCTCTATCAGTCTTACCACGCGGCTGGGGTGCAACAGTGCTTGGGAGCGTGTGGAAAGAATGATTCATAACTTCTGGAAATCATTGTCGAGATCATTATTTTACTTGTAATGGCAGGTACTTTTGCCATTCTTCAGAGTAACGTATCTCATAGCTCACAAAAGAGCTCCGTGTGGCTCAGTAGCAAAGTAACGCCCCTTAAAATGGAAAGTCTGAGGTTCGAATCTTTGTTCGTTTATGTGACGATCGAGCTTGAAATTTGCTGTTTAATTTCTATCTGCGGAAGCAGTTACAGTAGGACTCTTGCGTAGTGGCAGTATCACTACATAATTACCTTCAATATTTTTGAAATATCTATACTAATTTTGATTTCCTCCTTTGTTTCCCTTTTTGTTGCCAGAGGTGAAATTGTACCTAGCTACGAATTTAGAAGCAGACGAGTCACTGATGTGCAACAAAGATTTGAATAGTGTCTATCGTAGTTGAAAAATAATTATCCCTGACCAAAACCATTGCGACGTTTGACTTTCTAATTTTGTGCTAATGCTTTTGTTAAATCGAGGACTCTTAATGCCATTTTTTCCCCTAAAATTATGATTTCACGCTAAAAAACTGGGGTGATTAGAATAATATCATTTTCAATCAGCGATCTATTATAGCAAGCGTGACACAGTTACAGACAAAGCTTTTATATTGAGGTTAATTATAAATTGTTATTATGATGACGAGACTCACCAGAACTTTCATTAGGCTCTAGTGTAGTCAATCTATAAATTTCGATGATTGATTTGAATCCGTAATTACACGAAGCCACTAAGTTTACTGGCATTTAACAAGTTAGGTAAGAATTTAGCAAGCAATTTTTCCTCCACCTGAAGCTAGGTTTTCCTTTATCTAAGATATTTGACTTGTACTGTTAGGTTGGTTTATTAAAATCTCTACTTTATCTAAATAACAATTTCCTCTTTTATGATTGTTTTTTTTTTTAACTTTGATTGGTTGATCTATGATCAGGGGACTCTTTTTCGGCATTCCTATGTACATAGTACAACTCTTTCGTTATCTCTAAATTTATATTTTTCGTACTCTTTCAGGGATAACTCAATTAACCTTTCCTGTGTTGGGTTCCGTCCTCACCCTGAAGACTTCGTTCAGTAATCATTACGCAATGCTTGCCGTTTAGACAATCCCCGCGCCCCGCCCCCCTCTCCCCTCCCCCCGCCCCCCCCCTCCCCCCCCCCCCCCCCCCACTCCCTCCCTCCGCTCCCCGCCCTTCAAAACATAAAAAAACGCTTCGGGCGAAGAAATGTACCCTGGTTGAGTTTCAATACATTTCAGCCGGGATTCATTTCGTCGAGCTCGAGGCCTAAACTTGGATTTCACTTTTAATGGCAAACTGTTTAAGATTATGTGTAAAATTAAGGCCCCCCATCAATATTAAAAAATTGAACTTGAAATCTAATCTAAACCAAAGCAATATGTGTCACTCACGGGATGTTTCACAATCACTTTGAAGTCAAAGTTCACTGCAGCAAATTTTCACACGTTTCTCCAATTTCCGGTGTAACGCTAAAAAAAATGTCAGTTGTGAGTGGCACTTTGATAGGCAGTGAAATTGTTAAAGCGGATATGTCAGATTACCTAAAAGCTTTTCCTGCAAAGTTCGCACGCCATCTGCTGATCAAGAAAGTACCACGAACATCAAGACATATACCACTTCTAGATCAAACAGTCAGGGAAGGCATTATTTAAGTCCTCCGGCTAGCAGAGAAAGATTCATCACAGAGGTGAGAGAATTATCGTGTTTTTACGTAGCTTCAGTTTTCGCAAATATATGATCGGTGCTAATCGTGAAAAATAGGGACAAAAAAAAGCACACTGGTATGGCATTAATGTGGTGCTAAAAGCATCGAGGTGCGTCGTCTCTTTACGGTCGTAGATTTAGAATTTAAGCGTAATTTGTAGCCAAGAAACAGGCTCAGTGTAAGAGGCAAAGTTTCTGTTCATAAAGATGATGTCAAGTATGTTTCTTATGAGATGACGTCAACTTAAAGAAACAAATGTCTTCACAGAACCAAACTTCTAGTTTACCTATAAACATTTGTGGCAAATATTTTTTGAACAGCAGCGTGTGAAAGCAGGCAAAGGAAATTTCAATAACCACATGACTTGCATCATTTAAAATGTGAAAAATCTAAGTTCAGATGTGATATATAGAGTCCTTGAGTCGTCTGCCATAGCGCGAGGAAAGTTGTGCTGTCAGTTTAACAAATGAATCTGTTATCTTGCTGTTATCGAAACATCTGTTGGCGATCCAAGAGTACGATGTCCACATCGTCTTCGGGGACGGGAGTGGAATCATTTGACCTTCAAGATTCGTGATGCTTGCCTTTTTTTTAGCCCAATAATTTATTATTCTTAGATTTTATTTGTGATATTTATGATCCATTTTCTAACCATATCTCGTGTTTCATAATTACCAAGCTTTAACCACCGAGCGAAAATCCATAATTCCTTCAAATTTTACCGTTACGATTCATCAGTTATTCACACTTCCGCTTCCACCCCAAAGTCTCTGGAGTTTCACTGATGCGTATACCACAGATTCTAAGCAATGGAAGCTCATGTCTCCAAAGTTTATTTGTTGGAAAAGAAGCAGTGTTGTAGAAATGTCTACAACGAAAGAACGCTGTTACTAAAATGAACTTAATATCTTTTTACTTTTGCCTTAAGTAAGCTTCATCTATGAAGGTATCTCTTCGGTAATTACTCGTAAAAATTCTAACCAGACGACTACAGTCACCTTTCTGACGTGTACTGAGAAGAATTTAGCCTGTGATGAGTCGTTACCATTTTGAGGGACCGCGATCACGAAGCGGAGTTGGCGGGAAGGACTGAAACCCTGTCACACCATCGCTCCTCCCCGTAAAGAGAACGCCAGACAGCAGGTTTTTAAAAAAATTATGCTCTGCAAGCAACTTCGAGTCGGAAAACTGTGACATATGATTTTGAACTGAAATACGTAACACTAGGCAAGCTCCATGCCTAATGTTGTGCCAGATAAATTTGATGTTAAACATCTAGGTATCTTTGAATGCGACGTTCGGCTCTATATTAGGATTGGTCAGTGGGTCAGGTTTTACCACGACATTTGCAAGATACCTTTCATTTCGTTCCTTTCCCCTACAGTCATTACCGACGATACACAAGAACATATCCTGAGAAAAATCTTTTCATGAAGTACTGATCAACTTATGAAACCACAGGAAGGATATTCCCACCAGCGCTGTACAACTCGGGTCAAAGTTATCAAGTTGTCCGTAAGTAACACACGTTAGGTCGAAAGCGACAATTGAAAATCAACTGCTTATGCTGAAAGAGTCCCATGAGAGTAAACTCATCATAATTGGCCACTTCAGCAAAGAAAAGTGAGAAGAAAAGCCACTTGCTTTTTTCGCCAATAATGACCTCCCCCATTGAGTTGTCACCGGAAAAGCCGGTACACCGCTGAATGACCCTGCATCAAAGATAAAAGCCTGCGGTTTTCAATCCTTACAATCTAGATAGTCTAGATACTGAACAAAGCCTGAGCTATAATGCGAGACGGATAAACAGTTTTTATCTACCAGCGGTCGTTATGTTCGATGAGTTAAGGATTCTTAACCCAATCGGATTTTCAGATCAAAATGGTCTAAAAGTTAAGTAAGCAAGCTCACGCAGAACTTAGACTTGGATTTCCGTCCACTGTCGCTGACCCGAGGAAATCCTCAGAATACCAAATAAGGCTGCGAACTGAACCGACAGCAAATGTTCTAAAACAGACAAAAAAGGAACCTATTTGTAGTTTATTGGAGCACACCGCCTGACAATATCCTAGGCTTATTTCTGTCTGAAATATATAACAAACAACTCATAGCCTTTGCGACTGGCGGAAGTTTGGAAACTGATTACAAGCTCAGCGTAGAGTACTATAAAGAACCCTTTAAGGTACGTTGAAATAATGACATTATAGCTCGCTCTGTTAAGAGTAGTTCTTGGATTTAAACGTGGAAACAAAGAAAAAGAATCAGACGCAGCTATCAGTAAAATTAATTGCAGAGGGTCTGGGGCAATTATTAATTTCAAGAAGCGACTGATAGCTCCAAAGAATTGGTAAGGCTGATTGCACGTGAACATATTTCCAAATCTAAACACAGGAAGGTGATCCTCGAGATTATTATTATGCCCAAGCAACTTGATGGTTCCTATTCGAATGTCTTGAAAATTTCAATGCTCCTCTTCATGCGTTGCAGTGAAATATGATTTGTAGCATTCGCTATTCCGGTTGCATTCTGAGAAAGGACATAGAGCAGGCACGATACGACAATACAAACATGAGTCATACTTGATACGTAATTCAGATATGGTTATTAAAGGTGTTCGCAACATCTAATTTCAAGTAAAATTGAACCTTGAAGAGCTTTCTTTTACTCTCCAGTGTACTTTCGTACATTTACATGCTTGCAGTTGCCAGGCAGCTGCCGAAAGTCAACTATCATTGTTGCCGCTAGCACGCGCTGTCAGTCTTGACCTCTCAGGTATGAATGACGACGGCGTCTAATTGAGAACCGCCAAACTTTACGTCTGATTTAAGCCGGCACAATATTAGATTCCCGAACTTAATAAACAATTAAGTCAATTAATCAGTTCACCGGGACGCAGTAGCGTTGGTATTCAACCGTGTAATACGAGATTTGTTGTTAAATAAATGTATTAAAGCGAGGCCTCCATTACACAACAAAGCCCTCTCTTATCAACTTGTAGTTTATTGTCAACGCAAGTATGCAATATTGCGATATCAGTTATTGCTGTAGACAATCTAATATGCAAATCTGCGGTGAACTCAGTTCCATAAATAAAGTATCAATGTTTTGTTTTACAACAGGGAAAACTTAGACGCATCGGAACATGAAGATGAAAACTCTTATAATTTACGTTTTGGCCACACTTTTGACAACAGAAATGATACAATTCCCGAACACAGCACATGCTGCCCCGAGTCAACGAAATTTCAAGAGCGAAGATGGTAAGATGATGCATCATTTGTAATATTGAGCAACGTCTAGCCTTCCTAATTTACTCGGTAGGAAATTTTGCTTTTAATTAATGCCATTTTGGTGTTGAGGATTTACATACTTACTATACTCCTTACAAGTGAATCGTCAAGGGTATCACTGAACTATGAGTACGTGAGAAGCCTGCAGTTTTAATTCATCATAGTTCTTTTAGCACCGCAGATATTCTTCAAAGATATCGAGTAAACTAAATAGCACATTAGAACAACTTTTTTTCAGTGAGAATAACCAGCAAAAATAAAACGACCATCATATATTTGCTGCGGTTTTAAGCCTTCATGACTAAAAGTCGAGACATCTCAATTTGTTCCACACATCACTCATCAGTCTCGATAGTTTTGTTATGCACTGGAGTTCTTGTTTTTTTTTGTTTTGTTTTTTTTTAAGCCACTAATTGATGTAGTACCTCATCATATCACGCCATTCGCGTATGGTTTTCTTTCGGAAGTACTTCTAGCGTGTTGAACAACTCCGCTGTCAAATTTAGTAGTGAGATCAATTTTAATCTGTCACCCCCGTAAACCACTTAGTTTCTGATGGATTTGTGTGGAATCTGACTCCAAACTTCCGAAAGATAGCCCATGGTCATTGGTAACTTGTGTGTCTTCTCGACATTGATTGCGGTGACCTTTCAACACACGCATTCACTTTGAAGGATGTCAGTCTCAGCTGTATACAACTAGAACTTCCTATTGCCTAAAATTTTACTGCTCGATACAACCGTATAATAACAGTGGGCAATATCGGCATTTTCAAGAGACATGTTTATATCGGACATTTGTTCTGACATGACTAATTTGTCTCACGCAAGATATTACTTTTCAATTTGATCAGCAGAGGGTACTGATTAAATTCAGAAACCGTATCTTCCATTGTTCACCTCGAAAAACAAAAAAGCAAGATCCGAAGAGAAATTGATGAAGGAGTTTACAACAACGATGAGTTACAAATATAAAAAAATTAAAAAGATAAACATTCTTAAAAGGAGTGAGAGAATCAACACGCAAAAGAAAACATAAGATTCTTCTGAAGAGGGACGAAACGCATCGTGGCATACACAAGCACGTGCGTTTTCCGCGTTTGACGCCGCTGGCGGAAAGTCAACGCTATAATTCTGATTGTTTTATTGACTCCAGCTGCGTCTGCTCATATTTCATGAACCAAATCGAAAAAGACATCAAAAGTCAGGGACAGATTTTGAGGGACATGAAGTCAATTTTTTAGCGCAACATAAGCGAGTATTTGCTTCGCCGCCTCACCGACCTCAGACAATTCACCGGTGAAATACTAAACACTGTTTTTTTTTTTTCTCACTACTCAGAGATAATAGAAGGTGACATATTAGTGACCGAACCTCTCCGACGTGCCATGAAGGCGGGCAACTCAAGGACCAGACGTGACATTGTTAGCAACAAGATCAAAAGATGGCCGGATGGCGTAGTGCCATACAAATTAGATTCTAGCCTAAGTAAGTGTCTTTGTGTCATGCTGCGTCAGATAGCGGCAGTCAACCACGAAGACTGAGTGGCCGCGCCTCCGAAGAGTCGGCCTAATAGTCGAGGTTGTCCTAATTTCCTTTAACCTGCTTTTTTTTTCAGGTAAAGAAGCTATCAAGGCAATTAAGGTAGCTATACGTGAGTTCCACAGAAGGACTTGTGTAAAATTCGTCCTTCACACCAACGAACAGGACTATCTGGAATTCCAAGGAAGTTACGGGTTAGACACATTTCTACAGACTTCTTGAGGCAAATAATTGCAAAATCAAAGTTTCCCAACTGACATAATTCTGGGCTATGACTCAAAGCTACAAGTCGAACCCAGACCCTTGATACGAAATCGCAGAGCGTTTTCCCTTGAGCTAATTCGTACAATTTCTCCACGTTTTAGCTGCTTCTCAGCCATTGGCCGTCAGGGTGGAAAGCAGCGACTCTCTGTCGGTGAAGGATGCGAATATAAGGGAACAGTCCTGCACGAGATCATGCATGCTCTGGGATTCTTTCACGAACACTCTCGTACTGACAGGGACGACTATATCATGGTTCTATGGTGGAACATTGAGCCAGGTATTTTCGTAAATAAACCAAGTTTAATATGTTTTGGGCCGTTCCAGGAAACGTAGGTGTTGGGCACGAATGTCGAGGCTTGCTACTGGTAAACCACGCAGAAAGAATGACGTGAAGTGACAAGCTTATTGTTTTGACGCATTTTTGTTGTCGATGTTAATGGTTTTACACCAAGTCACAGTGTACACCTTGGGAAGAAAAAAATTAGCGTTAGCCTCGACTTGATGTACTCGACCCAGTTTACTAGCTCCGTTCAAACAGATCCACTCTGGTGAATCAACCCTTTCACCCACTGACCAAGAAAGAACTTCTACTCTCAATATCCATGTATTTTCAATCACGACGTTGATGAATATCAACCGGAGGGTTATCCTTGACTTCACTACAAATTCTCAGAACTAAAATAATACGAAATGTACTACAGACAATGCAAAGAACTGGAATATAGACTGTGAAACGGTTAACATACAGCAATAATCTGACATCTGACACCTTAAGCATTATTTACTTATTTATTTATGGGGGCATCCTAATGAAAAGACTTGGGGGGGAGGGGAGGGAAGGGTATTAACTGGAATATTAAAGACCAAGTGGATACGTTGTGACACACGAGAGGTTGCTTGTCCAGATTCCCATGGCGTCAGCATCCATCTGTTAAATTCTAATGATGTGTGGGTTTCATTTCTCGAAGGATTCGAAAAGAATTTCGAAAGTTACGGTCCTGAACGACTTGACAGTGTCGGAGAACCGTACGACTTCGACAGTCTTATGCACTACGACAACCAAGCTTCCAGCAAGAACGGCCAAAACACACTGGAGTCTTTAGCGGATCCCAACAGATCCTTGGGGAATATGGATGATTTTCGCAAAATTGACATAAAACAGCTGTTAAAGAGTTACCCCTGCAAGGCTTGGGATAAGAAACCAAAAGACAAGAAAAAGGAGAGATCACCAGAGAGTAAGAGCGTTTTTTTAATATACCGTCCGACAGGGTTTAACTGCACTACACGAGCTAACTCTCCTCTCTGTCAGCTATCCGACTCATCTTTGCCGCAAAAAAAGAAAAATTATAATGTACCAAAAGTTAATCTGTATATTGTTTGCTAATTTGTAAAATAAACAGTCGTAGTGGGACGGATCCAACGGAAATTACAATGTTTGCTGTCCCCTGTATGAAATATTCTGTTCAATTGAGTATACAGAGTAACCTTGGATTCCGTTGGTTTTATTTTAACTTTGCTCTCTGATTGGCTCAAGAAACACGCTCCACCCTCTCAACCAAACAAAATTAGGTCTTAGACATTTCATTAACCGCGTTTTCCCACGCTTCAGGCGGTTTACTTGTTTTACTCCGTGTTCTCATTGGCTTCTTCCGATATTTTCCTTTGTTCTGATTGGCCGTAAGGATAAGTTGTGGTTTTAATTTTACAACACTGAAATAAAATGCCCTCTTATTAGAAAGAGAGTTGACGGGTCATTTCTCTTCCAGGTAAATGCCTTGATGTCTATCAAAACAGATGTAAATATTTCGCATCTTACGATGGATATTGCCAACATTGGAAGTCGTTCATGAAAAAGTGGTGTCCCTATTCCTGTGGCTACTGTAAAACAGAGTCGCCTGGTGAGTTGAATTGCAGTTTTACCCTATCAAATATCGTCTAATTATAGCTTGTGAACAATCCTTAATTTGTGTTTTCAATGTACTGCCTTTTCAAGGAGAACTCATCTTCTTTTGTCGATATTGCCAAAGCTGATGGCTTTAACAACCAGTATGAGACAATCTAGGACTTCGTCGACCGCATGGAGTTGCAATTGCAGATTTATCAAGCTGTTTTAAAGCTTACCACATACAAAGTAAAAAGCCTGACTCAGTATCGAATTCTATAAAGCTCAGTAAATTACGCTCACGAGATCCAGAGGCCTGGGATTAAATTCTTTCCAGAGAGACAAACCTTTTTTGCTGTTGTTTTCTGTCCCCGCTCCTAAGAAAATGAATAAAATCTTTCTATCCTGTTTCAAAATACGCGGAAAAAACTTGTCTGATTATTTCCTCAGTCGAAAAATCACTTTTGATTTAGGAAATATAAACATTTCTCCCGCAAGTTCCAGAAAGTTTCTAACTGACAATTAACCCCACTGAATTTTAGATGTTCATGTACTTTAATAAAAGAAAGGGAAGAGCTAAGCTTATTCTTTTTTTTTCAATTCTTTTCACTCACAGATAAAAGGCTGAATATATGGAAAGGAGAAAATGACACAAAGTGAAAGGCTCACTGGTTAGAGTGCATTTCCATTAGGTGTCGCGAAACCAACTCAAAGTGATCACCACAGTCGAACAGAAAAAAGAAACTACCACAAGGGGCCCTGGAGAACGCAAAGGAAAAACAAAAAAAATGCCTGACGCGCGGGAAACGCGAGTGACGCAAGTGCGATTAGTTTTGGTTTTGCGTCTGATTGGTCGAGAGGTTGGCGCGAGTTTCCTGGACCAATCACAGAATGTCTGAAACGTCATCAGCACTGTATATCTAGCAAAAATTTTACTCGAGCAAATAAGAACCAACCAAACTAGCAGAGTTTTAGTGATTGTCTTTCGTTATAAAAAAAATAAATAAATAAATAAACAACACATCAAGAAAATTTCAGCGTACTTAGGCTCAATTAATTAATTTTTGGTTCCTGGTTCCTTATAGTAGAGCTGCAGCAATGATATAAGATCCAATTCTGTGCAACATAATCATGGGCCTATTTGTACAGCATTAAAAGACATCTCTATAATTCTTCATTATTATTCTCCCCTTGTGACTTGTTGTTATATTCATTCTATGAAAAAAGGTTTACTTTTATGGGAGTTTTTGAAGCCTAGCTTTCAAATAAATTCTCTACTTTTTCAAAGAAAAAAAAGAAAAGTTTGCAACATGTTTGATTTATTTGCAATCAGTAGGGCAATAGTCACTTACAGTAACTCAACTAATTTTTTTTGTACATCACTCAGTCTGACAGAATTTCTCCATTCTTTCTTCATTGACTTATCCAGTTTGGTAACTGAAGCTTACCAGCTGTAGAGGTTTATTGATTCCAATCTTCCCATGTGCCTGCCTTCAGTTAGCTATTCCCTGGTCTGATTGGCAGGTGGCTTTCAGAGGAATACAGAGAAGAATCAAAGGGAAGATAACCTCTGCAGTTCAGTGCACCACATTGACAACTTTTTGGCTCCTTACCTTGTTCTTGTAGAGATTTCAATTCATGCACTTCAACTTTTATTTCATGTGAGTGCCAGTGATCAAATTCCCCTGAATAGTCAAAGGAGAGTTCCTCTCCAATGTCTATATTTCTAGCTGCAAAGAGAGCCAGTTGTGGAACAATGGAATCAACTCTCACTGGTACCATTACCAGATTAGGGTTGCATGAATGATTGATAAACCGTGACGCACCACCGTGGAAACGAGCATCAACATGAGTTCTTAGAATTTGGTTGTCATTCGAACTGTGTTCTCTTAGAACAATCAAATAATTCCCAGTTTCGTGAGTCAATTCCTGAGCCCGCATTTTAGCTTCTTTGATTGAAATAAGTTCACCAGCATATTCACACACAAAAGTAAATTTTTGGATGTTTTCCAAAGTCCTTAAGCCCCATCCTTTGAGTTTGGTTTTAAAAACTTGAAGTTGAAGATGTTGTCCGTTCTGAACCACTCTGTTCTGACAAGATTTGGAGCAAGAACAGCGACTGTTGCATTCAAACACTGGTTGGCAAAACTCTATTGACAATAAGTCACGAAAAATAAAACTTGATGTACATTCTTTAAAATAATTGGCACCAGCATTTTAGTTCAAGTACCATGATCTACCTTCTTTTTTAAGAGTTTTAAACAATCAGCAGTCAAGTATCTTCTGGCCAGATACTTTATTTCTACCTCTGCTGTACATTCTATCAGAGAAAAGAGTTTTATCTTATCTATGAGACCAACAGTTTACTGGGTTCCTGTCTGAAACTTAGAAGCCCATCGGTTAATAAGCTGTGGTTACTGAGTTTAAGCATGGAAGACACTTAACCTTCCCAGTGACTTTTTCTGCCTAAGAGTACAAACATGTCCTGGTGAAATGTCAGGGAAACCAGACAAAACACTGAGTAGCCTGTCATGCCCAAGTAACTATTCCAGGAGTAGTAGTGATTCTCCAAAATGCTTTAATTACTAAGCATGGAAACTGGATTGTATTATTCAGAATTTTCCAAAGAACTTAGCCTCATGTGTCTCTGGCAAGTTCCCCTGCTTAGATCTTTACAATCCATAGAATCTTAGCAAAGACCATTTTGAAGATCTTTCAAATCCTCAAAGGATCATTAATCCATTGATTTTTTTCAAAGAGCTCTTAGCAGATCCTTTCTTGATCCTTTTTATTTAAGATCACCAAAGGTCCTTTAATTACCCTCAAAATATTTTAGGTCAAATTAAAGCTATAAAATTATAACTTCTTCCCAAAAGACACTGATCTTTGAGAACTCTGTGAGTCTGTAATACTTACCAGTTAGTCGATTGAAGAATTGAAGGCATCCATCTTCATTGTAAGATGGTCCATAACTCTGTATGCAGGGGCATTTGTCTCTTGTGCACATTGTCTGATGACATCCACATCCAGGATAAAATGGAGAATTAAATGCCTCACTAACATTTGGCCCACTGATGCATACTGGAGTATACTATGAAGAACAACCCCAACAATTTAAACAAAATTAAGAGAAAACAACATCGATAGCTACCAATTATCCAATTTCCTTTTTGAAAAGAAGAAAGATCGTAAGTGCAAGATTGATTAATCTAGTTAATAAGAATGGTACACTTAACAAATTACCCCAAATTCGGTAGGTATGCTGTCATCAAGTTCATTTACCACTGAAACTTTAACTTTCTCCTTTCCCAGCGATATGTCCTCTGTTATGACAACCATTTTAAAATAATAGCACTGGATTATTTCTTCGACAATACACTACTTTCAATAATAGAGGCTCTTTCCATTTGTACGGAAAAATCGATGCAAATTTCCCATTGAAGGGAACAGCACGATTGTTACTTGAATTGGAAAGGACTTCACAGGTGGGAGCCTGGATCCTACCATATCCCGGCAGGCCCTCGGCTGGCAAAAACCGTGCGTTTATGGAGCATGAAGCGAGTAGGACGAGCGTTCGGTAGGTACTGTAGGTTCGGTAGGATATTCGGTAGTACCGATCAAAACAAAAAAAAAAAAAAAAAAAAAAAAATATAAATATATATATATATTTTACATGGTATAAATGCAGGGAAAGGGCCATTTCATAAAAAAAAAAAACCTGATGAAAAAAGGAAAGAAGGAGAGAGAATAAAAATTCGTAGCAATATATATGAGCAGGCACTGGGCATGAGACTAAAAGCCGCTGACAAAGCTTTGTTGCTATAGCAACCTTATCAGGATGCAAAATTAAAATGGCGAATAAGGAGAACGATGCCCAAGAATACGTTAAAAAGCATTGTATTATGGAACTATTTGAGAACTTAACTGCACAGTTGATCTATGAAAGACCAGGTGAATAATTTACACAGCTTAGGATTGATGTTTTGGCAACAAATCTGGCAATGTGAATGAAAAATATTTGAGACTTTGGATATTCAACAATATGTCGTTGGGAACTTTATTACATATATATGTAACTCTGCTTGTTTGTTTGACAGAGGACCCGAAGGCTTACATGAAACAATTCTTGGAGAAATTAAGAGATGCAAGAACAATGCAGAGAAACTACCCGTGCATATTTGATGACAGTAACGTAAGATCGTTGTTTGGAATGCTTGATGTTACAGGAAAAGGCTTTATTACATATGAACAGTACAAACAAGGTCAGTTTTTCTTTTATTTTACAATATCTGTTTAACTCATGTCATCGTACCTTATTCCATTGCATAGAATTTATAAAGTTTTATCCAAGGATCTTGGAGAAAAACTTTTTTTTGAATTGAAAGAATGAAATCATCTAAAAGTTCAATGAGATATTTACAGGAGGACGATGTTTTTGCACACGATCCTGTAAAGTTTTGATGCCGTTAAACTAATAGCAAGCATTGTCAGTAGCTTACAGCAATTGCCTAATTTTCTTGAGATGCTTGCTAACCAACAGCTGTTTGCAGGGCGTGAAATCGCGCCTTATACAGGTGCCAATGCGACTAAATTTTTCCCTTTGGCGACCAAATCCCGAAAATTAGTCGCCAAATTGGCGACTAGAATGTTTCATCATAACCTTACCACGAGATATCGTGAATTAAAAAGATTTGCAAAGATAAATCCGCGGCAAACTTTCTCGTTAAGTTTGTTTCCAAAACGCAGCACATGCGTCTCGATCGATAACTAGACGCCATCTTGAATTTAGGTGAGCTTGAGAGTTGTATATCATCCCTCCTAGTGTCCACTTTGTAGCACGTTAAAGATCTTTCCCCTAACTTAATTTGGAGGGTCTCTCTAGAGCGCTGACAGCGTAAAAAAAGGTTTTGTTTGTCTTTGAAAATGGCGACCAACTTTTTTTGAATTGGCTACCACTTTGAAAAATTTAGAAGCCAAGTGACTATCAGAGAAAAAAATTAATTTCACGCCCTGGTTTGTGAAATGAGCTCACTCTTCTTAACTCTTTAACCCCTGTGAGTGACCAAGACTGAATTTCTCCTCACAAAATCGATTCAAGATCAAGCAGAAAAGTAACCAGAATAAAGCAAAAGCAAATTCTCTGAACTAACATCGTAAGAATCAAATGGAAGACAATGAGGAGAATTACTAACAAAATCTGGGAATTGAAAGTGTTTAAGGGAGTGAGGACCAATTTGAGGGAGTGGCACAAATCAAGCATACTAAACTGCAGGCTTCTAATAAGGTATCTAGATAGTTTATACACCTTATTCTCTGTTGTTTTTTACACAGGACTTGAAACAATGGGTGTGAAAAAGTTTGATAGAGATCCTCCTGGTGGTGATATGGACAGAATCAGTGCAGAGACATTTTTGAAAGAGGCGTAAGTCAGCTTATATGAAATTATAGCTACTGTAAGTAAACTTCAACAGAACTTGTCAAAGTTGGTTGTAAGGGATGAAAATTACAGTTTTGAAGGAAACATGGTTTTTTTGGTAGCAACTGTAAATTTTATTAAGATTATTTGATTGATTTTTTTTCAGGCGACAAGGACTTGCTCAGGCATCTGCAACATTCTCTTTGTAGTGCTATATAACTCTCCTTTTGTGGGTTTTTAGTTTGTGTTGTCTGAGAGATCAACAACCTCTTTGTCCACATTAGATTAAATGTATATATATTGTGTAAATACCACCATCACATCATTACTTGAACTAAAGTGAAGGACCCAGTTGTTTTTGCTGTGTGTCTCTTAAGTAATCAATTTAGGAACAGATTTGAAAAATAAAGAAGTGAGCGACTCTGGCTATGAGTCAGTTTCTTTAGATCTCAATGGTTCTACAAGAAATTATGAAATTATTTTATGGTAAGATAAAGGTGGACTTTTACAATGTGGTACTTCAAAGTCATTTATTGACTGAAAAGTTTATCAGTTGTTACAAAACAGTACATTTTCCATCAGAACTTGTAAACTACAGCCTGAATAGCTTTTTGAAACCATCATCACTTTGTTCAGATTTATAGCTGGGTTGTGAGGTTTTTAAACTTAAAATAACACTTAACAATCAATAGGCATGCAAGTTTGCATTTCTTTGCACACCATGCATGTTGATGAGGCACAGGTCAAGTAACAATATTGATAGGTGGAACAAACAGAGCTGGAGCAAGAACGCCGATGAATAGGCTTTCCATTGTCACCTGAAATCCTGTCTGAAACATATTGCAACCATTAACATACAGTAATCATGGTGAAGACCAATACAAATTAATTTTGTTTTGCAAAGCTTTAACTATTACAAAGTTGAGAGAGAGCAAATGGGATTTGTTGACCAACCATTGGTCAGTTTCTGTGATTGACTAGCTTAAACATTGAGCGAGGTACTCAGTAATCAAAACTGACAAACAGTCCAACTGGCTGGTTGAGTAACTTACATTTTTAATGATGGTGTGGCTGGCTGACTAATCCATTGATTGTTCAGTTGGTTGATTGGTGGACTAGTATATTGACTGATTGACGGATTGCCTGGTTGCCTGACTGACTGACTGACTATCTACTCTATTTATTTGACTATGAGCTGAACTCATAGGCGTCCAGCAGACTGACTGATGCCTTCCACCCAATTAAAAAGGCTTATCTTTCAGTATCAAGACTGACTTACAAGTCTCCAGATTAATTCTTTATAGTTATATGATTTTTCATTTACCTTCACCAGCAACTGCTGAGATGGAAATGGTATCTTTAGCAGGCTCGCTGTGGTAAATAGGAAAACCTTCACACATTTTCTTCATGGCGTAGCTAAGATCACCCAGGTCATATATCAACTCTTTAGTTTCCATGGTAATTGTCAATTTCTCCAATGGAAATTCCTTACCATCCATTGTTGCCTGGAGAAAGGAGAATTTTCAGTGTGACACAAGTAATTTTTTTCTTCGATTTTTTCACTTGGTATAAGCCAGAAAATAATCATAGTGAGTATGTCACCTTTCTAAAGGATTTGGCCATCTTGGTAGGGCGTGGCACTCTGCCAGTGAGCTTTGTCAAAAAGCACATTTGTTTCTGTGGTAAGCTGATCATCATCAATTTCTGAAACACATAAAACCGTTTTAGAAATTATTAGGCCAACAATCATCTTGAGTTCTTTTGCCAACTTATATCAGGAAATACCTGAAAGGAACAAGTCACTGTAAATCTTCGTCAGAGAAAACGTGCCCAAATGGGTTTACCAGAGGAATGAAGCGCTCGAGGTAACTTCGTAAGTTCTTAAAATATTTAATCGGTCGTTTAGTTTACCTCTTGACCAATCAAGCGCACAACTAAATTCAATCTCATTCAATCGCGTTTTTCCGTGCTTTAAGTAGTTAAGTTGTTTTTACTGTGAGTTGTCATCGGTCACGTGACATTCAACTTCCTTCTGATTGGTCATTGTGATTTCTTTAGTTTTCCTATATGACACTCAACCAAAAATGAGCTCTATTTCTATTTTACTGATTTCGATGTCATATCTGGGCAGTGGCTTACCTTACGAAAATCATTAATGATTTCCGCTGCTTCGAGGTCACCTTGCAATGGAACGTGAAATGTTTCCGTTTTCCCTTTAACATCGATTTCCACAACCTCCTTGAACATTTTGCTTTGATGTTTGATCAGTACTTCGAATGATCTTTTCTTCCCCTGTGTGGAATGAAACTAATAAAAAAAGAAATAAAATACTTGAAAATGGAATGTTTACCAGGAAAGTCACAAAATATCTCAGTTCTTGTGACTAGACCGTAAAAATTCAGCTGTTTGATGGCTCGTGTTCATAAAGAACAGAGATTTGAAATCGGCCTTCCCGGTTGAACGCACTTTTCCAATGGTTTATCAGGTTTTCAATGAAATGACATTACTTTTGTCTCCGGTATAAGTTGGCTTGATCATTTTTTGTAATCTTAATGCATAGACTTGATTGTTTTGGAAAAAAATATCTGACTTTTGAATTGTTCTTCAGGCTCGAGACTCACTGTTTCATACGTTGTGAAATTCGTTTTTGCATGATAATGGTATTCAGAATTTTGAAATTGAAAAGTATCTGAGCATCTAAACTAGTGACTTCAAACGAGCTTACTCACTCGCAAAACTGCTGCACAACAAGAAAGAACTACGAAGCCCACTGAGAATTGCATTTTCGTTTTCGTTCTCATTTTTCTCGATCTCTCCCTCTACACTTCTCTCGGCTGATAGATTTTACTCTTCACAGGGCGATCTTAAAGTTATTGGTGGTTTTATATTTGATTTCTCTCGTAATGAACCCTCATATCACTCAAAAAGTTAATTTAATTAAACCATACGTTCACTTGAATCGCCATTAATTACACAACCAAAGAGCCACAGCAAAGTTTTGAACGTCAGAGAAACTGCAATGAAAATCTCAGAGAAGCTAAGTTCCCTTAGGAGTTCAGTATGAGCTAGAGGCGGAAAATCGTTTTAACTAGGTTGTCATACCCACAATCGCTTAAAGGGCGTGACCCTGATTTATTTTTCAATTAACAGCTTTCAAGTGTTTTTTTGCCATATTTTTATTAAAAGCAATAAAACTTTTTCCTTTTCTTGCCTACTTTAACACAGGAAATTCGCAGCCTCCTTAAGTGCTTTATCTTGGTCAAAAGAAATGTAAACTTTTGCAAATTTTGACGTGAGCGATTCCAGCGAAACTCTCGGTGATCGCATCCTCTCTTTTGAAACGCGAAATTGTTAGATTTAGTCACTGTTTTTGTGTCCCAAATTGCTCTGTTGTTCGTGGTCAACAAAAATTTTCATGTCGTAGGGCTTTTGAATTAAATGAAAACTGGCTTCAACCCCGAGACGTCTGATTTCAAATTTGTGTCGGGAAATTACCTCTACTGATCATTTTGGAATTTGTTGACAGATTCCTTTGTTGAAGAGGACAACTTTCCTCAATTTAGGTGCTTCATTGTAAGCAGTGAGAAAACAAAGTGTGAACACTGAGTTATTCTGATTGACTGTGAATATATGAAAAGTTATCCTGTCCATGCAATAGTTCAAATTGTTTTTTGTTTCAGTTCATAAGGAAATTCATGGAGTGTCATGGAAAAAGAAAACAACCCTTTAGCTAGGGTTAGCTTTAGTAATGATGTGTCAAACCAGAGGATAAAACACTCAATGAAAGATCAATAAAGAAATCTTACAGTTCTATCAAGCTCCATTTCTCAGCCAACCATTCCTCTTTCGGACCATCCTTTAACCTTGCTATCGTGATGACTTAATTCCATTACTAGTATCTTTTGAATCAAAAACACCCCCCTGAAAACCAATCCGGTGCCAGTATGCGTCATATTTTTCTTAGCCCACGTATAGGCGTACCCTCCCTCCCACGTTTAACCATGGGGGGAGGGAGGGTACGGCTACGCGTAGGCTGTAAATCGGTTGTAATTTGTTACATTGTGATGTATATTGTAACTAATGACGATTGAATTATTGTCAGTTCAGCAAAACAGAAATACCTTTTTTGAAATTCAAATTATTGAAAAAGAATGCCTGACACAATTCATTCCCTCCTCTCAACCCACAAGATGAAGGGAGGGGAGGGAGAAGTGTGGCCATGGATAGAAGCGGGTGGAATAATGAATCAAGAATCGTAGCATTGAATGAGACGAAATTATAGTCATGCTATAATCTCTCGAAACTCGTATTGTATTTAAGATCGTTTTATCTAATGAAACAGTCGATTTGGATATTTTTTTTTTCCACTGGCTTTCATTGGCCACCAAAATGGCAGACCGTAAAGATGCCAAGTTGTACTGAGCTTTCTGTCGTAGATGATTAGCGCTTGAAGAAACAGTTATTTAGACGTATTGCAGACCTGTTGTATGTTGAGAGTCTGCTTTTAGCATGTATTAAAATTTAAAACTGTGTTTTTAACAATAAAAAACGCGAACAGTTTTCTTCTTACACGAGCGAGGTGGAGAAAATTTAAAATGAGAGAACCTTGGGCTTCTTGAAGTGCTCTTTAATGGGAGACAATCTGGAATAAATTTCGAGTGGCTAAATTGATTCCAGATGCATGCAAGCCCTTTTTCTGATTGTGTCAACTATTGTTGAAAAAAATTTGCTAACGTGGGTATAAATTAACTAATTTTAACGCCACGAAGAGATCGTGAGTAACAAAAAAAGTTGTGAGTAACTAGGTCTTGTGATTCTCGCGCGTAGCTCTGAAAGTTTTTCGTCAGAATCTAAAAATAGAAACAGCAAGGAGTCTGGACCCTGGTCTGGACCTGAGAAAATTAAATTCAAGATGGCGAAAACCGGGTCAAAACAGGTTGAGTTAAAAATATCGCTTTTGTTGTCATGGTTGAACTACCCACGCAAAAAAAATGCTCGTTTAACTCGATCTGTAACTGTGATGTAATTATCGCCGGCAGCTACTGTATATAAACAACGCTGCTGGAGAAAATAGACAGATCTTTTCGGTGAAATCGATCGAGTTGAGTCAAGAAACGTATGGCGGACGGAGATGCAGACTACTCTCCGAAATTGGCAGAGAACCTTTTAGAAATTTTTCAGTCGGACCGATTCGTTACTGAGTGCTTTAAGGAAAGAAACCTTAAAATTTCTCAAGCGTTGTGTCTGCTATGGCATGACCAATCGACTGGCGACGTTCCTGGAAGGAAGGCAAGTGCGCCTCATTTTGGAAATATTTCGGCAGCTGTTATCATCGACTTGTACGTTCTTGGCAAAGTCAGTTTTGAAGACGCACAGGCGTCCTGTCTGGGTGTGAAGTATAAGGAGATGGTACTTCAGGTGAGGGAAAATAGAATTATATTTTTATTGTGTGATTTAGAATATCAAATGAAAAGAAAGGATTGATTAAGGCTAGTTCAAATATCGATTACAACTACGTTGTAAAGTACACTAAATTATTCGGAAAATTCCAATGATACGCTCCTTCCCCTCCCCCCTCTTCATCATTGTCGTGTAGAAGATTTGGGGGGGGGTGCTGAAAGTGTTGTTCCATAGGTGATGGGCAGGTCTGAAAAAAATTACCGATCAGGTCTCAGAAAAACTTTTCACTGAGGTGGGCAACTTTTTTCTGAGGGGAGGGGGGGAAGGGGGTTTACAAGCATTACATAAGCACTTGTATCCTCTCTCTGATTAAGAACTTGTGTGAATAGTGTCATCGATGGGGCTGGGGGGGAGGAGTGGGAGGGGGTTGTTACTACCCTAGAGTTTTATAATTCATTGATTTTAAAATTATATTTTTATATTTCTGTTTCTCCAAAGGTGAAAGATTTCACACCAACAAACTCTTACTTAGACAACTGTATGTTCAACCAGATGTTGGAACGCACTCGTAAACATCCTGACAAGCCACGCAGTGTGTCTAAATGGATACTGAAAGGTTCAAATTACCACAAGCCAAGCTGTGTGTCGGCTACATTTGACAGCCTCGTGGATCTTGGGTTAATGAAGAAAGAGCCCAGGTTACTTGGAACTTCTGTTAGGTATCCAGTCATAAATGCAGGTACAAACATGTATTTTTATTTCCCTTATCCCTTTAACTCCCAAGATCTAATAAGTAATTCTCCTTACTGTCTGCCCTATAGTTCTTGTGATGTTAATTTGGAGAATTTGGTATTGGATCAACTAATAATCCCCTAATTAATATTTTTCTTTATTCACATCACTTGTCTGCTTGATATTGTATTGATATTGTAAGGAGAAATTCTGTCTTGGTCACTCATGGGAGTTAAAGGGTTACATAATGCCAGTATCAACTCTCCTCATTTCCTTTCCTACATTTCTTACAATGTGGCAGACACAGTGGCCTACTGATCAGTGCATTGGACTCCGGGTCAAGAGGCCTGGGTTCAAGACCTGGCTGGATCAATGCATTGTATTATTGGGAAAGACACTTTCCTCTCACAGCACCTCTCTCTACCCAGGAGTCTAAATGAGTTCTGGCAAAATGTCATAGAAGCCTGATAAAATCCTGGGGGGTAACCTTGCATTGAACTAGCTTCCCATCTGGGGGGAAGTAGTAATACTCCTCGTTGCTTCATGCTACATGGAAACTGAGATAAACTCTGACTGAGTAGGCCAATAGGCTTGGTTACAGACTTCACCTTTACATTTCTTACAATGTTTGTGAGGAGAGCTTCATGTTTTGTCTTATTCCTTGGTTATGTTTTTCTTTCTTCTCATTGTGTGTGTGCTTCACGATGGATTTGATGGCATAAAGAGAAAATACTTACCTGTCAATTGTGGCAGAGAGAGCATTAGCCATTATCATCTGATGTAAAGTGGTGGACTTAGACTGATCTTCTTTGACTTGTAAAGAGGAGGCTCAAATAAGATGGTTGCCATTGGTGGGATTTGGTGACAACTTCCCTAACACAATTTTGAATTCTAACCCTTGAGATATGGGACTTAGGATACTCTGAAGCGAAGTCAGCATGTTTTAACAGCTCACCTTTTATTATCAAAATATTACTCTTTGTATCAAGATAAATTATTTCCAGACTGAGCTGAAATGATCATCAGTTGTGTGTTCTTTCAATTCAAAATATGGTCAGCTCAACTCACAAGATTTACAATTACCTCATTTATTAATTTAAATTTTGCATTTTTTTCTGATGTCAGTAAACCCTCTGCAAGGGTGTGACTGAACCCCCAAATCTACCAGTACTTCTTCCAAAATGACTTCAAAGTGGAATACTTTTTGATTTTTTGATTTTCCAGTGCCACAGAATGAACTTGTTAAGGAAATACAGATGATCGCACTAGCAGGACATGCAGTAGATGGCTTCACCTGGACTCTTTTAAAGCTGGCCCGCTTTTCGGACTCACTGTATCTTGGAGGGGCGCCAATGCTTAAACATCTCTTCCACAAGAAAGAGTATGAGCAAGCAAAGAAAAACATTGAAAAATTGGTTGAGACTAAAAAGGAGAATGCAAAGAAAAGAGGTTGGAAAAAAGACAAGGATTTAGAATTCTACAACTTGTGTGAAATTGAACAATAATTTTTGAAGAAATATTGAGACTCAGGGGTTTGTATGGAGTCTGAGATTCTCAAGGGAATATGGAAATCTAAATATTTTCAGTGACTTGCAAAAGATGTCAAAATGGAGACTTGGCCTGCTTGAAAAAGGAAAAACTGAGAGATTTTTCATTTGGATAATTGATGAGATTGATATTTGTCAGCTAATAAACTTTATATGAAGCATCTCAATATCAGTTTTCACAAAAAAATACAACAATCTGGTCTTGCCATTCATTTGGCTGAACAAATGCAAATAAGATGATTTGAGCAGAATAGAAGACTGCCTTTAGGTCAATTAATTCCAAGTTATGCATTTCAGCCCATCATAACTGCTCTTTTCACACTGTAATTAATGATAGTGATGACAATCCTGATTGCCAAAAATAAGATCACAATTTACCCTTTTACTCCCAGTTCAAATTTTTAATTCTCCTTACTGTCAACCATACAATTCTTATAATGTTCTGAGAATTTAGTACTTGATCAGCTAATTATCCCTAAATTGATATTTTTCTTTATTCTCATCACTTATCTGGTTGATATTGTATTGATACTGTAAGGAGAAATTCTGTCTTGGTCACTCATGGGAGTTTAAGGGTTAACTCTAAGGGTGGCCAGAATCTCATTTCTCCTCACAGTTTTACTACAGAATTATTTATTAAGACCATGAGAGTGAAGGAAATGATTGTTAACCTAAGAAGCTTTGATCTTTGAATGAATTTTCTTTGTCAGTACCAAAGGAAATGTGCAGAGAAGAGAAAGGAAAATATGGATACTGATGTTGGGGAAAATGTAAAGATGTTGGTATAAAGGTCTTGTTATTCTTCCCATTCCAGACTCTCGTACCGTGCTTTAAATTTTGTACCATACTTCACCGTCAATTAGTATGAAAGGAAATTACCCATGATTTGATTGTTGATCTGCCCTCCAGCTGTTATACAATTCCTTGTTAATAAATTACAAGAATCTGGTGTTAGATCACGATAACAACTCCTACCTGGTAAATTTGAGTATTCTCATTACCTGTCTGCTGGGTAAAGTGTAGATGTTGTAGGGAGGAGTGATATGTTAGCCACTCTCATGAGTTAAACGGTTAACAAACATTGACCGCAACTTTCCGAGAGTCAAACAAGTCTGTAATAGAGCAAAAATTGAGTTTGGTACGGCTCTTACGTCGGTCAAACGGAAGCCACTTACAAGATCTTTAAATTGAGATAATGCTGCGTTAGCATGAATAACCATTTTCCCAGCACTTATCAGAGGTTCAGGGAAGGTGCGCAGGCTCGCAGAGGGTAGTGGGACTAAAGTCGGTGATTTACGGCCGTCAAGAAGGTGAGACACTGTTACTGTCACACGTGTGACTGTCTCGCTTCGCTCTCTTTTAATAAACAATAGATTTGTGATTTTCCGATGATAAGCTTCTTCCTGACAAGTTCTCCCGTGTTATTGACTTAGTTTTTTTTTTTTGCTTGTCTTCATTTTTCGATTTCATTCCTATACCTTGAAGAGTCAAAATTAAATCTATTATTTTACACTTAAAACCAGAGTGACTGTAGGTAATGATCAACGCATCCCATGTTAACGCCATCAGACGTTTTGTTATTGATGTCACGCAAGCGTTGAAATCAGGATACGCAAAATTTTCTGCGAGTTGCACTGCTGTTTCGGCCCGAGAACCACGTTTTTTTCTTTTCCTAGCTAGGTTAGGCAGGTTTTCGTTTTCTTAGCTTTGGTGTATTTTTTCCTCACAGTTGATTTCTGTACAGATGTTGAAGTTAAATTAATGGCACGGTGTAGATATTTTCAATATTTTGTGTCTGGTTGAGTAATGAAGACAACTTACTTAAAAATCGGATCTCGGAGAGAGCGTGGCTATCCTTTGAAATTAATCTAACTTCACGGTTTGTTTTTCCTCGGCCTAAAATTTTCTGGTTCATTATTTGCAATCCACATCAACCCGGCTTCACACCCCAACATCAGTATGCATCTTCTCCGCACTGTTCTCTACACAAGGAGAATTTGTGTCACAATCAAGAACTTCCTCGGTTGGTGATCATTTCTTTTATTCTCATGACCCTCGTGTGATTCAGGACTGATGATGTAAGGAGAAATCAGATGCTAATCACTCTTAGGAGTTAAATGGTCAGTCAGTTGTCAGTTTGATGTGGGGATGTCTAAACTCTGAATCACAAAACACACCAGAGATTTGAATTACTTGATTCATCAGATTCTTTATTGATTTTGCACACATGTGAACTCTACGTAGAAATGTAAAAAATGTAAAAAAAAAAACCTAAGTATAAGTAAATTGGTAATTTTTTTTGCTAGCTGCAATTTTTAAGCACATTTTGTAACATGAAATCAATAGGGAATCAGAAAAAGACGCATCAATTTTTATTTCTTGGCTGAGGTTTCTGGATCAGGAGGTTGCCTCATTAAACGATTATTGGTCTTCGTTCAGCGGCTGCAAGATACGTAAACGCATATCTTAGTCCAAACCCTGATAATTACGATGGTACCATCACTTTTTTTACTATGATGTAACCTTGGATTTTCCAATAGCAGTAGATGCAGAGGTCTCTCTTAACCCTGTCTTTACCACCTGGAAAATGAGAGCGAAAACTAGTTACGACTTATAATTAACTCTGTGGGCATTAACTCCTTAGCGGTCCCACTTAGAGCGATTAAAACGAAAATATAAACAAAAGCACACAAATACCTTGGATGTTTTCTTTTTCCACACTCATAGTGACCTTCTTCCTCTTGATGCGATAAATGGGAAATTTGGCACACATTGCAGCCATTTCATCACTCAGAGTGGAACGATCATTTACAGTGCCAACAACTTCGAAGTTGTCCTCAGTAGTATTAGCAGATTGTGAGGAACCTGATGCGCTTTGCTGAAAAAGCAATGAGTTGCTTCCAATCAAATTTCTATTTTAATTTGTACTCATTCCATAATCATGATCTTGCTTAAGATTTTAGGTGATAATGGAGTTAAGATCATGTTCGAAGCGCTAAGTTGTTGTGATGACTGGTTCATTTTCCATGAGCACTACAAGAAGTCAAAACTGGGATATGACAGTGTGAAAAGACGTTATTTTTATACTAGAGCTTATTGATTAGCCTGAGCCGGAAGAAGGTCTATATTTCTTTCGACCATAAATATGTCGGTTATGACATTTAATTAGAGAAAAGCAAAAAAAAAATCGCCTTCTGAACACATACCATCTAGAAAACTAACACTTTACTGTAAACGATAATTTCAAGGAAACAGAAATGCATCAAAAAACGAAGGCTTTATCGTGAACTTCAGTGTAAAGCTAGAGTATCGATCGTTGCTCGCCAACAAAGAAAGGAAAGTTACCTTGTCAAGTGCATTTTTGAGGTCTTGAGGCTTTGGAGCGTTTTCAGTGGATTCACTCAAGAAACAGGCTTTGTGTTCAGGCATTCGGCGCATGACCAAGTTCTGTACGAAGAACATCAGCAAGTAGATGAGTAACCAGTAACTATGAATTTTAATTAGTAATCCCTGTTTTCTTAGAGCAGTTTTTGACTGAGTATCACAACGTAAGGGAATGTAACAAAGAGTTAACCATTATCCAAAGTTAGCGAACTAGCCTAAGCTACGCGAAAACGCGAAAAGTTGCGATAAGTTTTTTACTTAAATTACCTTGCTATTACTTAGACAAGCGTAAAGCCACTCTACAAGATCTTAGAGTCGTGACTTCAATCCATTTGAAAATCTTAACTTTTAAACCGCACTTGGTTAGCTCTTACTAATTGGAGAGCGCCCTACTACCGTGCGGAAGGTTGAGGGTTTAAGACCCCGACCAACAGTCAGCATCTTAAAAATAACTGAGGAGAATGGAGAGGAGTGCTACCTTTGCTATGCTTATTTACTTTGCTATGCTAATTTACTTACTCTTTTAAAGTCATAGACTTCGTCCACTTCTCCTGCGCTGGAAGATTTCGTTTTTGGAATGTGATAAGTTTCCGTCTGTTTCTCGGTGTCGATTTCGACTTCTTGTTCATACTCTTCGTCACCATTTTTGACTTTAACTTTGTACTTGGACAAAGTTTCCTGTGGAGCAAAAGATTTTATAATATTTACGTTTATGTTGCTATTGTTCTGGCCTAATTCACATGGACTTTAAAGGCGAACCTGACGTTTCTACGAAGTAATTAAAGGAACATGGTCAGAACGCGTTTATCGGCTCTGTAACGGCACAAATTTCAGCTTTGGTCTGCATTGTACGGGAACAACTAAGTCTCCTAAAACCTTGTATTACAATAAAAGATTGATGGCTAAAAGTACACGATGAAAGACTGCAAGGCTGCAGATTGATAAATGATAACACTAACGAGTATTTTTATTTTTACCTTATCTTCATCTTCGCATTTACAAGTGGGCGCTGCAGATGTGGCAGCCACGAACAAGGCAAAGAAAAGGAGGTACACCTTCCACTCCTGATAATAAAAGAAAATAGCATTCGTTGGAAATCTATGATTTTCACGCTTTATAAGTAAGTCTTTAAAGGGGAGCCCCATCCCTTCCCACAAGTCCAGCTGCATCTTTTTCACAATTTGAGCTACTATCAAAACGGCTGGATATCAAACATGCGTATGCATGAAAAAAGTGAAGTTAGCTTCAGGGTAATTCGTATATTTAAGTACCGTCAAATGTGCTCACCATCTTTCTGTTGTCCAAACTCTGGTGACGACCGGCTCTTGAGTTCGTTCTTCTTGTGGCAGAGGAATGATTCCTATTTCCACAGTAAATGGATAGGAATGATAAAGCGGTGTTCTTTTATACCTTTACAGAGCCTCCTATCTTCCTCATCGTTGTAATCTGATATCGTGCATTGATGACAAAACGTCTGCAGTTGGATCGATTCCCTCATAGATTCAGGGCTTAACTGCTGAAACAGGGTCACAACGGGTCAACTTTAAATCAATAGTTGCGTAACGGGCATGCTGCCCCTGCACAGTCGCAATAGGTTCTTTCCACAGCATTTCCAAACGTTAAGTAGTAACAATGACTTTCAGTCAATTTTGATAACAAAGACGTTTCTTTCCAGGGTCCGTTGCTCTACGTATATATCTGTGAGATCTCATAATTCAACTGCTTGTGAGGCTCACCGTTGAACACGAGAATGATGATTAACCTTACTGCGCATACTCAAAAAATGATTAAAATAGATCTCTGAGAGATGCAATTAGAACTTGATACTTGCTGGAAGAGAATAACATTAAGGGACTGATAACAAGCTTCAGGGTCATTCAGACCACAAATAACAAGTGTTGAAATCTTCATGATCTGTACTCCTTCGTTTTTGGGAAAAAATTCTCATAGACATTCACGGTCAATTTGAGATGCCATCTTAAGAAATAATGGTTAGTAGTGTTGGGGAACTCTTCCAATACCAGTTAACAGATTCCTTTAATATAAGTCACGAATAGATATCTATTTCAGTTCAGATTTCACTAACATGTCCAATTGTTGTTGACAGGCAAAAACCGATTGATTTACTGGTATCGCCGTTGGGCATGCTCAGTGGTGCCATTGCTAAAGGAAAAGTATTTGGAAGGTTAAGTACAGGTGATTTCTAGAAAAAAAATAGATATTGGAGGATTGTGTGTCGAAAAACAGACGAACTTCGTACAAAGATTTATCGTTTGCAAAAAAGACCAGAAACTTTGTCAATGCTATACCTCCGCCCATTTCCAGATTGATAACAAGTGGACCACAAACACAAAAAGTTATTATACTCAGCTGCAACTTAGATGTACTCTGCAGCAAAGTAATACAATAACAGTTGCCCTCCCTTCAGCAGCCATCTCACTGCGCATGCTCAAAAATAAGTAAAACGGATTTGTGTTGATCACGACTTAGACCTAGATGTTTATAGTATTAGCATGATTATGAACAGGAAGGTCCTCGGTGATTGATTGCAGACCAAAGGGTTATCAAACCACGAGTAACGTAAGTTCCAGTCTACACATGTCTTTTTTTCCCTCGCAGTGGCCAAAACAAATCTTTTCTGCATGCATGGGAGTTTTTAGATGTGAATTATGGACCCCAGAGAAAGTTGTCATGGGATTTTTTGAATACCCGCCCAGAATTCATGATTGCTGTTTATTTCAAGAGTAACGTTACTGGACATGCGTGGTAATGTCATTGCTGAAGTAAGTGCAATTGGAAGGTTAACTTCAACTGTATTAAAATCGTCGGCGCGGAAAGAAATAATGAATGACGGTGAGTCGAAAGATGGAAACATTTCAGCCGAAAGTTATATCTGGCTAACCCTAACCCTAAGCAAATTTTAATCCTGAATAAAGTTGCAAGGAAAAGCTCTGTTTGAGTTACTGTTGCGTTACTTTTCTTAAGTTACGTAATGAATGGTGAACGCAGACTGATGTTTTTTTCGAAAGTCTGGTTACCATCAGAATTTTACTATCATCACAAACAACAAGATAAATGGAACCCTTGTTTATGGTACTGAGGATGCGTAGTGGCACGTTCGCTGAAGCAAGTGCAACTCGGAGGTCAAGTTCCAGTAAACTAATAGCATCATCACAAACAACAAGATAAATGGAACCCTTGTTTATGTTACTGAGGATGCGTAGTGGCAAGTTCGCTGAAGCAAGTGCAACTCGGAGGTCAAGTTCCAGTAAACTAATAGCATCATCACAAACAACAAGATAAATGGAACCCTTGTTTATGTTACTGAGGATGCGTAGTGGCACGTTCGCTGAAGCAAATGCAACTCGGAGGTCAAGTTCCAGTAAACTAATAGCATCAACAATAGCATAAGTTACACGAGTAATTGCACGTGCCACCAAAAAATATTTCAGGCAAAAATTTTGAGTTATGTTGGCATTCATCTCCAAAACTGTGTCTTAAAGGTAACACCCTCGCCATATTTAAGGTAAAGTATTCTTGTTCCTATTCAGTTTCACAGATTTTTTACTCGTTCCAGCATCACTGCTGCCGAATCGAACATCATGTAAACTGAAGGCTTGACCCCGCAAATGCACTTCCTTTAGCAATCGCGCTACTACGCATGTACAGTACCATTCGCTAGGGATTTATGTCTCATCACGTGCGAATAGCTAATAACAAAGCCCTTTGAAAAAAAAAGACAGCATTGGTTTGTTGTGTGTAGGACATGCAGCAGATCATTGAATCTTTGGAAGGCTAACAAAGTTGTGTTAAAACACTTCTCACGTACTGCTTTGAATCGATAATCTATGGGTGCCTCAACACAAACAAGCGAACAAGCAAAGTAACAAAAGTATCACCGTAGACTGTAGGACGCAAAGACCCTACCTGAAATATGAGACCACGAATTAACTAAATTTAGCCACGCTATGTCTTGATAGTAATATGGCCTCATTGTGAACTCTAAGAAGTGGTTCAGCTGACGCTGTTCCTCACGGATTGTATGCCGCAAAACTGAATTTCAACCGATGAGTAAATCCGCCATGTAATAAAAAATTAAGAGGCCACACAGAGGAAATCATTACGGAGTCTAAAAATTCTGTAGTTGAAGGTGCGGATGGTTTTAAAGATTTTTTTCCGAATTATAAACGAACTAGAACGCACAGAAGCAGAGCTTTTGCACAGCGTCGGCAATGCTCTCAATGCCGCATTGAAACCATGCACTGGATCTTGGACATTCCTCTCGCTGATCTGAAGTCCTGTATTTCTCTGTTCCCATCAAGCACAAACACGACCGATAGCCTGGAAGAACTAGGCTAGAATTCCGAACAACAAGACGCATATGTGCGTAAAATTTGGCTTCTTTCCTGGCATATCCAGCTGTAAACGCCAGAAAGTTGACATATTACAGTAGATAGCAACACCAATAAACCCTAGTGTTAATATAAAATTAGTGTAACCGTCAGATGTGAGTGAATCAAAGGCTCTTTGTAAAGAGGTAGAGTACTGATGTCCTTCTATTATTTTGTCTCGATCCACTGTGCCAGAATAGCTATCACTGTATTCTAGTTGATAGTCAGCCTCAGACACATTTAACATTGTTGGCAATTCTGTCTGCATTAAATACGACTGTCTTGCTAATTGAGACAAACCTGAATACAATTGATTCCCAATGTTTTATGTCGATGAGATCATGACCAGAACTTATACTTTGTCAGGTATTGTAAATGAAAGAACATAAACTCCTTGCTACACATTTTTGCCTTGAATTTTGTCCAAATACTAACTCATTACCTTGGCTACATGGTGCTGCTATTGTTTTGCTAGAGTCGACGTGCATTGAGGTAGGACCAGGGTTCTTTTCTTTGTTTGAAATCAAATTTAAATTTACAATAATTGGCTGCATGGGTATGACTCTTGTAGAGACACATTCTATTTGGAGAAAACAGTGACAAATACCGACTAGCTCTCTTTCTTAACTTTATTATACTTTTATGGATTGTCCCAGAACCTTTTAGCAAAAAATTCGTTTTATTTCGTTGTTTTTAACTTTCACATAACAATGCACTTTGAAGGACTTGGGTGTATGTGAACGAATACCTTTATGGACAAATTTTCTAACCTTTCTGTTCTTATTCCTCAAACGTTCCAGAGTTCGTATTGGTATTCTGCTGGGTTCACGATCACGTCTAAATACACGATAATGCTTATGCAGATGCTTCTTTACATGATTAATATTGGATAGCTCATTTGATATGGCATGGTTCTCGATAGGTTCACTCAAAAATGTTCGCTCGTAAATTGATCTCTCGTTAAGTCCGCGGCGAAGTGGATCCTTTCATAAAACGCTCAGAAACGTCTAGTGTGGGTCTACCGCAAACTGTGTGTGCATTTGTATGTGGTTTGAGCGGAGAAGAAATCATAGTATTCGTGCTTCCTTTCAAGGACGACGCTTGATATAAATCCACCATTTTTTAACCATGTGCGTGTTTTCTAATCGTGCGTTTGCGCAGAGACAATGAGAAGGGACGCGTGCGTTTTAGGAACCAGACGGCGATTTATGACTGAACGTAGGAAAAAATAACGAAGGCCATTTTTAACCTTGGGCTCCCTTTGGGAAGCCCAAATAAAAAAATCACGTTATCGCCGCCTTATTTAGATGGGAAAAGTACACAATTGAATTACGTGACTGAGTCACTGGTCACGGTGAGTTTTAGTATGTGCAGGAGCCCATGGGCTCTAAGTATGTGCTGTTATAGATTACGTGCAGTCCCTCCTCTTGGGCGAAGTCCGTCGCGCGCGTCAGAACTAAATAAATGAAAATAGATGTATTATGCAGCAAAGTGATAAAATAACAGGTGCCCTCTCTTCAGCAGCCATCTCACTGCGCATGCTCAAAAAAGAGTAAAACGGATTTGTGTGGATCACGACTAGACCTACATGTTTACAGTTGTAGCATGATTATGAACAGGAGGGTCCTCGGTGATTGATTGCAGACCAAAGGATCATCAGACCACGAGTAACGCAAGTTCCAGTCTACACATGTCTTTTTTCCCTCGCAGTGGCCAAAACAAACCTTCTCTGCATCCATGGGAGATTCTAGATGGGAAATCTCAACCCCAGAGAAAGTTGTCGTGGAAGTTTTTTAATACCTGCCCAGAATTCATAATTGGCGTTTATTTCAAGAATAACGCTACTGGACATGCGTAGTAATGTCGTTGCTGAAGCAAGTGCAATTGGAAGGTTAACTCCAACTGTATTAAAATCGTCGGCGCGGAAAGAAATAATGAATGACGGTGAGTCGAAATATGGAAACATTTCAGCCGAAAGTTCTATCTTTGACAGAAAGATAGCAGATCAACAGGGTTCATCGTTAGTTTTGTGCCTCCACTGACTTACGAAACAACAACAACAAAATAATCAAAACAATTTTATAGAAAGATCGAGAAAAAACATCAGTTGGCCAAAACTATTTAATCTTGTCTGGATTGACTGTTTTTTGAAACAATAGATCTCATTGTCAGCGTTATATCTCCGTTCATTGGTGTTTTTTTTTTCGAAAGTCTGGTTACTATCAGAATTTTACTATCATCACAAACGATAAGATGAATGGAACCCTTGTTTAAGTTATAGAGTATGCGTAGTGGCGCGTTCGCTGAAGCAAGTGCAACTTGGAGGTCAGGACCCAGTAAACCAATAGTATCAATAATAGCGTAAGTTACACGAGTAACTGCACGTACCACCAAAAAATATTTCAGGCCAATATTACATTCATCTCCAAAACTGTATCATAAAGGTAACATCCTCGCCATTTTAGGGTAATGTACTCTCATTCCTAATTAGTTTCACAGTTTTTTTTCTATCATTCCAGTATCCCTGCTGCCTAAAGGAACATCGTGTAATCAGAAGGGTTGACCCTGCAAATGAACTTCCTTTAGCAATCGCGTAACCGCGCATGTACAGTGCCATTCGCTGAGGATTTATCTGTATAATCACGTGCGAATAGCTAATAAAAAGGCCTTTTGAAAAAGGAAAGGTAACATTTGTTTGCAGTGTGTAGGACATGCAGATTATTGAATCTTTAGTGTGGGTGATCTGGCTGCCTCAACACAAACAAGCGAACGAGTAAAGCAACAAAAGTGTCACCGTAGACTGTAGAACGCAAAGACCCCTACCTAAAATTTGAGACCAGGATTCCTTAAATTTAGTGATATAATTTGATATTATCATCACTTTCTCAGATTATCGTAAGAGGGAAATGTTGAGTTATATTTGCAGTGTTCGCTCTCGCGTTCATCTTTTCAATAAATCAATTTTTACATCGCAATATCTGAAGGAACAGCGATCATACTCTGGCTACGGTCGCTCATCATGATAACTCAAAGCTATTTTGCTGTGAAGCGCTGTTTGAAAATAGTTTTCAAACCTAAAAGTGTAACATCTATGTGAGGTTAATATTTTTTGTATTATCTTTGTCAAACGACAGTTAATTAGTATTATTGTAAAACTATATTTTTCCTTTCCTTCCATCGGGGACAATAAGCATTTTGGAAATTTGTGCCCACGGGGAGACAATAACAAAGGACTAGGAACTGTTGCAATGGACCATGTATTATTAATGATGGTACACATGGCTACTGTGCGCACCACGTTAGGCATGATAAACTCCTCACCGCTTTTAAGTTTGCATGGTGCAAGTGCCCTACAATACGTCTTGACAGTAATATGACCTCATTGTGAACTCTAAGAAGTGGTTCTGCTGTCGTTCTTCCTCACGGATTGTGTGCCGCGAAACTGAATTTCAACCAATAAGTAAATCCACCACGTACTAGAAGTTCATTAGGCCATACAAAGGAAATCATTGCAGAGTCTAGAAAATTGTAAAATTGCTTTTGTACAGCGTCGGTAACGCCGTCAATGCCACATTGAAACCTTGCACTGGATCTTGGACATTTCTTCTCGCTGATCTGAAGTTCTGTATTTCTATGTTCCCATCAAGCACAAGCGCAGCTGATAGCCTAGGAAAACTAGGCTAGAATTCTGAGAAAAAATTACCTTATCACTGCCTTATTTAGATGGGAAAAGCACACAATTGATTTACGTGACTGAGTCACTAGTCACGGTGAACTTCAGAATGTGCTGTTATAGATTACGCACAGTCCCTCCTTTGGGGCGAAGTCCGTCGCGCGAGTAAAATAAAATTCATGGCTGAAAAGAGAAAAAAGATGTTAGCGCGCTGCCAGGAGCTCTTAGAGTGAGGCACTAACATAAATTTGACTTTTTTTCGACCTGCGCCACGGACTTCGCCGAAAAGGAGGAACTGCTCTTAGTCGTAATTCTGTTATCGCTGGTTACACTTAATAAAATCCTGGCCCCGGTTATTCGAAGATCAGATAACGCTATCCACTGAATAAATTTCTGTCTGGTGGATGACGCTATACGTTTTGCTGTCACATATCCGCTGGATAGCAAATTATCCGTTGAATAGCGTTATCCACCCTTTATGCAACTGGGCCCTGTAGTTTGGTTCTGAAATGTTCTTACAGGTTTGAATAGCCTAAGCTCTCTAAACTCAAATATAAAAGAACAGAAAACCAATTTTTGTTCAAAATTTTCTCATAAACACGTTGACCGAACGCTAATCAATCTGATGTTCGACCCATCTTGTTCACCTTTTTCGTCACGAGACAGAATCATTTACCAGAATTTAGCCGTTTGAAATGTTTAAAGAATCAATCGGTGTATTCTAAAAGCTCTACTCTATTATATTTTTTCTTTTTAAAGTGGTTAAAATCTAAGATTTATAAAGCCACCGATATACACAGTGGCAGTTAGCTCAACAGACTAATTTGCACAATTCTACTGTCACGCTTGTAAAATCACCTAGTTTGAAGTCACTAAGGCGAAGGAAATTAATAAGTGAAAGACATTTTTACATTTCTATGTTTTCTAACATGTTATTAGAAGAAATCAACCCAAGTTCTGAATGAATAAAGGGGGTGAGTTTCTAACGAAACTGTGGTGCTGCGTCGGTGGGAGAGTATAATGAGCAAGTAAATTGGCCAGCATAAAGAGTTTAAAGGCTGACGTGAGCGTCAGAGCGATTGAGTTTCGAATGGTCTGATATGGACTTGAGAAATATCATCCAAGAAAGAAAGAGCGCTTTTGACTAACTTCAGAAAGCTGTCTAACGGGTTTTTTTAATCAATTATAGCGAACCTCTTAATAAACACATATCAAATTTGAAATGCTTTCCAAACCCCCCATATATCACACAATTTAGGAATACAAACGATTTCTTTCTGCATGTGGTGTATTGCGAGGAGCGAGCTTGTCAACTTTTTGAAAGTTTCGATGTCGCCAGAGGTCAAAAAAGGGCCTTTTGCAGCTTTGATTATTGAGAGCTCTCAAAAATGTTTGTAACGTATATCAAGAAACCAATGTGGTTTTATTTACTTACTACCAAAGATAATTTAATGGACAAAGTTTGAGGCAAAACTTTTTTCCAATGCGAAACATCTTGGACCGCTAAAGATCGGCCCTTAGTTTCAATTTTTCTTATAAGAGGACAATTTCAGTGAAAGGGAACATCTATCAACACCAGTGTTATTTTCGGTAATGTCAAGAGATAACCTGGGTGATACGTTAAACGAGCGGCTTTATTTTACTTACTCATAGTCTTACAATGATCATTAGTTATTTATTCCGCTAACAAGTAAGTACAGGCCTCGCGTCGAAAGCATCGCCATGACTTCCTTCAGTTTACACGGTTTGATAACAAATTAGATGTATGGAGGAGTACACAGAGTTTACCAGATCACATTCAGAATTTATCTTTCTCCTTAATCACGTTGAGATGGTCTTTTCGCTTCACCGTAGCTTAAGCTGTGTCTGAGTTGGAGATCAACACAGATGACTAAGTATAAGTTTATGTGTAGCTATTTGTAATCCAGCTTCCGTCATGCCCGTCAAGTTAGTCATTAAAGCGTTGCTCGAGTTCGCGAGGATGTGAAGGGTAAAATTTGTTCAACAAAATCTCTACGTAACAACAAGTATCTGTAAGAATTAAATCAGTCACTTACTATTTGATAATTTTTCGCAGTGTTTTTTGGGGATTTTGAAACTAATTTGGAAAAAAAAAAGTTTATTTTTCCCTTTTATAATCCATTCGAAACCTCATGTTTCCTCTAGCTAAAAGCTGCACTACCTTTTTTCTTTCAATATGGAAAGTTCTAAGATCTAATTTTATCATTTTCCCGTTTTCATTCGCCGTCTCTTTGAGCAGTAGTCATCCTTATAGTTGTTAGAGGCCATTTCGAAAAATACCATAATTTTCTTTCATATGCATTTTGGGTGACACATCATCAGTTCTTATTTGATTTTCAACCCATTCTCTCCAGCTGATCTTTTTTGCTCTCTATATGGTTTCCTCAGCCAGACAGAATACTACTCTACAGGGTTTGCTAGCGCCTTCTGAATTCCAATGTGTCACCTAAATAGAGGAGTCATAGATAATTACGCCCCACGCGTGAAAAAGTATTATGGTATTTGCCATCTTAAGCCTCATGTTACGTACATCGCGTGACACAAGTTTTCACCTTGCGCATATACCACACGGCTCCAATCTTTACCCACCTCACATAACAGGGACAGATAATGTAACAATGTGTCTTTTGTCGTCTGAATCTGTTACCAACTGCAAAAATGAGAAAATTTGTATTACACTGTGCATCCTTACAGCGCATAAGTTCATGCAAGACAAGAGCCTGCGCACATTCACATCAACTTCTTTTATTCTCTAAGCCGGGGCTTACCTAGTAATTAAGTATTATGAATTAAGACAAAAAAAATTAATGTCAAACCGTGCTGTCCCCGCAGAACCCAAAGACGAGCTTAAATAAAGGGATAAGTTTCTAAAGAATCTGGGATCAATATCAGTATCTGGGCAACTGCCCACCTACCCCTCCCCTAACTCAACAACAGTCAATGATAACAAGTTAGGGTTAACGTCGGGTTAGGGGAGGGGTAGGTGAGCAGTTGCCCAGATACTGATATTGATCCAGAAACTGAAACATTCGCTCTGACGAGGGGCTTACGCTCGAAACGTCAGCTTTGAAACATTTTACGGTAACCAATTTTACGTTATCAACTTAGATGATAGTACTAAATTACCCTAAGATCGTAAATAGCCCGTTTGCAGCAGTGCATCGTGTCAAAGAAAACTTTCTAGGAAGGAGTTAAAAATGAATAATTAAATAGGATACTTTAGAGAAGACTGAACACTTTGTGAAGTTAGTGAAAAGTGTTCAATGTCATGTGTTTACTTGAACCGAAACTCTGGACTTATGAGAACAAATATCACAGCTTTGAAAGAAATGTGATACTTCCAAATTCACCTTTCCGATCAGGAATCTCGTCAACATATTTATGTTGACGAGATTCCTGATCGGAAAGGTTTCGAGACATACTATTTTTCGAGGTACCGTTCGCTTAGCTTCTCTCTTAACGTACCAACTAGTTAAGGTAAAGGCTCTATGATAAGGTTTGACTGCAAACAAATTAAACGATTTTGAAAGTACTTGAGACTTGGCTAAGAGTATTTGTGACTTGACATCGCAGCCACATCGAGCGTAAGGTAAAAAATACCTTCGACGTTTTCTTTTTCCACGCTCATAGAGACCTTCCTCCTCCTGATGCGATAAATGGGAAATTTGGCACACATTGCAGCCATTTCATCACTCAGAGTGGAACGATCATTCACAGTGCCAACAACTTCATAATTGTCTTCAGTAATATTAACAGATTCCGAGGAACCTGAAGCGCTTTGCTGAAAAAGCGATTCAGAAACGAAATGAGTTGCTTCCCATCAAATTTCTGTTTTAATTTTTACTCACTCCATAATTATAATCTTACTTTAGATTTTAGGCGATAATGGGGTTACGATCATGTTCGAAGCCCTCAGTGGTTTTGATGATTGATTCATTTTCCACGAGCACTACAATAAGTCAAAAATGGGATATGATAGTATGAAAAGACGTTCTTTTTACATCAGAGCTTGTTGATTAGACTGAGCCGGAAGGAGGTCGATAGTCCTTTCGACCATAAATGTGTCCGTTATGACATTTAATCAGAGAAAAGCCAAACAAATCGCCTTCTGAACACATACCATCTATAAAACTAACACTTTCTTGTAAAAGATAATTTCAAGGAAACCGAAATGCACCAAAAAACGAAGGCTTTATCGTGAACTTCAGTGTAAAGCTAGAGCATCGATCGTTGCTCGCGAACGAAGAAAGGAAAGTTACCTTGTCAAGTGCATTTTTGAGGTCTTGAGGCTTTGGAGCGTTTTCAGTGGATTCACTCAAGAAACAGGCTTTGTGTTCAGGCATTCGGCGCATAACCAAGTTCTGTACGAAAAACATCAGCAAATAAATGAGTAAACAGTGATTATGAATTTTAAATAGTAATCACTGTTTTCTTAGAGCACTTTTTGACCGACTGTCACAACACAAGGGAATGTAACAAAAAGCTAACCATTATCCAAAGTTAGCGAACTAGCCTAACGTACGCGAAAATCCGAGTAACTTAAAAAGTCGCGATAAGTTTTTGACTTAAAGTACCTTACTATTACTTGGACAAGCGTAAAGCCACTCTACAAGATCTTAGAGTTGTAACTTCAATCCATTTGAAAATTTTAACTTTTTAGCTCTTGTTAATTTTAGAGCGCCGTACTGCCGTGCGGAAGGTTGATGGTTCAAGACCCCGACCCGACCAACACTCGGCGTCCTAAAAATAACCGAGGAGAATGGAGAGGAGCGCTGCCTTTGCTATGCTTATTTACTTTGCTATGCTAATTTACTTACTCTTTTAAAGTCGTAGACCTCGTCCACTTCTCCTGCGCTGGAAGATTTCGTTTTTGGAATGTGATAAGTCTCGGTTTGTTTCTCGGTGTCGATTTTGATTTCTTGTTCATACTCTTCGTCACCATCTTTGCCTTTAACTTTGTACTTGGACAAAGTTTCCTGTGGAGCAAAAGATTTTATAATATTTACGTTTATGTTGCTATTGTTCTGGTCTCATTCACATGGAATTTAACCGCGAACCTGACGTTTCTATAAAGTAATTAAAGGAACATGGTCTGAACGTGTTTAATGGCTTTGTATCGGCGTAAATTTCAGCTTAGGACTGCATAAAATAATTCTTACAGCATTGTGCTGTGCGGGAAAAACTAAGTCTTCCGAAACCTTGTATTACAGAAAAAGACTGATGGTTAAAAGTATACGACGGAAGTATGGGAAGTTGCAGATTGATAAATGGTAACACTAGCGAGTATTTTACTTTTACCTTATCTTCATCTTGGCATTTACAAGCAGGCGCTGCAGATGAGGAAGCTACAAACAAGGCAAAGAAAAGGAGATACACCTTCCACTCCTGATGATGAAAGAAAAAAGCATTCGTTAGAAATCTATGATTTTCACGCTTTATAAGTAAGTCTTTAAAGGGGAGCCCCATCCCTTCTCACAAGTCCAGCTGCATCGTCGAAGCTTCTTTTTCACAATATGAGCTACTATCAAAAACAGCTGGATATTAAGCATGCGTATGCATAAAATAAGTGAAGCTAGCTTCAAGTTAATTAGCGTCACTAAGTACCGTCAAATGTGCTCACCATCTTTCTGTTGTCCAAACTCTGGTGACGACCGGCTCTCGAGTTCGTTCTTCTTGTGGCAGAGAAATGATTCCTATTTCCACAGCGAATGGATAGGAATTATAAAGTGGTGTTCTTTTATACCTTTACAGAGCATCCTATCTTCCTCATTGCTGTAATCTGACATCGTGGAGTGATGACAAAACGTCTGCACTTGGAACGATTCCCTCATAGATTCAGGGCGTAACTGCTAAAACAGGGTCGCAACGGGCCAGCTTTACATCAACAGTTGCGTAACGGGCATGCTTCCCCTATGCAATCGCAACAGGTTCTCTCCACAGCATTTCCAAACGTAAAATACCAACAATGACTTTCTGCCTATTTTGATGACAAAGACGTATCTTTTCAGGGTCCGTAGCTCTACGTAAATATCTGTGACACCTCATAATTCAACTGCTTGTGAGGCTCACTGTTGAACCCGTGAATGAGTTAATGTTGCACTTCCTTTAGCAGTAACCTTACTGCGCATTCTCAAAAAATTATGAAAATAGACCTATGAGAGATGCGATTAGAACTTGATACTTGCCGGAAGATAATATCATTAAGTGACTGATAACAAGCTTCAGGGTTATTCAGACCACGGGTAACGAGAGTCGAAATCTTCAGGGTCTGTACTCCTTCGTTTTTGGGAAAAAATTCTCAGAGACATCCACGGTCAATTTGAAATGCCATCTTAAGAAATAATGATTAGCAGTGTTGGGGAAGTGTTCCAATACCGGTTAACAGACTCCTTCTAAATCATGAATAGATATCTATTTCAGTTCAGAGTTCACTAACGTGTCCAATTGTTGTTGACAAGCAAAAACTGATCGATTTACTAGTATCGCCGTTGGACATGCTCAGTGGTGCCAGTGCTAAAGGAAAAGTATTTTGAAGGTTAAGTACAGGTGATTTTAAGACAAAAATTGATATTGGAGGATTGTGTAGCGAAAAACTGACGAACTTCGTTCAATGTAGCTTCAAGATTTATCGTTTGTCAAAAAAAAAAGTCAGAAACTTTGTCAGTTCTATACCTCCGCCCATTTCCAAATTGATAAAAAATAGACCAAAAATGCAAAGAGCTTTTACACTCAGCTGCAACTTAGATATACTATGCAACAAAGTGATTGATTGCAGACCAAAGGGTCATCAGATCACGAGTAACGCAAGTTCCAGTCTACACATGTCTATTTTCCCTCGCAGTGGCCAAAACAAATCTTCTCTGCATGCATGGGAGATTTTAGACGTGAATTATGGACCCCATAATGTTGTCGTGGGAGGTTTTGAATACCTGCCCAGAATTCATAATTGTGTTTATTTCAAGAGTAACGCTACTGGACATGCGTGGTAATGTCATTGCTGAAGTAAGTGCAATGGGAAGGTTAACTTCAACTGTATCAAAATCGTCGGCGCGGAAAGAAATAATGAATGACAATGACTCGAAAGATGGAAACATTTCAGCCGAAAGTTCTATCTTTGGCAGGAGGATAGCAGATCAACAGGGCTCATTTTTAGTTTTGTACCTCCACTGACTTACAAAAACAACAACAAGAGAACAAATTTATAAAAAGATCGACATTTCAGCCGAAAGTTCTATCTTTGGCAGGAGGATAGCAGATCAACAGGGCTCATTTTTAGTTTTGTACCTCCACTGACTGACAAAAACAACAACAACAAGAGAACAAATTTATAAAAAGATCGAGACGAAACATCTTGGCCAAAACCAAATAATCTTGTCTGGATTGTCTGCTTTTTGAGACAGTAGATTTCATTGTCAGCGTTATACCTCCGTTCATTTCCAAAAAAAAAACAAACGTAGACACGCGTGTAATCCATCTGTTACATATTTTTCGGTGGCACGTGCAGTTAATCGTGTAACTTATGCTTTTATCGATGCTATTAGTTAATTGGAACTTGACCTCCGAGCTGAAGCAAGTGCAACTCAGAGGTCAAGCTCCATTAAACTAATAGCATCAACAAAAGCATACGTTACACGAGTAATTGCACGTGTCACAAAAATATATTTCAGGCAAAATTTTGAGTTAGATTTGAAATGATCTCTAAAACTGTATCATAAAGGTAACATCCTCGCCATTTTAAGGTAAAAGTACTCTCATTCTTTTTTAGTTTCACAGTTTTTTTTTCTATCGTTCCAGTATCACTGCTGCCTAAAGGAACATCGAGTAATCAGAAGGCTTGACACCGCAAATGCACTTCCTTTAGCAATCACGTAACCGCGCATGTACAGTGCCATTCGCTGGGGATTTATCTGTCTCATCACGTCCGAAAAGCTAGTAACAACGCCTTTTGAAAAATAAAAAGACAGCATTTGTTTGAAGTGTGTAGGACATGCATTATTGAATCTTTAAAAGGCTAACAAAGTTGTGCTAATATGCTTCTCACGTACTACTTTGAATTGATAATATCTTGGTGCCTCAACACAAACAAGCGAACAAGCAAAGCAACAAAAGTATCACCGTAGACTACAGACTGCAAAGACCCCTACCTGAAATATGAGATCAAGATTCACCAAATTAAGCCATACAATTTGTTATTACATCACTTTCCTCAGATTATTCTAAGATCTTCAATATTCACGGCAGAGAAATGTTGAGTCAAATTTGCAGTGTTCGCCCTCGCCTTCGTCTTTTCAATAAATCAATTTTTACGTAGCAATATTTGAAGAAACAGCGATCATGCCCTGGCTGCGGTCACTCATCATGAGAACTCAGAGCTATTTTTGCTGTTAAGTGTTGTTTGAAAGTAGTCTTCAAACTTAAAAGTTTAACATTTATGTGAGGCTAATGTTCATTGCATGATCTTTGTCAAACGACAGTCAATCGGTATTATTGTAAACTATATTTTTCTCCATTCTTTCTATAGGAGACAATAATAACCATTTCGGAAATTTGGGCCCACTGTAAACTTAAATGCTCAGTTAGTTCAGCGGGGAGACAATAACAAAGGACAAGCTTAAGGAACTGTTGCAATGGTCAATGTATTATTAGTGATGGTACACATGGCTTCTGCACACAACGTTAGGCATGATAAACTCCTCACCTCTTTTAAGTTGGCATGGTGCAAGTGCCCTACACTACGTCTTGATAGTAATATGGCCTCATTGTGAACTCTAAGAAGTGGTTCTGCTGTCGCTCTTCCTCACGGATTACTCGGATTGTGTGCCGCGAAACTGAAATTCAACCAATAAGTAAATCCACCATGTATACCAGAGGTTCAAGACGCCACACAGAGGAAATCATTGCGAGGTCTAGACAATACTGTAACTGAGGGGAGGAACTGCTCGTGGTCGTAATGCTGTTGTCGCCGATTACACTAAATAAAATCCTGTAGTTTGGTTCTGAAATGTTCTTACAGGTTTGAATAGTCTAAGGTATCTTAACTCAAATATAAAAGAACAGAAACCAATTTTTTAAAAAAGTTTCTCATTACCACGTTGAGCGAAAGAAATAAATGGTCGGATCTGCTCAACAGACTAGTTTGCATAATTCTGCTGTCACGCGAGCAAAATCACCAAAAGTTTGAAGTCACTTAGGTGAAGGAAATTAATAAGTGAAAGATGTTTCTAAATTTCTATGCTTTCGAACATCTTATTAAAAGAAATCAACCGAAGGTTTGAATGGTCTGGTCTGGACTTGAGAAATATCACCTAGAAAGAAAGAGTACTTTTGACCAATTTCCGAAAGCTGTGGAACAGGTGTTTTTAAATAAATGAGATCGCTGGGTCCAGGAGCATTTTCAGTGATGTTATTCAAAAAACAGGATTTTTGAGCAGACATTTGACGCATGACTAAATTCTACAAAAGGAAAGTAACTTTATTTCAGTAATATTTTCAATGTGATTTTCACCATCAACGTTGATTTTAACTTTGTACTGAAACACGGTTGAATTCTATGAGAAAAGAAAGGAGAAATATGAACACTCTTACTTCTTCTGCGGATTGCCTTTCCCTTGTTATTAACTTGACCGGACTGATGATGTAAGGAGAAATCAGATGCTAATCACTCTTAGGAGTTAAATGGTCAGTCGGTTGTCAGTTTGATGTGGGGATGTCTAAACTCGGAATCACAAAACACACTAGAGATTTGAATTACTTGATTCATCTGATTCTTTATTGATTTTGCACACATGTGAACTCTACGTAGAAATGTCAAAAATGTAAAAAAAAAAACCTAAGTATAAGTAAATTGGTAAGTTTTTTTGCTAGCTGCGATTTTCAAGCACATTTTGTAACAGGAAATCAATATGTAATTAGAAAAGAAGACGCATCAATTTTCATTTCTTGGCTGAGGTTTTTGGATCAGGAGGTTGTCTCATTAAACGACTATTGGTCTTCGTTCAGCATATATAAACGCATACCCTACGCCAAATCTTGTAATATACGCGGGTACCATCACTTCTTGTTACTATGAGGAAACCTTGGAGTTTCCAATAGCAGCACCAGCAGTCGTGTCTCTTTTTCCTGTCTTTACCACCTGAAAAATGAGAGCGAAACTAGTTACGACTTATAATTAACTCTGTGGGCATTAACTCCTTAGCGGTTCCACTTAAAGCGATTAAGACGAAATATAAACAAAAGCACACAAATACCTAGCATGTTTTCTTTTTCGACACTCATAGTGACCTTCCTCCTCTTGATGCGATAAATGGGAAATTTGGCACACATTGCAGCCATTTCATCACTCAGAGTGGAACGATCATTCACAGTGCCAACAACTTCGTTCCGAGGAACCTGATGCGCTTTGCTGAAAAAGCAATTCAGAAAAGAAATGAGTTGCTTCCCATCATATTTCTATTTTAATTTGTACTCATTCCATAATCATCATCTTCCTCAAGATTTTAGGTGATAATGGAATTAAGATCATGTTCGAAGCGCTAAGTTGTTGTGATGACTGATTCATTTTCCACGAGCGCTAAAAGAAGTCAAAACTGGGACATGACATTATGAAAAGACGTTATTTTTATATTAGAGCTTATTGATAAGCCTGAGCCGGAGTAAGGTCGATAGTCCTTTCGACCATAAAAGTGTCAGTTATGACATTTAATTAGGGAAAAGCCGAAATTCTGAACACATACCATCGATGAAACTGACACCTTCCTTTAAACGATAATTTCAAGGAAACAGAAATGCATCACAAAACAAAGACTTATCGTGAATTAACTTCGGTCTAAAACTAGAGTATCGATCGTTGCTCGCGAACAAAGAAAGTAAAGTTACCTTGTCAAGTGCATTTTTGAGGTCTTGAGGCTTTGGAGCGTTTTCAGTGGATTCGCTCAAGAAACAGGCTTTGCGTTCAGGCATTCGGCGCATAACCAAGTTCTGTACGAAAAACACCAGCAAGTAAATGAGTAAACAGTGACTATGAATTTTAAATAGTAATGACTGTTTTCTTAGAGCACTTTTTGACTGACTGTCATAACACAAGGGAATGTAACAAAGTGCTAACCATTATCCAAAGTAAGCAAACTAGCCAAACGTACGCGAAAACGCGATTAACTTAAAGTCGCGATAAGTTTTTGACTTAAATTACCTAAGTATAACTTGGACAAGCGTAAAGCCCCTCTACAAGATCTAAGAGTCGTAACTTCAATCCATTTGGAAATCTTAACTTTTAAACCGCACTTGGTTAGCTCTTGCTAATTGTAGAGCGCCGTACTGCGGGAGGTTGAGGGTTTAAGACCCCGAGCGGACCAACACTTAGCGTCTTAAAAATAACTGAGGAGAGCGGAGAGGTGTGCTGCCTTTGCTATGCATATTTACTTAACTATGCTAATTTACTTACTCTTTTAAAGTCATAGACTTCGTCCACTTCTCCTGCGCTGGATGATTTCGTTTTTGGAATGTGATAAGTCTCGGTTTGTTTCTCAGTGTCGATTTTGATTTCTTGATCATACTCTTCGTCACCATCTTTGACTTTGACTTTGTACTTGGACGAAGTTTCCTGTGGAACAAAAGATTATATAATATTTACGTTTATGTTGCTATTGTTCTGGTCTCATTCACATAGACTTTAGTATTTAAAGGAGCATGGTCTGAACGCGTTTAACGGCTTTATATCGGCATACAATTTCAGCTTAGGGCCGCACAAAAAAATTCTCTCAGCATTGAACAGGAACAACTAAGTCTCTGGAACTTGTATCGCAAAAAGACTGATGTTTAAAAGTATACGACGGGAAACTGCAAAGCTGAAGATTGATATATGATAACACTAATTAATGTCTATTTTTACTTTTACCTTATCTTCATCTTCGCATTTACAAGTGGGTGCTGCAGATGTGGCAACCACGAACAAGGCAAAGAAAAGAAGGTACACCTTCCACTCCTCATAATATAAAAGAAAAAACTATTTTCACAATATGAGCTACTATCAAAAACAGCTGGATTTTAAGCGTGCGTATGTAAAAAGAAAGTGAAGCTAACATCAAGTTAATTCGTGTATCTAAGTACCGTCAAATGTGCTCACCATCTTTCTGTTGTCCAAACTCTGGTGACGACCGGCTCTTGAGTTCGTTCTTCTTGCATTAGAGGCTTATTACATTTAGGACTAAATGTTATTACATTTAGGACTTTATTACATTTAGGACCAAATGTTATTACATTTAGGACTTTATTACATTTAGGACAGTTATTACATTTAGGACTTCAACATACGTAATGGGCATGCTTACTATGCAATCGCAACAGATTCTTTCCACAGCATTTCCAAACGTGAAGCAGCAACAATGACTTTCTGCCTATTTTGATCACAAAGACGTATCTTTTCAGGGTCCGTAGCTCTACGTAAATATCTGCGAGACCTCATAATTCAACTGCCTGTGAGGCTCACTGTTGAACCCGTGAATGAGTTAATGTTGCACTTCCTTTAGCAGTAACCTTACTGCGCATACTCAAAAAAATGATTAAAATAGATCTCTGAGAGATGCAATTAGAACTTGATACTTGCCGGAAGAGAATAACATTGAGTGACTGAAAACAAGCTTCAGGGTTATTCAGACCATGGGCAACAAGCGTTGAAATCTTCAGGGTCTGTACTCCTTCGTTTTTGGGAAAAAATTCTCAGAGACATCCATGGTCAATTTGAAATGCCATCTTAAGAAGTAATGATTAACCGGTATTGGAAAAGTTCCCCAACACTGCTAACGGCTCCTTCTAAATCATGAATAGATATCTATTTCAGTTCAGATTTCACTAACGTGTCCAACTGTTGTGGACAGGCAGAAACCGATCGATTTACTAGTATCGCCGTTGGACATGCTCAGTGGTGCCATTGCTGAAGGGAAAGTATTTGGAAGGTTAAGTACAGGTGATTTGTAGACAAAAGTAGATATTGGAGGATTGTGTATCGAAAAACTGACGGACTTCGTTCAAAGTAGCTTCAAGATTTATCTTTTGCCAAAAAAAAAATCAAAAACTTCGTCAGTACTATACCTCCGCCCATTTCCAAATTGATTAAAAAAATGGACCACAAACACAAAGAGCTTTTATAATTAGCTGCAACTTAGATATTCTATGCAACAAAGTGACAAAATAACATTTCCCCTTCCTTCAGCAGCCATCTCACTGCACATGCTCCAAAATGAGTAAAACGGATTTGTGTGGATAACGACTAGACCTAGATGTTTATAGAATCATTTGCCATAATTTAGCCATTTAAAATGTTTAAAGAATCAATCAGTGTGTTCTAAAATCTCTGCCTTACCATCTTTTTTCTTTAAAGAGGTTAAAATCTAAGATTTATGAAGCTACCAATATAGATGGTCGGAGTCTGCTCATCAGACTAATTTGCATAATTCTGCTGTCACGCTGGCAAAATCACCAAAAGTTTGAAGTCACTCAGGCGAAGGAAATTAATAGGTGAAAGATGTTTCTAAATTTCTATGCTTTTGAACATCTTATTAGAAGAAATCAACCGAAGTTTTGAATGGTCTGGTATGGACTTGAGAAATATCACCCACGAAAGAAAGAGTACTTTTGACCAATTTCAGAAAGCTGTCTTACGGGTGTTTTTAAATAAATAATGGCGAACCTCTGGATAAACAAATATCAAAATTGAAGTGCTTTCCAAACCCCTTATATATCACACAATTTAGGAATACAAACGAATTCTTGCTGCATGTATTGTGTTACGATGAGCGAGCTTGTCAACTTTTGAAATGTTCGATGACACAAGAGGTCAAAAGAGTGCCTTTCGCAGCTTCGATTATCGAGAGCTCTCGAAAATGTTTTTTAACGCATTTCCAGAAACCAATGTGGTTTTATTTACTTGCTACCAATGATGGTTTAATGGGAGAAGCTTGAGGCAAAACTTTTCTCCGATGCGAAACGCCTTGGACCGCTATTTCAGAGATCGCCACAGACTTAAGTTTCAATTTTTTCTGATAAGAGAACAACCTCAGTGAATGGGAACATCTATCAACATCAGTGATATGTAAACCCGGGTGATACGTGAAACAAGCGGCTTTATTTTACTTACTAATAGTCATACAATCATCATTAGTTATTTATTCCGCTGAAAAGTAAGTACAGGCCTCGCGTCGAAAGCATCGCCATGACTTCCTTCAATTTACACGGTTTGATAACAAATTAGATATGAGCAGGAGTACACAGATTTTACCAAATCACATTCAGAATTTATCTTTCTCCTCAATCACGTTGAGATGGTCTTTTCGCTTCGCTGTAGCTTGAGCCGTGTTTGAGTTGGAGATCAACACAGGTGACTAAATATAAGTTTATGTGTAGCTTATTGTGATCAAGCTTCCATCATGCCCAAATTAGTTATTAAAGCGTTATTCGTCAACGCAGCCTGTGAAGAGCAACATTTGATCAACAAAATCTCTACGTAACAACAAGTATCTGTAAGAGTTTAATTGGTCACCTACTATTTGATAATTTTTCGCACAATTGTTTTGGGATTTTGAAACTATTTTGAAAAAAAGTTGTTTCTTTTCCTTTTATTATTGATCGACACCCTATGTTTCCCTTAGCTAAGATCTACACTAGCTTTTTTTTCTTTTAATATAGAAAGCTCTAAGATCTAATTTTATCATTTTCACCGTTTTTGTTTGGCGTTTCTTAGAGCATCATGAGTCACCCTCAGGGTTGTTGGAGGCCATTTCGAAAAATACCATAATACTTTTTCATATGCACTTTGGGTGACACATCATCAGTTCTTATTTGATTTTCAACCCATTCTATCAAACTGATATCTTTTTACTCTCTGTAAGGATTCCTCAGCCATACACAATGCTACCTACAGGGTTTGTTCACACTTTCCGAATTCGAATGTGTTACCCTAATAAAGGAGTCATGGATACTACGCCCCACGCGTGAAAGAGTATTATGGTATTTTCCGAAGTGTACTATTTTGCCTTCTTCATCTTATACACATGCCTCGACACAAATTGTCGTCGTGCGTGTATACCACTGGTTTCCAATCTTTACGTCCTTCGAATAAGAGGCGCAGACTTTGACACATTTTTTTGTCCTTTGTCGCCTGAATCTCTTACTAACTGCGAAAATGAGAAAAGTCAGTGTATTACGCTGCGCATCCTTAAGGCGCATAGGTTCATGCAAGACAAGAGCCTGCGCACATTCACATCAACTTCTTTTACTCTCTAAGCCAGGGCTTACTTAGTAATGATAACCATGAATTAAGACCCAAGAACTTAATCTCAAACCATGCTGTCCCCGCGAAAGCCAAAGACGAGCGTAAATAAAGGGATAAGTTTCAAAGGAAACTGAAACATTCGTTCTGACGAGGGGCTAACGCTTGAAACGTAAGTTTTGAAACATTTTACGATGATCAATTTACGTTATCAACTCAGTTGATAACACTAATTAAAATTACCCTTGAATTGTAAATAGCCCGTTTGCAGCAGTGCATTGAGACTTGAGACTTGACTGAGTTTAAAACATTGCAGCCACATTGAGCGTAAGGTAAAAGCTATCAAATACCTTGGACGTTTTCTTTTTCCACACTCATAGTGACCTGCTTCCTCTTGATGCGATAAATGGGAAATTTGGCACACATTGCAGCCATTTCATCACTCAGAGTGGTACGATTATTCACAGTGCCAACAGCTTCGTAGTTGTCTTCAGTAGTATTAACAGATTGTGAGGAACCTGAAACGCTTTGCTGAAAAAGCAATTTAGAAAAAAAATGAGTTGCTTCCCATCAAATTTCTATTTCGATTGGTACTCATTCCATAAGCATGATCTTGCTTAAAACTTTAGGTGATAATGAAGTTAAGATCACGACTGATTCATTCTCCGCGAGCACTACAAGAAGTCAAAACTGGGATATAGTGTCATAAAAGGCATTATTTTTATTTTTAGAGCTTCTTGATAAGCTCTCGAAAAAAATCGCGTTCTGAACACATACTATCATTCTATAAAAGTGACACTTTCCTGTAAAAGATAATTTCAAGGAAACAGAGATGCATCAAAAAACAAAGGCTTATCGTGAACTTCAGTGTAAAACTAGAGTATCGATCGTTGCTCGCGAACGAAGAAAGGAAAGTTACCTTGTCAAGTGCATTTTTGAGGTCTTGAGGCTTTGGAGCGTTTTCAGTGGATTCACTGAGGAAACAGGCTTTGAGTTCAGGTATTCGGCGCATGACCAAGTTCTGTACGAAGAACATCAGCAAGTAAATGAGTAAACAGTGAATATGAATTATAAATAGTAATCACTGTTTTCTTAGAGCACTTGTTGACTGAGTGTCACAACACAAGGGAACGTAACAAAGTGCTAACCATTATCCAAAGTAAGCAAACTAGCCAAACGTACGCGAAAACGCGATTAACTTTAAAAAGTCGCGATAAGTTTTTTACTTAAATTACCTAAGTATAACTTGGACAAGCGTAAAGCCACTCTACAAGATCTAAGAGTCGTAACTTCAATCCATTTGGAAATCTTAACTTTTAAACCGCTCTTGGTTAGCTCTTGCTAATTGTAGACCGCCGTACTGCCGTGCGGAAGGTTGAGGGTTCAAGACCCCGACCCGACCAACACTCAGCGTCTTAAAAATAACCGAGGAGAGTGGAGAGGAGCGCTGCCTTTGCTATGCTTATTTACTTTGCTATGCTAATTTATTTACTCTTTTAAAGTCATAGACTTCGTCCACTTCTGCACCGGATGATTTCGTTTTTGGAAAGTGATAAGTCTCGGTTTGTTTCTCGGTGTCGATTTTGATTTCTTGTTCACTCTTCGTCACCATCTTTGACTTTGACTTTGTACTTGGACGAAGTTTCCTGTGGAACAAAAGATTATATAATATTTACGTTTATGTTGCTATTGTTCTGGTCTCATTCAAATAGACTTTAGAATTTAAAGGAACATGGTCTGAACACGTATAACGGCTTTATATCGGCATACAATTTCAGCTTAGGGCCGCACAAAAATATTCTATCAGCATTGAACGGGAACAACTAAGTCTCTGGAACTTGTATCGCAAAAAAAGACTAATGTTTAAAAGTATACGACGGGAGTATGGAAAGCTGCAGATTGATATATGATAACACTAATGAGTATTTTTACTTTTACCTTATCTTCATCTTGGCATTTACAAGTGGGTGCTGCAGATGTGGCAGCCACGAACAAGGCAAAGAAAAGAAGGTACACCTTCCACTCCTCATAATATAAAAGAAAAAAAGCATTAGTGAGAAATCTATCATTTTTACGCTGTATAAGTAAGTCTTTGAGGGAGAGCCCAGTCCCTTCTCACAAGTCGCTGCATCGTCTATGCACTTCTTTTTCACAATATGAGCTGCTATCAAAAACAGCTGGATATTAAGCGTGCGTATGTAAAAAGAAAGTGAAGCTAACTTCAAGTTAATTCGTGTATTTAAGTACCGTCAAATGTGCTCACCATCTTTCTGTTGTCCAAACTCTGGTGACGACCGGCTCTTGAGTTCGTTCTTCTTGCGGCAGAGAAATGATTCCTATTTCCACAGTGAATGGATAGGAATCATAAAGCGGTGTTCTTTTATACCTTTACAGAGCATCCTATCTTCCTCATTGTTGTAATCTAATATCGTGGATTGATGACAAAACGTCGGCAGTCGGATCGATTCCTTCGTAGATTAAGGGCTTAACTGCTAAAACAGGGTCGCAACGGGCCAGCTTTACATCAACAGTTACGTAACGGGCATGCTGCCCCTATGCAATTGCAACAGGTTCTTTCCACGGCATTTCCAAACATGGAATAGCAACAATGACTTTTCTGCCTATTTTGATGACAAAGACGTATCTTTTCAGGGTCCACAGCTCTACATAAATATCTGCGAGACCTCATAATTCAACTGCCTGTGAGTCTCACTGTTGAACACGTGATGGGGTTAAAGTTGCACTTCCTTTAGCAGTAACCTTACTGCGCATTCTCAAAAAATTATGAAAATAGATCTATGAGAGATGCGATTAGAACTTGATACTTGCCGGAAGAGAGTAACAGGGTAACAGGAGTTGAAATCTTCATGGTCTGTACTCCTTCGTTTTTGGGAAAACATTCTCAGAGACATGAGACAAACTCGGTCAATTCGAAATGCCATCTTAAGAAACAATGATTAGTAGTGTTGGGGAACTGTTCCAATATCAGTTAACAGACTCCTAAATCATGAATAGATATCTATTTCAGTTCAGATTTCACTAACATGTCCAATTGTTGTTGACAAGCGAAAATCGATCGATATACAAGTATCGCCGTTGGACATGCTCAGTGGTGCCATTGCTGAAGGAAAAGTATTTGGAAGGTTAAGTACAGGTGATTTGTAGACAAAAATAGATATTGGAGGATTGTGTATCGAAAAACTGACGAACTTCATTCAAGGTACTGAGCTTCAAGATTTTTCTTGTTTACCGAAAAAAAAGTCAGAAATTTTCTCAGTTCTATACCTCCGCCCATTTCCAAATTGATAAAAAATGGACCACAAACACAAAGAGCTTTTACACTCAGCTGCAACTTAGATATTCTATGCAACAAAGTGACAAGATAACATTTCCCCTTCCTTCAGCAGCCATCTCACTGCGCATGCTCCAAAATGAGTAAAACGGATTTGTGTGGATCCCGACTAGACCTAGATGTTTATAGTTTTAGCATGATTATGAACAGGGAGGTCCTCGGTGATTGATTGCAGACCAAAGGGTCATCAGACCACGAGTAACGCAAGTTCCAGTCTATACAAGTCTATTTTCCCTCGCAGTGGCCAAAACAAATCTTCTCTGCGTGCACGGGAGATTTTAGATGTGAATTATGGACCCCAGAGAAATCTGTCGTTAGACTTTTTGAATACCTGCCCAGAATTCATAATTGGTGTTTATTTCAAGAGTAACGCTACTGGACATGCGTGGTGATGTCATTGCTGAAGCAAGTGCAATTGGAAGGTTAACTTCAACTGTATCAAAACCGTCGGCGCGGAAAGAAATAATGAATGACGGTGAGTCGAAAGATGGAAACATTTCAGCCGAAAGTTCTATCTTTCGCAGGAGGATAGCAGACCAACAGGGCTCATTTTCAGTTTTGTACCTCTTCTGACTTACAAAAACAACAACAATAAAACAAATTTATAAAAACATCGAGACGAAACATCTTGGCCAAAACCATTTAATCTAGTCTGGATTGACTGTTTTTTGAGACAGTAGATCTCACTGTCAGCGTTATACCACCGTTCATCTCCAAAACAACAAACAAACGTGGACATGCTTGTAATCCAACTGTTACATATTGTTCGGTGACACGTGCAATTACTCGTGTAACTTATACTTTTATTGATGCTACTAGTTTATTGGAACTTGACTTCCGAGCTGAAGCAAGTGTAATTCGGAGCTCAAGTTCCAGTAAACTAATAGCATCAACAAAAGCATAAGTTACACGAGTAATTGCACGTGCCACAAAAATATATTTCAGGTAAAATTTTGAGTTAGATTTGAAATCATCTCTTAAAACTGTGTCATAAAGGTAACATCCTCGCCATTTCAAGGTAAAGTACTCTCGTTTCTTTTTAGTTTCACAGTTTTTTCCCTATCGTTCCAGTATCCCTGCTGCATAAAGGAACATCGTGTAATCAGAAGGCTTGACCCCGCAAGTGCACTTCCTTTAGCAATAACGTAATCGCTGGGGATTAATCTGTCTCATCACGTGCGAATAGCTAATAACAAAGCCTTTTGAAAAAGAAAAGGTAGCATTTGTTTGCAGTGTGTAGGGCATGCAGATAATTGAATCTTTAGAAGGCTAACAAAGTTGTGCTAACACGCTGGGTTATCTGGGTGCCTCAACACAAACAAGTGAACAAGCAAAGCAACAAAAGTATCACCGTAGACTGTAGAACGTTAAGACCCTTACCTAAAATATGAGACCAGGATTCTCTAAACTTAGACACACAATTTGATATTATCATCAGCGGGGAGACAATAACAAAGAACAAGCTTAAGGAACTGTTGCAATGGCCATGTACTATTAATGATGGTAGACATGGCTTTTGTGCGCACCACGTTAGGCATGATAAACTCCTCACCTCTTTTAAGTTTGATGGCGCAAGTGCCCTACGATATGTCTTGATAGTAATATGGCCCCATTGTGAACTCTGAGAAGTGGTTCAGCTGACGCTGTTCCTCACGGATTGTGTCGCGAAACTGAATTTCAACCAATAAGTAAATCCACCATGTAGCACAAGAGGCCACAAATAGGAAATAATTGCGGAGTCTAGACAATACTTTAGCAGAGGGTGAGAATGGTTTTAAAGATTTTCTTCCGAATATATAGACGAACGAGAACGCATAGGAGCAGAGCTCTTGTACAGCGTCGGCAATGCTGTCAATGCACGCACTGAAACCTCGCACCTCTGGGATCTTGGACATTTCCTCTCGCTGATCTGAAGTCCTGTATTTCACTGTTCCCATCAAACACAAACACGGCTGATAGCTTGGAAGAACTAGGCTAGAATCCTGAGCAAAAAATCATCTTATCACTGCCTTCTTTAGATAGGAAAAGTACAAAATTGAAGTACGTGACTGAGTCACTGGTCACGGTGAACTTCAGAATGTGTTGTTATAGATTACGCGCAGTCCCCCCTTTGGGGCGAAGTCCGTCGCGCGAGTTAAAAAAACACATCAGAGATGGAAAGGGAAAAAAAGATGTTAGCGCGCTACCAGGAGCTCTTGGAATGAGGCAAAGTAAGCAATGAGTAAATTTTTTCTTGGTTTATTTTTTTTTTCTACCTGCACCGCGGACTTCGCTGAAAAGGAGGTACTACTCGTAGCCGTAATGCTGTTATCGCCGCTTACACTTAATAAAATCCTGTAGTTTGGTTCTGAAATGTTCTTACAGGCTTGAATAGCCTAAGCTCTCTAAACTCTCAGAGGTCCAGGGAAGTCACATCAAGTCCAGGGAAGGTGCGCAGGCTCGCAGAGGGTAGTGGGACTAAAGTCGGTGATTCACGGCCGTCAAGAATATGAAACACTGTCACAGTCACACGCGTGACTATCTCGCTTAAGCTTCTTCCTTGCAAGTTTTCCCGCGTTATTGAATAAAGTTTTGTTTTTGCTTGTCTTCATTTTTCGATTTTATTCCTATACCGTTAAGAGTCAGCATTAAATCTATTATTTTCCACTTAAAACCAGAGTGACCGTAGGTCATGATCAACGCATCTCATGTTAACGCCATCAGGCGTCTTGTTATTGATGTAACGCAAGTGTTGAACTGATCAGAATACGTAAAATTTTCTGCGAGTTGCACTGCTGTTCGGGAACCACGTTCCTTTTTTCTCTTTTCCTCGCTGGGTTTTGCAGGTTTTCGTGTTCTTAGCTTTGGTGCATTTTTTCTACCTTTTTTAGCACAGTTGATATCTGTACAGATGTTGAAGCTAAATTAAGGGCACGGTGTAGATATCTTCAATATTTTGTGTCTGGTTGAGTAGTGAAGACAACATTTACCTAAAAATCGGATCTCGGAGATTAGATAATAGAAGGATGGAAGACAATTCAGCGTGGCTATTCCCTGAAATTTATCCAACTTCACGGTTTGTTTTTCCTTGGCCTAAAATTTTCTGGTTCGTTATTTGCAATCTACATTAATCCTTCACACCCCAACATCAGTATACATCTTCTCCACACTGTTCAATACACAAGGAGAATTTGTGTCACAATCAAGAACTCCATCGGTTGGTGATCATTTCTTTTATTCTCATGACCCTTGCGTGTGATTCAGGAATGATGATGTAAGGAGAAATTAGATGCTAATCACTCTTAGGAGTTAAATGGTCCGTCAGTTGTTAGTTTGATGTGGGGATGTCTAAACTCTGAATCACAAAACACACCAGAGATTTGAATTACTTGATTCATCTGATTCTTTATTGATTTTGCAAACACGTGAACTCTACAAACAAATGTTAAAATGTAAAAAAAAAAGACCTAAATATAAGTAAATTAGTAAGGTTTTTTTTGCTAGCTGCGATTTTAAGCACATTTTGTAACATGAAATCAATATGTAATTAGAAAAAAAACGCATATATTTTCATTTCTTGGCTGAGGTTTTTGGATCAGGAGGTTGTCTCATTAAACGACTATTAGCCTTCGTTCAGTAGCTGCAAGTTACGAAAATGCATACCCTACGCCAAATCGGGCAATAATAGTAACCATTAGATGTTTGTACTAGTACGTAACGTTGGATATACCAATAGCAGTAGATGCAGAGGTCTCTCTTAACCCTGTCTTTACCACCTGGAAAATGAGAGTGAAAATTTATAATTAACTCGACTTATAATTAACTCTTTGGGAATTAACTCCTTAGCGGTCCCACTTAAAGCGATTAAAAAGAACTCTAAACAAAAGCTAACAAATACCTTGGATGTTTTCTTTTTCCACACTCATAGTGACCTGCTTCCTCTTGATGCGATAAATGGGAAATTTGGCACACATTGCAGCCATTTCATCACTCAGAGTGGAACGATCATTCACAGTGCCAACAACTTCGTAATCGTCTTCAGTAGTATTAGCAGATTGTGAAGAACCTGATGCGCTTTGCTGAAAAAGCGATTCAGAGAAGAAATGAGTTGCTTCCCATCAAATTTTAATTTTACTCATTCCATAATTATAATCTTGCTTAAGATCTCAGGAGATAATGGAGTTAAGATCATGTTCGAAGCCCTCAGTTGTTTTGATGACTGATTTATTGTCCACGAGCACTACAAGAAGTCAAAACTGGGATATGACAGTATGAAAAGACATTGTTTTTATATTAGAGCTTATTGATTAGCCTGAGCCGGAAGAAGGTCGATAATCATTTCGACCATGAATATGTCAGTTATGACATTTAATTAGAGAAAAGCCAAAAAAATCGCCTTCTGAACACATACCATCTTTAAAACTGACACTTTACTGTAAACGATAATTCAAGGAAACAGAAATGCATCAAAAGACGATGGCTTTATCGTGAACTTCAGTGTAAAGTTAGAGCATCGATCGTTGCTCGCGAACTAAGAAAGGAAAGTTACCTTGTCAAGTGCATTTTTGAGGTCTTGAGGCTTTGGAGCGTTTTCAGTGGATTCACTCAAGAAACAGGCTTTGTGTTCAGGCATTCGGCGCATAACCAAGTTCTGTACGAAAAACATCAGCAAGTAAATGAGTAAACAGTAACTATGAATTTTAAATAGTAAAATATCCATTTAAAAATCTTAAATTTTAAACCGCTCTCGGTTAGCTCTTTCTAATTGTAGGGCGCCTTACTGCCGTGTGGGAGGTCAAGGGTTCAAGTCCTCGACCAACACTCAGTGTCTTAAAAATAACCGAGGAGAATGGAGAGGAGTGCTGCCTTTGCTATGCTTATTTACTTTGCTATGCTAATTTACTTACTCTTTTAAAGTCATAGACTTCGTCCACTTCTCCTGCGCTGGATGATTTCGTTTTTGGAATGTGATAAGTTTCCGTCTGTTTCTCGGTGTCGATTTTGACTTCTTGTTCATACTCTTCGTCACCATCTTTGGCTTTAACTTTGTATTTGGACAAAGTTTCCTGTGGAACAAAATATTATATAATATTTACGTTTATGTTTGTATTGTTCTGGTCTCATTCACGTGGACTTTAACAGCGAACCTGATGTTTCTACAAATTAATTAAAGAAACATGGACTAAACGCGTTTAACGGCTCTGTATCGGCACAAATTACAGCTATGAACTGCACAAATAAAAAAATTCTTCCAGCATTGTGCGGGAACAACTAAGTCTCCGGAAACCTTGTATCACAGTTAAAGATTGATGGCTAAAAGTACACTGACGATGAAAGACTGCAAAACTGCAGATTGATATATGATAACACTAATGAGTATTTTTACTTTTACCTTATCTTCATCTTGGCATTTACAAGTGGGCGCTGCAAATGTGGCAGCCACGAACAAGGCAAAGAAAAGGAGGTACACTTTCCACTCCTGATGATAAAAGAAAAAAAGCATTAGTTAGAAATCTATGATTTTCACGCTGTATAACTAAGCCTTGAAAGGAGAGCCCCATCCCTTCTCACAAGTCCAGCTGCATCGTCTAAGCTTCTTTTTCACAATTTGAGCTACTATCAGAAATAGCTGGATATCAAGCATGCGTATGCATGAAAAAAGTGAAGCTAACTTCAAGTCAATTCGTGTATTTAAGTACCGTCAAATGTGCTCACCATCTTTCTGTTGTCCAAACTCTGGTGACGACCGGCTCTTGAGTTCGTTCTTCTTGTGGCAGAGAAATGATTCCTATTTCCACAGTATATGGATAGGAGTCATAAAGCGGTGTTCTTTTATACCTTTACAGAACCTCCTATCTTCCTCATTGTTGCAATCTGATATCGTGGATTGATGACAAAACGTCTGCAGTTGCATCGATTCCCTCATAGATTCAGGGCGTAACTGCTAAAGCAGGGTCACAGATTGCAGAGGGTCAACTTTACATCAACATAAGTAAAGGGCATGCTACCCCTGTGCAATCGCAATAGGTTCTTTCCACTTTATTTCCAAACGTGAAGTAGTAGTGATAACAAAGACGTATCTTTTCAGGGTCCGTAGCTCCACGTATATATCTGTGAGACCCCATAATTAAACTACTTGTGAGGCTCAACATTGAACACGTGAATGATATAAAGTTTCACTTCCTTTAGCAGTAACCTTGCTGCGCATACTCAAAAAAATGATCAAAAATAGATTTCTGAGAGTTGCGATTAGAACTTGATACTTGCCGGAAGAGAATAACATGAAGTGACTGATAACAGGCTTCAGGGTTATTCAGATCGCAGGTAACGTAAGTCGAAATCTTTGTGGTCTGTACTCCTTCGTTTTTGGGAAAAGAATTCTCACAGGCATTCACGGTCAATTTGAAATGCCATCTTATGAAATAATGATTAGAAGTGTTGGGGAACTGTTCCAATACCAGTTAACAGATTCCTTTAAGTCATAAATAGATATCTATTTCACTTCAGATTTCACTAACATGTCCAATTGTTGTTGACAGGCAAAAATCGATTGATATACAAGTATCGCCGTTGGACATGCTCAGTGGTGCCATTGCTAAAGGAAGAGTATTTGGAAGGTTAAGTACAGGTGATTTGTAGACAAAAGTAGGTATTGGAGGATTGTGTCAAAACCATTTAATCTTGTCTGGATTGACTGTTTTTTGAGACAGCAGATCTCACTATCAGCGTTATACCACCGTTCATCTCCAAAACAACAGACAAACGTGGACACGCTTGTAATCCAACTGTTACATACTGTTCGGTGACACGTGCAATTACTCGTGTAACTTATACTTTTGATAATGCTGTTAGTTTATTGGAACTTGACTTCCGAGCTGAAGCAAGTGCAATTCGGAGGTCAAGTTCCAGAAAACTAATAGCATCAACAAAAGCATAAGTTACACGAGTAATTGCACGTGCCACAAAAATATATTTCAGGCAAAATATTGAGTAAGATTTGAAATCATCTCTTAAAACTGTGTCATAAAAGGTAACATCTTCGCCATTTTAAGGTAAAGTACTCTCGTTTCTTTTTAGTTTCACAGTTTTTTTCCTATTGTTCCAGTATCCCTGCTGCCTAAAGGAACATCGTGTAATCAGAAGGCTTGACACCGCGAATGCACTTCCTTTAGCAATCACGTAACCGCGTATGTTCAGTGCCATTCGCCGGGGATTTATCTGTCTCATCACGTGCGAATAGCTAATAACAAAGCCTTTTGAAAAAGAAAAGGTAGCATTTGTTTGCAGTGCGTAGGACATGCAGATAATTGAATCTTTAGGAGGCTAACAAAGTTGTGCTAACACGCTGGGTTATCTGGGTGCCTCAATACAAACAAGCGAACAAGCAAAGCAACAAAAGTATCACCGTAGACTGTAGAACGTAAAGACCCCTACCTAAAATATGAGACCAGGATTCTCTAAATTTAGCCATACAATTTGATATTATCATCACTTTTCTCAGATTATCGTAAGAGGGAAATGTTGAGTTAGATTTGCAGTGTCCACCCTCGCGTTCATCTTTTCAATAAATCAATTTTTACATCGCAATATTTGAAGGAACAGCGATCATACCCTGGCTGCGGTCGCTCATCATGATAACTCAAAGCTATTTTGCTGTGAAGCGCTGTTTGAAAATAGTTTTCAAACCTAAAAGTTTAACATCTATGTGAGGTTAATATTTATTGTATTATCTTTGTCAAACGACAGTTAATCAGTATTATTGTAAAACTATATTTTATCCTTTCCTTCCATCGGGCACAATAAGCATTTTGGAAATTTGTGCCCACTAGGGGACAATAAAAAAAGGTGTTATTAATGATAATTGTCAATGAACAATTCGAATGCGTGACACGACACCTGACCTGACGAATTATTTATCGACAGCGTACATTGATTACACCTTCTAGACAGTACAGTTACAGCGTCAGTTATTGCCAAACAACTGAGTTGAAAACGTAAATTGACCACCATAAAGAGTTTAAAGGCTGACGTTTCGAGCGTTAGCCCTTTGTCAGAGCGATTGAGTTTCGAATGATCTGGTATGGACTTGAGAAATATCACCCAAGAAAGAAAGAGCGCTTTTGACCAACTTCAGAAAGCTGTCTAACGGGTGTTTTTAAATCAATTATGGCGAACCTCTGAATAAACACATATCAATTTTTAAATGCTTTTCAAACCTCTTATATATCACACAATTTAGGAATATAAACGATTTCTTGCTGCATGTAGTGTATTGCGAGGAGCGAGCTTATCAACTTTTAAAAGTTTCGATGTCGCAAGAGGTTAAAAAAGGCCTTTTCTTGAGCTTTGATTATTGAGAGCTTTAAAAAAAATTTTTGACGTATTTCCAGAAACCAATGCGGTTTTATTTACTCGCTACCAAAGATAGTTTAACGGGCAAAGTTTGTGGCAAAACTTTTTCCGATGCGAACACCTTAGACCGCTCTTACAGAGATCGCTATTTAAGTTTCAATTCTTCTGATAAGAAAACAGCTTCAGTGAAAGGGAACATCTATCAACACCAGTGTTATTTTCAGTAATGTAAAGAGATAACCTGGGTGATACGTTAAACGAGCGGCTTTATTTTACTTACTCATAGTCTTACAATGATCATTAGTTATTTATTCCGCTAACAAGTAAGTACAGGCCTCGCGTCGAAAGCATCGCCATGACTTCCTTCAGTTTACACGGTTTGATAACAAATTAGATGTGTGGAGGAGAACACAGATTTTACCAGATCACATTCAGAATTTATCTTTCTCCTTAATCACGTTGAGATGGTCTTTTCGCTTCACCGTAGCTTATAATTAAGCTGTGTTTGAGTTGGAGATCAACACAGATGACTGAATATAAGTTTATGTGTAGCTAATTGTAATCAAGCTTCCGTCATGCCCAAGTTAGTCATTACAGCGCTATTCTTCAACGCAAGTAGCATGCAAAGAGCAACATTTGATCAACAAAATCTTAACTTAAGAACAAGTGTCGGTAAAAATTAAATCGGTCACTTACTAATCGATAATTTTTCTCACAATTGTTTTAAGATTTTGAGACTAATTTGAAAAAAAAGTTGATTTTGTTTCCTTTTATTATTGATTCGACACCCTATGTTTCCCTTGGCTAAAAGCTGCACTCGTTTTTTTCTTTTAATATAGAAAGTTTTAAGATCCAATTACATCATTTTTTCCGTTTTCGTTAGCCGTTATTCGAGCAGTGGTCATCCTCATGATTGCTGGAGGCCATTTCGGAAAATGCCATAATACTTTTTCATACGCATTTTGGGTGACACGTCATCAGTTCTTATTTGATTTTCAACCCATTCTCCCCAGCTGATATTTTTGGCTCTCTATATGGATTCCTCAGCCATACAGAGTGCTTCTGTACAGGGTTTGTTCACACTTTCCGAATTCCAATGTGTCACCTTAATAAAGGAGTCATGGATAATTACGCCCCACGCGTGAAAGAGTATTATGGTATTTTTCGAAGTGTCCTATCTGCCTTCTTCATCTTACGTACATCGCCAGACATAAAATATAAATCTGCAGTAACACCACCCTAGTCTAGTCCATGTCCATCGCCAATAATAGTAGTAGTAACGGAGACATATTCGTCGTCTGAATCTCTTACCAACTGCAAAAATGAGAAAAGTCAGTGTATTACGTTGCGTACCCTTAAAGCGCATGGGTTCATGCAAGATTCTCTAAGCCAGGGCTTATTTAGTAATGATAACCATGAATTAAGACAAAAACACTTAATGTAAAACCATGCTGTCCCTGTAGAAGCCAAAGAGGAGCGTAAATAAAGGGGATAAGCTTTTAAAGAAACTGAAACATTCGCTCTGACGAAGGGCTAACGCGGGAAACGTCAACTTATTTTTTACGGTGGCTCAGTTGATAATACTAAATGACCCTACGATCTTAAATAGCCCGTTCGCAGTAGTGCACTGTGATAAACAAAACTTCCGGAAAATAAAAATGAATTATTGAATGGGTTGTTTTAGAGCAAGCTGGATACTTAGTGAAGGTGCTGAAAAGTGTTCAATGTCATGTGTTTACTTGAACCGAAACCCTGGACTTATAAGAACAAATATCAGAGCTTGGAAAGAAATGAAAGACTTCCAAACTCATCAAATATGCTGGCGAGATTTCTGATCGGAAAGGTTCGGAGACCACTATTTTTCGAGTTACGCGTTCGCTTAGCCTCTCCTTTAACGTACCAACTAGTCAAGTTAAAGGCTCTATGATAAGGTTTGACTGCAGACGAACGATTTTGGCGTCAAAAAGTAAAGAACTGGGGCTTGACTGAGTTTAAAAAATCGCAGCCACATCGAACGTAAAGTAAAAATTGACGACAAAACACAAGGAATCTTACCACTTCTCTTCTTAATGTGATAAATTGGCAGCTTGGAACACATTTCTGCCATTTCATCGCTCAAACTTGATCGGTCGCTGACGATACCATCAACTTCGTAATCGAGCCTTGACGAATTTCCAGCTTGTGGGGCCTGTGATGTACCATTCATCTTGAAAATATTTTGAATAGAAAAAATAAATTTAGTTACAGGGAGTCTTTTTAGCCGGACTCATTTGTAGAAACATTCCGATTAAAGTTGGTTTTGAAACCATCTATATTCAGTGTTCACTGATTGGACCCAAATTATTAAATTGCACGAAACAAGAAAATATGTCTTTATGCAATGAGTAGTAATTACGGACCAGAAAAGTGAGCTTAAATTTAAAATGAACTCACCTGGTCAAGTGCTCTTTTGAGATCGTTGGGTCCAGGAGCATTTTCAGTGATGTTGCTCAAAAAACAGGCTTTTTGAGCAGACATTCGACGCATGACTAAATTCTACAAAAGGAAAAGTAACTTCATTTCAGGGAGGCGCTAAAGGAGCAATCACGAAATATTTGAATTGCAAAGAGAGTTGTTTTTAGGAAATATTCGATTAAGAAAAACAAATGCCAAATTAAATTAACTAGACTCAAGGTTCTAATAACTTAGTCAATAATCCCACCCTTTCTTCACTTACTCTGTTAAAGTCGTAAATAACGTCCACCTCCCCAGCGTTGGAAGAATTCATCTTTGGGATGTGAAAAGTCTCCGTTTGATTTTTGGTGTCGATTGTAATATTTTCAATGTAATCTTCACCATCGACGTTGATTTTAACTTTGTAGTGAAACACGGTTGAATTCTACGAGAAAAAAAGGAGAAACATGAATACTCTAACTTCTTCTGCGGAATGCTTTTCCCTTGATATTAACTGCAAAAGAAAGACACATACATCTAACTTCAATAACCAGGGCTACTTTTTTCTTTACCTTTTCATCCGGTCCGCACTCTTTACAGCCAGGGGCTGCAGATGCAGCGATAACAAACAACAGTAAGAAACAAAGTTGGAAACATTTCAGCTCCTAGTAATTGAGACAAACGAGAGCATTTTAACTCAAACAATAAGCTAAAATCTCAACACTGGTTCAATGCAAACGAAAAACATTTAGAGCAGCAAACTCACCATCTTTCCGAAATGAAATCTTGAAAGATCTTGACTTCTGAGTGTAGCAAAGGCTTGTTGGTTTATCCTCAGTATTCAGGGCGTAGCTTTTTTATACCATTTGAGGTATTCCAATTCAACTGCTTCGCATTTCTAGCCTTATATCATGAAGTTACGATATTTACACCTAAATTGGAATCGTTGTCTCAGTATCGTCTTAGTTCTTGTAGAGATGCTATCACGTTGGATCAGTTTAGCAGCCATACTGGTCTTGACACTTCAATATCACTTTAGTATTGTATTTCAGCGAAGGTAACAATGCAACGTGATATGTATAGAATTATCATTACTTTGACGGGCATTTTGGTGCATATTGCAAGCGAAAATAGATATTTTGGCTTTTAGCCCGCTCTCACTTTAGCATGATTGTTCAAACTGTTTCGTTATTATTTTTTTTTCAGTTTTCATTTTCTCCACCCCATCCCAAGCGATAATAACAGTAAAACATTCTATGTCCTTGGCCACGAACTGTTTCGTTTTTATGTGTTTTTTTTTTTTTTTTTTTCAGTTTTTATTTTCTCCATCCATTCCAAAGTGAAAATGATAGTAAACCAATTAATGTTCTTGAGCATAAACATGTTTTAGGCGGTCAAGCCCTCATCATACGACTCGGGTTAAAATGATCCTGAAAAGAGCCCAAAACATGTTTGTGCCCAGGAAGATAAATAAACTGCTTTGTTTTAACACATGAAGTTACTCAATCCTTCTTTAAGACGAAAAAGACGGGTATATTTCAAAGTTCAAATAACACAAGTTGTTTACTTCCTTAAGCTGACCTTTGTACACTTGCGCAAACACTGAGATATATAGAAAGGAATTCTAATACAAAAATATCCAAATATGGAAAAAAATTCGTAATACTTAGGAAATATGTTGTTATATCAGTCCTAAAGCTTCAATACAGAGTTAAAGCTAAAGTTTTCCAGTGGGCAAATTTCGAGTTCCACACCGTCCCGCAATTTTATTTTTTATTAAGTTAATTACTAATGGTGGAACCTTGTTGTTTGTAATTATTATTACTGGAGTAATTTTGAAACTGTAAATGAATAGGGACAACTCTCTTTAGATTTTCGAAGACTTGAAAAGACTTGTGACTGAAAATATTTTTTTGAACATAACATGAAAAAATTTGTGGATTAGTGAACTCACTGGTAACATCTGACTCGGTGATACGGTGTGTGATTTGACAAATATTGACCCAACCGACCACTTTTGTCAGTTGTTTACCCTACCTTATTAATAAAATTTTATAAACTAGGAAGTATTATGACAAGAAACGCTAATTCGGTGACGCAGAAATTGAGAAAGATATTCTCACAAAATGGCGCCAGTCTGAAAGAGACAAAATCAAGACAAAAATATGAAGGAAACGCAGACTCGTGCGTAGATTGATTGCATGCTTTCCAAATGAACCAGCTATGCAGATTTTTATCTCATCACTAGCATAGCATCAGCAATACTCTGTCATTCATTTCTCAGGAAAAATCTAAACTGAGAAGCGCATAGCTCATTCCATCACATTGCACCGTACATATTTTCAAACATGTTGGTTTTTTATATTTCAGAGCAAGGTATTTTAATATTAAAACTTTCAAATCAAAAGGAAAAGAAAGCACAGGGGCTTTTACATGGCCGCAAGCAATAAACATAGAATATACTTCCTCTTGGTAACAGTCTGCTTTCGATATTTCAAACAATTTCAACCACCGCCCACAACATACTCCACCGAAACTGACACCTTCGGGATATTGGGGGAATGTTTTGATATTGGCCAGTATGGGCTAGTATTGGCCAGTATTAGCCCGTATTTGTCGTGCAAACATGGCGAGGAAAGCAACAGGCATTGCTAAAACATGATATTAAGAAGGTTTGTGAATTAAACTAAAGAAGTACAGGATTCCTAATGGTAAATATTTGTTAGGTTAAATTTAAGTTACACAAAACCATGAAAAAGCTTAGTCGGATAGAGAAGGATACATGTAATTTATCAGCCACTCAAAAAGAGATAAACAAATTTCCGAAAAACCACGATGAAACCGCAGTGAAGAATCCGGATTTTCACTCGCGCTTTTTTTTTCATATGCATGCGCATACAGTCATGAAATCGTCGTGAAATAGCACTAGAAATCGTCCATGCGGGAAACCCCTAGACACAACATGTCTTCCTCTAAAATAGAGACAACTTTATGGATGATAATGTCAAGAAGAATTTCAAGAAAACGAACAGATGCTTCTCTTTGTTCGTAAAGTTTGTAGTGTAAGCCGAGCGCTGGAGACCTGTGTTTGGTCTTCATTTTTTTTATACATGTTATGGAACAGCGGACTTTAAGCGCTCGGTTTGTCCCATGACTTCCTGTACAGGACCTCATTTTTCAATATCGCTGTTTTCCAGATCTAACTTCCCTATAGCTCGTCGATTGTTTTTAATTGTACTTTTGATAGTTCTGACCTTTTCTTTCAATACACTCAGGACAATTTGGGGCTAACCCCAGCGACAGCCAACTTCAGATCACATTCTGTTCACATGTCCGCATTATAAGTATCAAGCAGGTGGCATTGTGGACGCTTTCTCGACTTTACATTCACAGCAGGTTGGGATCGACTGGTGGTTTAAAGGTTAAAATCGGTCAGGATATTAAGGCACCTCTTCCTTTCCAAAAAGAAGACAATGTTCTTACGATGTGGAGTTTGTTACGAACATCAAAGTATTTGTATCTCAACATTAATTGTCTCTTAATTTCATCGTAAAGCTCAGTTTTTTTCTTTGTCCCATCCTCGTGACAAGACGAAAAACATTTTTCTCTATTTCTTTACCGAGCTCAAAACTTACCATCTCTCTTATCCATCTCTCTCATTCTATTTACAAACATGACGCTATCGACATTGCTGATCCTAGCAGTATGCAGGACGCGTGTCATATGAACTTTGTAACCGTAGAGTCTCTGTGGCTCAGTGATAGAGCATCGGAGCGCGGAATCCGAAGGTCTGAGGTTCGATCCCTCGTGGGAACTTAGAATTTTTTCTTTGTCCCACGCTGGTGACGAAACGAAAAACATCTTCATCTGTTTCTTTACCGAGCTCAAAACTAACCGTTTCTCTTATTCTATTTATAAACTAATTATTTATTCGTAATACAGCTTCTTTCAGCGCGAGGGTATGCAGCAAAAGAGCAAACTATTCTGAATTCGGAATCGCCACAGTTTGATGGCGGCGCTGTATGCCTGCTGTATGTCTTAACTCGTCATGGGGGAATCCTTATTCACGTATACCGCGCGTTATATGTGCTACCGCCAATGTGTAAGTTTTTTATTTGCTGAAGGAAGTATTCACGTTGCGTTACAGCTTGAAACAGGTATGTGTAACTAACCAGTTCCTTGTATCTCAACATAGGATGTTTCTAATTTTCTTCCGGAAGAGTCTAACGTTTCCTTTTTATGCAGCTTCCCGCAGCGCGAAGGCATAAAGCAAAAAGCGAGTAACTTAAAGAGATTTGCACAAAGATCACGCTCAATTTGTCTTCGTGAAAGAGGAAGTTTGTTTGGTCCGCTCTGGCCTTCGTTACTGCAACAATCACAATATTGCAGCAGAGACCTGAAGAATTATGATTTAAAGAAAAGGAAATACTTGGGTTTTTTTTAAAATACAACCATCCTTAACCACAATCTCAAGTTGCTAGAACATATGATATGTATTTATGCTCACGCTCCAGAATCCTAGTATACGTTTGAATATCACACGCAAAACACTTCAGTAGATAGCAAGACTTTATATTAGTTATTGGGATAAGCATTTCACGTGAAGGGAGCTGAAAGACGATCCAAATTGTCCTGGAACATTTGTTGTCTTCCCAACAACGAAGACAGTTTTTCCCTCTTGTCAGAAGGCCCGAAAATTAGGATTTTACTGTGTAAATATCAAAATTAAAAAAATATCACACAAAATAGTCATAATATCAATTTAAGGTTGAGAAACATCCACAGCATTCTCTCTTAAAATTCTAATAACCCTCCATACAACAAACGTATAATTCATCATGCACGCAGTCTCCAGTAAGGCGAAACTCCAACTAATTCCTTGGAGAGATAATTCACTCCTGCCGTATCGCAGTCCAGAATATGAATTTTCTAAGAAAAAATTTTTTTTTCGTCTTGTCATGAGCGTAAGATAAAGAAAAAGTTCTCAGTCCTCATGAGTGTTGGATGTTCGGGCTTCAAATTTTACGCTCCGATTCTCTCCACCACTAAGCCACATAGACTCTATACGGTGGGCCAGTCCATTCCTAGGGAAGCTGGGAGTTAGAACCTGTAACTGTCTCTTTCTGACCGGGTGGGTTTTCGTTATACCTCGCTCCTGAGTTCTTGACCAGCCAACCTCCAAACCACGAATGAAACGAGCGGCTGAACTTTGGAAGTCTCCAGGCATACAAGAAGGGATTGATAATGGAACTAATGGTCAGAAATTCGTTCGCAACATAATAATAAACATGATAGGCGTAGGAGTTTCGACAGGAACAAAAGTATAAAATCTGTACATGAATGAAATAAGGTACAAATGAGACATAAAATATAGAAAGGATGAACACAAATGCCCTAAACATTCTGTTCTCTTTTTCCAATTGTTTCCTTCTGTTGGCCGCTGTGAGACTCTCGCGCACATTTTTAAGTTCCTCTCTTTGACGGGCAACCGCCCTGGATATTTTAACATAAACTGCTGTTAGAATAAATGCTGGAATCACGAAATGAGAGTAGCAATAGGCCAGCAAAAAGTTCTCTCTTTTCACATCAGCTATGGGAAGAACAGACATAATAAGTCCGTTTATCCAAATTACTGCGATAGCAATCTTGGCTTTTTTGTTGGTGATTTTGTGAGGATATTGAAAAGGTTTGATCACTGCAACATATCGTTCGTAAGACATCGCCATGAGAGTGGAGACAGCGGCGAGAATCGAAACAGCTCCGATAAAATATTGAACCAGGTTCACAATGAGCAGGTCTCCCAAACCACGGTGGAAGTGAGTTAATTCGACACCTCGTAGGATGCTCACAATTCCAACTAAAAAATCCGCGACTGAAAGATTGGCGATGAGTAACACATATGGAGTGCGCAAACATCGACAGGGATCTCGGTAAATTGTGATGAGGAGAAAGCCGTTGGCAAGAATGATAAAGGTCCCCGAAATGAAGTCAAAAATAGCAAAGATGACAACGTTAGCACCGACCACCTCAGTACTGGGTAAATAGGTAGGCTCCGACAGATTCATGTTCGATGTTTAAAACCATGCTATGAATTCGAAATCATCCTGAACTAATAATCTCCTGTTTAACAATGGAAACTGTAATCTGTCTGTGGTCCGTTTAACATAAATATCCGTTTAACACGCAAACGTGCAGCTTTGATCACAGACCCAAGTAATGTGTCCGCGACAGGCTCACGTACAAATCTCTGATGGTTGTCTTTTGGTCAAAATATTGAATGTATGCAAAACAGCCGCTTTGAATGTTCTTGACACCTACTTCTGTACGTACTGGCCCCATTCCATTAACAAATCTTATTTATATTAGCCTCCTTTGAATCGCTGTATCCACGAAGAATTAAAGTGTGCGCTTAAGGAAGCAAAGATTGAAGACATTTCTGAGTGACGGGAACATAGAGATGAATAAAACTATTCTCTGACGTTCAAACGCTCTTTTTTTAAAGAAAAATAAAGTTTGTTTTCTTCTAATAACTTTGTACCTGAAATCGGCAATTTTTGAAGCTCGGAAATGACCTCTTACACACATACCCGGATATAAGCAAATGAATTTCCGTGTAATGATCTTATATGTTCCTTTAATTTCGGTCTCATGGCTGCAAAATAATCTTTTCGAACCTTGATCACCAAAAGGTGCGAGTGTTTTTGCTCTGATATGAAATTACTTTCGTAAGCAAGAGAAACAACTGACCATGATTCGGTTGAATACAACTTTCGGAAAGACTCAGTCATAAAACATCGCCGCTGTTCGTCTGATTAAGGAAGTCACGTTACATGTTACATCACACTGACGTAACATGAATCGAGTCTTTTTTTATAAGAATGAAAAGGAAAGTTTTCCAAGTGTCTTATTTTATTTCTTTGTTTTTTTCTTCCTGTCTCTACCAGTGTTACATTTACGAATCCTTTCGTTTCTTTCATTTTCAAAATTGTAAACGCACTATTAATTTTTTACAATTTTTTCGTAACCGTTACAGTAGGTTGGTCTTTTCCAACAGACTCGCTTGATAATATTTCATTTCTTGGTTATATAGACATCGGATCATTCTTGTATTAGGTTTCAATTTTGTTTCTTCTCCGCCCACTAAGGACTTGGTAAGGAATCGAAGGGACACTCGGTTCAAGAGTTCCTACAAAGCAATATTCAGTGAAAATGATACATTGATACGTTTCATTCATCGTAGTCCGTAAACCTTTTTTTTTCTTTTTTTTTTCAATGATCTACATTTCTTTACGCTGTAAATATTACATTCACAGAAATGTGCGTAAATAATATTTTAATTTATTTTCAGTTTGTACCATGAAACCATGCAGTAAGATTGAGGCTGCGTTTGACTTCGCTGTAACAGTATAAATACACGCTATACGAGACCTGTTTATAAAATTAGGTATTTTTCTTACAATTATAACGACAGTATAAATCTGGAAAGCAAACATGTCATACTCTAAATCCGTATGTAGCGCTCGTCGCGAAAAAAATGTGCATCCCTCAAAAAGAATATTAACCCTTTAACTCCCACATCAAAATTGTAATTCTCCTTACTGTCAACCATACCATTCTTATCATGCTAGTTCAGAGAATTTAGTATTGGATCAACTAATTATCCCCAAATTGATATTTTTCTTTATTCTCATCACTTATCTGGTTGGTATTGTATTGATGGTGTAAGGATAAATTCTGTCTTGGTCACTCATGGGAGTTAAAGGGTTAAATGAAAACAATATAAACTGCAAGATGTTGTCAGATCAGTTGAGGGGACGTGTTCGCCTTTTCACGCTTTGGGTCAGTAAACTGGCTGCCAAAAAAACTCAGAGTGAAAAAAGAGAGTCGAAAGTCCTCCTCTGATTGTGTTGTTACTTCGCTTTGTGTTTCCTTCTCCGTTTACAATTTGAACGCTGGGACTCGTATGAAATTTGGTGCAACAACCCACAGCAAAACAGACTGGAACCTCAGGGCAAGCAAGGTTGTGCAGATAAGTTAAGAAATCTTATTTGAAGAATGCATAATACATGATATTAACTCGACCTTACCGTACCACCATTCCATGGTTACTGTACGATACGCAGAATATCTTCGACTTCAGTGGAATATGCTGTAAGTACTGGATTGGGTTTTTGAAGGAAACACATTAGCAACTGTTTTAGGATTGGTGGGAAATAGCTCTCCTTCAGTGCATGACGCAAAAGTTTAAAAGCGGTGCCATGATTCCTGACAATTTCAACGAAACGTTCACTTTTCAATAAACCAAGATGAATAAGAATGCTTTCGCCTATTCGCCATGCGTTACAACCCAGCGTCACAAAAGCTCTCGTAAACAGTGCATCAGCACACGATAAAAGTTCTTCGTTGTATCCTTCGAGCGCAACAATGTCGCAAACCCGTTTGAAACTTTTTCCCGCGTCGCTTTCGGCTTCCTGACATGAAGTAGGAAGTACCTCTTTGGTTACCGCAGACGCCAATGCTCGAAGGCGCAGATGATCCAATCCGAACAACTTAGGGCTTGACTTAGATAGAAAAGAAGCAAAGATGGCGGCCAGATTTCTCGGGAAATATTCTTCTGCGCATAAGTGTTCCAGGGCTAAGAGCGGCCCCCTTACGTCTGTAATAATTTCCACGTCATCTTCCTGTTTGAGAAGACCCGTTCTCACTAAAATACAAGTTCCCAGGGCGATCGCGTCAGCTTGTGGATGGCAAAGTCCGAGCTTTAACACGGCGCCTGCGCAACTAAGTAACAACCGCCGGTCGCTCACAAAGACAACGCAGACATGGAGAAAAACCTTAGCGATTTTATCTGCGTCCCACGAGCCACACGCAGTTATGACTTTCTCTAAAAGCGAGCTAAAAAGTAAATTTCGTTTCTTTGCGCAGTAAACAGAAATGTCTGAATTCTGACAGAAGATTTCTAAAGTAGCCTCAATAAATGACGTAGGAGTACTTTTCATGGTAATGACGTCATCCAAACGCGAAAGATAAATTTCAATCTCGTCTGTAAGGAGACCGCTGTCCGTGCGATCAAATACCTGTTTTATGTTTTCTGAATCCTTGATAGAAATCATGAGATTGTTTAGCCTATTAAGGCCTTTCTCTATAGCCTCATTGTCCATCTCTGGAGGATTTTCTTCACAGAGTTCGATCAAAGTTGGGTCTTCATATACAGTTGTCATGGTTGTCTGATCATACACGTTCTCGAGTTCCGATATGGAGGTGTCCGTTTTCGCATTGCTAAGTGGTGCTGTTGATATCTTTTCTTCATTGACTTTCAAGTCTTTCAAAATAGATTCCTTCTCTTGCAATTTCCATTTCGATGGCGGTGGTATGCTCTGATGTTGCTTCGGTATCAACCAGGATCTCTCTCGAGAAAATGAAAAAGAATCTTTCACGCCCTGCAGTAGTTCGACCAGTAAACTCGAACCCGGGTTACACACAAGAACTTGACTTCCCACGAATTCGCCGGGCTTTAGGTAAAAATCACACACACATTGTTCTCCAGATTCATCATTCAGTTTTAATGAGGTGCGCGTTGCGAGGGAATGCTGAATAAGAGAAGTAAAAATTAAATCCCGTAAATTTCTCTCGACAGGTTCCAACTTTTTTCTTGAATCCCAATTTGTTAAACCATCTAGTACGTTTCTCTTCTGTGTTAACAGAGCCATGATAAAGTGCAGCATTTTTGAAGATGCCTCTTTTTTCTCAGCCTTGTCTACGAGCTTCAACGACTTCGTATCATCCGTTTTTTTAGAATAAATAGAGGTCCTTTCCACGAGCTTTTCCGCCTTACGTTCTCCGTTAGATATTTGACTGTTTTTAGTTGTGCCATCCTGATAAAGGCTCTCCTCAGAGTTCGTTTCTCCTCCAGAGCGTCGCTTCCGCCGGGATTTATAGTGGAGTAAAATGTCTGCACTTGCTTTCTGGTTAAAATTAAAAGCCAAACCGACGGCCGTGAAACCAAGTTTGTCCTTAATATTTCTGTCACAACCATTGTCGAGTAGCACTTTTAGATTTTGAAGGTTTCCTAGCTTAGCGGCAAGATGGAGAGCGGTTCTTCCCAGTTTGTTACGCTCGTTGACATTGCAAGACGCCGATGCTAAAACGCGCAAGATTTCGTCAGCTCTTTTCTGTTCACTACTGATGTGTAGCGAAGTCATCCCTTCCTGGAATAGACAGTTTGTTAAGATTTAAAAGCCAGCGCTAATATCGATAATGCACCTTTGGAATTGGAACGACGTCTTCAAGAATACATGGATAAATTAAGTAAATGGTCTAGCGAAAATGGGATGGTCCTAAACGCCGTTAAAACCAATGCATTACTTATCACCGGAAAGAGGCTACATTCATCATTAGCGGAAGGCAATCACCTGTCAATAACCCTTGATGGGGCCGAAATAGAACAAGTAACTTCTTATAAATTGCTTGGTGTAACACTCGATCAAGATCTTACATTTAGCGACCACATTTCTAGTCTAAAGGCCAAGCTTTCTCAGCGTATTGGTTTATTGAAGAAGATAAAGAGGTACCTTCCAATAAAAGAAAGACTCTTATACTATAACGCCTTGATTAAACCCGTCCTTATGTATGGGAGCTTGGTTTGGAATATCTGCGACGCTAAAGAACTCCACTGTCTCCTAAGGTTACAGAAAAGGGCTGCCCGAGTAATCCTTGGAGTTGACTCTTATTCTAGAAGTGTTATAAACTTTAGTAAACTAGGCTGGTTGCCTTTTTTTTTGATGAAATCAAACTAAATAAGTGTACAATGATTTTTAAGAGCCTTAAAGGCGATGTTCCGATTTACATCAGAGACTTGCTCAAGACGAACAGTTCTGTACACAATAGGTCTACTAGACATGGCAATTTAAATTTAGTGTGTCCCAAATACCTAAGAAATAACGATGGTGGCAAGGCATTCAGTGTTGACGCAGTTAAGTTATGGAACAGCCTTCCCCATAATATCAAAAATAAGCCTAGTATAAAACTATTCAAAACAGCTGTGAAAAAGTATTTTATAAGCTCATATAGAAACCTGGACAACTTTGAAACAATATTAAGCAATAGCACATTATCTAATTTTAATTTTTTATAAATTAATTTTATCTTTCTGAATATTTTTAATATATCCTGCTATTTCTATCATAGAATTTTGTAATTATTTGTATATTTATCTATTTATTAGTATTATTTTGTAATGCTGTATAATCTAGTTAGAGGGCCACAGGTTTGTCAGCTTTTCAGCTGTTACGTGTCCCCCTCTATAAATAAAGTCCTTATTATTATTATTATTATTATTATTTCGTAATCGGAGCGTAAGCTGGAAATTCTCTAAGTAAACGTTAGCCTATGAGACACTGTCTACAGTACAGAAATTAAAATTAACTTCAGGTTTCAATCAGGGGAAGCTGCGTATAGTGCCTCTTTAACTTTCCAGTTCAGCACTCACTAGCTTGTTCCAGTATTTCAGTTAGGAAAGTGATACGCGATAGTAAACAGTGCTATAGTGGCGGAGGAGTGAAAATACAACAGAGGTTTGGGTCGGGACGCATATTGTTCTTTACCCGACCCGACCCGACCCGACCCCACCCGACCAAGACCTCCCTCGCTTTTTTCTGCTCCGCTGAAATGACGCCGTTTGTCTTATTTATCTCCATTCTACTAACTAAACACCTGGAACAGGCTTAGTACTCACTCTTGTATTATTCAATGCGAGGACTTTTCAGTGATATTAAAATGAGCTTACTTTCGTGCGACTATTGACGTCACATCCTGCCAAAACCAGAATTTCAACGAGATCTTTATTTCCCTGTAAGGTGGCCAGATGAAGCGCAGTAAAACCCATGGAGTCTCGCCACTCGAGGTCGCATGTTTGTGTTGATCCTGTTAGGCTGCGAACGGCTTTGAGGTTCTGTGTAACCACAGCGTTATGGAGGGCAGAATATCCATACATGTCTAGGCAAAAGATAATAATTGAAAAAGGCCTCAAACTTCAATTCTGCACGTTTTGCTAAGCATTGTGTCATGCTAGATCTCCTCAATCTGAAAATATTTCTCTCAAAGCATTAAGAGAAGTCTTTCTGCGTGGAATTAAACGCCGCTTCCCCTTACGCGCTACATTTGCGGACAACAACAGCAGCAAATAAACTTGTCGTTATGAACGCCGTTTTGGAGACAGGTGGCTCTGTCAAGACAGACCATTACATCTTAATGTCATCAATATTGACCTTTACAGCCAGAAGATTCTCTCAAAATCAGCCCACGCAAGTTACTCTGCATGTTTCGTTTTCATACTTGTTGTTGCATTCTAGTTAACCTGGGATTACTGAAACACCGAAACGCAAATGTAGTTCCGAAACGTGCAGTTGATAGCATTTTACAACGACAGTTTCACGCATAATCATACGAGCTGTGTTAACTTACTGAGTTCCAAACACAACGTCTTCAAAATCTTTTAACTGATCGATATTGGCATGCGCAGGCTACATGTTAATAATCGCAGCTGCGCGCTAGAGTAACCTGCTTTACAATCACAGTCTGAACGAGGGAAACTAGAGAAGGTTTAGAGATTGTTTCTTATTTCCTTGTTGCTTGCCCGGCACTGGCCATCAACCGAACAGCTCGAATCCTGAAACTACATAATTCTCCTTAAACTTCGCCTATTACGTCCTCTTTAAACTTCCCAAAATTTTTGCATCAATTCCCTCTTTTTTCTGGAAGAAACCAGTTAGATCCTTCCTGGGGGGAAGCAATCAGTTCTAGCAACGCCGGAAACTAGTACTATTTCGGGTTTGTTCTAGAACTTCTAGCTACTTCACTTCAGCAAACGGATCAGATGACTACGTGTGGGAATCATGCGCCATCCATCGAACAGCCTCAGGCCAACTGACACGAAATTAAATGTACCAATTTGGTTTTCTTGTACTTTATACTCATATCATCATTCATTGGATTTATAAGTTTATTTTGCCTTTCGGTTTTGGTGTAATACGATGAAACACTACGTCCCCATGCAGTAGTTCCAATCGAAGGTTGATAATCTAATTTGGGTAGCCAGGAAAGGAGCACACACGAACATGTTTAGCTATGTCTGTTTATTAAACGAACATCTCTTACGTTTTCGTGTCAGTAAACCGCAAACCGGCCACGAGAATAAGCCATGTTTGTTTCTCGAATATTGAATGTATTTTCACGACAATCGAGCGATGTTCGCTGATTCAGAACGCAGATAAATTTACAAAGGGAATGACGCGGAAACTTCATAACATGAGAAAAGGTCAACAGTGAATAAGCTTTCATAAGATTGTTAGCATAAAAACTTACTGTTTGGAGTTCAGTTCAAGCACCATATCCTGTCAAAAGGAGACTTTTTGGTCCGTTTTGAACATAATCGTTACTTCATATGCAAATCTTTTAGAGGCACGTACATCCCACGAAAGCATGGCAACAATTTTGCCGAGGCTCGCTCGAGTAACCCCCTTGATCGCTTGAGGAATGTCGTTTTGTCGGTTGAGATCTTTCGTCATCAAATCCCTATACAAACAATCAACATGATCATTATTTATCGACGTCTTACAATCCTGCTAATGGACTTAGGATAAGATGAAAAAACCAGGGGTGCTGATACTAGATAATTAATCATTAAGTTTGATTTGTGAAAAATTAATTTGAACTCCATTTCTTTGGCGTGTTTGACATATAAATGTTGTGCCTCTCGAAATAAAAGAAGGCCCTTATTCAACCTGAGTGGTTGTAATACGATAGATTTCAGTGTGTTATTAACGCACAGTGATATTTGAAACGCTCTCTGGCGCATTTTAAGATTAGACATTTTAAGTACAAATTTGGTGGAGTGGATGTCACGCCTTCTGTTGAATCTTAATTTCCTACTTGGAGGTTGGGTACAGTACACATGCAGCGTACAGGGAATACGTTCGCCGATGGGATTTCGCGCGCAAACAATTCCTTTTGTGGCTGTGAACGGAAATGAAGGGTTCGCAGGACGGGAGTCGAGCGAATTGGTTACCAAAGGCGCGAAAATCGCATAAAAGTAGAAAAGAACAAATGCGCGTATCAAACTTTTCTCGAAGGTCTCCATTTCGTGAGCTAGGATTTAAAGTGAAAATGCATAAGTCGTTAAACTAACATACGCACACGAAAAAAAAAAAAAAAACAGACCGGCCCCTCAAAGGTAATTGACAGCCCAGCCTCTGCAACTTCACAAAAACAAACTCGATGACATTTGAAGAAAGGGTTAAAGAATGGTTTGGGTATGCCACGATTTTAAAAAAATATTACTTCTCTAAGACAAGAAGAAACTAAAAGGTTTGAAATAAGCCAAGAGTTGACAAGGAAGAACACAGATGGACAAGATCGAGCGGACGATCTTGAAAGATTTGGGTTTAACTTCTGTAGTGTATTGGGAACATAGTAAAAGTACTTGTACTTATATTAGTAATATAACTGTGATATTATGGGACTATTGTGATACTGTGGGACTACCGAATGATGTAAAATTACGTTAATCAAGTTACATGATTGCACCAACTTATTAGATAGTTGATCAATGAATAAAGACACAATATAGAAAGCAATTAAAGAGTGAGTGTTTCCGCTAAATAAATACACAACTACTTCGATTAACTTTTAAGATGCAAGAATGGCTATATTCAAATTTCCTAGCCTTTTCCATAACTTACGATCAGGGAGCTATAACTCCTTGCCTAGGCCATGTCTTGCCTAACCACTACCAGTTAGCTATGGCACAGGTGGGTATGATGAATATAAAAAGGCATTCCAATGATCCCAAAAAGTTTTTCCTCTGTAGTATACCGTTCTGTGTATTTTCAGGAGCCAGTGAATTGAATTGTATTTAATTTTTTCCCCCGGTTTTCGTCATCTGTTCTCTACAGCAGCTCAGCTGAAATTCTATTGGCCAAGCTAGATTCTTATTATCTCTGTGGCTGACACAGATGGCTGATGAAAGATAACAAGAAAAAAATTACTTTATTGGTTCCCTTAGGCCCTTCTCTTTCCGGAGGCGTGACGGGGCGTGTTCCCATAATTGGAAAAAGATCTGGAAACTAGTAATTGCGTCATCACTTAGTAAGAAACCGCTGGATATGTTACTTTATGGCCTTTTTGGCGCAGCAATGGCCGTCCCTCGTGGTAGTCAATGAGAACTCTTGACTCTCGAAACATGTAAAGAAACGCAGTTTGCTCTCAATTAACACCATGACGAACATGCGTTAAGCACAAAATAAACCAAAGAACAGCAAGCCGACAGTCTTGCCTGAAAGAATGCCTTCTTCGAACATCAAACGCAAGAAAAAGCCGGGACCCACGAACTCTCCGACTTCCAACGGAGGTAGTGGAAATTACACAGAGACGGCAATGGACGAGTTTCTGGCCCGCCTGAACTTGTACAGAAAGCCAATCGCGAAGGATGGCTCCTGTCTTTTTAGAGCAGTGTCAGAGCAAGTAAGTTCCGTCGCTTTGTTTATTAACAGAATGATTTATTAAAGGCATTTTAAGGATTTAACATAACTGTTGTTATTCCTATGTTTGATCGTCCATCACCAGCTCTAGAGACGTTCGAAATTCTGTTTTTCGCCTTCATCAGTGCTTTAGTGCTTTACCTTCTGACAATTTTTGATGTAACTTATGTTTCTGTTGTTCAACAAACAAACCTTCTCTTGGGATGGCCTCGTGATCGAACGCTCAATCGATACGAACGCTACGTTAATCAAATGTTTCACTTTATTCTTTCACATTAACTCAATTTATAACATGTACATTTAGAAAACTTCCTACGATATTTTTTCTCTTAGCAATTTCTTGTTGCTTTAATTTGTTAATGATGACAGTTTCACTCCAGAAAGATTTAAGCGTTTAGAGTTAATGACAGTTAGTGAATGCACCTACGTATGTAGATCTGAAAATTACTCTGTAAAACGTCAGCTTGCCCGCATTCGGTAACTAAAAATGCCAGCATGCTATCTTTGTTTACATGCGAAATAAATTGCAGGAGTTCAAGTTATGTAAAACTTTTATCCAGTGGATAAACATTTGTTTTAGAAGTCTTGCTTTACTTGTCGTTCTTCGGAAAGAGGTATTAACAAATGATCGATGCTTCTTTTTTTTTTCCTGTTTGTTTTAAGGTCTACAACTGTCAAGCCAAACACCTCCAAGTCCGTAAGGATTGCATAGACTTTATGAGAAGAAACAGGGAGAAGTTTGAAGCGGTAAAGTATTTTGAAAGTATTAAGAGTTGTTTACATAGAAAAAAAATTCCACAGCAAAGGCAGCTTAGTGTCCAGAGCCCAGTTCTTAAGCAATCAGTGAGTGTAAATCTAGGATTAGATATTAAAGTTGCTTTTTATTTGTCATCTAACCCTTAAGACACTTAATTAGAGTAAGTGAATACTTGACTGTTTAACTTCCAGAAGTGATTAAACCTTTAACTCCCAAGATCTCACTAGTAATTCTCCTTACTGTCTGCCAAACAATTATCATTATGTTTGTTTGGAGAATTTGGTACCAGATCAATAAGAAATCTTATAATTGATATTTTTCTTAATTCTCATCACTTGTCTACATGATATTGTGTAGATATAGTAAGGAGAAATTCTGTCTTAATCACTCACATGTAACTTCTTCCTATTACATTCTTACATTATCCAGCAAATAGGCAATGAAAATACTCCAATTTATCAGGTAGAAGTTGCGTTCATGATCTAACATCAAATTCTTGTAATTTTTGTACAAGGAAATGTATAGCAGCTAGAGGGAAGAATTAAAAATTAGATTTTGAGAAACCACTTCTGGAAGTTATAGGGTTGAAAGCCATGCAGGGCGTGAAATTAACTTTTTTTTTCTGATAGCCACTTGGCTCCTGAATTCTTCAAAGTGGTAGCTAATTCAAAAAAAGTTGGTCGCCATTTTCAAAGACAAACAAAATCTTTCTTTACGCTGTCAGAATTCTAGATAGACCCTCCAAAATTAAGTTGGGGAAAAGATCTTTAACGTGCTACAAAGTGGACGCTAGGATGGTTGATATACAACCTTCAGGCTCATCTAAATCCAAGATGGCGTCTAGTTATCGATCGAGATACATGTGCTACGTTTTGGAAACAAACTAAACGAGGAAGTTTGCCGCGGATTTATCTTTGCAAATTTATTTAATTCACTATATCTCTTGGTAAGGTTATGATGAAATGTGGCGACTAACTTTCAGGATTTGGTTGCCAAAGTGAAAAATTTAGTCGCATTGGTGCCTGTATTAGGTGCAATTTTGTGCCCTGCCATGAGATGTCAAGTGCTTGAGCATGAAACACCAAAAGTAATGTCATTGATACTCTCTGCAGCATAGTTTGTCGTACTAATAGCTATGGTGATTATTGTTCTAGCAACCTTGTGAAGTAACACAATAATCATGGACGCTTATTATTGAAGCCCTGATACATTGATGTAATGTTAACCTTCCAACAATCCTATGTTTTCAGTTTTTGGAAGGACCATTTGATCATCACTTATTCAGACTACAAAACCCAAAGGTACAGTACATGTAAAGTAATTTGTGAGTTTTCCAACATAACAAATTGGATAAGTGTTGAACTTCAAAAAGGTTTTGCACAGGAGAAACACAATCATAATTGCAATCAATACTTAATCCTTTGCACTGTTAGATTAGCGTGCATATTCTCTGTACCGTTCTATATACATTGCCAAAGGAGCTGATAAGGAGAAATTGTCTGACAATCAAGAGCTTCTTCATTTTGGTGATCATTTCCTTTATTCTCATGACCTTAATGTGTGATTTAGAGGTGATATTGAGAGGAGAAATTAGATGCTAGTCAGTCTAAAGGTTCAAGGGTTAAGAGCCGCTGCTTAGGTAAAATCAAAATTTTCAAAGACTCAACACTTCAAACCTGCTAAAAAAAAACTTTGTATACTCAGTCAAAATTTGTTGGCATTTATGATCTGTGAAACTTTCTTGCCTTCATTTTCATCACAGGAATGGGCAGGACAAGTTGAAATAAGTGCTCTTTCACTGATGTATAAGTAAGTATTCTGTATATATAGTTGTATATACAAAATATAGGTACTTGACTCTCAAATTTGTTGCCTGCTTGTAGAATCTTTGCAAACTGAGAATTGAGTTACAAGAGGTGACTGCTAACTTACATCTGACAAGTGCCTTAGACTACCACTAAATTGTCTTAACTTCAGTTTTCTGGTAATAAAATTTTCTTGTGCTAAAACTTCATCTGGTAGAACAAAAGACAATACAACCTGTTATTGACTTTATTAGTATAGATGAAGCAGACATAACAGTTTGTTTTAACTTCCAGGAAAGACTTTGTTGTTTATCAAGACATCAATGCAGAACCCACCAAGGTGACTGACAACAATTTCAAAGACAAGGTAATTATCATGAGTAAGTGGGATGCTTGTGGTGGACCATGTTCATTGTAATCAGAAATGGAATTTAGTCAGTCATGTGCTTGTGCTTCACACTAAGGTTAAGCCCTGTTGGCTGGGGTTTCTCCTTGGATGGGTAACTGTTGTTTAATTTTTTTTCTTGGTTTTATTTTTTCGATTTCATTCCTATACTTTGAAAAGTCAGCATTAAATTTGTTATTTTCTGCATAAATGCGCATGCATGTAGATAAGGACCAGCACATCCCATGTTAACACCTCACAGGATCTTGTTATAATTAAAGAACAATGAAAACTCTGTGAACTGACAGTAGAATTTCAATTTATACATTTATGATCAGTGTTTGCCTTTGCAAACACTCTGCTTTTACATAAACCCCACCGATTGGGAGAAGGGTTTAATCCTAAATACTACCATGTATACTTTACAAAGATGTAAATGTATATGGAACTTCTGCCTGCCAGCCTGGACTCTTCCTAAGATTGAATTGCAGACACATCATGAAACTAGTCCCAAGTATGGTCATTAATGTTCTTGGCCAGCAATAGCGAGTCTTTGGGTTACCTGGCATGGTGTGATAAAGTACATGTTCTCTAGTTTTCAAATAGGTATACACAAAAGCAGATGTGAAAAGTTCACCTTTCAGATCTTTCACTGTTCACTATTCTCTTCTACGTGTCCCTTGATACAAAATGTAACTTTTTGTCAACTCTGTTTTCAGATCCTGCTTTGCTATTCAAATGGAAACCATTATGATGCTGTTTATGACATGAAATTCCAGAAGATCGCAGCCATGTGCCAATGTAAGTGAACTCATAAAACTCAGAAGTTACTAGGCTGTAAGTACTTATAGTAATTATAGCCTATAAATAATAGTAATCACACTTGGAGTGATATTAAACCACAAAAATAATCACACTTCACTATGTGACTCCCCGGATTTAAAAAACATTTGTTTGCACTGTCTGCCATACAATTCTTACAATTCTAACCCTGAGAATCCTGCATGAAATCAAAGTTTACCCTCTGATTGTTATTTGCTTCTAGTCTCATCACCCTTATGCTTGAAAATGTTATTGATGTATTGCAAAGAGAAATTCAAATAGTGGTGAAAAGTTTAACCCTTTAACTCCCTTGAGTGACTAATACAGAATTTCTCCTCACAATATCAAGCAGACAAGTGGTACGAATAAAGATAGATATCAACAAAATTAGTTGATCCAATACTAAATTATCAAGCATGATAAGAATTGAATGGCAGACAGTAAGGAGAATTAAGAAATGAGGTCTTCACTCTAAATGAGAGTGAAAAGGTTAAGCAAGTATCTGTGTACCCAGATGTTGGTTAAGCACAGGGTACTTGTGTAGAACCTCTTGTTAAGAGGCAGGGGCAATTTTTGTGAAGATAAATTTGTCATATTTTATGATACAAATCTTGAATGTGAATAACATCCCTCTCTTTGGTGTCATCTTCCACCAATTCAGTTTCTGTGACTGTACTTACTATAAGGTTTTTTTTTTTCTTTAAATGCTCATTTATGGGTCATGTGAACATATATTAGTGTTTTGTCAATAAAGGGGGTAAGTTTCTAGAGAAACTATAGTGCTGCATGGGTATTGAGTGTCATAAGATGATTAGGCTTTATCAACTGAGTTAATAATGTAATTTTGCCACAGTAGAAAGTTTCTACATCAAGCATTAGCCCTTTGTCAGAGCAATAGCCCTTCGTTCTTCCCTCTGGTGAAGAGTGATTGCTTGAAATGTCAGCTTTAGAAACTGTTAATAATAGCCAAATTACATGATCAGCTCAGTTGACCAAACCAAATTTTTTTAGTATTTTGTCAGTTTTTATTGTTTGCAGTATTTCTGACTGGTCAGTACCTATTGACCATCTTAACATATTCTATTGATTTTCTTTACTGAAGCTGTGGTATATGAGCTCTTGTATCAGAATGTGTTTGGAGAGCTGGACAGAAAATGTGGTTCTAGACAGAATTCTCCTGGTGATCTGAACAGCATGGGAACAACAAACTTCTATCAGAATGGCCTTGGAGGTGAAGAGTCTTTCAAAGAGGATGGAGAAGACAACTCTGGTTGGACAGAGGTTGTTAGAGGAAAAGGTAAAGGTATGTTGCTGCTGAAGACATCAATCTGAAAATGTAGGAATTGGATCTGATTTAGAAGTTTGCAACTGCTTTAAGGCAATTTTCTACATCACAAAGATGTTGAAAATTTTTTAGTCTGAAAGCTTTTGTAGAAAATGGAAATATGTGGTTTGAAAAAGGGTTAATATTCAGAAAACCTTGCAGCCCTACCCTCATTGTTCTCCAGAAGCACCAGTAAGTGACATTTTTATGAACAACCTGTTTCTGGTGTGCAGGTTTCTTTACTATAATAAAAAAAAAAACAGTGAAGTCTTGTCTTGATCTGAAATACTCTCAGACTTAATATTTTAGCCTAAGCATAATTTATGCCCATTCACAAAAAGATTGATATTGGGTAAAAGTAGTAAGAAAACAAATCAGCAAAAGCAAAGGGGAATACATTGTAGATGCTGACAGAAGACACGTAGATGCCTTTGCCCTTTGGACAGTCTTGTCTGTGCCAGCTGCTGTTATTTTTTCAATGGCTGGCCATTCAGAAATATTTGGAGAATACGGTGTACTCTAACAGATTGGTGATTGCTACTGCCCTGGCAACTTTGTATGGAATGGTTTGGGAGAAATTCATTGCACTACATAAACTGAGCTGCATCCTCTCTGTCTCTTTTTTTCAGCAAAATCTGCTCGGCAGAACAGAGGTTATGATCAAGAGGAACCCAGGGACGAGCCAGCAAAACCAAACTTGGATCAGAAACATGGATGGCAAGCTAAGAGGTCTCTAGACAATGAACTGTACAGGAATGTCGAGCTAGAAGTGTGGGAGGATTCTAAAAATGGTAACTGAAGCTATTTCATGCATTGCTGAATTTTTCTTTAGGATGCAGTGTTAGTATTTTTTGACTGTTGTGTTCTGTGTGCATGTAGCTAATTACATTTGAAAATTTGTTTATTCAGCTCAAGAACAGCAGGATCAGTGTTTTGCAGCAAGTATTCAGTACCAGCCAGGAGATAAATGCTTTGTAAGTAAACTTAATATCATACACTGTATGATCTTATGCAACACTGGAGTGTTTCTCTAATCTTAGAGAGAGCTGATAATGACGTTATTTAAGTGTCTTTCCTTTGTGTGTGTGTGTGTGTGTAATTTAGGCATGGTTGGGGCCACCAGAAGCTCCAGACAAAGTTTATGAGGCCTTGGTCGTCTTTATCCTTCCACTCCAAGCAAGAATTGAGGTGAGTTGATTACTATCTTCAACCTGGAGCAAAGAGGTCTTCTAAGGTGAAAAGGTTTCACATTTCATCTATCTATTTTTCTTTTTGATATTTTCAATGTTTCCAAGTTATGTACTTTTTTTTAGCAGTTGCCTGTAGTTCATTACATTGTATAACTCTTCTTATTTATTTTAAAAACCTTTTAATCATCATTTATTTTCCAGGTGAAGGTTCCAGAGCTTCAAAATAAACGGTACCCATTTTAAATTATTTCATTGTTTACTTAATTTTGTTTTGATCAATTTCTGTGGTCTTGCGAGGGTTCTTTCTTAATACTAGTAATTCTGAAAAATACCATTTTCTTTATTTCCCAAACACTGATTGTGAGAAGATGACTCAGACTAAAGTGTATCCCTTTGTGCATATGTAGATTTTAAATAGAATACGGATTAAGTGGGATCAGAAAAGTATGGTTATTTATTGTGTTGTCTAAGAATTATGATAATTTGTCTGAAACAAAGGTTATACAAATTGAACGACAGGTATTTTAAAATACTTTTGTGTTAACCTTCTAACTCCCCTGAGTGACCAAGACAGAATTTCTCCCTATAATATCTCTAAAATCAACCAGATGAGTAATGAGAATAAAGAAAAATATCAATTTGGGGATAATAAGGTAATTCAATATTAAATTCTCTGAGCTAACATTAAAAGAATTGCATGGTTGACAGTAACAAGTATTACAAATCTGATCTGGGAATTAAAGGGTTAAGGTAACTTAAAACTTGAATATAATTATATATATATATATGACAGGTGGTTAGTTATCAGTCACTCACTTGCATGTCTTTATTTGCCTGTAAACTTTTTCTTTCCTTTATTTATTTTTTGGTTTCATTTTTGTCAGTTTTATCATTCCTCTGGAAAACTTGAAGCCCTCTGATAATCAACAAGGTAAGTAAAAACAAACATAGTGTCCTGACTAAGGACTTTGTGTCCATGTAATATACACCATGTGTGTGGGGAAAGATGGGAAAATTGGCACTAGAATCAAAATTTTCTTTCATCAGGATCAGGAATGAAATCCTGATTTGTGTTTTTTCTTTCTCCAGAGTTGAGTTACAGAGATTTAACTGGCTACTACAAAAAATCTGAATCCGGAGGTCCCTCTTATGTTGATGGTGTGTTTGCCCCACAATTAATTCTTTTTTGTAGCATTTTATTTTCTGCTTGACTTGCTTTGAAATTTACAATTTGTGGGGAACTGTACTTGTGGATCAATGATTAAACAATATTTTGTAGTATGATTTAACTTAGAATTGCTGTACTGATCTCTATAGGTTTGCGAGATGATGGGAAACGAGGAAGGAGAAGGAACATTCAAGGAAGAACCCAGAGAGGATACAAGGTCAGGAGAGCAACACCATGTACATGAATTGGATCTTTTTTTTTATCATTTGTTTTGTTTAATTTTATTAATGTTATCTTCATCTGATTCCATCCCTCCAAATGTACCTGATGCATCCCAACTTGGATCTATATTTTCATGTTGCTAAAATTACATTGTGTTGATTGAACTGATCATTCTTCATTAAGGGTGACAACTGCATTTTCTACATACCATATTTTATTGGTTATTAGCTGAGCCTGGCCCTAGACTTTTAACTCTTAAACTTGAGACAATCGTCTTCAAACATAAACGCAAAACATTCAGCTATAAGCCGAGACCCATTCTTAAAACGTATAAGAGATGTGAAAAATTTTCAATCACATTAAGCTTTTAAAATCTGTTAAAATGAAATGCTGTAAAGAACAGGTTAATTATCCTACGGTATATAGTTACTCACTTGGTTATTTGTGTTTTGTTTTACAGAGTGACGAACACAGCGAAGATGCAGCAGGTCGGAAGGGTTTTCAGGTAAGATATCTTTTATTAAAATAAATACTGAATTGTACACAAACTTGAGTCACTTAAGCATCCTTAAGAATTTTCTTAACTCCTTAAACTATAGGAGTGACTAGCATCTAATTCCTCCTTAAAGTAATACTGTTGAAGAATTCCTTAAGATTATGAGAATAAAAGAAATGATTGCCAACCTAAGAAGCTCTTATTGTTAGACCAATTCTCTTCCTCAGTTCCAAAGGAAATATATGGATGAGAGTATGGAGAATTTGGAGACTGATGTTGGGGTGTAAATTGTTAAGTGTGAGAAAATCTTTGAAAAGAAAGACATTTTTTTGTGAGTTTGAGCCAAATATGAAATCTGGGTCACCTAGAAGGATTAGAGGGAACTTTTCTTGTTCACGATCTGATGCTTTTCCATGGTGGGGCTGAGCCTCATCTCTCTGATCTGTCTGTCTTGTTTGTCCCTGGTTGGTAACAAAATGTGTAACATCTTTTCTTATTTGAGAACCAAGTTCTAAGTTAACAACTTCCCTATAAACTCACCTAAAAGTAGAGCACTTTTTATCGAGTTTTGTCAAACCAAAATTTTAGAAATCATGAGTGCCAATCTGTACAGAGGAAAATATTACATTGAGCCGGTGGGAATTGAAAGTAAATACAAGCAAATTGCTTGAAGCGGGGGAAATCGAGGGTGACGATGTGGTTGGTTTTAGTTTTGCATCTGATTGGTTGAGGGGTGGTGCGAGTTTTCTGGACCAATCATAGAGCGTAATGCAGAAATCTAATGCACCCTCGCATTATTTTTGACACTCCTGAAAATCGCTACAGTAGTTTGTTAGGGTCAAGGTCCTTAATAAGAGAAGAATGAATGAACGCAGAGGAAGAATGAAGACCAGTAACCTTGGTTTTGTCTTATTTTAGGATGACACCTTTCCCAGACCAAGAGGTGGCCCAGGACCACGTGGGAGGATGAGAGGGCGTGGCCGCTTCCAAAGGGGAAGAGACGAGAAACAGCTTCAAAAGGAGGAAGATGAAGCAAAACAGATAGCAGTGAGTGTACTGAGCTTCATCTCGTAATGGTATTCAACTAGATAACCTTAAAATGTTACTTACCAGTGTCTAAAAAGTTGTCTGTTGTTGGTAGCTTTACAGGTGACGTTAATTCCTCGTATTTAATTGTCAATCGTTTGTTTTCCTCTCCAAGGAACAAGCTAAGTTGGCGGAATTACAAGGAAAGGACCCAGCGGCCTTCCCTGCTCTACCAGTGAGTGCTACTTCTTGTAAATAGTCGGTTAAAAGCAAACACCATCCACCCTTTGACCCGTGAGGGTGACTAATATCTAATTTCTCTTTACGGTATTACCTCCCCCCCTTCCTCCGTCCCCCTCCCTCCGAGTTAGACCTTACTGTGTCACGAGAATGTAGGAAACGATCACTGACTAATTAAGCTTTTGATTGTTTCACAAATTCTTCTTGTCAACAACTTAAAAAATGTGTAGAGGACAGTTTGGAGAATATGCATACTGATATCAGGTTGTCAGGGGTTATGAGAGGTTTTTTTCTTTAATTTATACTGTAATGGGGACATCAGTGGTAGACGCAGAGCCCGAACTGTTTGTCTGTTGGGGCTATGGTTTCGCACCTTTTATTTAATGATAGCTTTATTTTGCTTGCTGTAATAGATTTTAGGGGTTTCCTTTCACTGCAAAAATCAACTCTTTGGATTTTAGTTGATCTTACCAAACGATCATTGGAAGAAGAACCATTTCGAGTTTTGCAAAAAACATTTTTCCCCGTTTTGATTTCGTTAGACCCAGCAAGCTGAAGAGCGGACCCCTTCATCTGAAGCTGCACCTGATCAAACCCCTGCAGAGTTCTGGAGCCGCTTGAAAAACAATCAGCTGAAGCCTACCGGTCCACCCAAAGAAAACCATGTCAGCACAGAAAACAAACCTCCAAGTGTCTTGACGGTTAGTCAGCACCAGTCACATGGCGAGAAAGAACTGGAAACTGAGAAAGAGAGATTTCTGGCCAAAGAAGTGAAAACACCTGTGGCTCTGGATAGTGAGAGTGCAACTAAAACGGAGAGTTCGTCTCTTGAAACAAGCAGTGTTCTTGGTCCTTTGGAGAATGCAAAGAAGGAACAAAGTGATACTCAGAAACAACCTTTGCCTGTAGAAAAGGAACTTTTGAAAGGCAAGATAGACCTTCCGAAGGGGCGTCCATTGAATGAATTTAAACAGCACACTACAGCATCTTCGTCAGATCTGGAAAGTGTTCCACAAACGTCCAACATGGAAGAAAATAAATTAATGGATTCTGCTGAGATAAAGAGCGTTTGGATAAAAGATTCAAATGAAAGGAAAGACGTAAAAACGCAGGATAAAACTCCCGACAGTAGCGCCAAACTATTGGAACAAGAAACAAAAAAGACAGAAGAGCTCGTTGCGAAGCCGCAAGGAACGCGAGGAGTGATTCGTGTGTCCAATGTCAGTAACAAATCAAAGCAGGCCATGGTCAGTGAACATCAGGAGGAAGCCTCGAAGGAGGATGGTAATTTGTTCAGAAAAGAGGACTCTATTCCTAAAGACACACCGAACCTCAAATCAGCGCTGGCAGGAGAAGGTTCTGCATCGACCTCTCCTGAGAAAAAGACTGTGACCTTTGCCGAGCCCCTTAATGGAGGCGGTGAAATTAAAGTTCTGCATTTAGCTGGTAGAGATGGAAAGAGAGATGTGGTTGCTCCGCCAACTCTAGGTATAGTCCTTGTGTTTGTGTCGTACGTGTTCGTGTTGCACAGCGCCTTTTAATGGAACCCAGCTTTGTTCCTAACAAGAGAACAAAAAATATTCCCTTGTCCTTTGCTTTTGTTGCCATTTTCAGGGAGAAACGCCTATGAAAGGAAAACTTTCATGGAGGGGGGGTGGTGGTGGTGGTGGGTGGGTGGGCAATGAAGTTTGACCTCTTTTAGATGATAGACCAAGTTAGCCATGATATTGAATTAAAATGTTCCTGATGACACTCACTGATAGCTTCATTATTTTGTTTCAGTTTCCGTTGTGATGAAACCTCCTCCTTCAGATATTGCAGAGAATTTGCCAGTTCCCCACGTGCCTGTAAGTGTAGTTAATTCTCGTGTAAGAATTATTTACTGCGATCTACTGTATGTGTGTGTTCTGCATACTATTGTTATCAAACTGAATTTATGCGCTTGTGAACTCAAATTTAAATCCTATACAATGACGGATTTTGCATGTCTGAAATGAGCTATTATGTTGCCAGTCTCCTTCACGCGCAGCCGTCGTTTGAGCTTGTCACGCAACACCTTGTCTTTCATGTTCCGTGACAAGCTCAAACAACCGCCTGGAAAGAGGTCAGTGTCGTGCATAAATCTGATGTTAGTGCTGCGCTAGATTTGTTGTAGTTCTCCTCTTAACAGTTAATTTACTCTTGTCAACCGGTTTTATTTCTCAGGCTAACAAAGCTGACAAAAACACGAGCGAAGACGAAGCCACGAATCCCCAAGCCTCCATACCCACCCTCGACAGTAACACTCAACAACAGTCCCCCACCCCCTCCCCCGCCCCTGTAGACACCAACCAGAGCAATGAAGGAGCAGACCCTGTGCCGTCCAGCTCCCCGTCAGTTGCACAACAGCATCAATCGTATATTCAGCTGCCGTTCCTACCCGTTATGTTCCAACAGCTGCCGAACATGACCAGCCATCCACGCATGCCTCAAGGGATATCGATGGAAAGCGACGGTTCCGATTTGCCCGATGGTAAGTTGTTTTGTCACTCTCTTGACCTGGCTAATCTGAATCAAGATATTCAGTGATCGTTGGTCTATGGCGTCGGTTCTTTGGACCTAGCACTGTCTAACCTACAGCTGACTAGCTCAGGGCCTCTTCTTATTGGCCAGCGTAGCGGTTTCTGACTTATCACCTCACCACTCTCTCCTTAAATATGAATGAGGAGGCAAATTGTTGAATAACTGTAAATTTACGTTTAACCCTTTAACTCCCAAGACCTCATTGGTAATTCTCCTTACTGTCTGCCATACAATTCTTATGATGTCAATTTGGAGAATTTGGTATTGGATCAACCAATAATCCCCCAATTGATCGTTTACTTTATTCTCATCACTTGTCTGCTTGATATTGTATTGATATTGTAAGGAGAAATTCTGTCTTGGTCACTCATGGGAGTTGAAGGGTTAAGGCGCTCAGCTTTTGCCAGCTCGATTAGCAGGTAACCTCTAAATATTTACTTATCAGAGTAGATATTTCCGTAAATACGAAGCTAACTCAAGTAGGGTTCGTCGAACGCACTCACAAAGATGCTTACGGTGTACCTTTTTTATTTTCCAGACCCTAACACTCTCCGATATTTCTTCAACCTTGGATTTCAGGTAAAGCTTAAACTGTTCGATAACACCCAAAACTCTCACCAGTTGTCGTCGCACTTTGCTCGACCAGTTTCCCATGCATGTAGTTTGATTTTTTACCTAACTTTCCACCATTGCGACGCTTATCCTCGGTAGCGCGATGGGAAAGAGTCTGGGATAGACTACAATCCTTCTCAGTGCAGTGAAACACTGTAATTTTCTTAAACATCGATTTTTGTCAAAAAAAGTTTTTTCCGAGACTGATAGTCTTACACCCTCATTTCCTTCTCCCAAGACTCTTATCAACTCCCCCGACTTTTCGATAGATACAGTCGTGTCCCGATAACTTGAACCCTCGGAAACACGAACAAAGATCGATTTCCGTCGTGTACTGCATTTTTTACCCTCGGTAACTCGAACTCTCGATAACTCGAACCTTCCGCGTAGTCGAAACAATTTTCGTTTTCCCTCAGGTCACTCTCTTTATATTTTACCCTCGATAACTCGAACCACGTCTGTCAATGCATGACAAATTAAAACAATGTACTACAGTCCAAAACATTCGTTTTAATTTATTTTGAGGCAGCCTTGTTATCTGTGCCCTATTTTGCAATACACATAACGTGTCAGTTTAGTTTAGATTTTTTCAGTCAATGGTACATTAACACCAGTGCCTGTACAATGGTTGACTCAAACCTTTATAGCTCCCTTTGAAGGTTCAAGTTATCGGGAGTTGACTATAGATCATAATTTAGCCAATACTTAAGTCGAGAGGAGATTTCTTTGATTAACTTGTTGTCCATATTGCAGTACCATGTCCACATGTGCAATCAGCAATGGACCAACCAAAACATGATGTATTATCCGTCATTCTACCAGATGCCTTCCCAGGATCACATGGGGGTGCATCCCGCGGTTTCAATGCCACAGCCTGGTAACCCTGGGGTACCACAAGTTATTTATCAGGCTCAGCAAATGCAGGTGAATAAGTCAGTAATGCGAGTTTGGTCAATGCTGTCTTGCATTTTGTACATACTGATGGGGTTCTTTAACAACTGATAGTAATACATTTTGCTTGTGTCTGTCTTCTTAAATGCACAGGGCTACCACCCCCCTCAAATTCAGCCAGTTGTGCAAGAGGGCACAAGTTTTTCTGACCGTAATTCTTTGGACAGAAGCAGTCCCGGGCAGACACAGCAACAACAAACTCAGCAGCAGCAACAACAACCGCAGCAACAACAAGTTTTGCACCAAGGCCCGCCGTTCGTACCCAACCAGCACCATCCCACACCCTGGCGAGGGGCTCAATCGATCACTCGGTATGGCCAGGGGAAACATATGCACATGGGTGGATACAACACACCGCTGCAAAACCAACAGAATCCTCGCGGGCCTATGCAACAAGGAGCCGGAAACCCTAAGCCGTATCACAAAAGTAAGAAACATCAGAAGCATCGCAACGATCAGTTTCTCTTCGGCGGAGCGCAGTCACAGCATGCGCAGAATCAAGGCCAACCTATGCATGGTGCGCATGCTTTTCAAACTGCTGCCCAGCCCGCTAGCTCGTCTTCCAATGCCTTTTACATGCCAGGAAGCGACCATGCCGCTGGAAAGGGGTCTGGAGACTATCATTATCATGGTAACCAACAATTTATGAACTATCACGGCAATGTCTCTTCAAGCATGACACAAGCGCCGCATTCCGCTGGTAACACGCGGGCGCAGCAATTTTCTTAAAGCGGAACAGGATTGAAATTGTCTATTGAAGGCCTATGTCTCGGATAAAGACTGTCTTGTGATGGTAGCTGAAAAGCTAACGGAATGGTTTTGATATGTAATTTAAAAGTGTCTTTGACAGTGAGGAGCTGGAGGAAAAAAATACCTACGACGACCTTAAGTTTCAATATGGCTCTCTTTTCGCCGCAATGTAGCAGCAATGTCGATTAAGCCCTGTCATTACAATGCGCACAAAATGCCGTTGTTTTAATTATAATGCTGAACAGAGCTGTTTCGTGGGCCCAATATGACAGCTGTGTTGGCGTAGTGCGCGAACAATAGTGGAAAAGTAAAGGTTTTGTATTGGGCCAACCGTACGGGTGGATTGTGGTAATATGGCTGCCTTACTGTCCTAGACACTTCGTTTTCATGTTTTGTTTAGCGTTATGTTTATTGTAGTTGTGGTGTTTTGTGTTAGGGAATAGCCAAATAAAAATGTGACGCGACGGAATGCTTTGTCGTTTACTTTTGTTTGGGTTCATGAACACGCAACAGTGGATGCCGAGTAATAGCAGTTTATGGTTCTAAATAAACTTCTCCATATAAGTACCGAAATCGATATATACTTTTACGATATCTCTAAGTTCGCATGTGCGTTCTGATCGGTCACTTTAGCGGGCGCTTCGCACTTGGGCCATAAAACCGAGCGGTCAAAATTCGATTCGTAACGCTCAGTACGGGCATCAAACTCGATTAGTTAGAGGTATTTCTATCGAGTATAACAAGGACAGTCTGTAGTATGAAATGGTTGTTCAAAATTAGACGAAGTGGTTGTGATTTTCAATTTTCGTTATTTTGGTCATGTTGTTCTTTACTTGTAGTGTGAAAGTATTACAAGATCTTAGAGTACGAGACTTCAAAACATTAACATTCCATTGCTCAGAGCCCCTGTAGTTTCGTGCTTGTTGCATGGATTTTGCATTTTCTTTGAGATCGTGATCTCGGCAGAATTCTGTGAACCGATCCAAACAATACATCGGTGGGACACTGCAATAAGACAATTTCAGCTTTTGGTGGGGTGGGCGGACGCCTGCAGGTTACACTGAATGATAAGCTGTGCACGCAAGAGCGGAACGCACGCAAACTGTTGTTACCAGCGAGCGACATAGAGCATAAAAGGCTATTTTTAAGCACAACACCCTAATTTAAAACCATATGTTGTGGAGGGGTAACCTTCTGGCGCACGTACTCCACACTGTCAAAGCAAAAGGACCACTTGAAGTCAAATATTAAAACTCGTCGAAAAACTACTTTTTGATAGAGCCGGCAAGCTACAGGGAAGGCTGATATCACGGGTAGTTCGTCAGAATTCAATTTAAATTACATAACACTAAAATTCAAGCTTCTTGAAGGGGTAAATCGTCTATGGGGTTTATTTTTTTATTCGAGTGGTTGAATAAATTTAGAGCTTGCCAGCTGTGTTAATCCATCAAAGAGCTCTTCGGAGAAAAGCGTTGTACTTAATACCCTGACAAGGACTATTGCTATCGGGAGAACTACAAAACACCCCGTGCTGCCTCGCTCTGATGATGAGGTCAGTACTCCTTACTCAGCCCGTACAGCGGCGAGTTCATGCCAATTTCCTTTTCAAAAGTGCCTTGTATGGAAGTTGTGTGAAGGGTATTTCGCGGGGCGTTCGAAACATGCATTTTTTATTATTTCGGCGCGTCTAACATGTAACGAATGTTATTGAATTTGAACAAAAAAGAAAACTACTTTGAAGAAACTAATTGAAATAGCGGTAATTGACAGAGGCGCTGAATTTTTTGACCGGTAGAGTAACTTTGTATGAAAAAATTTTGTTTCGTTGAAGTAAATTTTCCATAGTTTACATTATTTTGTAAAATGGTGCAACCTCGGAAACTGCTTCAGAAACATTGCAAAAATAAAAACTTTCAGAACAAAAATATCAAGCTCGATGGACTGCCATCGCCGCGGGGACTTACGTTTAATGGATAAACGTTGCTTAAAACTTTATGAGGAAAAATTTCGTATCATATCTAATTGAATTTGGTTTTAAAAAGAATTTTTTTTTGTTTTTGCCCATTTTATTAAGTTAAACTTGTTTTATAGTTTGCGAAAAAAAATCTGAACGTGTTGGTAAATATTCATTATTAAAAAGACTGGACAAAAGATGACCCGTAGGCGCCGCAAACTCTTCTTGATTTTTTCGGCTTTTGCAAGGCGTAATTAAACTTTGGAGCGGAAATATTGCAAGTATAAAAACAGTCATCCTCCGACATGAAATGAACTCGGCCGAAAGAAATCGGAATTGTATGAAAGTAATGAAAGTTTCCGATGTGATGTCTGTCGGACATGCGCAAAGTTTTGCAAACCGTGAGTTTAGCGTATGGATGAAAATGTCGGCGCCAGCTGGTCTGAAAGAATATGACATGAAAACCAATGATTCCTGAAGGTCCAATTAGAAAATGGCTTACTGAATACTGTCCTGAGCTTTTTTTTCGCAAAAAATAGCGTAAGTGGGGCATAAATTCAAGTGATCAGAAGGGTATTTAAGAAACCCAAGCATAAAAATGAACTACTTAGCGATTACATTGCTAGCTTTTTTTGTGAACTTCTCACTCGATGAAAATCCAACTTTGGGAGGGTTATTTGTAAGCGGGTGACTTGAGATTATATTTAAGAAGGATATGCACCGAGAAATTCTTCGTTGTCAAAGTTTTCCTCAGCCCTAGAGCAAAAACTGCAGTTAAAAATATTAAGGTGTCACAAAGTTCTCTCGCAGACTACTATCTGCAGGTAGTACATGTTACGTAATTGAGTATTTTTGCTAACATAAACATTTGCTAACCAACCTAATCTATTGCTAAACCGTACTTTAAATATTTAACTCTTTCGCGCGGCAGTACATATTTATAATACTACGCTCAACTATTATTACGCAGATAAATTTTACCTTGAAAATTAGCGAGATGGAATATAATAACGATGTTTTGCAAATGGTCCACTCATGTACAAGAATATTTTGCATGTACGTTTCCTTAAAGCGATTCAATGTTTTCTTGGAGAACAGTTGGAGAGTTGAAAGCGCCAGGCAGATGTTCTCCTTTATATGTACGTAGCAAACATTCTCAGCGTGTGTCTCTGAAAATTCAAACTGTAAAGATGATTTTTATACCCTACGTGCAGGTTTTCAGTCGAGTCACGTAAGCAAAACATCATTCATGTCGTCTAAGCTTTTTTGCCTTTTCTATGAAACACAGGGTTTTTTTAATAGCATGTTACATACATGGCAAAATATTATATTTGGATCATTTTTCGGAATACCTTGATTTCACGAAGAAAGTTCCGTTTTTTGAATTGATATGAGGAAGATATGTTTTTCGCTGTAAAGTGGTGCTTTCTGGAGATCTCCTTGACGAGGACTCTACTTGGTTCCCATTTTGATCATTTGCCCACTTGAAAGATTCGCCGCCAGATATTATCGGCAGTCTTAGGGTTTTACTTTCGTCGTCACTAAGTTCTAAGTTCCTCGCTACGGTTTCATCAGTTTTATTCCTCGTCTTTGGCCCGCTCCCTACGGTCCTGCGATGCGACACCTTTTTTCCACTGTCTGATCTGGAATAAAATTCAGGCATGCTCGAACTTCTTCTCGTGGGACGGTTTCCATCCTGCAACCTTTGATTTGATAATTCCATCGTTTCATCTGCGTGTAAATCCGATTTCCACTCATTCCCCGTCCTGGCACTTCGAGAATTACCTACTTTAGATTTTACAGACTGTGTTTCCTTCGATTTCGCGGCGACCAAACCTTTCCAAAGTCCACCATTGCTTCCTTCGATGAATGGTAAGGATGCGCTTCTCTTGCGGTGTCGTTTTTTATTTCCGAAATTTCTCATCTCGATTGGAGAGAAATCGTCGCTGCATTCGTCCTCGCTTTTTGTGCTATCATTATCGAAATTATCGAAAGCACTGTCCCGTGTTTTCGCCATCAAAAGTGATGATCATAAATTATCGTTAACAGCTAATTTTTCTTGATACTTTGTCAGATTGAAAGTGAAAAACATACACCGGCCAATAAATTCTAAAAACTGACACCGGATAAATCTAAAGCTTGAATTTGTTAACTCAAGGCCGACATTGCGACTCGCATATTTACAGACTTCCGTTAATATTATGATTTCAATACAGCTCATAAGCTGACGGGAAAACTCAATTCCTCAAAGCCGCGAAGTGGATGATGTCTCCGAAACCTACAGACTGTTTAGACCCGGCGAGCGGTTTATAAACAACCACTCATATGAAGTGCTGCTGTCCGTTTGAACGCAAAATGATTTACTGCCAGGAAGGAGGAAGTATGGTTCTGTACGTTCACTGTAAAAAAAAATAAGGAGATAAAACAATTGTTTGTAAATGGTCTCTTGTCATTCCCCTGTAAAGAAAATATTGACGCGCCGTTATTGGCTGCATGAAAGGTCATAATCGATCCTGGCGATCTGGTTTGAAATACATCGGCAGGTGGTCGTGATAAACAGTAGCGGTGCTTTCCGCGCGCTACTTTGGTACACATTTCGAATTTATTCCAAGCTTAATTAACTGTTTTGCCAAGTCTGAACGCGTAAAAACAGTAGTTTGTCTAAGATGTTAGGCCTTGCGGTTTGAAATGTGCAGGTGTCTACGCTCTCAACGAATCTTGGGGAACTATTGTACCTGCGGACAATAACTATATAACAATAATGATGATTACAATAATAATTATGATAATAATAATTGGAGTATTTTGCATGCGTCTTGTCCGACAAACTATCTGATGTACGATTATTAAGCCAACTGATTGTTATTGATTATAGGAGAAATTATTCTGCTCTACCACAGAATCAATCGATCACTTCACGGTGACTGGCAACAGGTTCTTTTGTTTAACGACTGAAATGACATAATTAAGAAAGATGATGTACATTGAGCTTGATCTTATGATGTAGAAAGATGTTATTCATCTGTTACTTGCGTGGGGGGAATAATGGTTTTTATTTTCCCCACGCTTGTGTCAAATATATATTACGTTTCTTTAAATAAAATAAAATTTTTGAATTTTTAAACATTACTCTTATCAGATGTCAACTCACTCAGGTGTACATAACTCATTTGATATTTTTTATCCGATGCCTTTTTTCTTTGTAAAACTAATCAAGTGTCTAAATCATCTCTGGTCTTCCTCACAACGAACGTGGTTCAGGAGAGCGGTGTGGAGAAATGGGACGATATCAGAAGGAAGCTATTGACCCCTCGCTCTCGCCTAGAGCCTGAAAGTCGGCGTCAGTTGTAATAAACGATTTCAAAGCGGCTAAAATAGTGCCCTAATTGTCTCGGTTTTACTTGACCAGGGTTCGGCATCCTTAGAGATCCGTCGAATAGGAGTTTCAGTTGATGCTGATGGTGTTGTCGGCCTTGCCTACTTAATTACTCTGCAAAGATGTAAGCATAAACCTTTACTAGTGGTCTTTTGCACCCATGTCACGTTATCCATTCACTGGGATCGAGTCAAGAGCGCAACTCGCGCGACAGGCATCGCGCGTGCGTTTTATGATGTTGGCACCGCTTTCTTGTCAGCGGATTCTCCCTAGTCTCAGTCTCTTGATCAAGAATTGTGTCATTATGGCGATCAACTTTCGAACCAGCTGTCTGCTAATTTGTTTCGATTCATAATTGTCAATGACCAAAATGGCCAGTTATTTCAAAGAAACGCTAGGAGAGCTGCGAGAGACAGCACTCAAATCACTGGAAAAAAATAAAGCCAACAATAGTACCGATGATGGATCTGAAAGCACGAATCTGTTCGTCTCGTCGCTCGTTATCAACCTTTCGTTATCCTTACTCGCACTCGGCCTATTCTCGTTCTTACGGCCGAGACTCAAGCAGATTTACTCTCCACGTCAGCTGCTGTTGGATGTGATGTTTCCCCTGGGTAAACTGCCTCATTCGTTTTTCGCGTGGGTAATTCCTGCCTTTATGGCCAACGATGATGATGTGTTCTATTATGCTGGGATTGACGCGCTCGTTTACATGCGATTTATGCGCTTGTGCGTCAAAATATCCCTGGTGATCATGCCTTACGGTATTGCAGTCCTTCTTCCGTTGAATTATTTCGGTAAAGAAGGCCTGCATGGCTTGGACAGGGTTGCTCTCTCAAACATAAAACATAAGTCGTCTAAAGTCTGGGCACACGTTGTTCCTGCCTGGTTTTACACTTTTATTATTTGCTATCTACTCTACGAGGAATGGAAAATGTACATCATGTATCGCCAGGAATATCTTAGCAGCGGAAAAGGCTATCAATATGCTGTGTTAATTAGGGATCTACCAGTTAAGGTAATCAAACGGCATCTCTCGCGCCTGATTGTTAAGCAATTTCTCTCCACATTATCAGTAAATCATCTGGCGAACAATCAATGAGAATAGGCAAACTTATCAACTAAAAAATTTTTTCCTCAGAAAAAATCATAATCCCTTATACAATTTTTGCCAAAACCTCCCACCAGACCTGTAGATGTTGTCTGAAACCAAAATTCCTCCAACAACTTAATTGCATTTTAGTTTCACTTTGAAATTCTTGAAATATCAGTCAAAGAATGTTTGGTATTGACATGGCTCAGAGGCAATATTAATTAATTGACTTGAAACTTGAAACTTTACCTTATTTGTGCTCAAGTGTAGAATTAAAAAAGAGGTGTTTCTGAAGTTTAAACACCCCCCCCCCCACCTTGTAAAAAAATTTCTAGATCCACCACAGCACCCCTTGCAACCAAAACCCTTTCACTCCCAAGATCTTTACAGTAATTTTCCTTACTGTCTGACTTACCCATTTTAGATGAATTGATTTTATCAACTGAGTTGATAATGTGAGGTAGCCTCTATAAAGAGTTTCTATTAAGCTAATGTTTCACGTGTTACCCTTTCGTCAGACTTATTTTTTGATCTCTTTTACTCCTTATAGTTTCAAAATGAGCAAAGCATGAAAAGCTATCTTGAAGAACTTTTTCCAGACCAGGTGTGACTAGTTGATTATTTTTTTGATAATTAGAATTGCAACAGTTCTTGTATACAGTGCTTAACACCCAGGTATCTTTATTGTGCGTAAATACATAGGATTAACCCTTTTGTACCTTTATATCAATATGTGTATTCTCCATACTGTTCTCTAGACATTTCATATGGTGCTGACAAGGAGAATTTGTTTCACAATCAAGAGCTTCTTTTGTTGGTGATCATTTCCTTTATTCTTGTCACCTTAATGTTTGATTAGGGTTGATATTGTTGGGAGAAATTAGATGCTGGTCACTCTCAGGAGTTTAAGGTTTAAGAAATAAATTAGTCGGATAATGAAAAAATATCATGTGCACATGAAAACCTTAACTTTTCTCTGTTTTTGTGGCTTTTGGGAATTTGACATTAATCGCCATGAATAGGCAAATGAGAGGCTCCATCTTAAAAGTTGCCTTAATCAAAATGATTGGATGATTATTGAATTACATTAAATCTGATTTTGTCATTAGATTGAGGATGTAATTATGATTGAAGATCTGAGGAAATGGCAGGCATTGATTGAAAAACATGACAACCTAGTGTGGAAACTTGAACGTTCTAAGGTAAGTAATAACCAGGATTAGGATTGTCTGTTGATTGATGTAGTGGTCAATACATGTCAGTCAATTGCGGGCCAAAAGTCACCCAAGAGGGGGTCAATTGAGTCAGATGATAGTTGATTGATGGTTGACAAACATGTGAGTAATAGTCAGCCAATCTCGTTGTCAAGGTGTCAGTTTACTTTTGAGGCAGTGGCTTATCAGTGAGATGACTTTCAGTGGAGCATTAGTGGCTCTCCTCAGGGAGCACTTCCTAGTGATGATGTATGAATTAAGTTTTCATTCATCATCAGTTGAGTATTGTGGAAGGATCAATTCACCGCTGACTTATTGTTAGCCAAGTACTGACTGACACATTGAACATGTTTAGTGTGTCAGGCCAAGTGGCCGAAAACTGCTGCAGCCTATCCCTGCTTTCTGAAGCATAGAGCATCCAGGAGTGTATCTACCCCACCTTAATAGGATGCTGGTCCATGGCTCCCCCCTGAAATGTTAAAACTGAGTGGAGGGAGTCTTTGTTGGAGTAAGTTGTCTTGCCTAAGAACTCAATGATCCATTCAGGTCTCAAACCCTTGATTTGAAATCAAGCATGCTGATGGTTAGGCCATTGTATTTCCTAGCTCGTTGGCTAAAATAGTAACCAAATTTATAACCTACCTTAGTTATAGTGCACATGATCCTTTTACTGAACACATACTTGTCCACATGCATCTGCAGTATCATGTCATTCCATTTTTTTTGACTTTCAGGCAGTTTATGAATTGACTGGAGAAAGACCAACTCATCATTCACATCCTTGTGGCACTGAATTAGACTCTATCACCCAACATGAGGGGGACTTAACAGTAAGTTATTCTTACTAAAGTAAAGGCATAGGAGACTAGAGTAAGATTCCTTCCCCATCCCATCCCACCTTCTTAACTCAAAAACCCTGATGTTTCTATAGAAATGAATGCTGACCTTCAAGCAAAAAACAGCCAATTAAATCTGACAAGCAGCTTGCACATAAGCCATTGAACAGTGTGTATTCCAATCAAACTGAAAGCAGTGGATGCAGAACAACTTAAATTTTTTAGAAAACTGATTTACCACTCCTAAATATCATTCCTTCAGTCAGTCAGTCATTTATAGTCAGTCAGTCATTCAGTCAGTCATTCAGTCAGTCATTCAGTCAGTCATTCAGTCAGTCATTCAGTCAGTCATTCAGTCAGTCATTCAGTCAGTCATTCAGTCAGTCATTCAGTCAGTCATTCAGTCAGTCATTCAGTCAGTCATTCAGTCAGTCAGTCAGTCAGCCAGTCATTTTGTCAGTCAGTCAGTCACATAGTCATTCAGTTAGCCTGTCAGTCAGTCAGTCAGTCAGGCTGGCAATCATCCCATGATTTATGTAACTAACTATTTCAAATGTCTCTGCTTTTTTTCCCAAGACATTACAGAGCAAACTAGAGAGTGAAATGAACCAAGAGCACAACATTCATCCATGTGCTTTCATAATATTCCGAAGTTTGCGTATGGCAACAACAGCAGTGCAAATAGGATGGGATAACTATTCCTTGAATATGAAGGTAACTCCAGCACCTGAGGTTACAGATGTCATCTGGGGCAACCTTGGGGTTGGTCTTTGGCGAAGGTATTAACTCAGACACTGTATATTTAGTATAGTTTTTATACAGCAAGGATATGTATGAAATTTTTAAAGAAATTTAATTATGACTAAACCTCTCAGAGTTTTTCAGCTTATCAGTATTTGTCAAGGATTAAATAAAACTCAAGTTATCTTTTCTCTTTTACTTAATAAGCAATTGGCTGCAATTTCCATGGGTTTACTGGCAATAACCACTGCAGGATGTTGGGAGAATAACAGAAAAGTTTTAGAGGCAATTTTCATGTACAAACTTTTTGAGTGTTCTCCAAGTATTCTTAATGGGTTGTTACGCTAGTGCACAGATAGAAAGTATTTCATATTGCTTTTATAAATAAATGTTAAATGTTTCAATTTTCTTTTTGTTTATAAGTATAATAAATGATAGATTTTTTAACCAATCAGGGCCCTTATATTAAGTATCTCAGTCACTCTATAAATTTGCATAACTTACAGTGCATTTTCTCGCAAGAAAATTCCAGATGCATAATTCCACTGTCAAATTAGAAAAACTTGTTGAGATTAGTCGGCACATCATGACCCATGTTTCCTAAAACTTAATCATACAATGTTATTGTCTCCAGCAAAAAAAAGAGACTACAAAGATGTGATGTGATTAAGACTATCAGATGGGATTCTGAAATTTTCCTACTGGCTCAAATGTTTCAGAACTTTCCACAACCTGAACATCAGTTGCTGCTACTATCTTTTATATGCTTTTGATTATTGGTAAAGAGCTGTGCTTGAGTGATATGATTCAAATGATTCGAATGTACCCTCTTACTGTCAGTTTTTTTTCACACCTGTCTTTTTTTCCATCAGGAAATTTTGCACAGGTCTGGTCTATGCTGCAATATTTGCTTTGGTGTTTTTCTGGGCAGTGCCAGTTGGATTTATCTCAGCTTTAATTACAATAAAGAATATTGCAAAAGTAGCTCCCTGGCTGGATGCAGGTGAGTCATTTAACCAGTACACAACCTAACATCAGCATACACACTCTCTTTCCAGTCCTTTATATATTTTCCATGGTAATGACAATGAGAAGTTTTTTAATGATCCTAAGCTGCCTTTCTTGGTGAATGTGTAAGGGGAAAAAAAATTACCCTTAAGGGTTAAATTATTAAAACTTAAGGGCATAACTGCATCAAAGCTGGCCTTCATTGGTGACAAAGCTGTAAGACAAGAGTTGAAGGTTGGAGTTATGGAGGAGCTGGTGAACTAATGAATATTGGAGTCTTGAAAGAGATTGATGTGTAATTGTAGTTGTTTTCATAATAAACAGTATTTTTATCTATCATTATTAACAACCACTAAAATTATTGTCAGATCTAAGGGCTGCTGTCAGACTTTACTTACTATTTTCCAATTTTAGACACCAGTGTCCAACTTGAGACATTCATGAGCAATTTTAGACACTTGTCTGTAAAATAGGAAACTGTTGCAGTAGGAGTTTTGGAATTTTGTGTGAAAATGCACCTGTGTACATGAAACAATTTTATATTTTTAAAAATAGGTACACATTCTTTGTGCTGTTTGATTAACATTGAGGTAGAACTTTTCTGCCTGAGAATTACTTCATTTTTTTATCTTTCAACTTATCTTGTCATTTGGTAGTTTTAAGCTATAATAACTTCGCAAGAGGGATCATTGAAGGGGTTTTATCGAGTTTAACACTGTGGATCTTCTTTGCTATCCTACCGTTGGTAAGTAGAGTCACTTTTATTTGCTGGTCAAGTAATTTCATCTAAATAAGACATTTTTGTTTGTGTTTATACCTAATAACTGCTTGTACAACTCAGTTAACCCTTTCACTCCCACAACTGACCAAGACAGAATTTCTCCTTACAATATCAAAACAATATTAAGCAGGTGGGTGATGAGAATAGAGAAGAATGTCAATATTATTATGGGATTATTAGTTGATCCAATACCAAATTCTCTGAACTAACATCATAAGAATTGTATGGCAGATAGTAAGGAGAATTACTAATTAGATCTCGGGAGTGAAAGGGTTAAGGAGCTGTAACGGAAGTGGAGTCGAGGTAAAGAAAACATAGCAGTCAGACATCTGTGCATGTCCAAACATTGTAAGGACAAAGAGGTGGCCCAGAGTCAGGGTAGTTTCAGACGTTCTAAAGCAAGTTTTTTTGCAGGGATTATAAGCTGGTATTGGTGATTAGACTTTTTTGGCAAGCTGGTACATCAACAGAATACTCCTGCAATTGAGTAAAATTTGTGTTCAAAAAGTCTTAAGATTTTTTCCCTTAATTTTATTACCTTTTTCAGATTTATTTGGACATTACAAAGTACTTTTATGGATATATGTGGCTGTGGTTTTCAGTCAGATTTCCCTAAAAGCATTGCACAACCGGCAAAAATTGTCCCATTTGCACATTAATCATAACCATTACAATTTCCTCAAATGTGATTGGTGCATCAGCTGCTTTATATTTCTCTAATCACTCTGTACAGTTGTAATCGGACGGTGTAATTAGACAGTTGGCTGTCATTGGACACCTGTAATCAGACAGTTGAAGCAGCCAATCATACAAAGTCCACTCGGCTAAATCCACCAATCATAGAATTGATCACAATAACCATAGCAACAACCACTTACCCTGTAAAAAGTCAGGGAAATTTCCAAACATTTTGCTTTAGACATTGTCCTTACTGGAGATGTTTGTCCTAAATTTTTTTTTTTTTTTTTTTTTTTTCGAAAATTTAATGGTTATGATTAATTGGTAACAGGACTTCATGTTGGCCAATTCTGTCTGTAGTCATACTCAAGACTGACTTAAGACATTGTCTCCACTAGAGGTATTTGTTTAAGGTGCATTTGTTTTTTCAGAAATTGAAATGTTTATGATTAATTAATTGGTAACAGGACTTCTTGTCGTCCAATTTTGTCTGTAATCATACTTATGATTGACAAATCGGACTTCTGCTTCGTGGTCATCCGATTTTGTTAATCACTCGTATGATTACAAACGGAATTGGACTTCACTCAGTCCAATTACCATTATGTATTACATTTGACCGTTGTATTATGTAAAATTACACCAATCAAAGTGGCCCCTGCCATTAGAGCTTATCACTGCTTTAAGAAACCACAAAGAGTTTAAGAGTTGAATATATCCCAGTTGACAGGATACTTGTTACTTGTATAAGACAGATTGACTCTAACCCACCCTCCCCTCCCTTCCTTCTTCTCATTTGATTTGATCTCATTTAGTAGAATTTTTCCTTTTTCAGATTCTGGAGAGGCTTACCAGACTTGAGGGCCTTGCTTCACAGAGTGAAGTGGACAAGTCTGTCCTGGGAAAACTTTTCATTTTTGTGGTAATGTTTTCAAAATTATAAATAATTTTTCTAATTTTTAACTTAATTTCTTCAGTTTGAGTTGAAAATTCCATATAATGATCTCTTTTGCTTTTGAGCTTTGCACTGTCTAAGGTAGAAAGGTATTGTAAAGTCGGATCAATATCAGTATCTGGCAAACTGCCCACCTACCCCTCCCCTAACCCAACATTAACCCTAACTTGTTATCAATTGACTGTTGTTGAGTTAGAGGAGGGGAAGATGGCCAGTTGCCCAGATACTGAGATTGATCCGTAAAGTCTGCACAAGAGTCAAGCGGCCAACTGGTTGAAAACCAGTGGTTATTTTCTTGACCACTACCAGAGCGAAGTTAGCCAAAAGCGAGACATTTTGAGATTATTTTGGACACCTGAATCAATGGGAAATAACTTTATTGTTGTTGTGCCTCTACAGATTGTCAATCAATTCCTTTTTCTGTCCGCCGGGGCAGCGGTTTTCGGAAAATTTAAAGAAATACTGAGAAAACCTGAGGATATACCGCAGTACTTGGCTCAGTCCTTGCCGGCGCAGGCCACGTTCTTTATCTGTTACATCGTGTTTCGTGGTCTAACTGGGACGTCACTGGAGCTTCTGCGCATTTTTTATCTTATTATCATTCCTATTAAACGGAAGTGGTTTTGTCACACTCCAAGAGAAGACGAGGCGGCCTGGAGACCACCCTATGCCATGTATGATCGACTGGTATGTATTGTTTAAAACTTACGCAAATTTTTTTTCTTAATGTTGTCAAAAGTCTCTTCTCAGTTAACAGCTCTGATAACGTTTAATCATTCTTCTCTGATGCTGAGGAAAACGGTTGACAGCTATTGTACCGCCAACACCAGGAAATTATTAATTGTAAAGTTAAAAGTGAGAGTAACCTCGCAAAAAAGAAGGCAAACACGCCAGATTTCAATGTGCGTTACAAATAGTCTGGTGTATTTATATGGCAACCGGGATATCTCGATCCTTGCTTGTACATAAGCTTCGAATTTTTTGCGTGAGTTGAAATTTTACCCCAGGGTAACTGGAGATTTCTTCCTGGTGGACATAGGTCTGTGTATCACTGTAATTTTAGCCTGAATATCCTGGGTACCGGAATTTTTTCGGTATAGACTTATGTAACATGTCATTACTCTTTGGTAAGAGACTAATTATCATCGACCCTCTTTTGCAGTACAAAGATCACTTGTTTGTTCTGATCGTGGGCATTTCGTACTCAGTCCTCGCTCCTCTCATCACTCCGTTTCTCGTGTTGTACTTCGGGTTTGGTTACATAGCCTGGATGCACCAGATACTTTGTGTATACATCCCAGTGTATAGTACTGGCGGGCGGATGTGGCCAATAGTTTTCAACAGGTAAGTTAAGGTCATAGATAAAGAGGGTAAGTTTCTAAAGAAACTGCGGTGCTGCGTCGGTGGGGTAGTAGAACACGATCATTTTGGTTTTAGCAACTAATTTGATAATGTGAATTGGCCACTGTAAAGAGATTCAAAGCTGACGTTTCGAGCGTCAGCCCTTTGTCAGAGCGAATGGGTTTATGACGAAGGGCTAACGCTCGAAACGTCAGCTTTGAAACGCTTTCGGTGGCCAATTTACGTGATCAACTTGATGATAAGTTGATAACCAAAGTTATAGGGTCATAAATAGGCTCGATTACTAATCGCTGTTCAGGAAATGATCAGGTGCTCCCTCCCATGCTTAAGAGGGTGAAAGACTGAGCCCGAGAAAACGGCAGAAATTTAGCGTAGACCATGCGTCGATCGTCATTTTTATATCATGAGCAGGGTACTTTTTGTCTCATGATCTCACTTTTTATTCTTTAGTTGGACGAAAAAAAATTCAAACAGCTGGCCTCGGACAATGAGTAACATTTCAAAGGACCATGATTCATACCCCATGTCTGTTCTCCTTTGTGATCCACGCAGACACTATATGAAATGAACCGAAAAGAACTCGCTGGTCTGCGAGGTGGTAAATTAGTTTCAAATGAAGAAAGTGCTCTATATGAAGTCGCTCTATTTTGTATTTTTGCAGGATAATAGCTGGAATGATCGTCTTCCATCTCCTAATGACAGGAGTACTAAGCTTAAAGGAGTCGTTCATCGCTGCGGGTTTTATGCTTCCCCTTCCTGTTATCACGATCCTGTTTTTCTTGTTTATCCAGCAGCATTGTCTGAAACCTTCAATGTACTTGTCTATTAACATGGCGTCTGGATTGGCAGAAGCGAGTCCTCGTTTCTTACAGGTCAGTGTGGTGTGCTGTATGTTACGTAAAGTGTGATGTGAGGTATATGTGGTTTGATACACGTGATGCGGAATGTGTGATGTGTCAGGCGTGATATGTGATTTTTGATGTGTCGTGCCTGGTACGTGATGAGTGATGTGCGATGTTTTATCGAATGATGTGTGGCTTGGTACTCGATGCGTGTTGTGTAATAGCTGAAGTGCCCTTTTCATGAAGTGATTTGTGTAGTGGGAAGTGTGAACAGTGAGAGCTAAATTATTGTTAAGTCTGCTCGACAGCTTTCGTTCGGTAAGACGTAGATATTAACGTCATCTCACGGCGCATTTCCACATGTTGTTGTAAAAACAAAAACGAGGTAATCATAATGGCCACAAAGAACGAAGGAAAATATCACGAGGAGCTAATCAGAATTCAAAGTAAAACATAAGCAAACTGCTTGGAGTGCAATAATTTGTGCGCAGTAATAAGTCGAGATGGAATAGTCTTACATTTATTTGATAAGCAATCATGACCATTCACAGCAAAGTATAACTAAACCGTTGCTAAAAATCCCAGATTACTTTCGACTCTGAATTGAAAATTTCTCCAATGAACGCTTTTAACTTTTATCATAGAGCGTTGCACAAAGTTATGTCAGAAACTACCGTCTGCCCCCAACGTACGGCCTTAGTTCGTCACCCATTAATGGTGGAGATTATGCCTACGATGACGAAGAAAGGTCGCCTGTAATCACGCCGAGCCACTCAACTGGTGGAATTTCTATGAGCGAAGAGTTTGCGTAGAATGCTGGGAAATCCTCGTGTGGACTAAAAGTTTGTTTCTGCGTAATAGCGTGACGTTTACTGTGTCTTTTACACCAAGTAAGAGCCGTGATAACAAATTGGACAGCAATGCTGATGTTAGTATAAAATTTTACGATAGTTATTCAGATTTAAGTTAAATAAGTTTTTAGAGTGGAGACTAATGTAACTACCATGAATCTTTTAGTTACGGTGTGGACATATTCGTAGCAGTAAACTGTTTGAAGTTGTTACTTTTCTGGACATTTAGATATTCGTTTAATACTATTTTACTATTATTATCATTATTATTAGTAGTAGTGGTGGTGGTGGTGGTGGTGTTAGTAGTATTGAGGTTGATATTATTATCATCATCATCATCCTTATTATTATTATTATTATTATTATTATTATTATTATTACAATTATGATTTTTATTATGGTTATTTTGGTACCACCCATGACAAATCACACGGCAGGGATGCCAGCACTTCAAATTTTTACCGCGAAAACTTTTACGGTGTGCACATATAACATGAATTGCATGAATTTAATATGGTTGGACTGATTTCTAACAGTCCGGAGAAGAGAAGGGCTCGTATCAATGAGAAAGTTTCAACTGGCGAACGAAAGGGTAATAAACTTTCGCAACACGTTTTGCTGTAAGTGAAACTAGCACTGCGCAAAGTTGGTCTGAATTAGTGTGATTGTGGTCGGTAGATTAGGTAAAAGCACGAAATTTAAATAAGGGATTAGTATATGTCAGAATAAAACTGAATGTGCTAATTTTTATCTTAAGTCTATACGGAGTAATTTTATTTGCAAATCGGTGTGAGCGAGTATTGTTAAAGTCTTTGAATGTAATCAATTTGAAGTAAACAGCTCATAAATTTAAATTAAGCTTTTGAGCAATATATATGAGCATCCACAGAACTTTAATTACGATAAGCTACATATTTTTTGGATCAAACATTACTTTTTATTTTAGTATAGAAATGATCAAAAAGCTGTTTGCAAATTTTTAAAAATAAACTAATATCTACATTTCCATGCCGTGCAGACGTGCAACTTGCTGCCAATTGATATATCTAGTATCTTCCAAATTAGTTATGCGTCAACGGTTCTGTCAACACACCTTACCACAAAATTCAGTATCTTTGCTTTTGAAGTGAAGTCACGCGATAGAAAATCCACACCCTAACGATACGGTTTAACTTCGAAACCCTTTAGAACTATCTAGATTGATAATTATTCACGTACGAATCGCCAACGTTTTCTTCTCTAATAGCCAAGGAGCGCGTGGAAAGATCTGCGTTTCGCATGTTATTAAATTTAATTACGATTGTATTAAAAATCTTCACTGTCACGCTGTTGTCTCAAAGCGTTCATCAAGCAGAAATAATTTATTAGTGTTTTCTTTTTACAAATAGATGTGCTTTTAAAAATCGGTAATCGGTTTAAACGAATTCATAATGACGCCAACAACCTTGTTTAGCATGAAGAAAGACACAGAATTCGCTGGATCGCTCAACGGGCGTCTTCCATTGTGAGAACTTGTCTAGTCGCTTCCGCGAACCTCCACGTGATCACGTAATCGGAAAACTCTATTGGATCTTCATCGATCGATCAAATTTATGACCGCTGGCGCTATTCAGCCACGCATAAAATTTAGTACAATTCAGTTAGCACTACCTTGCAATCTGGGTGTAGCGACGAGACGACAGCGTTGCGAAAATGGCGAATGACAGCGCTAACAGCAACGACACGGTGGATGGTGAAGTAGCAGACAGCACAAACAAGTTTGTCTCAGCGCTTATTCTCAACTTGATTATAGCCCTCATATGTTTAATATTGTTTTGCATTCTACGACAGAAGCACAAAATTATTTACGCGCCAAGGCAGCTTTTGATAGATACGCTAGCGCCTGGAAAACGTTCCCAGTCGTTTTTCTCGTGGCTTTTTCCCGCTTTCACCGTGAAGGATGACGAAGTTTTCCTCTACGCGGGTATTGATGCGGTGGTTCACATGCGGTTCATGAAGCTTTGCTTTAAGATCGCCCTAGTTCTCATGCCATACGGAATCATTGTTTTGATTCCCGTGAATTATTACGGTGGAGGGGATCTGAGCGGCTTGGAGCAGATAGCGCTGTCAAACATCGTCGTAAAGTCATCGAAAGTTTGGGCCCACACTGTAGCCGCCTGGCTGTACACATTGATTATCTGCTACCTTTTGTACATGGAGTGGAAAGCGTTTATCATGTACCGACAACAGTATCTTAGAAAAGGGATGGGCTATCAGTACGCTGTGTTGGTTAGAGATTTGCCAGACAAGGTAAGGCTTTCAGATTAGTTCGCTTTTTATATAATCTTTTTTTCTTACCATTAATGACCCAGATTTTTCTCAAAAGATCTTGAAAATGTCAATCGATTTTGAAACAGCATGTGTTTGCAGCGAACTAGCAGCTGGTAAAAAAAAAGGTTTAACTCTGTCATGAATAATGAATGAGAAACATGTGGAAAGAAAAATGCTAATATGCTGCGTGTTGTGTTACAGTGAGCGTAACGATCGGATGTAACACGTATTTTGCGCGCAAAGCGGAGAAGAGATAGGTTAGCGAAACAGACCGAAAGAAATCGTGGAGATGAAAATGAAATATGTTTTCTTACTTGATCCATTAGAGAGTAGTTTTCTAAGAACACGCGAAATAATTTAAATTAGAAATTTACGTGGTGAGTTTAACAAAGTTGACAGATTGATCTTGCGTTTACCACGTGTGTCGAACACAAAAAAAAGGGCGCCTGAAAACTGATAAAAGTTCGTCCAATTTTTGAGCCAAAATATATGGAAAAATACGGAAAGCTTTCGTGACCAAGCGAAAATTAATTGGCGAATTCAAACTTCGAATTAATCTTTCGCTAGGGAAGTAACGCTTCTTGCATAGCCTGAGGCAAAACTTTTTTTTCGCGTTTCAATTCATTCGTGTGATTTACTCATGGGTGTATCGAGTGTCACGCCCTATTCCCAAGCTGGACTTGATGAAGTAGCACATAAAGCAATCTTATCTTTTTAAAAGAATATAAATATATTTTCAACGGTTGCGGTCCTGCAAGTCGATGAGTTTCTGAAACACGGTGTCACAATGAACGGGTATCAGCTATCGCAAGAACCTCCTTCCCAAATCTCTCACGGCTTCCCATTTGGAAAGCTGAAGAACGAGGACGTTGATTATAAATACCTTTCTAAACGGAAGATTAAATCATTCATCAGTTATTCCAGTCTATCAATCCCAGTTGAGTTGTTTCTGAACGAATTATTTTCTTATATCTTCCGTTGATGAACTGTTAAATCTGCTAAATATCGCGAACTGGGGCATGAAGCTGGAATCATTGTCCGAGGGGATGAGGTTGCCATCAAAATTTGCTGAGAGAAGTAACTGCGAGGTCCCTTCTTTTCAAATTTTCATATTTGATTGTCTTAATTGATTTTTAGTTCAAGGAACACGAAAGTTTGATAAAGCACATGCAAGAATTATTTCCTGATGAGGTAACGTAGTTTTCATTTCCAATTACGCAGCTGATTTTTTAACTGGACTAAGTCGGAATTTGTTGGTAAGGAAAAGGTTTTTTTATGCTTCAGGTGGAAGATGTCGTAATTGTGGAGGATCTCAAAAAGTGGCAAGAACTTGTTAACGAGCGGGATGCTCTAAAATGGAAGCTGGAGCACGCAAAAGTAAGTTTTCCATACTTCGGGTTTATGTGCTAGTCTTAAAGTTTCCTTATTAGTGGACGTGAATTTCAGCCAAATGCTTACACGCCCCAGAGTCTTCCCTTTACACCATAATGGGCGTGGCCGTGTTAACACCCTTAAAGGATATACCATAACGAATCGAGACTTCATGGGGGTTGGGTTGAAGAAACCCGGCGAACAAAGGAGGGGAAAAGAGGCGGGGGAAGGGAGTGGGGGGGGGGTTCCAAAAGTAAAATTCGTATTGCAGCTTATGTAGCGTTGAGAGGGGAATATTATAGACTTAAGCTGAAGGGAGAGCTGATCTTTGAAAAAGAAGACCGTCTTTTCAGACCTCCCATTCCTTACTCTCTTCTAACCCACGTTTAGTTAAGAGGGTAGGGCAAGGGCGTGGCAAAGAGAGGAGTAAAGGGATGCACAAAGCCCATTTTTTAAAGAGAGAGGACGATAAAAACGACAAGTTCACAAATTAGCTCATGGTAAAATTTTACTATGGATGTGATTTTCATTATGAAATACATTTTTCAGGCAGTTTTTGAGCAAACTGAAGAAAGACCCACGCACAAGAAGTTCATTTGCTGCGGAACGAAATTCGACTCCATTACCCAGTATGGAGCAGAGCTAGAGGTAATAGATAATTGTAATCGTGACTTAATAGATCGACGATGGGCAGGGACAGAGCGAGAGAGGAAGGCGACACCTCCTCCTCCTTCCCATCAGCCCTTTCTCCCCCACGTAAGCGCTGCGCAGATTTTGGAGAAGACTGGTGCGTAGGACCTAGTCCTCCCTCGTCTAATTTTTTTTTTCCCTTACTGTAGATGATTGATTTTCTTCTACGCGAGTCTCTAAGGATTTCATTGTTATCTTTGCAGACTGCACAGAACAAACTAGACGTTGAAACTGAGAAGAAACACACTCTACTTCCTAGTAGCTTCGTTGTTTTTCGATCTCTCCGATCGTCAACTCTGGCGAATCAGGCTGACTGGGATAACTCGCCCCTGGCCGTCGACGTCATGCCCGCCCCAGAGCTGACAAGTGTTCTGTGGAATAATCTCTCCATTGGTCTGTGGGCAAGGTATCTTATATTTACAGCTCTTCCGTAGGGAAACATTGCGGTCGGTGTTTCGATGTAAAATTAAACGAAATGTCGTGAAGATAGGATTACAGATTCATTACTTGATATTGCATGTCCTTCAAGTATAATTAAGTTTCACCAAGGATATTGCGATTTTAAGGCGTTGTTGAGATAAAGGCAGTTTTTAGTATAACTTTCCATAATTACATAACTCCTCAGACTTTTTTCACGTCCTGTTCAGCATTGATTTTGGTTTGTAATCAAGCAAGACATTTTCCTTTTTATGATGATCTCCCGCAAGAATTTCTTTCAATTCTAATTTTCTTTCAATTATGATTCAAAACAGGAAATTGCGCACAGTACTCATCTACACACTTGTGTTCCTGTTGGTGTTCTTCTGGACTGTGCCTGTCGCATTCACATCATCTTTGGTCGAGCTACAGAATCTGACAAAAATCGCGCCATTTTTGAAACCAGGTGGGTCTTCCTAATCAATCAGTACTAAGGGGCTGTCGGAAAGGGCATTCGCATTCGGTTTCTGGTCAAACTGGGGAGAGGTCTTACATACTTTGTATATACCGACCTGAAATTTGAATAAATAAAAAACGATCTATTTATCACGCTTTTCTCATGCCAGCGTCTATAAATGATGATAACCGGTATGAGACATATTTTTACCATTTTTGTTTTAATTATTCGCGCGTCCTTGTTTTTTTGGTACTTTACCTGTTTCTCTTTCTTTTTCAGTGCTGGAGCTTAACGCATTTGTGAAAGGCGCCATTGAGGGTTTCTTGTCAGGTCTCGCTTTGCTAATCTTCTTCGCCATTTTGCCCTTGGTTAGTACAGACAGAATCATTTGTCATGTTGACTGACTGACTGGCTGACAAGGAGAATAACTCACTGACTCCCTCATTCTTGACTGACAAACTGATTAACTAACTCTCTTACTCCCTAACTGACTTACTGACTGACTAATGAATAAGCCACTGACTGACTGACTGACTGACTGACTCACTGACTGACCCACTGACTGACCCACTGACTGACTCACTGACTGACTCACGGACTGACTCACGGACTGACTCACGGACTGACTCACTGACTGACTCACTGACTGACTCACTGACTCACTGACTGACTCACTGAATGACTCACTGACTGATTGATGGATTTTAATCGGTCGAATAATTCTGTGATTGGAATAAAACTGTGATTAGTTTATATGGTGTTAGAACAAGATGATAAACTTGCAAATCTTTTAAGAACACAATTTCAAAAATAAATTTGCATCTATGCCTTTTCATCCCATGTTAGATCCTGCAGTTTTTCAGCAAGCTGGAAGGAATACCATCCCAAAGTGAAGTGGACAGATCTACGCTGGGAAAATTGTACATTTTCATGGTAACGATGCTCTTAAATTAAAAAGTCCTTAAGAATTTTAGTGTAAATTTCTTCTGGAGTTATCTCGGGGGGGGTCGAGTGGGTTTTGGGGGATCATACGGTATATGGATCACATGATGCATGGAACGGCGGGAGGGGGGGGTCAGTCGCCATCAACAGAGCATGAGGGGGGACTATTAAAAAATTGACTGTCAATAAAGGAGGGATCAAGAATATAAAAGAGTCTTATTAGGGTATCAGGTTAATACTCCGCGCCCCCCCCTCCCCCCTGGCGATCAACATCGATCGGTACTAACTCCTTATCTTGTTTTGTTACCAGCTTGTGAACAAGTTCTTGTTCATGACATTTGCTGGCTCAGCTTTAAACAAACTGAAAGAGATGGCAGATAACCCGAGCCAGATTCCATCATTTTTAGCTGAAGCTCTTCCCTCGCAGTCTACCTTCTTTATTTGTTACATCATGCTGGCGACTCTGACTGGTTATGCGCTGCAGCTATTGCGCATAGTGCCTCTCATTCTGGTGGCAATCAAGCGTAAGTGGCTTGTGAAGACGCCCCGTGAGGACGATTTGGCCTGGAAACCACCACCTGTCCTTTATGACCGAGTGGTAAGTTTACCATATGAACATGTAGTTCTAAAGCAGAGATCTTTCTTAGTCGCTTATAGTAATTCATAATCATGGTCCCACAAAAAGTCGCCTATCAATATCTCTATCTCGTTGAAAGATCTATTCCATGCTTACGTTATATTGCATCATAATTAAGATCCTGTGCTAGGCGATCTAGCGACGCCCTATACTTACGAAAATATGGTAGCCCGTCAAGTCTAGACAGTTTGGTTTACACATGATTGCCATCCGAATGTTTGCGAGCGCAAGAGGCTGCATTGCAAACACAGTGTGGGGCAATGCATTTGGATGAGTAAGTGTGCTTTTGAGAAATTTTCCTCATCACTTTAACATTGACTCCTCAGAGTTAGTCTCAGCCGACATAGATTTATCCCTAAATCGCTGCTTCGCGAGTTCAGTGGAAACTTTAACGAACAAGTAGCAGGAAAATTATTCAACCAACGCTTCAATGATTTGTAGCTACTTGTTTTCACAATTCTTTCTCAAGCGTACGAGACATTCGATGTATTAGATGTTGATCCTTTGAGACCTAATGCATAACTTTTCCTTTGCGATGAGAGTGCTAATCTAAAGAGTGACTATGCAAGGTTCTCAAAGTACTTTACTTCATTGACGGTCTTCGTCCCTTGTCTTTATTTCCAGTTCGCAAACCATCTCTTTATTCTGATGGTGGGCCTGTCCTACTCCGCATTGGCGCCCATCATAACTCCGTTTGTTGCGTTGTACTTTGGGTTTGGTTACATTGTGTGGATGCATCAGACTTTAAGCGTTTACATCCCCAACTACAGCTGTGGCGGCATGATGTGGCCGAGGGTTTTTAACAGGTACAGAAAATGAATTAATTTAATCGTGCAAGCAATTTTTTTCAGAGAAACAACAAACACGTGAAAACAGAGGCAAGGCTGACCTGCGCTCGAACCTGAACCTAACCTCAGTTGGGTTTTGAAATTTCGTGCGTAGACCTTAAGAGGACGCATAATTTATTTACTGGATGTCTTTTTGTGAAAGTAATGATTCCTATTTCCTTTTATTTTCTATAGGATGATTGTAGCAACAGTGGTGTTTCAGCTTCTGATGTTTGGAGTGGTAAGCTTAAAGCAGTCATACGCCGCATCAGTCTTAATCCTTCCGCTGCCTGTCATCACACTCCTGTTCTATTACTTCATTCTGCAACACTACATCAGGCCTGCAGAGAACCTGTCGCTGAGTGCAGCTCATGGCCTGGAGAGTCCCGCTCCAAACTTTATACAGGTAAGGTTTGTCAGTGTTTAACGGCACTTGGTCTGAATTAAGTCTCAGCAATAGCATGAGGCACGAGTCACAGTCCTTTACTGCTGCCTGAAAGCAGGACAGGCAAAGATAAATATAGACAGACAGACAAACAAACAGATAGGTAGGTAGGTAAACTGGCCCTTTTCTAAACTATAGCGTGATGTTTCACCTTTCTCCTTTGCGACCTTGATTAGGACGTGGCGAAGAGCTACATGAGGACTCAAGGAGTTCCAGCCCCAGTCCCGGAACTTGCTCCAGCAGACGTTGACCAGACCGTGGGATCTGAGTTAGAGTCTAGTCTTCCTCTGACAGCCACCACCGAGAAGAAAGAGGATGTGTAAAGGACTAGTACCGGATAATGGAATTTGTTCACTGTAATGATGGATAGACTTTTTTGAATTCCCCAGAACCATTAAATGGTTTATTTATCGGAGCAATATGAGTTTTATTTCACAACCTTGTTTTCCTATCCATTATTTTTATAAACCAGGTCTTAGAAAGTTTAGAGTCTAAACGTACTGGGTTAGAAATATTTTTATTCAACCAATCAAACCTTAAAACAGAGTTTTTTTTAGCTTAGACAAGTCTTTGACATAGTTAGGTTGTCACCGAAAGGTGTAATGACTAACTTAAGATTAAATCCTTTGGAGTGGGCACTGCTGAAAAGGTAAACAGCGTTAGGAAGGGCGTGGTTGACACCAGTCATAACTTAAAATCTCCGTCAACAGGGAAGAAGTGACCGTACTCGGACGGGTAATGTCTATACCTATTTCTGAGAGTAAGCCATTTATCAAACGATCGAAGGTGCTTTGAGTTATCCTTAGGTGGACGTATAAATTTACATAACTGTAGTCTAGGAGAGAAAAATCATGTTTTCATCGTCGGGATCTTTAGACTTGCAGACACATTTAAAGTCGAATGTTCTGTAGAGATATGAGCCGCTGCAATGATTTTCGTTTAGCATACAATAGTTAGTTAATGGCACAGCAATATCCTGCTTCATTAAAAGTGAACGTCAAATTCGGTATGTTGTGTTTTATCTTCTTCATGCTCTCCAGCTTACAAGATAAACTAGCTCGCTTCAACCTAACCTGACATAACAAGCCATCGGAGAAAAAGTATGCGGAAGCCTAGTTCCCAGACTGCCTATCTCGCCTATTTATCTGCGCGAAGTCGGTTTCGGTTTCGCAACGTGGTCTGAACCTATGCGTAGCAAAATAGATATTATATCATACGGTTCTGTTCATCAAGCGGATCAGCGACTCAGTATATCAGCTGAGAAGAGGGCATTGCGTTTTATTACGCGCATTTCGAGGACGTTTCGCCATTTTTGGCTTACCTGACCACGGAAGCTTTTGAAGAAAGGTAAATAAGATTATTATAAGAAGTAAATTGAATTTCCTCTCGATGGTATGGGAAAAGAATTGGGACTGAGAACTTGCCAGCTGCTTTCGAACGATATCGGCAAGATCGCTTTGACTTAAATAACTATTTCAATCCCCAACGAACCGCATTACCGTAATGTTTATGTATTCTTACCGTGACTTAAGATCTAATTTTTATAGGAGGATGCTGGAGTTTACTTATTGCTTGAAGGTAGGGTTTAAAAGTACTGAAACCGTGGCAAACTGTGACGAAACGTCTGGTTCAGCAGATGGCTTTAAAAGTGTCTGAACTGATCAATTATTCGCAAAGGACCTACATGTCTATTTGTTCAAAAGATATTACGATCTTCAACTTCATAGCGTCCTTTATATGAGTAGAGAAGTCGCACATATCCATTGAAAAACACTCAACTTTTGTGAGTTTGGAGTCTGTGTTAAATTTTTGGAAACTGTGGAAAGTAAAATCACTGGATTCCACCCGCTCGTTTCGTTTGACGTCATACTTGATATTCCAATATGCAAAGCAATGTAGTAAAGAAATTATGAATCGGTACTTTAGAAGGAAATTCTCTTTAGCTTTCGCCTCAGTTGTCACGGAGTTTTCAAATTTTGAAATACTAAATTATAGTATACTAAAAAAATATCTTATTTCCGTATGAAGGTAATTTTAAAGTGCTTGTGGCCACGACGATGCCTGAGGAGGATACCCAGCCACTGTTGAAAGTGTGCACATATCCCGAACCGAGGTCTGGAGAGGCGAAGATTAAGATAAGGCTGCCTTGGGACAAAATCCTGTCAGTATGCTACAGTCTGTTGCTATGTTGGCAAGTGATCGGGATTTGTTTATACTTTATTCGTTGCGTTAAGTGTTTCAGAGACAAGTCCTCAACGTTCCTTTGTGAAAGAAATGCAGCTTTCCTGTATTCAGAAGAACTTGAAGTCTTTTGGCTCGCTACTCAAACCATTCTTATCGTCGTTGTCATCGTCTTATTACCACGAATACCAGGATTCCTCGGCGTCAAGGCAATCTTCAATCGGTTGATATGTGTTCCCTCATTTATTACATTAGTTCTTCTTCTCGTGATTGCGCTGTGCAGATATGCTATGTTATTAGTAACATCTCCCAAAACTTTCCTTACCATGTCGATTCTAATCGGGTTTGCTCTAAAATATGCGCTGACAGTTTTAGCTGCAGCTATGCTTAATTATACACAGCTAAGTACTTTAAAGCACCGATATCCCCCCTACGTGTTCTTATTATCGAAATTGACGGTCTTTGTGATTTCCCTCGTAAATTTCATCCATTTCGCCACCTCGCTCATTGCAATAACTTTCAACGTTCAAATTTTTCCTGCAGCGATGAGTTCAGCAAACTCGTCGGATTTTCATGTGGTGAATGATTTGTTAGGATACTTTGGCGTTACCATTTTTCGGTTCAAATTAATGAGTTTCTTTTGGAAGAAGCTATTCATCGATGACAAGGGTATTTTTGAACAGCGTTAAAATAAATAATTTGAATAAAGTCGATTTCATCAATCTCTTGATAGTGATATGTCTTTACCTACATTTCAATACAACCCACGTATGATTTCAATTTTACCAAGGGAGGAGAGATTCCGTCAAATATTGCCCGCGCGTCGAACAGTATTGAAGCATTACAGTTTTTTTTCCTGTTTCTACATAGCCGCATCGAAGCATGAGGGGGACTTGGAAAATTTGAGAAGTTGAAGCCTTCGAGAATTCTTCGAGTTCTAAGATAAAATGAGGCGTGAAGGGGAAAAAAAGTTGCCATTGATTTTATGAAATATTTCTATAAAATATATGAAAAAAGAACTCTTGACGTCACATCTGTGTTTGCGCACTCTCATCTATGAACACCTATCCACCAACATGAGCGCGTGCACTATCTGAAACATTTCATAAATACATATGGGGTCGATGTTAAGGCAAACTTCTTAATTAGATCGTGAAAGTTTTACGTGAAAATATTACACAGCTTTTGATGACTATGCGTCTCTATTTTATCTGTAATATCTACCTAAGGGAGGTTACACAAACACCCCAAAGCAGTGTACTTTGCAGTAATTTGCATGCCAGACAATGAGATCAACAATCTTCACCTTCACTTGTGTTGCAATCTAGCATTTATTTAAGCACACTCTCTATAATATATTTGCCTTCATTTTCCAGTTTTTTAAAAGGAATGCAAGTACCAAATATTCCACTGTAAACTTAATCAATCATGCAGAACTTCTTCCAACCAATGGAGAGAATATAATACTGGGAGAAGGATCCTATGGTCTATGCCCTCTGAGACAGTACAAACGATTTGATATAAAGGTTGTGGAAAAACAGGTGTTCAAAAGCTTTTTCTGTTATGGCGTGAGATTGGGAACAAAATCGATCACTACATTTCGTATCGTGCGTTCTTTCTGAGTGAAGCAACAAAAGCTGCCGGCGACTAACGAAATTACAGGTTAAAACGAAAATCAAATAACACCTAAACAAATAATTTTGGCTACCGATTTTTAGTGAATTTTTAAAGAGCAATTTTCTTTTAAGTTTTAAGACAATTTGAAGATTCAAAATAAATATAACGTACTAAAATGCGAAAGTTATACACCACAAAATTGATAAATAGGCCTGAAATGAAATTCTATCTTGTTCTCGATTATACGTTGCCTGGCACGTGACCAGAATCTACCCAAGCGGAAATCCAAAATGACGGTAGCAGTCTGGGCTTAGTTATATCACTCAAAACTCGTTCCCGTTTGTCTCATTTGATAAAGAGGGAACCATTAATGTTTTCATTAAGACAGTATTGCCTTGATTTTCCAATATTTATAATGATAGAGAGTAAATTTTACTTTTCACCCACATTTACTTCCAACCTTTTCTTTTGAACCAGAAACAAAAATGATATATGTTTAAAACACATGACATCATCCACCCTTGTCAAATATAATAGCATGATCATTTCAATTGTAATGCCTTCTTATCCCAACGTTACTTTGTTTCTTTGCTACATTAGCCAACACTGAACTACTGCTCGTACTCTAAATATGACAATCAACCGCAAAATTCCCTAAACCAGATAACATTAAACATAATCCAAAAAATCATATAAGTCGTCTGTCAATTCACGAGTTTGCTTTGATCATTGACAATGATTGTTGCAATTATTAGCGGTCAAAACTTAAAAACCAAACTGTTGACTATAATTAAAACTGATATAACATGATTTAAAAACCAAAATAACACCATTAATATTCTTGTGATAAATTAGTTGTGTGGAATAACTGGAAGGACCTCTTCAAGAAAACAAATAGGGATAACAGTAAATAAAACTGGTTTTAATCAAGTGGATTCCCTTTGGAATCTGCAAGGGCTGGCTGGTTTTCTGTGTGAGTAATTAAAATTATTATTATTATGTATTTATAGCAATTCAGTAAGTGACCTCGGAATAAACTAACACACATTAGTATAGCTTTTTTCTCTTAGTTTTCAAGGGACAATTTATGACAAGACAATCTACATCTTACATATCAGCAATTAAACTTACCTAACAACTGCTTTGGGGGATTACTTTTGTCAGTAAATTCATCTGCTTCTTGGAGAAATTGTTTCCAAAGCATTCAAAAGCCTAAATTTTGATAAACACCATAATTTTACACATCATGATGTGATAGAGGATTTATCAAGCCAAATTTAATTTCAAAATTGAATGGTATATCCACAATGAAACTTTTTTCTATGCATTTGTTACAAAACATAGTACTTTTTTCTATGCATAAGTTACAAACATTGTAAAACGCTATTGAGCTCTAGAAATGAGCGCTGTATTATAAATTCATGTTGCATTGTATTTGCGGTATCCGCCGCTTTCGCCCCCTATCGAGTTCGCCCCTTCGAGTTCGCCCCTACCTTATACCGTGTTCGCCCCCACACTTTTCGAGTTCGACCCCACCAAGTCGAGTTCGCCCCCAGATTGAGTCATGTCTAAATTAGTTACTATCGAACATTGCAAACAAGTTAGAACCAAGACAAGTTTTGAATTTTAATTGACCGACGGCCATTTGGAAAGTTTATATGTGCGTGGGAGCTGGGGCGACCGGAAACAAGAAATAATGTGGTCAAATAGTGAAATACAGAAAACTTTCGTTGGTCATGACCTTTATAGATTGGGTAGCTCCTACAGGAGCCGTTTTTGTATTTGACCGAACCGAAAGGCTACAAGGTCGTTCGACGATCGGGTTGCTGGCAATCTCGCGGCCCGTAAAGTTCGGAGCAGGCTCGCAGCAACTGTTTCGCTATCCGATCACCGTTCTCGTACTGATCTCACAGGCTGAAGATCTTTGCTTGCAGCTGCTGGTAGGTTCGTCGCTGAAGTCTGCATAGTTTGTGCTCCGAAACCATTCGGATTTGGAGGGTCGTTAAGCGGCTCTCTCCGTGAAGCAGCTGGGTCAGCATGTACTTAATCAAAAGCGTGATCAAATCGTGCTTTCGTAAATTCTTCAGTCTTAATTTCATAAATAAAGCTAAACGGGTACAAGTCTAACAACTTAAGCAATGCTGTCGCGATGAAAGCGTGGTTTGCATCTTCTCAAGTCTGGTTGTTACTATCAACACATTTCGTGTTCGTTAGATAAACCGAGGTTGTTTTACATCTTTTCCAGTCTGAATAATAAGTTAAGTAATGTTGTTTTGATTAAGTGTGGTTCTCTTTATCACAAGTTCAGTGTATACAGTTATTTCTGGTAACCCCAGTTCCCACGCAGAGTATTTAGTTGATTCCGTCAACCCAGTTCCCAAGCAGGTTCCACGCAATTGCCGAAATTCAAAATGGTCGTCGCTGACGTGACATTTGGCACATTCCGCTAGTGCCTTCGTCACAAATCAACTCATCTGGATATCACTCAATCAAGGGGCGAACTCGACTTGATGGGGTCGAACTCGAAAAGTGTGGGGGCGAACACGGCATAAGGTAGGGGCGAACTCGAAGGGGCGAATTCGATAGGGGGCGAACGCGGTGCAATTCGTATTTGCAGTGAAGTCAATGAATATGTTGAGAGCGGTGTTTAGAAGTCTTCGTAGGTTCAAAAGGGTTCTCTTTGGCTTTAAGATAGCGATATCATGCCTTTTTTTGAGGAAATGAAGATAGAAGATAGCAAAGAAAATGTTATTACCTTCTTTTGATGTCTTCCTCTAGATTGTCGGATTCACCAGCGAAGATGGGAAAAACCAATGCAAAGCCGACACTTCAAAATGGCGGATGCCGTTCACGAACTACGCGATCTTGATTCCAAGTAACTATGGTTACTCGCGCAGTCCACGCGAATTCCGTGAACCTTGCTGGGGGGGCACTGGAGGCGAAAATCATTTTTGACCCAGGCCTTAATTAACCTGAGTATACCAGCTCAGAAGAGGGTATTGCGTTTTATTACGCGCATTTCGAGGACGTTTCGCCGTTTTTGGCTTACCTGACCATGGAAGCTTCTGGATAAAGGTAAACAAGATTATTATAAGAAGTAAATTGAATTTCCTCTCAATGGTATGGGAAAAGAATTGGGACTGAGAACTTGCCAGCTGCTTTCTAACGATATCAGCAAGATCGCTTTGACTTAAATAACTATTTCAATCCCCAACGAACCGCAGTACTGTAAAGTTTATCTATTTCTACCGTGACTTAAGATCTAATTTTTATAGGAGGATGCTAGAGTTTAATTATTGCTCGAAGGCAAAGTCTAAAAATACCGAAACCGTGGTAAACTGTGACGAAACGTCTGGTTCAGCAGAGGCTTTAAGTGTCTGAACTGATCAATTATTCGCAAAGGACCTACATGTCTATTTGTTCAAAAGATATTACGATCTTCAACTTCATAGCGTCCTTTATATGAGTAAAGAAGTCGCACATAACCATTGAAAATCACTCAACTTTTGTGAGTTTGGAGTCTGTGTTATATTTTTGGAAACTGTGGAAAGTAAAATCACTGGATTCCAAATTTTTGTTTCGTTTGACGCTATACTTGATATTCTGGTATGGAAAACATAAGCGCACACTGAGGTTAATAGCGATATTTCATGTCTGAACAAAATCAAAAGCGTTTGGATTCAACTTCCTGTCCCTAAACATTATAATTATCGACGAAACAATTGAGTTCAATGCAATAAAGAAATTATGAATCAGTACTTTAGAAGAAAATTCTCCTTAACTTTCAGCTCAGTTGTCAAGGAGTTTTCAAATTTTGAAATACTAAATTATAGTATACTAAGAAATATCTTATTTCCGTATGAAGGTAATTTTAAAGTGCTTGTGGTCACGACGATGTCTGAGGAGGAAACCCAGCCACTGTTGAAAGTGTGCACATATCCCGAACCGAGGTTTGGAGAGGCGAAGATTAAGATAAGGCTGCCTTGGGACAAAATCCTGTCAGTATGCTACAGTCTGTTGCTATGTTGGCAAGTGATCGGGAATTGTTTATACTTTGTTCGTGGCATTAAGTGTTTCAGAGACAAGTCCTCAACGTTCCTTTGTGAAAGAAATGCAGCTTTCCTGTATTCAGAAGAACTTGAAGTCGTTTGGCTCACTACTCAAACCATTCTTATCGTCGTTGTCATCGTCTTATTACCACGAATACCAGGATTCCTCGGCCTTAAGGCAATCTTCCATCGGTTGAAATGTGTTCCCTCATTTTTCACATTGGTTCTTCTTCTCGTGATTGCGGTATCCAGAGATGTTATGCTATTACTAACATCTCCCAAAACTTTCCTTACCATGGCGATCCTAATCGGGTTTGCTCTAAAATATACACTGACAGTTTTAGCTGCAGCTATGCTTAATTATACACAGCTGAGTACTTTAAAGCACCGATATCCCCTCTACGTGTTTTTATTATCGAAGTTGACTGTCTTTGTGATTTTTCTCGCAAGTTTCATTCATTTCACCAACGCGCTCATTGCAATAACTTTCAACGTTCAAAAATTTCCTGCAGCGATGAGTTCAGCAAACTCGACGGATTTTCATGTGGTGAATAAATTGTTAGAAAACTTTGGCGTCACCAGTTTTCGATTCAAATTAATGAGTTTCTTCTGGACGAAGCTATTCATCGATGACAAGGGTATTTTTTGAACAGCATTAGGATAAATGATTTGAATAAAGTCGATTTGATCAATCTCTCGATAGTGATATGTCTTTACCTATATTTAAATACAACGCACGCATGATTTCAATTTTACTTAGGGCGGAGAGTTTCCGTCAAATATTGCCCGCGCGTCGAACAATATTGAAGTATTACAGTTTTTTTTCTAGTTTCTACATAGCCTCATCGAAGCACGAAGGGGACTGGGACGTTGTGTTTTATCTTCTCATGCTCTCCAGCTTACAAGATAGACTAGCTGGCCAGATGATTTGTTCTCTGTTCTTGAACAAACAAACTGACCGACAACAGACTGACTAATAGATTGCGGAAATGACCATTCCTGATTAGGACTGCCAATCTTTTCGACCTCACTTTTGGATCTTCAGCTCGAAAACCTAGTCTTACAAGTATTGAAGAAAAAGTAAACGGAAATCCATTCGCTCGAAATCTGGTTGAAGGGGCGGAGACGAAAATACGCCGCCAGGACTTTCAGAGGAATCGAGGTTTGGCTGAGCCGAAAGCACGGAGGCACCTGGCCGGGGTAACTGAATACTCCATAGCAGTGTACCGGTCCAGAAGATCACTCGGGAGAGTGTTCTGGTCTCTCTTTTACAGCTTTGTTTTCCTGCGTTTCCTTTCTTTCAACCTAAATGGGTTATTTCATCACCCAACGCTAACCGTGGAGGGTTCGCATCTCAATTTATACTCGCTTGTTAAGAAGATATTTTGGCTAATATATAGATTTTCCAAGCCAACCAGTGAAGTTCAATCAGTATTTTTTTCTATGGACAAAATTTTCATTATGATAAAAGGATGCTAGCGCTAACTGATGAGGAAGACGGCTTGTTCGGTAAGTCAGGGTATGTTACAACGAAACAACGGGCCTCACCAAACAGTTTCGAACCTGAATCATTGGATAAAAAAACTACTTGTCCTCTTTAAAAAGATGGTACTATCTCCAACTTCACAGGGTCTTCTGAAAAACACACCACTGAGATAGATAGAGGTAAGCAGCTCCTAAGATTACATCGTTTTCAGTATTCCGAATTAATTACCTCAGCCGAAGAGACACAAAGCGCTGTTTCTCAGTAGGTCAAAATGATGAATTAATAAAAAATCATAACATGTAAACTATAAGTTTATGAAAAGACAAAAGGACGTTTACCCAATGCACAAAATAGCAACCCGAGACACCGTACGAAGTTACCAAAGTTGGGAAACTTGAACTTCTAGACTTTCCGGGAAAAGAAGAGCTTGATACAAATAGGTTATGACTTAAGATAAATTTTGAAATTTTTTTACGTTATTCTCACAGTTTATGTTTGCAGAATTTGCATATACTATTCGAAAAAATTCAGCCATCATTAACAGAAAATGGTCAAAGTTTGGAGAAATCGTTTGCTTATGCTAAAAAGACCTGTTTCGTTTTCATTTTCTGTATTCTCAATGACAATAGCTCCGAACCAAGGAATGCGGGGATTTTTTTCTTTGTTATTTGTCGTTTGACCCAAGACAAAAATAGAACGTGATCGAGGCTATGCAGTATTCCCATTCTATGTTAAGTATTTGTATTGAACGGCTTTAAATTTTTAAACTTTTTCATCGTCCACGGATTCTCGTATATTATATTTGCGGAATTTGCATATACTATTCGAAAAACTTCAGCCAACATTAACAGGAAAAGGCCAAAGTTTGGAGAAATCGTCTGTTATGCTAAAAAGATCTGTTTCGTTTTCATTTTCTGTATTCTCACTGACAATAGCTCCGAACCAAGGAATGCGGGGATTTTTTTCTTTGTTATTTGTCGTTTGACCCAAGACAAAAATAGAACGTGATCGAGGCTATGCAGTATTCCCATTCTATGTTAAGTATTTGTATTGAACGGCTTTAAATTTTTAAACTTTTTCATCGTCCACGGATTCTCATATATTATGTTTGCAGAATTTGCGTATGCTATTCGAAAAAATTCAGCCAACATTAACAGGAAAAGGCCAAAGTTTGGAGAAATCGTCTGTTATGCTAAAAAGATCTGTTTCGTTTTCATTTTCTGTATTCTCAATGACAATAGCTCCGAACCAAGGAATGCGGGGATTTTTTTCTTTGTTATTTGTCGTTTGACCCAAGACAAAAATAGAACGTGATGGAGGCTATGCAGTATTCCCATTCTATGTTAAGTATTTGTATTGAACGGCTTTAGATTTTTAAACTTTTTCATCGTCCACGGATTCTCATATATTATGTTTGCAGAATTTGCATATATTATTCGAAAAACTTCAGCCAACATTAACAGGAAAAGGCCAAAGTTTGGAGAAATTGTTTGCTTGTGGTGAAAAGACCTGTTTCGTTTTCATTTTCTGTATTCTTGTTGAAAATCACTTGAATCATTTGACTCAAGACAATTAGAACGTGATCTAAGCTAGCGACGTAAATCAACTATAGCGACCTTTGAACGTGAGCCAAGACGAAAGCCCTGAGCTTAAGCTGATGTTTGAGAATACTTTTTCAATTTGTAATCTATCAGAAGAAGAAATAAGGAACCTCGTCAGGCAAAGTTATCCAGAAAAGCGCACACGGAAAGCAACAAGAAGTTTCTCAGTCTTAACTCTCACGTTGATCAGTCCAATTCATGTTTGCCCAACGGGTAGGTTTTCCAAACTATTTTTGCACACAGATTTTTTGGTAGTTTGCCTGTTTTAAAAGTTCGTCCTTTTGCTATCAGGATACTGAATGAGGCAATTAATCTATTCTCTTGAGAAAAATGTTATTATGTTGCCGTTGCGTCAATCTGTTCTCCTCGATCGGCTCCTACTTCGATGTGAATCCCACAACGTTATGCAAATATTTGAACATCGAAACGAATATATAACGAAGTTGTTTACGATGACAACACTTTTGGAGTGGAAATGCAGTATTTTTTATTCTACGTTGAGAATTTGTATTGGTCGACTTCAAATGGCAAACCTCTTTTGCAATTTTTGAGGTTTTAAACTCTCTTGTGTTTAAAATATATGAAAGTTCACATGGCAACCAGGTGGATAATCAGACATGGTTTGATGCTACTCTGGTTTACAGATTTAATAAATGTAACCGAAGAACTTACAATTCATAGACCCAACGTTTCGACACTCCTGTCTAGTGCCTTCATCAGGGATGACCTAAACGCTACAACAAGAGGTCCTTATATAATAATCACTAACAAGCGGCCCTTTTTCTGACGAGGTGTAAATAGGCGTCAGGAAGCAAACCGCCATCGTCACGATTCAAAGGAGCGCGGGCGGAGTTAATAGATTTAATGAATGTAACCCAAGAACTTACAATTCATAGACCCAACGTTTCGACACTCCTGTCTAGTGCCTTCCTCAGGGATGATCTAAACGCTACAACAAGAGGTCCTTATATAATAATCACTAACAAGCGGCCTTTTTTCTGACGAGGTGTAAATAGGCGTCAGGAAGCAAACCGCCATCGTCACGATTCAAAGGAGCGTGGGCGGAGTTAACATGCCAAGCCTCCAAACAAAGGCGCTGGTGGTAACGCCGATTAGTAGTGATAATTTTAGAATTATCCCAACCAATTGTATGGTTAGTTAGGCATGTGCGCTCCGATAAAGCTGAATTTTCATTTTTGCAAAAGAAAACCGCTTTTTGATGCTTTTTCAAACGTGTGCCAAACTGTCGTTTGGTCTGTCCGAAGTATTCGATGTCACAATCATTGCAAGGAATAGAATAAATGGCGTCGGTTCGTTGTTCTTTCATGACAGGATCCTTAGGTTTGGTGAAAATATGCCCCAAAGTCTGAAAAGGTTTTTGAGCAACTTTAACGTTGTGGTTATTCAAAATTCTCTTGATGGGTTCCGTAACACCCTGAATGTAAGGAATAACAGCAAAAACAGTCGCTGGTTCCCTTTCATCAAGAGCGTTACTAGTTGTAACTGGTGTTTGGTAGTTACGGAGAAAGGTTTCTGTATAGCCATTTGCCTCTAGGACATTAGAAACATATTACCATGTTAGCAGTGACAGCAAAAACTTGTTGATAGTAGGTGCCGTTATATGCGAATTGCGTGGTTTTGAGGCAAAAAGACAGCGGATGAATAATATCCTCCACAGGCAAAGAAGTTCTTTGTCCTAGGGAAGCATCTTCTCTGTGTCTCTCCTCCGCAACCTTAACGGTAAGATCAACTGGGATTTTAGTGAAGAGAGAAACAACGTCGAAAGATATTAATTCTTCACAAGCGTTAAGAGTTTTATCTCTTATGAAATCCGCAAATTCGCAGAAAAAAGGCCGCTAATTAGTGATCATATATAAGGACCTCTTGTTGCAGCGTTTACATCACCCCTGATGAAGGCACTAGACAGGAGTGTCGAAACGTTGGGTCTATGAATTGTAACTTCTTCGGTTACATTCATTAAACTTTGTAAACCTCAGAGTAGCATCAAACCATGTCTTTCTTGTGTTTATTTCGTTTCTAATTTGTAGACGTTTCGAAGCCACTGTTAGAACTAGAGAACCATTCTGATTTTCGCTTCGAGGAAGATGATGGCGGGGTTTATCTATTCGTGGTAGTAATTTCGTTACCTTTTTTAACTAACATTCGTAAAACTATTTTGTTGTCCTAGTTTGCAGCCAACGATTCAGCTTGATAAACACAAGAAGTTCTAATGGAGCGAGACATCATTGCTAGTTTCGTCGCCATGCCATCATTTTTGGAAGTACTTGCACGACGCCTAAAACGAAGAATAAAAAGAGGAAAGAAACACGGAGTCAAACTTTTAAAAGTATGTTACTTTTTATTGCTGTGGTGGCAGATCGCCGGAGTTGGTCTTTTCGCAGTGCGTTGCGTGACATGCTATAAAATGCACATTCTTACTTTCAAGTGTGACAAGGACGCACCCTTCCGCCACTCAGGAGTGCTGCAACTTACTTGGTTGACTACGCAATGCCTTCATGGTGTTATACTTATTGCTGCTCTACAGAAAGTCCCAGAGTTCCTTGGTTACAAGGCAATCTTGCATAGACTGAAGTTTCTTCCTTCGTTTTGGACCCTGGTTGTCCTTGCTGTCGTTCTTCTCTCCAGGTTTGCCACATTATCACTTTCCTCTGAGTCGTCCTTGCAAATGCTGATATTAATCGTTTTCTCTGTGAGCTATGCAGTGAAAATTCTTTTGATAGGCTTTTTGAACTACACACAGTTGAAAATGTTAAAATACCACCACCCGAAACGTGTTTTTTATGTTCTAAGCAAGTTAGCACTTTTCGTTTTTGTTGTAGAATGTGTGGTCAGTTTCGTTATGTCTTTTATAGCAATGTTACTTAAAGTTGAAGAGATTCAGATGGGTAAAAAAGAAGAATTGTCAGGTGTTATGAGGACATCTGACATCTTACGGCAAATAAGTGTGGCCTTCTTTCGTCTTAGGATATTGAGCTTTTTCTGGAATAAACTCTTTGTTGACGACAAAAATATACTTTCTAACTTCGATAACTTGCCACGCCAAGAATTTGTCCTATGAAGGGGAGCCACGATCAGCAACTTGAACAATGTAAATGATACAGGGGAAGGTAAAAAAAAAGAAGGGAAAAGAAATGAGAGGAGAAAGCAAAGTACCTTTTCATCCACGTAGTAGGCTTAGGATGTTCTCCAAGTGATCCACCACCAGATAAGCATGCAAATCAGATCATAAATTACCAGGATGGAGACAAATTTTTTTCCAATTTAAAAAACAGTGTAGTCATGCCTCTTTCTTTTCCTGTACTAGAGTTAAGTAATTTTGCGCTCACGCAAGTTTAAAAACGAAATGTTATTTGAACCTAGCTAGTTTCCTTTCAAAGCTGTACATTCTTAAGTAAAGCTGAATGTGGCTCTAAAATGTATGCCTTTATTGCATTTTGTAAGTAAGAGGAGTTACAAGAGTGTTCAGTCAATAAACTTGGCTGCATTGACACTGTACCGCTGTTGTTGCTCTTGGAATTTCCAGTAACCATGACTGACCTAGAGAAAAACGAAAACATGAAATTGTTTAACGGTCACCTTTAGCAGGTCTACAGTTAATTTTCAATGTATTATTTTGTTTTATTAACTTTGATTATTGTAACCTCAAAAAATAAATAAATAATTTTTTTTTTCTTGTGGAAGTTTATCACACCCTTCATTACACATCGCGCATTTAAAATCTCCCCGCCATTTCTTTGTTGAAGTCGTCAACGTTTGTATACAGAAAAGTTTATTGTGGTTTCCGTCTTTAAATGGGTTTGGTTAAATCACCTAGAAAAAAAACCATCAAGACTCCATTAAGGCCTCAGTAGAAACAACTGATGTGAACGGTGATGTAGTGCAGTTTTGGTAAACATTTACAACACTAATTCAAGCATTCGGTAAGTGAAAAATGATACAAAATTCAACCGAAATGCTGAATTCAGTGCTCGCATTTGGCTAGATATTACAGATATTTTCGTGAACAGATAAATATTAGTATAGGTAACAACATGATTTCGAGTCCGATCTGGTGTTAATAAACACGAGTAAATTTTTCAAAGACAACAAAATTTCACGAACCCATAGGGCGAGTGAAATTTGTAGTCTTTGAAAAATATAGAAGTGCTTATTTTACACCAAAATGCCCGAGAAATCATATTTTTACTTATTAATAACTTACGTGCAAAACGCATCACAGAAAGTCAAAAAAGAGAGATGAAATTTTGGCAGCGCGCGCACTATTTGTAATTTACACTCGAGTTACATGAAAAATGCACTCGTTTTCAGCCAATCAGACGCACGCAATGTATATTATAATTCATAAAAAACACATACATCACGATCACGACACTTTCAAGTCAAGGGTTTCCTTGTCCTGGCCGAATTGGTTGACCGCTGTACACTCGTACCGCCCTGTGTTGTGTTCTGTGACTACTCTTATAACCATGCGAGTACCAATTGGTTGTCCTTTACTGTTAACTAGCTGTACGAGCTTGGGAATACCAAGGAAGTCACCTGGAAAGACAAGAGTAGCCATTGTATATATTTCAGTTCGAACAAGAGAACAGTCAAGGAATAAACGAAGATTCAAACGAAGAAAGAAAGTACGAAAAAAATTAACTAGTTGTCGTGCAAGTGATGATGAACTTGTTTGAAATGATATCAATATCAATGGCGATGAGGATGAAAGCCTTTACAAAAATGGTAATAGTGACAGCTTTGTAAAATTATGGAGACTATTTACGATAAAGGGAAAAAGAAGATGAAATGGAAGAAGACTTCCTCACCAAATTCATATCAAAAAGTTTTAACGAGTTGAACCATAGCCCAATGCCATATACGCAAATAATAATCTGCAAACTATCGTTTCTTTGAAATTAAAAACTCTCAAGAAAAAAACCTAACGCATGTGTAATGGATGCTTTGCAGCAATGACATAGCAGATCAATTGATTGGAAAAATTCAAAAGCAACATTAACGTTGTGTACGACTCACTTGGAACATCCTCCAGAAAATGCCAACTGACAAGTGGGGTTGGCGAGGCATGCGCATAACAGTCGAGCACAGCTTCTCTACTATTCGTGTCTACACTGGAGTTCAAGCTGGTGATCACCGGGGAAACTGAAAAGATGAATACCAAATTACCGTTTGCGCTTATTTTATTGATACGCACCTGTCTTTTCACGAGTACATTGGTCCAAGTAAATTAGTCTCTTACCGCCACATGCCTCTGCAGAAGTCGCAGCCAATTGCAACGTCTTGGTCCCATGCTCACAGTTTTTACATGCGGTCTCTCCAGGTTGGTCCTGGTAAGTATCTTTTGGGCAGACTCGGCACAGAGGACCTGACCCGTCCGCGCTGAATTTACCCGCGGGACACTGATCTGTCGAAAAAGAATGGTAGGGGTGTTGGAGAGGTACAAAACAGAGGCGAATAGGGTGGTGGAGTGGGGAGGGGTGCAAAACAGTGGTCAATAAGATGGTGGGGTGGGGAGGGGTGCAAAACAGTGGTCAATAGGATGGTGGGGTGGGGAGAGGTGCAAAACAGTGGTGAATTGGATGGTGGGGTGGGGAGAGGTGCAAAACAGTGGTGAATTGGATGGTGGGGTGGGGAGAGGTGCAAAACAGTGGTCAATAGGATGGTGGGGTCGATGGTGGTGAATGGGATGGTGGGGTGGGGCAAAAACAGTGGCGAATAGGATGGTGGGGTGGGGAGGGGTGCAAAACAGTGGTCAAAGGATGGTGGGGTGAATAGGATGGATGGGGGGGGGGAGGGGTGCAAAACAGTGGTGGGTGGGGTGGGAGGAGGGCGCAAAACAGTGGATGGTGGTGGGGTGGGGAGAAGTGGTGGTGAATTGGATGGTGGGGTGCAGAGAGGTGCAAAACAGTGGTGAATTGGATGGTGGGGAGGGGGGTGGTGGGGGATGGTGGGGTGCAAAACAAAACAGTGAATATCAACGAAAATAGGATGGTGGGGTGGGGAGGGGTGCAAAACAGTGGTGATGGTGGATTGGAAAAATGTAATCCTATCAACGTAAATCGAAATTGTCCAAGGGCGGTTGAAACTCATCCGACATTTTTGGTCTGTGATCGAAGAAAAAAGAAAGTTGATTCACACCTCTAATCAGGTTAAAATCAAAATTGTCTTACCGCTCGAAGCGAATCAGCCGAATACGCTTTATGTTCATTGATCTTCAGTGGTTTTACCATTTTTTGCCAAAGTGGCGCACAAAAAATTCTTCAAAGAATGTAGAGGAACAAAGCCTGAACATTTCCATATTTTAGCTGACGCCAACTGTACTTTTTTCCTATTTTATCAGCAGTCTAAACACTCTCAGCCATTTCCATTTGAAACGATACTTACACCTCATCAAATGGCTTAAAAGAACAACGTAGTTAATGTCATTAGCCTAGTAACTTGCTGAGATGAACAAAACTAAATTCACATACTTCAGGCGATTTCTTTAAGCGTCTAACTTAGCAAAATAAACCCTCATCAGTCGTAAACAGTAGCTTCTTGGTGTTATTACACTTACCTACAGCCCTCGGAAACAAGACGTCATTTGCCATATCTGAAAATGTCAGAGAAAATTTTAACGAAAAGATTGCGTTTAATTTAAAAGTAAATCAGTGGTAATATTTGTTAGAAAGAATATTTAACTGAAATTTGAATAACTAAAAAAAAGGGTGAAATATGAATTTAACATTGCGGCGTTACTGAATCTTGTTCAGTTCAATTTGGAAAGCTTTTCATTCTCACAGTAGCAGAAGTGGAGGGATGTTTTGAAATTAACGTGTAAGAGTATCTTTCGCTACTGAACTAACGTAATAAGAATGCTGATTAAAAAGACGTTAAGTATCAGTTATACCGTTAACCATTTAGGGAGCTGCGATATAGGGCTTGGATGAACTTGTAAATTCAGCTGCCAAAATTGAATAATTTATAGAGGTAAGCGATAGTATCCTGTTTCTAATGCATATTAACCGTTAGGCTTGCTTAACCTTACCTTTCTTTCGTGTTGTTTCTCTCCTAACAGATGATTTTGTAACAGTGAGTTGAGCAGCACGAGTCACTTCACCATGTGTGTTAGCTGACATGCAAGAGTAGCTTCCGCTATCTGATGAGTCTGCATTTCCGATGGTCAGCTGTGTTCCTATGGGATTACCGTTCTTGTCTTTGATTGGGGCTTGAGTTTTGGAACCTACGGTATGCAATTGCCATCTTCACTATTAGTTAGTTGTAGGGGATGAGGAATTATCTATCACCATTGTCTAGCTTTGCTAATGAAGGGAACCTTTATGTGACCTGAATTGGCGAGAGACTCACTTTAAAGAAGCATCTATCCCAACAAAACTCGTGAACAAAGAAAATTTTTATCAAATACACATGTTGAGGAAAACAGGTCTCCGTGTCAACTTTCATTTCTTATGGATTCATCTACACCAGCAAATGTTCATAAGGAGTCTTCTTAAAAAAACACGGCAAATGAAAGACACAATGCTATGATGAATAAGACGAAAGGAAAGTGTATTTCGCATTTATGAACTTGACGTTACGTATGCAAATTGGTGCAAAACGCGTCATCCTTTGTTCATGTTTGTCACAGCAGTGTGCAAAATTATGTGGGAAACTTGAATTTCAGAGGTTAGGAAAAATGTTGTTTCTTTTTAAGGAGGCTCATGAAAGGATTTCAATACTTCTCAGCAACTTACCTTTACCATTGACTGAGTATTTCCAATAAACAGAAGGCCTGGGTTCTCCATCTGAGAAACATTTCAACACCACAGTCCCGCCCACACTTACTGAAGCAACGTCTCCTGGCTCAAGTTTTGTGATTTTGGGAGACCCTGTGGGTTAATTGTTCAGACAAATATCATGGAGCAATTTTTTTTCATTCCAATGCAAAGTTTTTATGAAGAAATAAGCAGAAAAAAAGACAGCGTGTCCTTTATCCAAAGAGATTGTAATTAATGATATCTCTCAATTATAACTGACAGAAATATAAGTAATCCATATTTTATCAGGAATTTTTTTCATCGCATTCGTATTTCTTTCATCACTATATAACCATTTGGAGAAATGGTGGGTTCTTAAAGGATGCGCTTACAACCCCCCCTTTCAACCCCCATTCACTCACCCCACCCTTTCCCCCCCCTTCCCACCCCCATTCACCCACCCCACCCTGTGCCCCCTCTTTCCCATCCCCATTCACTCACCCCACCCCGTGCCCTGATATACACTTGTCCTGACCCCGCCTGTCAACGAAGACTAAGGTTGTGGGAAGATTTAATTGTATTGTGACTTGTGATTCTTGTAACTTACTTCCACAAAACGTAGCTCCAATATGCAGCGTGTAGGTTCCCTGTGGACAAGGCAAGCAACTTGTCCGCTGTGGTTTGTCTTGGTATGTTCCATTGGAACAAAATTTACAGAATGGGCCAAGTCCATCCTTGGAATATCGACCAGGAGGACAAATAACTAATGGATTAATTTTTAGGACACAAAAAGTCAGGAACCTTTTATTATTATTTTTTTTTTTTTTTTTTAGCTCAGGCCGGCTCATCTTGTGTGATTGAGAAACTTACTGAAAATGTTACAGAACGTTAATATGTTTCAAAGAAAAGTTAAACTTTTGCCAGAAATGATTCAGAAAACTTGCAGCACCATCTCAACCGATAAAATATATTAAACCAAAGCAAAAGGTAGTTTTCCCACCCGCGTTTTCCCACGCTAAAGCCGTTTGCAAGTTCTCACTTTCGGAGTCGGTTCTCATTAGCTCGTTGCAAAATGGTGATTTCAAGAAAATTCAAAATGAAAGCACCATCTCCGACTGGTTTGCAGATAGCAGAGGTTCGTGTTATTTTTATCACTCACGTCGACACTTGTATGCTCCTTTTCCTGATTGTGTCCCTGAAGGACATGCCTTACAGTCTGTCTGCCCAGTTTTATCCTGAAACGTGCCTTCTGTGCATGCTTCACAGGCGCCATTTTTGTCATACGTCCCTGGTGGGCATTCATCTGTAACAATATGTAAGAAATAGTGTGAAGCTTAAGAAAATATTTCCAGTCTCACGTAATTAGTATACTAAGATCTGGTTCTAAAGCTGAAGTTTCGAGCATTAGTCCATCATCAGAGCGAATCGAGGAGTTGTGAGTTGTGCGTGGACCAAAACCAGAGACTGAGGTAAATACCTGAGTATAAATGTTTCTTATCTAAATTAACATCTTCAAAACTTCACAGCACGCGAAATAAATCAACTTACAGCAGCCTGAGCCAAACGACGAATTCCGAATGCTACCAACGTCACATGGAAGACTGGTATTGACCTCCTTGTAACCTAACAGAAAGTGAAGCAAAAAAAAGATTGCTTGTTTACATGACTAAGTTTGTGGAATGTTACCAAACAAGGCAAAAAAGTTTCTTTTACTTAGGGTTATAAGTTTCATTCTTCATTTATGATTATTTGACAAAATTAAAACTGCAACCAAATACGAATTGGTCACTCTTCTTTTCCCCGCATTGCGGTCACTTGATTAACTTTTTAAATTCTGAGTTCTGATCGGCACTTTGTGTTATCTATTAACGATATGATTGGGTTTTAGGATACTCCTCAATCGAGGTTCTTAACTATTGTTTGGTAAATAAACTTAACACTGCTTACCAACACACTGTGGAACTGGTAACGATTGAGGATAACTTTTCCATTTTCCATCAGATTTTCCACAAGTCCACCAAGAATAGACACCAAAAGGCTTTTCGCCCTGAGGGCACGTTCTTATACAATATCGGGTGGTCCCGCCCGGTAGCCAATAGCACGTCAATGAACCACTAGGGGGGTCGCTTTCAGGGGGCAATTGGCATCGTTCTCCTGCGTGGGAAAAATAGACTTTCAGACAAAAACCACCATCCTTTTCTCTACTATCTTTCTACTATGAAGAAATAACGATACATTCACCATAAAAAATTTTGTCCAAAATATACACTAACGATTTATTACATTCGAGTTGAATAACGTCATCTGTTTAGGAAAAAAAAAACCAACCATGGCTGGAAGAAAAATACCAGTAATTCCAGAACAATGGGGTAAAAAGTTGTGTATAGCGACTTTAACTCAGTCTCCAGCAAATTGTTCAAGCAACTTAAAAGGCGCATGCAACAGTATTCTCAGAAAATCTTACTCGAAAATGTATCCCCCCTTAAAAACTATTCATGAAGGAAAAAAAAAAAGCACAGGGCACCCAACCTAATTTCGTCGGCCACGATGTAGAACAACTGTTCAGCGGTTTTCATTTTTCTATCAAGGTCCAAAGTTTCTCGATTCTCTTACTCCTGAGATTACACACTCTATCTTTCGCAACACAAAAACTTAAAATATATATATTTTCAACATTACGGACTATTATGTGGATTGTCAACTCGTTATTTACAATATCTGTTGTCTAAGTTATTCATCTCGTACTACTTACATGCACTGATGGTTATTTTAGGTTTTCTCGCCATCGATCTGTTTTTTTTTTCTTTGCCTGTTTACCATTTGCAGTAAAATTTTGTAATTTTGTAAGTAATGGCAAATAAAATAAAAGTAAAACGTGGAGTCTCTTAATATAACATCAGTTTCAACCACTTATGATCATTGTCTCCTATGTCTTACAACCTGTGTTCTTACCTCCGACATACAGGATGATTTTACAATCCGCTGAATTTCCACTGGCGTCAACAGCAGTGAAAGTCATGTGATAGCCACTTGTTCTTGACAAAGACTTGCCGTCAATGAGAGGAGGAATGTATCTGACAATACCAACATTATCAGTGAAGACCGGTCTTGAGATGTTTACCCACACTTGAGAGGTGCTGTAGGACACTTTGTAGATCTTCTCTGGACAGAAGACAACCTTGGGTTTTTCATTGTCTTAAGAAAACGCAGGGGAATATAAACAAACGAGACAGTTTTAGAAGCTGTGATCATGGAGAGAAGCATGGAGCAAAACTTTATCTATTTACCTTTGTAGCTAGTTTCTTGCTCAAATATTCCTGTTCGAAAAACTTCGTAATATTAAGTTCATAACTACGCTGGCAACGTTGCGTTTTCAGTTCTTCCTCTCCTTTGCCTAGGGGATTTTTTGCCTGGATCTCCAGTTTTCCTTCCTATATAGGAATAACGCTGCAAATTCTACCTCAACCTTAATGCAGTACTTTCGACCAAAACCTTTTTTTAGGAAGAATGTGTGATCTAAAGTATACACCACCTTGGGGAAGTATATTTTAACAACGAATACTATGAAGAAATTACTGAAGAACAAAAACGATAATGCACCTTTCACATCCACAAACACTGTGCAAAATTTCGCTTGACCGATTTCGTTCACCGCTGCCCACCTGACAATCGTGCTGCCGAACGGGAATCGGTAGCTGCTGCTTACACCAGGAGGTTCAACAGCAGTGACGTTCTTAACGTTAGCTGTGGGGATTTTCCACTGATCACTGACATCCGCTGTGCTCATCCCCGGCTTTAGAATCACATTAATGTCAGAAGGACACGTGATATACGGTGCTGGAAGAAGGGATTATGGGAAAAAGAGCCACAGTGATAATTAATACAAACATTTATTTTGAGAGACGCAACGACCCAATTATCAGAGTGTTTTTTAGACTTCACGGTGTTTTTTTTCCCGGGTAGGACACGTACTTCTCTCCAACGGTGCCCTTCTTTACTTAGGAAACTGGCAAAATGACAGTGAAATGTAAAGGGCTGCAGATCATCAGTGGCATGCACTCCATGTCGCCTCATACAACAGAAGCAGAAGTATTAGAACAGCAGCTTCACAGCGAAACTACAAGAATCTAGTCCTAATCGGGGATAATTTCCAGACCGTTCGGAAGCTCGGAATAGCAATTTAAATCGAAAAAATGGCCACACAACAAGAAAGCCTTAACCGAAATAAAGTGATATTGATATAACTTACTCGGATGCCGTTTTTCACAAATCGGTTCCGTTCCACTCCATTTACCATTCGCCTGACAGTCCCTGTAGCTGACTCCCTTCAGATCGTACCCGGAATTACACCTGTAAAAGCATCGACCTCCATAACGAGTGGAGCCATCAAGATATATTTTGCAGCTGGCCTGCACAGAACCATTTAGAATGTCTTTTAATGATGGACATGGTCTTCCTGTTAAAGTTCAGCGAAGAACAACTTCATCGATTGTATTATGTAAATTTTCCTCTTCAGCTTGTAGGTGTATGTTTTCACACAAACCTCCAAACAGATATTTAAGGATATCTCTTTGAGGCAATTATTAGCCCCAGTCGAGTTTCCTTGAAAAGACTATTGTATTGAAATGTAGCTACATAATTTCCTAACGACAAAGCATGTTAAATCATCTCTTGCGTTGTAAATGTAACTTCACCTCCCTTACCTATGCAATACGATGGATGAGGAACCCACAACCCATCTTTGCCGCAAGTTGTACTCTCAGCCGCTGGCTTATTCAGAACATTTCCATGATTGCACACAACTTTGCAGGTGTCCTCGTATTTATTTTGTCCCTCTTGTGTGCATTTTGCAGGATGAAGTTGACTACGAGAATCTCTGTCTGCGCTGAAGTGGGAGCACGTCTTACCTGAAGGACAATGTACAAAAAGGCTGGAACTACTAAGATAAAAATTGTGATGTAAAAAACTGATGAATCAACTGTAGGTAAATAACGATATGGCAATAGAGCTGAAGGACTCGGAAAATGATAGAGTGGGGAGAACGACATTCTGACGATTGAAGTAAATTAAACAGCAAACGGACGGTAACAGGAAAGACAAAGGCACAATTCCTAACACACTGGGAAAAATATTTCACCAATTTTATGACTATTGCAAATGCAATGAATACTGATATCATGCTTCGAAAATGCATGTTTCCGAAAGCGAGTTAAGAGACAGAATGATGCAAGTACGACATTGACAGGAAAACGCCGATTTTAGCAAACTGTTTTGAATTTCAGACAGAAACGAATGTCTGTTTCCCTAATACATTATCCAAGTTATCTCTCGCGTTTAAGGTCTTGACACTCAGATCGGTTTTACTCGTGTGGATGCCTCCGAGAACAGACTTTTTTCCGAGAGACATTTATAAATAGCTCAAGTGAAATCGTTGAATCACGGACAAGAAGGCTCCTTCTCTATCCCCTCATATTCTCCTGATGTCTTCAGGAGAAAGTCACATACGTTTACAAGATGAGTAATCCTTCCACTCGTATCCTGGTTTACATTTACACTGAAAACCACCAGGGTAGTTTCTACAAGTAGTTGTCGTCTTGTCGCAATTGTCCTTTCCCTCACTACACTCATCGATATCTAAGGAGAGATGACGACAATGATAACTTTATTTGATGACTTGGAGATCAGTATATTTGAAAAACTGTTTCCTTAGATACAAAGTTCAAATTTACCAAAGCTCAGATCTATGAGATCTTAAGTCATTTACCTGGAAAAGTAAATGATAGTGACGAATTTAAGAAAATATACGATATTTTTTAAAAACATGTTTCGACAGTTCTCCTGTCATCTTCAGTTCTGATTTATACAAAGTACAAAGATGAATTTGAAGTGTATAACAAAATGTTCATGGGATAGAACAAACAATTAAAACAAAACAATGTATGCAATTACAAGAAAAGTTTTAAATTTTGTAGCACCTCTCACATTTTCAGACATTTACAACATTTCCTGTAGAAACAAAGCTCGAATCTACTAAAGCGGAAATCTATAATTTTAAATTTTTCCCCAGGAAAGATGTTTCTTCCATAGATTACAAAAGTAATGCTGATAACGATGAAAGGGCAACAATGATAGCGATATCGATTTTTTATGATGGTAATGATTATTGAATAAAAACAAATTTTCGATCAAATTGATTGCACATCTAGGAACAATTAGAGTTTTTTTCCTCCATTAATCCTCAGATCCTCAAGAGTTTCTAGCCCTAAAGAGTATGAAGAATCTAGTATCTAAAGAGTATGAAGAATATGGATACTGATGTCAGAGACATTGCCTGATGCCATGCGCACCAACCTGCACAGCGGTAACCATCGACGACTTGAAAGCCACTGCGGTGACATGCGCAGTGAAATGAGCCAACAGTGTTTATACAATACTCATCACAGCCGCCTTTGTTTGATCTACATTCATCTACATCTGAAAGAAATATTCAATTAAATCTGAATGAGGAGATACATCGCAACAGGAACATTCGAAAAAAAGATAGAACTCTCTTTACAAGCACACAAAAAAGGATAGGGGACTTAAGCCATTATTTTTCACCTAGGGGGAAGGGTTAGGGGATTTTGAGGGGGGTTACATGATTTCAGGGGTACGCACGGATGGGGGATCGATTGTCGCCGACAGTGTATAAAGATGGACTATAGAAAATATTCTTCAGAGTTACCTTCACAGCGGTTTTCGTAGTTTGTCCTGTAGCCCAGAGGACAGGTACATGTGTATGAGCCAACGTTATTATGACACGTAGCAACATTGTCTGCACAGCCACCAGAATCCTTGCATTCGTCGATGTCTTGAAAAAAAAAGGTAAAAGAAAAAAAGGGGGGAATGCAAAACACTATGGATAGTTTGAACAGTTAGTAAGTCGACTCTTCACCCCAATCCACCCCCTGAAGGTGCACGGGGAAACTTTCTCACTCGAGGCGCGCCGCTTAAGGGAAATAAGCGAGAGGATGACTGACAAACAAACTACTGCTTTTAACAGTTTCTAGTTCCTCAGATTTTTTCATAATTGCAATTTCGAGATTATTCTTTTAATTTCATCCTACAGTCAGCTGGACTTACCGACACATTTCCCATCGGGTGCTTTCTTAAAACCTTTTCTGCAGTTCACTGAAAAAGATAGAAAAACACCGGTGCTTCATATCAGCAAAATTTGCGGCTCGCTTTCAGCTTTCAGCGTCGCAACCATAACAGTTACTATCACTATTCATTCTCAATGTCACAATCATGATTATTATTCTTACCAACGGATGAACAAAGGGATCATGAGGAGATGAAGTTACATAATGATTGAGGAAAGGAGGGTCTCGGATAGTGCACAACCTCTCAGAAAGTAAAGCTGTTGTGTTCTGGGCAAATACACTTTATTTTCCCTTAGCGATTCTCTGAATTTCCATCGAAGATTTTCTTAGGATATAGCTCTCTATAGCATATTGGTTGAGCATCAGAGAGTATATTAGGCTGATCGCTCTGACGAAGGGCTAACGCTCGAAACGTCGGCTTTTTTACCCTTTACGGGGGCCAATTTTCGTTTTCAACTCAGTTGTTAACACTAAATCACCTGCTATACTCTCCCACTGACGCAGCACCACAGTGCCTTTAGAAACTTACCCCCTTTAATAATACACCTAGTCGTCAGAGAAATCTAGACTCCTGGCATGGACTTCCGCGTAAGCGATTGTAGGACTAAGCCCTCTAGGTGAAGATTCCCTGTTGATAATTTGATCACTTATAACATAGTTATGAATCATAATACTCACAAGAAATGGTATTCCATTGGTATTTTACTTCTTTGTTGTAAGAAAATTGGTAACGTTGCCGAGACGTAACAACATAAATCTGCAGAAACAGAAATTGAAAATACATTGTAACAGGAGTATCAACACCTCTTTATGTGCAGATCAGAGACCTGTTTCCATCTCTCCGAATAAAACTGAAACTGAAAAATAAATAAAAGATATGGATGTAGTCACAAGTGAAACCAGGCATATTCTTAGCGAGCAAGCGCAGAGTATTTCTTTCGGAAATTCTCTGGTAGCCATTTTAGATCTATAGGCAGGGGAAGGCTGGAGAGAGGGAGAGACATGTCTACCAGGGACAGGAGGCAGGTAGAATACACTACATACTTTCCTTTCTACACTTAAAGAAATCATTGTTCTTTTAGTTTAGGGAGAAAAGAGGGCTGATGAAGTTTATAGCGGGATGTAACTTGGTTTCAATTTCTCTCACCTGGCTTAGCCACCAATAGTCTTGATAAACTCCGGTTTGTACCAGTTGTATTTTGATGGCGGAAAGTTTTCCTACATCTCGATCTGTTATCGTAAATCGCATTACGCTGTTGAATAGAAATCAAACAAGTTTGTAACTGGCATAATACAACAGTAGTAGAACGTGAACATTTAAGATCAGATCTCCCAAATTTTTCCAATGGATTTTAATCCTTCCTCTCAACGTATTTTGGCTGGCTCTGGTAACTGTTTTCCGAATCCTCTTTCCTTTACGGTAGAGTGGACAAAACTCTTCCTTCTTCTTTGTATATAAACATAATAGATACCGCCGGGTGGTTTAGATTTATCAAATGTTAAAACATTACATTGAATTTTGCGCGAGAATTGGCCCTCAGAATTTTTCTTATCCGTAGCTGAAAAAAATTCCCATTTTTGAGCTTCCAAGGGTGCTGGATTAAGTTTTGCCATTCAGCAATTTTGCCGTATTTTGATGGACATTTATGTAAACTTTACTTCCAATCCCAAGATCGTTCCCAAAAACTGTTTCTTTCTAACATGCGTTTAACTGAACAGTGCGACGATACTAATAAGCCCGAAAAAAGTGGTCAATGATGACATTATGAATTTCCCCATAGAAAGGCTGTCCGAATCTTCCCATCACCACGTGCGCGTGTGTGTCGTACGTTCATTTAACATGTTGCCACACTTGCCTGTAACGGTCAAACGGTCCTGACAGATGGTGAACCGATGTCTGAGCACCTCCTACACCCACCAAAATGATTGAAACCTTGTCATCGTCAATCCCAGAGAAACCCGTGGACACAAAAAGTTGATACACTGACAAAAAAAGAAAAGAAATCAAAGAAAAAGGCAAAAATAAACATTTTGTCGTTCTAAACTTTTCGATCAGGGAAAAATTTCGCGCTTAAAAAGAAACTTACCTAGAAAGCATATCAAGGATTCAAATAATGACAGATCATCCTAGAATTTTTGCCTCCGTGGTCTCAAACTTTGGCAGATCGCTTTCTTTGAAAATTTTTTCATTTAAAACTGACTTTGTTAAAAACAGGTAATTTAGTGTTAACAACTGAGTTGAAAACGTAAATTGGCCACCGTAAAGGGTTAAAAAAGCTGACGTTTCGAGCGTTAGCCCTTCGTCAGCCTTTTTACCCTTTACGGTGGCCAATTTACGTTTTCAACTCAGTTGTTAACACTAAATTACCTGCTCTACTCTCCCACCGACGCAGCACCACAGTTTCTTTAGAAACTTACCCTCTTTATTCACTTAATAAAAACAGTCCATTCTACTTAATGGGAGAGCTATTTCTTTAGGAAATGTGAAATAATCGGAATATCTTCTATAAAATAATCACGACACCCTTTAATTCGAGTTGGTTATTTCAATAGCAATGAATCAAAAACTTCCCATAATAGCTCGTCTAACTCTATGTTTTTCCTTCCTATCAAAAACTGATCATCGTCTGTTTCCGAACATTAAAGGTTTAAAAGAAATCTGAAGGTCACAAAGCTCCATCGATTGAGTGCGGATGATTTTTCTTCACAGTTTTAAAGCGTCTTGAAATGTCTCAACATTTTATTGAATACAAATGTAGCCGGTGTAATTTAGGGCCTGTCTAAACAGAGCGAGACTATAACCCGTGGTGACCAGCATGTACTGCGAATGGAATTTGCATGTAATTTGTAGGATCTGTTAATGCCAAAGTAAACCACACTCGCGGCTGAAAATTGGCCTAAGCGGATAGTCGTAGAGATTTCCTATAAAAATGATATTTGTGCAACCGCCAACTTTTTTTTTTTTTGAAAACTCATTAAATACATTTGATAAACCATAAAAACAACATCAATAAAAGCAAACACAGGAACGCTTTCCGAAGAGCAGTTAATTATAATCCCACTTCTTTCGATCTTAAATTATAAGGCGATCATTCTTGATCATTATAATTCATTTATAACTCTTAATGATTGTTTAGTTGTTTCACACTGATGTTGAGAATTTCAAATGGTTCCTGGAAATACCAAAAGTTTTATGACTCGAAAAATCGCCGACTCGACAAATTTACGTTCGAATAATATTTCTAAAGCGTGCTAAAGTTAGAAACGTTCAAATGAAAGCACGTTTGCCCTTTCCTTGTAATTTCCTCGTCAAAATTCGACAAGTGGCTTATTTTCTTACAAGGTTTTTTCAGAGAGCTCTCTTTATTCGAGTTTTAAAACCAATCACTCTTTTCAAGGAGGACAAGTGAAGTTTGATTTATTCAGGATCTCGATGCTTCAGATTTGGAAATGTCTCACATAAGATGTTATCGTTGATTCAGCGTCTGAACATAAAAAATTCGTAGTCTTGTAAACGGAAAACTTGAGCCTTTAAGTTAACTACAGTTACATCATTGAATAATTAGCCTGTCTTATCGATATAAGGTTTGTTCAGATAAAAACCACTTCAAAAATATCAACTAAACTGCTGAGGCTTACCATAACCTTTGGCGACTGGTACTTGGATAAAGCCAAGAATCGCGAAGAGTATCAAACGAACCATTGCAAAGTGAGTGGTGCCTGGTTGGACAACTCTCTTCACGGCAGAATCAGCAACTTATAGAGGGATTAAACGATGCTTTGCTTTTTAATAGGCAGCCAAATCTAAACATGCAAATTATGTCCAATTGTGCGACGAAAGTATAACCAACCAATGAGCGGCTCTTCACGATAACCCTTTCCCGAGGGGGGAAAAAGCAGTTTTTTGCGAACAAAAAAAGTGCGAAAAATTATTTCCTTCTTTGTTTGACATGTAATTTTAAGAATTTTTTTGGGAGCGAATTTTTTTTTTCTCGCGTCTTCTAATGAGTTGCTTGGCTAAAGTGAAAATTATGTTTGTGGGACGGAGCGAGGTAGGTAAAACACTACACGCCTTTGCAAATGCTTAATTATGAATTAACGGGAACAAATTCAAAACTGCAGAGCTTTTATTCTCAAATAGAATGAAAAAATAAGCAATGCGTTGGAGCAATTATGAAAAGAAATTATATTTTCCCAGTTCAATCATGGACAGAAATGACGGAGGGCATGATGTGCAAAAACGTGTTATAGATTCAGAGGCTTAGCATCCGACGGAAAACCTCATTTCGACTCATTACTTTTTTTGTATCGAACTAATGAGGTGCTACATTTAGCCAGCTGTGTCTCATGTTATTTACTCAACATTTAATCATTATGCACAATTTGAGTAATTAACAGGACTGTTTGGCTACTGTCAATCACAAAATTGCTAGTAATTTACTGGGATTCTAAAAAAGGAAACATTTAACACCAAACTGTCCGATCTAAGTGTGAGAGCCTTTTCAGTGCCAACACTATTGCGACCATCTTAGTGTGAACGATAACTAGAGTTGAGTAAAAGGTCTAGCGCTCTGCAGCACTAAAATGATTTGAGATGGAGAGTGTTTTTCCAGGTGTCAGTAAGTTTTTGCACTAATGTATGTAAACGTAGATTAATCTTAAAAAACTTTTATAGTACAAATAACTTTTTTTCTTTTTATGATTTCTTAGTTAATTTCTTACAAATATCATAATTAAAGTGTGTTATATTTAGCTTTATTTAGGTACTATTTATGCAGTCTCATATCCAGACCTTCCACGGCCAAGCGGTGGGAACATTTCTGTAACAGTTAAACGGTAGGATCTGGTTATGAGATTACTATTTGGGTACAATGGCTTAATGAAATCATCATAGATCACAAAAAGTGAAAGTAAATTTATAGATATTTATTCATGAAAATGTCCGAGCGGAATATAACCACCCAGGCTCAATAACAGCCGCTATCCGGGAAATGAGCCCACATTCCTGCCATAAGGACCGGATTTGATATATGACGGCCAAGTACGAGTCTTATTGCGATCGTCATGTTTAAATTATCTTTTTGCAGCCTTTCCCCTTCCGTTACAATTTGGCTCGTTTTTATCAGAATTCTCCACCAGGCTTTTCTAAGCTGGGCAAAAATTCTTTCTAGCTGGCTCTTTAAGCTAGTCTCCAGGTCTATTACCAAGTATCTTTCGCTCTCGGTCGTAAATAGAGGCCAGGTTATGTTGCTGGCGGTCAGCGGAGGTAAGTGGGGATCTCGTCTGTTGGGGTCTCTGTTGGAAACAAAAACAAAAAAAAAACGTTTTCACTCTAATAACAAAGCTTTAGATTTTAAAGCTTTGAAATAAAAGCAGCATGTAGATTAGGAGATCTACATGTTAATCTACATCTACGTGGAGATCTGCGATTATTACAGTCGACGGGCACTTTCTTCCGGAAGAACCCTCATTACTGCTCGACGAAGGTAGATTCCAAAAAGTTAAGGCGATCGTTGGTTTCAACAAAAACTGCGGTTCTGTGGCGCTGTGGAGATTGCATTTCAAAGCAGCTGGTCAACAAATTGACCACCCACTGATCCAGCGGGCTGTAGATGAATCCATCTTTTTCCAAAATGGTGAGAATGAGAGATTAAGGAGGGCTATCCTCTCCAAGTATACAAACCACGCCGACCCAGACTCCCCGCAGAACATTGAAGTAAACTGGCAACGACTTCTTGGCGATTCCTGTTCGTTGCGCCCGCGATCAAAGTTGCCAAGTCTCTGGCTAACGCAGGGATGTCCATCATTTTTCCACTGTTTCACTCACCGTGCAATGCGTTGCAAAATGAAGAATCCTACGGAGTTTTTCAGGGTAACGAGATCCCCTATCCATTTGGAAAACCTTTTTTGAAAATGCCGACACTCTATTTCTGGTTAGCAAGTACTGGCCAGAAATGGAGCGAAGATTGAGCATGTCCTTAATTTAAGCCTGGGCAAAATTTGAAAACTTTGGGTAAATAATCAGTGAGACACTATTGAAATTTGTTTGCCATGCGGAACAGAGAGATTTCCTCTGATAACATCCGTGTGATGCTACCATTAGGCAAACTTCAACGCAGAGACATTTCTACTTTAGTGTCTAAAGAAGTCCGAGATTGCATTAGTTTTGCTTTGCATTGCTCTTTGATTGGTTCAGAAATAATGTGCTTCCCCTACAACCAATCAAATGTGTAACTGAATCCGATCGCAATTTAATCACTTGCGTTTTCCCCGCGGAAATCTATCCTCAAAAAGGTCTTTTGTGTCTCTTTTTTTTCATTTTATTTTCTTATTTTCTTTTCCCTTCTCCCTTTTTTTTTTCTCGGTACATCGAGAAGAATGATTAAAACCAATGCTCCTCTTGTCTTATAGACACACAGATGATCAGTTTCCCACGGTTTAATTTAACTTTGTCACGTACCATCAATATTTATAACAAAGAGTTTCAAGAACATGTCATTTTCAAGCCGTTAGGATAAGGTCAAAAATTTGCGATTATTAATTGCTGCTCGTGGCTGCCACACAGCCTCAATTAGATAGAGACAATTAGTTTAATGCCTTTTATAGTTTACTTAAGTCATCAAGTGCCGTAGAATTGGATGAGTTTTAATCAACTCATTAACATTGATTTCCTACCTGGTAGGTTCCAAAACAAAATTATCATTTAGATTGATTAGACCCTGCGTCAAAGATCGCTTCTAGAAGTTAGAACGTGACAGAGAGAAATGATTAACAAAGATCTCACGACGTAGCAACAAACAGCTGAGGAAACACTTAGGTATCACCAAGTTTCAGAACGAAAAGAAAATACTGGATACGTGATTTCAGATTAAACCGAAAAGATTTGAGTTGAGCTTCAACGCGGCTAAAGAGTCAATGATGAACTTGACAACTTCATCAAATGGCAGCAAAGAGTCAGTTCAGGGTGTACTTCTTCTTGGCTTTATAATCATTGACTTCGTATTTGCAGCGATCATCATGATGGCAAACAGCTTTCTCTTTATCACGATTTACCGCGATCCCTGTCGATGTTTACGCACGCCCAACGTTTTTCTTATTGCAAATCTCTCCGTTGCCGATTTTTTTATGGGATTTGTCAGCTTTCTGAGAGGTATCGAACTTACCTATAGCTACCATGGCTGGGTAGAGCTTTTAATCGTCAACATCACTCAATATTTCATTGGAGCTGTGTCGATTCTCGCCGCAGTGTCGACGCTTTTGGCGATGTCTTACGATCGGTATGTTGCAGTGATTAAGCCGTTTGAATATCCACTGAAAGTGACGAACACAAAAGCGAAGATCTTCATCTTTGCCATTTGGACAAGTGCGCTAGTTTTCTCCGTACTTCCAGTTTCGGATGTAAGGAGAGAAAAGTTTTTGCTTGTCTATTGTTACTCTCATTTCGTGATCCCATCTTTCCTCTTAACAACAATCTATGTGAAAATATACAAGGCGATTTCCCTACAAAGAGAAGAACTTAAAAATGTGCGCGCTAGTCTAACAGCTGCAGGTAGAAGGCAGCAGTTAGAGAGAGAGAACAGAATGGTCATGGCATTTATAGCGATCCTTTTGATATTTTATTTGTCATTTTTGCCCTACTTTATCAACATACAGATTCTATATTTTTGCTCTTGCCGCACCTCTTACGCATACAGAGTTTATCATTATGTGGCAAACGAATTTCTCTCCGTCAGCTCCATAGTGGATCCCTTCATGTATGCTTGGAGAATTCCGAAGTTCAACCGCTCGCTTCGAATGTGTTTTCGTCGCCGAAATGTCATCAGTGTGTTGCACACAACCAGTACTTTAAACCAAGGCAAAGCATCAACTCATTGACTCAATCGTATTTTTCCAACTGATTTTTATTAAAATCCTTACACCCATCTCTTCAGAGGAAATCCAATCAGGAACCTTAAGACAGCTTAATTGCTAGTACAAAGAGCCTTCAAGTTTTAGGTCTATTTTCTTTTTTAATTCACACGCTAACGCAAAGAGAGTTTTTCAACAAGTAAACAAATTAAACGGGAACTGTGAAAGAACTTTGGGGAAATCGAGACTGCGAAACTAGCGAATTTGTTATTAAAATTCTGTCATCCTCGGTATCTGGTTTTTATTTTTACCTTTTGCATTTCGGTTTTTTGTTTACAAATTTTGGCGATGTAAATTTTGGAAAATTTAGTCTTCAACCTTTGAATTCGAAAAAAAGAAATGAAACAGCAAACGCTTCACTGACAGAGCCCAGACCTATAAAGAATGATCTATAATATAGCTCAGGGTGAGGTTAAATTACCGATGAAGCAATCTACCACGCAATATATTAAATTTTTCGTTTTGACTGAGATAAGAAAACCATTAGCTACAAAACGGAAGCGGCAGTTTTTGCTATCTTCTCTGTAATCAGACTCAATTACCATCGTTTTTATAGAAGGTGGCCTTTATTAACTTAGCCACATCACGCTAAAATCTCTTTCTACTCAACTCGCATGGTAACATCACGCTAAAAATCCCTTTCTACTCAACTCGCATGGTAACAGCAAAACATAAAATTGAAAAAAAAATGTTTGACGCCCGATAAGTTAAGAAACTTCCGCGTTTTCATAAATTTTTTTACGTGATTAGCAATGTGGTTCGATTTTTTGCCATATTTGGAGAGACAATTTGTGAAATGGGATCGCTTGAGACATCCGTAACATGATGTCAGGAGTGTCATTTGGACTTAGTCATACATTTCCGTCATCTACTTAATTTTTTATTCCATATTTGATATGAAAAGTTATACGAATACTAAATTAAAGTGTGAATTGAACAAATTGCGTTAGTGGGGTCAACAATTATGTCGCCTGAGGCCCGTTTCTTGAATGTCCCAATGCCATATTTTAAAATCAAAATTTTTCCAATAGAGAAGCACGTTCTGGGCGCCCTAACCGGTCCATTTTGTTTCTTAGCCGATAATTCATTGTATAGTTTTCAAAACCTTTTAACCTTACAGCTTGAATGAAAACAGGACAGCTTTAGGGGCGCGTTCAGTTAACCGAAACTTCCAGAAACGGGCCTCCAGGCCCTGTCGGGAAAAGAGGCAAGATCAAGATTTACAGAGGTAAATTTGACGAGAATTTTCCTTTCTCCTCTGATTCCGCATTAATATTTTTCAGGGTTATTTAGTTTTTTTAATAGTTAATGGTAAATTGGGACCCAAGAGATCCATTAAGATCACTGATCATTTCTCGTGTACCTCCGCCAATGTCATCTAATGCATAACTTGTATGGCAAAAAGTTATACATTGGTAAAAAAGGAAGACGACTAGGTGACCGATTCCGAGAACACCATTGTGACGTAGAAAGAAATAACAAGGACGCATTCAAACCGGTCATTAGACACTTGAATCTCCCTAATCATTCTCAGCAGCACATATGGCAGTTTGCAGCCTTTCCCTACGTCTAGGTTGCTCGGAAAGCCGCAAAACTCAAGAACAAAAATTTATCTTTCAAATCGGCACTCTTAATCCCCACGGCATCAACGAGCGCTTTCCTCTCCACAAATTTATCCTTGTTTTCTCGTCATCATATTCCCGCCAATAGCATGGCTCCATTTTCTAAATATAAACCCACCCACAATCCAGAATTTCTCCAATCGCTCTGACGAAGGGCTAACGCTCGAAACGTCAGCTTTTAAACTCTTCACGGAGGCCAATTTACGCTATCAGCTCAGTTGATAATACTAAATTACCCCGTTGTACTCTCCCACCGATGCAGCACCACAGTTTCTTCACAAACTTACCCCCTTTATTAATGCTTTTCAGTTTGATATTTCTCTACCACTTGCACTTCTTTCAAGATGAATATGGAAGAAGAACAAGAGGCAGGTAAAAACCAAACAAAGTCAACAACATCCGGCCTAAAAGGTATTTCAGCTTTGTAAAGGTGTTAAAGTTGGCGTTCAAATCAAGTTTATCGAATTATCCATGTACATATCGACTGCGTCCGAAAAAAAGCAAACGCATACTTCAACCTGCAGAACATGCAAGCAAACCCACGTGGAAAGTGGTTTTCATATACATCCGAATATTTGTAGTTTTTGTAACGACGTTGCAGAGTCACTTTTATAATCATAAAAGTGAACTCTTCAAGGTCTTCTAGGATGGTAACTTCTTGATAGATAAGCCAAAATGTAGGCCTTTTGACGCATGCTTTCATCGTGGGAATTTGATATCATTCCAAAGCATCAAAGTATTACTGCATGAACCAGGGCAGAAACAAGTAAGAGGGTTGCTAGAGCTGCATCACAATTAATCCATCCTGGAAAAATAATCCTGAAATTAAATTTTCAAGTTTTCATGTTCAATCCGCGTCATATTCTTCTCCGCATGGTCCTTGTTTAAGTTTATTGTTAGATGGTTTAACTTAGTATAGTTTTCCCTTCTTAGGTAAGAATTTATTTAAAAGTTCCTTAAAAAATTTGCGACATTCTTGAACAACTCCATTATCTTGCTCATGTTATGAGACTAGCGAACATTTGGCGTTCATCATTTTTTTTTTCTCTTTCTCGTTTTTCTCTCATATTGAAACAACGAATTAAAGATCCCCCGAGACACACAGTATAAATAGCATTTTTTGAAATGCTATTCCTTCGCCGTTCGTAAAAATTTTCTTCCTTAACTCCTACAAAGATTGAACGACCTTAAAAATGAACACGTTTTCTTTGTGTCTTCGTCAATGGGCCCAAAGATCTTTTTCTTTAATGAATTTGAGAGAAATAAATATGTGATCATTTCTGAAATCCTTTTTGGTTACATTTAGACAAAGCCTTACTCCGAGGGATGAAAAAATTATCGTCCATAAACCTACCTTTCTGAAAGTCCTGACGGCTTCTCGCAAAAGCTTATGGATATCTTTTCGTGTGAGAATTTTAAGTGGTTATTTAAGCAAAGTGTCCACGCGTTGTTATTAATTTAACTATTTAAACTTTCGAGCAAGCGATGACATTTGGGCAATTAACTTTTTTCATGTGAATGGACCACCAGCCACATTGCACAAATAAAACCGAGAGTTAATTAACTAAACCAGTTTGTTTGTGTCATTTAGAGCACAATTTAAAGAGTCCTACTCATATAACTCAAAACAATCCAATTGCGTGCTGGTGGGGAAAATTACCGAGGTACAAATTTATGGTTAAAATCAAACAATAGCACGGACAATAATAAAGAAAAACCGAACGGTAGTGAAATATGAAAAGCTATGAAAAATAACATAAGTTTTTTTTTACGTTTTGAGTCCCCTTTTCCTTCTTTCTTTGAATCTGTCTCTTTTTTTTTTGTGGAAACAACACACAGGCACCTGCGATAACAAATTGTACAGGACTACAAAACAGAAAAAAGGATACTCTTCAGCCCTACGATAGCTAGACATATGAATTACTGTTCCGGATGTACTTGATATTCCAATCACAGAGGAATATGATCACCTCTCGATTCAACTAAAATTTCGCATGAGCCGCAGTAATAAGTCTTCGCACCTCTGATTTGGGTGGAGATTTGTGAAACACTTATCTAATGACATAGCTGAAGTGAAGGAGACATTTCTCTTTAAAATTAGTTTTAGCGTAAGCTATTTCAGAATTTGAAGTCTAAAAGCTGCATTAATTAAGGTGTGCGACTCTACCTCAACCAAATTTGGCAATTATCTTAAATATAGTCTGAATCAGAGAACACGCAGATAACACGCGACAAGTTTGATTCCGGTCTAACGCTCCTCTAATTAAAATTCACCAACACATCCTTCATTTTTTTGTAGCCTCTTCAACCCAGTAATTGCGATCATATCGCCTTAGTCCCATCGTCTCGTCTGTATGTGTTTCAGAATGCATTTCTCTACAGATTTGCTAGTATTTTCATCGTATACACACCCACGTATATCGCTGCGTTTGAGTTCGAAAAACTATTTTTAATCAACATCATAAACTAAGCCATTCATCATATTTCAACAGGATTTCAAAGACGCTCTGATGGTTGTCCAAGACTTTTATACGTGGAAGGAATCTTGGTGGTCAAACAGCCGTAAAACTCTAACTTAAGAACTATAGCGTCGTTCCATGAAAGAGGATAAACCCGCACGAAACGAGTGTAAACCGGTTTGACGAGGATGTTGGTGACCACTGTATAGGGATCTGTGTTACCATAGAAGACCTGAAAGGAAAAATGCAGTTATGAATAATAAGTTCATTAGATAAATGGCTCCCAGGGACTAGTGATTATTTTTCGCCTGGGGGAGGTTGGGGACTAGATGGATTTTTGAAGAGATCATAAGGGGAGCGGAGGTGGGTGATCAGTCGTCGCCAACGAAGTATAAAGGAAGGGACCCGGAGTGAGGGGGGAGGGGAATAGTAGAAAAACCGTCTGTCAGTGAAGGCCTAAAAGGGGATCATAGGAATTCTGCGGATCCTTAGGGAGGATCAGGTGAATTTTATTCCGACCCCCCCTTTCCCCGGCAGTCGACAAATGCTGACGGGTCGCTAAGACAGAGGAGGAAAATTTCTACCTTTCTTCTTATCTCAGTAACGTCTCTCACTGCACTTTGTTATAACAAATCAAATTCAAGGTATCAGGAACTATGATCGGCGATGATGAATAACGACAAGAGCCCATTACTCCTGATAACGATACCTTGTCTCTTGTCCCATTGCCATGGTAGATACGCCAGCTGACCGCTTCCAGTGAATATGCCACCTTATATGTCTTCACAAATACTGTAAACCTCTTTCCTTGGGTCGCCAAACCTTTCAGCCATCTTGGCTTCCCAAGATCCACCTGGATCCAAGGTGAAAGATCGTTGGGCAGGGCGTACCAACCTTTCTCGGCCCCAGCTCTCAGCCGTGCGCTCCAAGGAGGATATTGAGGGTAGTACGAACTTGCAGTAATGGAAGCGTTTGTAATTGTACCATTCTCCATTCCAAGTGCCTCCAAACCATCACATTGGCTCGCTAAGTAGGACGAGAATTATAAGAGCTATATTTCCAAGGATTAAAATACGAATTAGGGCTATGGATGGCGCTTTGGCAATTTTGCAAATGGGTTTGTATTCAATGAATAGATAAAGTTTGATTTATGCATAATTCTACAATTAAAAATGTTTTGTTATACAGTTGAGATCGTTGTCTCTCATCGACGCTACAAGAGGTTATAAACTGTTTACAATCTCTTGACCCTATCAATGCTCTCGAGGGACATCGTAAGCAACAAATGATTTTCTGCCTCCTCATCCCCTCTTCCCTGGTTGAGAAAAGCATTATTTGTTTTTACCGTACGCGCCTAAATTCCACAAGGACACAAATTTTTTACCTTTCCTCCCTTCGGGCCCCGACCCTCCCTTAAAAAACCTGCTTGCCAAGGTCCAAGTCATTCTGTAACTCTGCTTTAGTTTTGTTCATTTTTCTGTCAATATATTTTCTAGTATAGTCATCGTTTTTAAGAAGGATAAATTTATCCTACGGTACCCTAATCTCAGTCACAATTGTTTAGAGAAAGCTTTGGACATCTTTTTGTTTCATTACCAAGACAATTGATTCCATCTGTTTGTCCGTAGCCTTCTTTACACTGACAGCTGTAGTTTCCTGGTTTATTTACACAGGTTGATGCTGTTAGATTACATTTGTGTAAATTATTGGAGCATTCATCAACATCTGAAACAAGATAACAAAGTTCGTTGTTTCAGCCTTTCTCATATCTCAAAGTTAAGTGCAACCCCATTGTCTTCATGCAATTGTATTCTTTGTCTGTTTTCTTGCTTGTTCTTGTTTTTGTTTGATCTTCCTTTTCGTTGTTATCACCGTTGTTTATTTCGCCCGTGTTTTTGGCTCGTCCCAAGTAAGCGCACAACAGACGTGGGCAGAATGCAAGCGCAAAGTGTGATGGGTAAGCAGAAAGTTGTTCCTCCTTCCCGTCACTCCCTTCTCTCCCACTTAAGTGTTGCACACATTTCAGTGGCGGCTGGGAACGAGTCAGCTTGTTTATTGTTTTTTTTTTCAGTTTACAAGTATTTCTACTGACCTTGGCAATTATTTCCCGAGATGTTTTTATACCCAGAATAACACTGGCATATGAAACCTCCTGGAGTGTTGATACATTTGGAGATCTTCATATCACATGAATGGCTTCCAGCTAAACATTCATCTACGTCTAGGAACAATATTGTGATTTCGAATGACGTTATTTTCTAACGAATAAAGCTTAATTTCTACCCTTGCAAATCTTAGGTTTTTTCTTTTGCTGAAGACGGAATTAAAAAACTAGGACTGAATGGAACAAAGGGTATCTTTAAAGAATCCCAAATTAAATCATCCCCCTTCCCTTCCCCCGCCCACATTTAAAAGAGCGGAAAGTGGGCTTCGCCGCCTCGGATCTAAATCTCTTTTAACACGAATGATGGCTGTGTTCTGTTCCGACAGATGGTAATAATAGTTGCCAAACAGCCTACCTTTACAGCTGTACTTTCCATTCAGTTGATAACCTTTTTTGCATTCACAGTAGTACCCACTGATGGTGTTAACACAGAGCTGTTCGCATTTAGAGCGATTACTTCGACACTCATTTTCCTCTAAGGAAAACAAAATAGAGAAATACATCCAGTTTGTACAAACCTGTTCATTATGAAGAATGACGCAGTTTATACGGCATAAGTATATTTGTGGTAGGTAAATCGCAGAGGTAGAATGAACTACTAGAGTATTCATAATATACAGTTCAAACTAGAAAATTAACACAAAAGGTAGAAAGAAATGGCTGACAAAAATGATCATAGAAATTCTGAAACGGAAAAAGAATCGAAGACTTATTTCATAACTTATTACGTGTTGAAATTGGAGAGGGGAACGTGTTGAGATACGTGTGTACGCATGGATCATTCTCCGCTGACCAAAAATCATCTCATGTCTGGAAATAACTTAAATTTTTTTCTTGCTCATTCGATTCCTTATTTTTTGTTTGCTTTCTTTAAATGGTCTTCGCAATTTTAAAAGAGATGCAGGAAATAATTTTTTTTTATTTTGAAGTCATTCTCACCATAAGCTGTTTCCCACTTAAGTTCGTGTATCCACTTGTTGAAGATAAATGTGTAAGGCCTGGAACCATCGACAGTTATTACTACCTACGATTGCATAGGAAAATTGAATAAATGACGGCAAAGACATGATCATAAAACATTTTCTGTCCGTTTATTGCGACATCCTTCCCAATCACACGTCCTCTCTTCTCGATTTTGATGCCAGTTAAGCGAAAGATGTAGTTTTAAAATTAGAAAAAAAAATTGTCGTATTTCCCTTTCAAAGGGAGCCACCGTATAGGTCTGTTTATCCGTGCAGGGCAGTCTTCTCTTACCAATCTCGATGATTTAAACGCGGATGTAAACATGATAAAATCGAGGTTACTACAAGAACAAAAGTTAAGGGAAGACGACATGTTCTCTTGATTGAGAGGTAAAGCCGTGAGAGGTAGCAACCAAAGCCACTATAACCAGTAAAGTTTCTCTATCTCCATCCAGTATTTATTGACGAAAAGTCTGAATCTTGTCTACTCGCTACCTTTTGAGCTGATACACTTATGAGTGAGTGCAGGAGCCATCGTGGGAAATTAGAGCACAGGTTTTGTGCATTGCTGATCGGGTTATTCTAAATAAACACTTGAAATAATAATTTTTCAATACCTTATCTAGTTTCCAATGAGGACCGATAAGACCATCCCATCGAGTAATTTTAATGGATGTTATGGGTTTGATCAGCTTAGCATTCCTGTAAAATGTGTCTGTTCTGCAAAAATAAAAGCAGTTTTGTACCATTAATCCTTTACGACCTAGCGTCACTCTGCATATTCGCCATATTGTTCTCTAGGAATTTCCTGTGGCGCTGACGAGGAGAATTTGTTTGACGATCAAGAACTTCTTTAGTTGGTGATCATTTCCTTTATTCTCCCGACCTTAATGCCTGATTTAGGGGTGATATTGTAAGGAGAATGAGAGATGAGTCACTCTAGAGGGTCAACAGATTAAAAGCAATCAGAATAATAATATGACAGTGATAATGATATCGTAATGATAATCATGAGTTAATTAACCACTTGCCCAGACAGTTTTTCCAGATTTGATGAAAACAAAGAATGAAGTGGATCTTTCAAACACACAAAACTTAGCTCAAAATTCAAACAAACACGCTTGGTGTTTCTCGCATATTAACTGTAAAGACGAATTTTGGTTAAAAACGCTTTCTTTGATACTCCAGCATAAACCGAGCAGTCACATAATAACTGACAACCCCGAATACGCATATTATTATTAGATCATTAGTAGCGTGCTCATTGGGATTAGTCCATGTGCACGTGCGTATGTTCGCTTCTTTATATATATAGCCCGATAATTTATGCCCACATATTTTCAACAGTAATTCGTCACACTTACGCGCCAGCTTCAAAATCATTTACTCCAGGATTACCCAACTCAATTGACCCTGTGGTTTGCTTGTTCGTTCCGATGATCTCAACAAAGACTTTTGCATCTGTTCCAGCCAGGTAAACTGCGGCGGTGGTGACTTGGATTTTATATGCTGAAAACAACGATCGGATAGACTATCATAGCTGATGTGGCGAATGTTACAGTGAAAATATATTAATACCCTAAGACTCCAGTTGAATTTTGTTCATAAGTCAGAGTGCGTTTATCATGACAAAAATAATTAACAACCATAAAATATATTGAAATTCATGACATGAATGAGTGAGCTGTTTTCATATCCTCATTTAATTTGTCATACATATTGGAAAGATTGAAACTAAAAAAATGGAATAGAAACTGAAAAGCAAAGTATTAACACAATAGTTCCATACTTACTTGCACCGCGTATTGCCTTCAAGAAAGACAAGGCAATAAAAAGAACAAACATTGTTTTCGGCATGGTAAGAAACTCTAGCTGATAACCGGCTGGCTTAGAAAACAATTTGTCGCGATATACTAAGGAACTTCCTGAGGAGTTTCCCAATTATAGCAAGACCTCTAAAATTTCCAGCCTAAAATTTAAAAGATGATTTTTTTAAATGATTTATCAGCTGCTGGAAACAATACGACATACAAACACATAGCGACTAAAATGTTTAAACTTAAACAGCTGAAAACATATTTTATACTATTCTTTTATTCTAAAAATTTAAACTTAGAACAAGATTCTCGTAATACAAACTTGACCTCATACAACTTTAAACAGTTTATTTTCATCACTTGAGTTCTATCTCGTAATGACCAAGTCTTCAAGTCGTGGAAGACACGAAAGAACACTCAAGAAAGTGACCTCATTTTATCGTGAACAAGTGTTTACAAATCAGACTTAGTCAACTGCCTTAGATTGTGACGAGACAAAATGACTAGTTTTCATCAAACCAAATACATTATGAAAGGAAAACAGTATTACCAAAATTGAACAATGGTTGTATGTTGATACTGTACAAATATTTGTTCTGTGTTTGATTCTCGATGATCATTTCAGAAGTTTTGGTCCAGAGTAATGATTATTGGAGAAATTATCGGGGGGGAGGGGAGGGGGAAGCAGTTGATAGGAGCTGCTAGTGTTAAACGGCTGATGTCAGCGGATATTAAATATTAGTACCCAGTCACCGAAAAAGACTCGAGGACGCGTTCTCTCGCTCATTCTTCCTGGACTTCGTACGGACAATAAAACAAGGGAGGAAAGCAAGGGACTGGGACAACGCAAGTAAGAATTTGCGGAACATTATCAAAATCACGTCACCTTCAAGTTAGGTTTTTATAATCTCGTAGTGGATACGGAAAATTTTTTTTCCATTGTCCATTAGAAAGAGGAATAAAAGCATGTGCCAAACATAAGTTTTCAAAAATGGTATTCTCATCTATTGAAGCGGACGTGAATACTTCATGCAGCTAAATCAAAAACTGAAATTACGAGATATTTGCAGTTTATCTTTGTTTTAATCATAAGACATATCAGCCGTTTTTCCAGATACAGAAGAAATCTTGGTTTCTAGAGTAAAAGGCTTTTGCTATAACTATTCGAGTCGACTCGCAGAATTTGACAAAAAAACCATAATTTCGTTGATAGACTCTTATCCTGCGTCTCAAATAAACTCGTAAAAATCCATCTTGAAGCAATTTTGTACAAACGTTATCTGATTGTTTCGTTATAACAGTTTTTTTATTACGATCCTGACTGGCTTGTGGGTCGTATGAAAAATTATAACCCCATGTTTTTGGACTTTGCCGAAATTTCGTCCGTCAGAAGCATCACAGAAAATTTGAAACGTGTTTGTACTTATACATTGTAGTTCTCTTCGGTCAGATTTATTCATTGTTATGCGTGCTTTCCCAAACGTCATCAAATAAAATAAAATTGGAAAAGTCATTTTAAGTTTACTTTGAGTCGAAAAGTTAATTAGAAACTTGTGACGTTTTTTTAGGAAAACTCTTAATAGTCTTGGTTAATAGTTTACTTTGAGTCGAAAAGTTAATTAGAAACTTGTGACGTTTTCTTAAAAAAACTCTTAATAGTCTTGGCAACACAGCTGCCTATACAATCAGGTGAAAATTTTCTCATGAAAATGAATTTTAAACGATTATTTGAGTCAATATGAATTCACACCGATGACAATTTCATTTCTTTGGCAAAGAATTTCACTACAGCTTTCGTTAATTACAAAAAGTTAACAGTAAAATAGAAATATAAAAAATTACAATCAAATATTTAATGATATTCGAGCAATGACAAGACGAAACAGAGTTCGTGAAACAAAGTTTGCTTAAATGTCGTGCCATTTAGTCTCAGATTATATTGAAAATTCTTTGCACGTACATGGAATGATATCGTAGATTGCTTGCGTCATACATACGTTATCTGGAAACTTTTTAGCGAATATTTAGGCCTGTTAATGGTCCAGTATGTACTCGTTGTCAGACTTAAGTTTGCAAAACAGATAATACATCAAGTAGAAATGAAATGTCTTTAATGTACATAGCTTCTCCTCAGACAAATCTCAGGAGTTGTTCAGAAAAGGAACAATTCGTTTGTCGAGTACTGGTGTATCTACATGGTAATCTAAGACCCAAGAATGAACTCGACATTATCGGCTGATGGCAGCGACGCAGAAACAATCAGTTTTGAAGTCGTTGGTGTTGATCTCCTTGTCTTCGTGATTCTTGATTACTCTCTAGGAACAATAATCATGGTCACAAATGGCTTCCTCTTCTTCACAATTTACCACGATCCCTGTCGATGTTTGCGGACCCCGTCTATGTTCCTCATCGCCAGTCTTTCAGTCGCGGATTTTTTCGTCGGAGTTGTGAGCTTTCTGAGAGGTGCTGAGTTAACTTACCTCTACCGTGGTTTGGGGGACCTGCTCATTCTGAATGTGGTTGAATATTTTATCGGAGCTGTTTCGATTCTCGCCGCTGTTTCCACTCTCATGGCGATGTCGTACGAACGTTACGTGGCAGTGATCAAACCTTTCCAATATCCACATAAAATCACTAACAAAAAAGCCAAGATTGCTATCGCAGTAACTTGGATAAACGGATTAATTATGTCTGTTCTTCCCATAGCTGATGTGAAAAGGGAGAACTTTCTGCTAGCTTACTGCTACTCCCATTTCGTGATTCCATCATCTGTTCTAACAGCAGTTTATGTGAAAATATACCGCGCGATTTTCCGTCAGAGCGAGGAACTTAGAAATGTCCGCGCAAGTCTCACAGCGGCCAACAGAAGGAAACAACTCGTGAGAGAGAACAGGATGGTTATCACGTTTGTGATGATCCTTTTGGTGTTTTTCCTGTCATTTATACCTTATTTTATTCACGTGCAGATTTTGTATTTTTGTCCCTGTCGAAACACGTATTCGTACAAAGTATATTACTTGGTTGCGAACGAATTTCTCTCCGTAAGCTCCATGATCAATCCTTTCATGTACGCCTGGAGACTTCCAAAGTTCAACCACTCGTTACGTTCATGGTTCCGACACAGGCGACTGACTAGAAATGTCGTGGTGGCGTGGAATGGAGCGAAATGTAACGAAAACCCGGTGATTGGCTGATGAAGAAGGCTGTCAAGGAGCATGATTACGTCAGTGCGTAATATTTAGGACAACTAACGATTGAGTTTCGTAAGCCGAAACAAAGTATTCACAACAGCCAATCAGAACTCTGTTAAACAATACAGAGCCAATCAGAACACTTTGTGCGTTGATTGCGGTCTCAGCTCAATAGTGCTGGCTCATCCTTGTTTAAACCGTAAATTGAAGCTGCTCTTCGCTGTCATTATGAAATTTTAAAGTTATAATCTAGTTATGATCTAAAATAAGGTCCGGCAATATGGCAGTTTCTTTTTTCCGTTACATTAACTGATTTTCAGATTTACATCGAATTCTGATCTCCTAACCGGGTGTTAACTCATAGGCTGAAACAATCTGTTATTATACATAGTTTAAAGGGGTTAAAATAACTAAAGAAAAACTTAGGCAGGTGAGACGAAGAGCGGTTTGAAACATTGATTTTAACGCACATTCAAAATTTACGCCAGGGTAATTAACATAAACGTCTTAGCCCATGCAAAACAAATGGTGCATGCGATCGAATTTGAGTTCAATCCGGTAAGTTTCAATTAAGGGAAATTCAACAGCTATTGTCTTGAAATATGGCACGATACCATTTTTTGCCGATACAGCGTTACTTAAGCTAAAAGTTAGATAAAAATGCGGTTTGGTCCGTCAGTGCCGTAAACCATGTAACTAATTTGCTCAACTTACCATTACCATCACCTGTAATATTACCATCACCTGTAATATTTTGAGACAAACAACTCTCGATAGCAAATGCGTTTTTCAAAATGTTTATTATAATGCAGTTAACACCAAAATATGAAATACAACACGAATTTCAAAACTTCATCGACCGTTTAAAACTCAGAACGCGGTCTACAATAATATATCACGAGAAGCAGAAATCCTCAGTTGTTTATTTTCATAATTGATTGTTTTATCATCTGATTTGAAAATGTAAATCGGGTACCGATTAAGAGTTTCTGAAGCTGACGTTTCTAACGTTGGCCCCATCGTCATTCGCTCTGATAACAATGTACTCCCCTTCTGACGTAGCACCGCAAATTTACTAGAAACCTACCCCCGTCATTCAGTTTGTTTGTCATGATTGTCTCTTTTTTCGGCTTTTCTCGACGGAACGGGGCGACGCCTTCAAGTTCTTGATTGGAACTAAATTTAATCAAGAAAACGTCATTATTTTTGCTGGTTATTAGGAAATAGCTACGTCCTGTGGAAATCGTTTCATTTTCAAAAAAACACGAGAATGACATTAAAACTTAACCACTAAACATCCAGAGGAAAATGAAAATTAGAAAAAAAACTATAATAAATAAAAAAAACCCCAAACATTAAAAAAGCCTGATCATTCAGAACTACTTTCGGGTGAAACACATCGGAACACAACAGCAACCAAGATAAGCAGGGTCAGACCGCGCTTTAAATGAAAAGAGTAGAAAACGAACGGCCTGCCACAGCTGAAAACAAAACTGAAATAATCTTATAATCTTAAATTTACTGCTCGGTGATTAATTTGATTTAATTGGTTATTAGCGTTAGCGTTATTGGTTAGCGTGTTGACATATCAAGTATACGATAATGGCGTGCGGCAAAAATGAACTCTGAATACAGTTCACCGATTCAGGAGTCTTGAATCTACGCTATCGTGAGTTAGTCAAAAATCTGTTGTTCATAGGTAATACTGATAAGTGTCAACGGCGAATAATTTCTGCCGTTTGCTGTCTACCGAAAGGGTTGCGCTACCAAAGGACCGTTTCCCTTAAGACAGCTCTTTTTCCTCTTCTCACTTCTGAATTTCGTCAACTTTGACGATCATTGAAGTATGGTGCATTCCCAAAAAACTCCGCCAAAATTCGGACGACGAATATCCGCTGATCTCCTTTTCCTTCTCCTTTTCCATCATAGCGAACGACTTCAACGCTGTCCCGTAGGATGGCCGACGGTCCTCTAGTAAGTCAACAAAGTCTGCCTCGCGTGGTGATGGCAAAATCTCGTCAATCGTTTTGCCGTGGATGGCGGAAGAAATTTCGTGGATCGTTTCTTCAACCAAGCGATTACTTTTCTGGACAAAGGATGAAGAGGGCGAATTTTGCTTCATAATTCCAACCATGTTCTCGAGTCTTGATTGGGATACAAACTGGTTTCGAGCGACGAGCGGGCGGCAGTCAATGGGAGGGAAACGTGGTATGTTTTTGGCCCGCCTGTTTGGGGTGGACGGTGAACGAAGATTTTCCTGCCAATCTAAGTTATCCCACATTAGCCACAAGCAATCGATCTCTTCAATTGTTTCATCCTCCTGTTGCAGTGTAATTCCCGTTTCCTCAGTCATTATCGCCTTGCTTTCCATCTCGCCTAAGGAATTGAACTCTTTCATTTGGAATACTCTGAACAACACGAGCAACATTGCCTGAATCCTTGTTTTTCTAGTAATTTCGCCACTTACACACGTAATTGCTGTGTTCTTAATTAGGTTCTTGACCAATGAGGATTCAGAAATTCTAGAATTCAGGAAAACTAATTCCTGGCCGTTTGCGTCGGAATGACGCCTGGAAAGTACTGACGCACGGTCAAACCACACAAAAGGATCAGGGCCCAGTTGTTCGAAGGCCGATTAGGGCCATCCCAGATTCAATTTTAATCCAGGTTTCTATATTTCTCTGTTCAAAAGCCATTCTGGTATAACTTTCCCTATTCTTTTTAAAACATTGAATCAAGTTGTACACAAATGGCTTCAAACTGAATTTCTTTTTAAGCTTTCAGATCTGAAGTCAAATTTCACACTAACCCCGGGTTATCTTAACCCAGCTTTAACAACCAGGCCCTGGGAACTAGCCATCTCGTTGGCTCAAAATAGCAAAGCGTCGCACAGTGGTCAAACGTCTGCGTATGTGTAAACATTGAGGTTGGCCGACGCCTTGCTAAAGGCCTCAAGGTTGTCAGGGAAAGGAAGTTTTGGAAGGGTTAGAACGAGTATACAAGCCAGTAAGTCACTGTGTATTATTAAAAAACAGGTAAATCACAGAATTCCCATAATAAATAAACTTTGGATTCTTTGAATCTAAAGGTTGCTCTTTTCCTTCTGTTGATACCTTCAACATATTTCTATTAACATCTTTTAAAAGTTTTAAAAATATCTTTTTTCTTAAATTTGCGTGACATCGTTTCACTTCTTTAAAAGTTTGCGTGGGAAATTAGCGCGCGGCTGGCCAAAATTGATCCAGTTTCACATGCTGTGTTCGACCGCTGCATTCAACATCAAGAAGTCTTAACTCAACTGACTCGACTCGACTTGACAGGGTAGAACAATGGTGAACAGTCTGCGCATAGACAGACGCTGTGGTAGCGAGGTAGCGTTCTTTCAAGCTGTCAGAACTAAGATTGTCTAAGAGAGAAAGAAACAACCATACAAGCCAGTGAGTCGTGTTTTAAACCGTATAACTTTTACGATACAGCTCAAATCAAGAGTGATTCCATATGGACAACCTTAATTACATAAGCTGTGTTCGACTAGTCTCCAGTCTTCCTCTTCTCCACCTTGGTGAACTTTACAGTTCTCTCTATGAACGTTTCTCTTCAACTTGGCCCATTTTGCGAGCCCACAGTTGTGCTTTTGCGCGGGAAATGGGTGCGCCGTCGGTAAAAATTGATCCTCTTGCGCATACCTGCCATGTTACTAGGTAATCACGGCGTAATCACGAGGTCTTGCGCAAAATCAAAAGATAAGGTAAGACACAAACAAGAACCTTTGCTATCTTACTTTATTTGTAACAATTTCGTTTTTCTCGCCGTTGTCTCTTTAAAAAGGAGACAAACATTTAATTCATATGTGAAGTATATCAAATGTATGGAACGTTATAAATGCAATAATTTTTTTAACTTGTTTGCAAGTGAAGCAAAATAGGAGTAGGACTGGAAATGAGACAGTGTCACTTCTGTTCCAGGCTCCCAATTTGCGCCTGCAGCCCTGGCCAGCCATTAAGTACAACCATTCAAAGATAAAAATAAAAATTTCTCTATACTTTGCAACCTTAGGATTACACAACAAAATTCTGACACCTTGATCATCTGAGAGAGGGACACAAAATATACTTACTTCCTGCCACATAAAGAGATTCAGATTTAAAGTTATCTTCCTTTCTAAAGTCTGTAGATTCTGGTCTTCTAGATAGGACTTAAAGACATGTTTTTGCATGACCAAAATTGAAACTTATTATTATCATTTATAGTAATGATACTACTACCTTTGTTAGTTGACAAATTCTTTTCATCATTTTTCACATCTTTCCTCCAACTTTTTAACAACATTTGCAAAATTTCTTTGCAAAAATGCTTAATTGGAGCACATGTCCTGATCATACATTCTGTCAAATTTGAAAAAGAGATAAGTGGTGGATATTTATAGAGTAATTTAAAATGACTCCAGGTTGAAATTATTTCACATTACATTAATTGGTATTATTCTTTGTTTCAACATTGTGGATATGTACCTAGCAAAAAGTGAAAAACAAAATCAAAGTGTTTACGATTATTTTGACTTAAAATTCGTTACAATATGTATACATATCATTTTTAAAGAAATGACACATTGATGTTACTTTGATTTAGCGTTGAAGGAAGAAAATTTTGTCTCTATCTCTGAAACTCTTTCAATTCTTGTTGGTTTTGCATTTTGTGGAGCCCATAAAATGCAAAAAAGGTGTTGTCAGAAAAGTTGTCAAAATTTTTTTTAAGGACCCTGTCTAAATCTGTCATTAGTACTGTGGATATCACTGCATACCTTTCCAAAGTTTTACTTCACCAGTTGACTAAAATTCAATGCCATAACCATTAGGCAACTTAACATAACTGCAAGTGTGGTTGATTGTGTAATACTTGAATTATTTGACTCCCAGAAGTGATTAATAAGTAAGATATCTTCACAATTTTAATAGACCACCCTTAATGTAGGGGATGAGAACAAACAAGTTTGTCAGCTAGAGGGTGTGAGCTTGACATCATACCAAATTCTTGTGTCCAATTCACAACAAAAATGAGGCAGTCAGGAGAAGATTACCAATCAGATCTTGGGAGTCAAGGGATTGATGTTGGTTTGTCAAAAGATGTAGAAATAGGTAGTTTTTCAAGATAATCATACCAAACTAAAACCAACTCCCTGACTAAGGTGTGAAAAGTGTAACTTCAGTAAAATAAAGCTTGTGAACTTTCAAATGTGAAAAAATAAGCTGAATGTACAGTAAACTGTACATCAGAATATCAAAACTGATCTTAAAACAAATCAAACTGAATGTGTCACCCAAACTGGATGATGTCACATGAACACAAAAACTGAAAATTTGAAAGAATATAAACTGATGAAGTTTTAAATACTTGAGATGACTATAGAGTTGTTCTTTATGGTTAAACTCCATGACTGAGTTGAAACTACGACCAGCAAAGAATTGCGCTGCAGGGGCACCTTTCAGTTAAAGCTGTAACCATAGCCATAAATAAATCATTCTTGAGCCACATTGTATTGCCTTGAGTCATAGCAAGGTTGCATCATGCTAATCAAAACTCGTGGGTCTGATTTTCGTTGCATAACCAGGGCTTTGAATTTCAGCATTCTTGATAGTAGAAGTACTAACGATAACATTTTATGCTAGACAATCTTGATGTCTTGTTCGAAAAGTACTTGTCTTAAAAGATGTGGAGGAAGAGGCAGCTTCACCGCATTTTTTGTTTTGTCATGTTTTACATAGTTTCTGATTGCTGCAGAACACTGCAGTTGTAGAGACCTGGGTCTGCATCGGATATTTTCCATCCAATCCTGCACCCTTGAATCTGTAACAAACCTTTCGGCTGTTAGTCCAAGGCAATTTTTAGTCCATAAATTGGCATTAGCCTGTATAAGTCTTTTGATGCACATTGTGTGGCTATGACGAGCAGCCAAATGTAGAGGAGTGTCGTTGTAAGATGTCCCTTGTGTTACATATATTGTCTTTGCATTCACATCTGCACCATATCTGTTGAAATTAGAAGTAGCTGAATTACTCTTTGTCACCATCAAGTAGGCTATTTTTACATTTCTTTCACATTTATATCTATAACCAAGTTTATCCACTGTTGACTTTCTGGAGATGTTATAAAAACATTAACCCTTTCACTCCCACAAGTGACCAAGACAGAATTTCTCCTTACAATATCAATACAATATCAAGCAGGTAGGTGATGAGATGAGATATCAATTATGGGATTATTAGTTGATCCAATACTAAATTCTCTGAACTAACATCATAAGAATTGTATGGCAGATAGTAAGGAGAATTACTAACGAGATCTTGGGAGTGAAAGGGTTAAAAGTTGTTGTAAAAATTTGCAACCAAACTTGTTTCAAGATTAATTAATGGATATGACACAACAAACCTTAATATCAAATCTACTAAATTTTTGTTGAATACTCAGCAATAACATTAATTTTATTTACTGCTTCATAGTCACTTCAAAGTTTGAAATTTAACCTTGATAATAACTGCCTCTTGCAACAAACAAACAAACCAAGAAGAAAAAGAAAAAGGACTTGAACAGCGAAAACAAATTATTTAAATTCAAGCTTTATCTCTTTGGTTAAGAAATACATATCACAGACTACAGAAACTACAAGGAAGAGTTAGAGCTTGAAGTTCTTTCTCCACATTTCAGAATAATTCAGGCAGAGCTCAGTGTCAAGTAAAATGACATCGTCTTTTCCAAATTAATTTTTACTCTAGCAACACAAATGCATTGAAAAACATCTAATTAATAAAACACCATTTTAATCAGACATTTCACTTAGCTTGCTGCCCCCTGATGACATGAAAGTAAACACTGAGAAGTTAATTTAAAAATGTTTTGCAAGGAGGCGATATTACCTTAGAGACAAGATTAGTCGACATATTTCTGGTATTATACAAAACAAGCTTTTTCCCTGAGGTTTTTCAATCACAGCCCTTTCAGTTAGGATCTAAAAAAATATATTTTGTCACACTATAATATAGCAGACAGAACTAAAAAAAACCAAAGAGCAACTGATAAATTTATTGTGGAAGAAAGACAAAAATTTCTGTTTATGCTGCAGGTCAAAGTCTGTGAATGTGACCATTTATAGCCTCTAGTTTTAAAATCTGTATTAATCTTCTTCATTCTCTGCCAGACTTGTTCCTATCAATACATCATGGCCTTAATTTATTCATTTCACAATTCAATTCTTTCGAATTTTTGTTACAAGAATAAAAAGAACCAATTGATCAGCAATGACTGTTTGATAAAAACTTTGTGATACATGTTAAAGTAGAACTGTTTGTCCTTTGACATATTCAACTTTCTACCATTGCATGACAAAGCAGACGTCTTGCTAAATCCCTGTCTGCACATACGAATGCCTTCTTCCAATGACTAACATGGTATGTTTTTCTCTTGCAAACATAAAAGGAAATCTTCAAGCCATGTAAGTTTTTTTTATTTTCTCAAATCAACCTACCACGCTTTGCCAAGAGACTGAAATAAACCAATTCTCAACAGTAAGGATAATTCATTACCTGCAGACAACCTTAAGAGTGTTTCGGTTATAATGACAAACGGATTAATGCAAATCTAAAACAATTTCCTTCTTTCATGAAAATATAGCCCACCATCTACTCTAAAAATGGCTATCAAACTTAAGCCTGGTGGGAAAAAACCTTCTCTTAACCTGAAATAGTGCCTTCACATCAGTAAAAGTGTTTACAAAGAGAATATTAATAGTCCATTTGATATGTAATTTGACCACTTTATACTTTGTAAAAATAATCTTATTTGAAAGAAAGCCACTTGATGCATACAAATTTGCATGACAAGTAACTGATCAAAGTCAACACTCATAAATTGTATTATAGAGGCAGAAGTTTCCATTGCTGATCAAAATGAATGCTATTTGATTTAAAAGCAAATAGAACAGGTTTTAGTGTGAACATTTACATAGAAAACTGGCCCAACAACTATAAATTTTCCACCGAAGAAGCTTACCAAAGCAAGTCTTTGAAAAATACAAAACTTTTCACCATTTAATGAAAGGCGTTTGATGTGGAACTTTCATTGTGCACAGTTTTAAATCACTGAATTTCAGCTTGACGCTTAAATTTCTAAAATTAACACTTTTCATAACTTAGTAAAAAAGAAAACAACTTAGAAATACTTGAACAATATGAATTTGTAAGAGGATTGCATTCTTTCCATACCTAATATAGAGATATTATTGTAGGTAACACTTCTAAACAAGAAGCCATCAATCTTATTCAATAGATTCCTTGACAATTCTCTTAGCAGCACAGTGTTTTTCTATCAAAGATATAAAAAAGCTGCAGAACTTTGAGATATTTTTATTCAAAACATATTTGCTAAAAGTTGCTTTATTTTGATGCAACTCTCACAGACTACTAATTCAACTCCAGAAATACTGTTGTTAGCAATTAAATAATGGTTATCTGTACACAATTTTCATCCTAAATTCAGGAAGAAATAAGAATGTGCAACATTCACAGCCTAAAATTCTGTCACCCAGTCTAGAGTCATACTTCTTTGCACACATATTTCTTAAAAAATGAGATTGAATCAACATTCGCATTTTTCAATTGGCACATTCACAGCTTGGTAGAAAATGAGTTTCAAGAATAGATCTTGTAAAGGTGGAAATCTCCTCTCAAATCACTGAAGGGCACTGCTTCAGTCTCCACACAATAATCCATGACTGTCATTGAACACTATGCATCAAAAATAACTCAAGCTTTGAGAGCTACCAAATCAATAACGTTGCCTCAAATTCAGCAACTCTCACTAAAAAAGTCATTTTCAAGACAAGCCTGACCCCAATGGTGACCAAATACACTTACAATAATGATAAATTTTCTTAAGAACACTGGAAAAGCTGCATAACATTTCAAATTTGATTCTGTAAAAATTGAAGCTGTAAACAGAAATTGCAGCTCTGTGTACGAATGAAAGTGGGAATGTGTACAATAACTTTCTATCAATTGTAACAATAAATTTTCACAGAGAATAAAAGGCTGCCACAACCAAGTATTTTTTAAATTCCCTGACATATGCAAAATTTCTTTGAACAACTGACTTGACTGACAGTTTCACTAATCACCAATGGTTATACATTTAAATGGAGCAAAATTCAGTCTCTAAATGTATCAAATATATGATAAGATTGCCTCCAAGCAGGTTGATTAATGATTTTTTTATCACAAGTATGATTTCTGACCAAATCTGACAATGTTAAGTCCCATTACCAATTACTCCTACATGTAACCATTACAAATTCCAAGAAAATCTAATGTATGCATTAAAGGAAGGGCTTGTAATTCCAATCTTTAAACCCTGAACCATTACAATCGTTGACAAAAGCAAAACGAAAAGCTCTAGAAACAGCTTTGGAACATGTCATCTACAATTCACAATTGGGGAAATGGTAACTATTACAAAAGTTAATACTCCTGTTAATGGCCTAGCAAATAAGTACCTGATCAGTGCTTCCACACATGATGTGCGGCCGTAGAGCGCTGCTGAATGCATTGCTGTCCAGCCTTCCGCGGTCTTAGAATTAACATCTGCGCCTTGCCTTAGAAGAGCCTCTAAGCAAGCTAGATGTCCATATTCTGCTGCATGGTGGAGTGGGACTTGAAGAATCTGAAATAAGTAGAACAGTTTTAGTGATCCTACTTACTGACTGAATTGCCCATTCCATTCACAATATTTTAATAACCTAAGTATCCTTTGCTCTGACAAGGGGCTAATCCTCGAAACATCATTGAAACTCTTAACATAGGCCAATTTACCTTATCAACTCAGTTGATATTACTAAATTATCTTATTTTACCCTCCCACTGATGTGGCACCACAGTTTCTTTAGAAACCTACTCCCTTCATTAAGAATAGATAGATCTGGCTGAAGGTTTCAACACATTCAAACTAAAAAATACATGCCCCATTTTCTAAATTTGCCCCCCAAAAGAATGTTTTTAAACAATTTTTAATACAAAGCTTTCAATTCAGTTGAAAATCGTTTCTCGTAACTTTCCTTTTTTCTCTTTCATTATCTGCATTGTTCAACCAGAGATGTTACTTAACCCTTTCACTGCCAAGAGAGACCAAAATGGAATTTCTCCCTAACTTATCAATGTATCTTCAAGAAGAAGGTTGAAGAAAAGAGAGAAACATATCAAAAAAGGATGTTGGTTGACTTTTACAACAAAAAATTTTCAGAGCTCAAATTACGAGAAACGTACAGCAGACAGAGCAGAGAATTTTCCCTAAACCCCAAAGGTGCCTAGCATCCTCACACTGTCATGGTTTGGATCAAAATCAAGGTAATGAGAATAAAGAACATGATCGCCAACTAAAGAACCTCTTGGTTTAAGTCCCTGAACAAAATTCTTCCTGTTGATACCAAAATAGAAATGTAGAGAAGAGTATTACAAATTTGCAGACTGATTTTAGGGCATATAAGGTCATAATATGTAAGGTTATTATATATCTGCATCTGGGGAGTTAAAAGGTTGAAGTTTAATACCAGAAGCACTGATAACTATCATGATGAACAAAACCCAGACCTAAAAAAAAAAACAAAACAAAACAATAACAAAATGAAAACAAAAAACTCTGCGGTTCACCAGTCATAACCTCCTACTTGACAAAATCAATAGTGATATGGAAAGAAAAAAAAAACATGCTAAAATGATTTCTGATATATGAAAAAAAGGCTTCCTAGAGCTTTGAATATGGAATAATACGGAAAAAGCATCACAACTTCACTTAAGTGCTTAGTCACTAAATGAAACAAAAATCCCCAGACAGAATTATGTCATTACAAGACTACAATGTAATCCAAGGTAGAATTTTTGACAGTTTTTGAGGATCAAAAGATTACTGTTCAAAATTTTCCTTAAGCGTTTACCAGCTGCACACGAAATCAATTGGATATACAAATTTAACAACCAGCTGACAGGAAGCTTGATAACAGAATGGTTCCTCCTCAAGTTGTTAAAAGTTACTTTACAACTTCCAGACAATAGCCTTAGCTATGAGTGCACAGGGAACACTTCAACTGGATAAATCTGTCCTCTGCGACAAAACCACAGAAAAGGTATAGAGTGTTTTAATTCTGACCCTTGAAGAAACAAATGACCTTGAATATGTTTTTCCTAAAAATAGCTTAACAGCCACAAATTCAACATATGGCCAGTAGCACTTTAAGAGATGAGAAAATTAAAAATCTAATTCACTTAACAGTTTCAGTGACATTAACAAAGACTCAATAATCTTTCTGTTGAAATTAGGGACTACAGAACAATAAAAAAAGAGAGAAATATACTGCAACAATGACGTGATGTTTGCTGGGATAACCATCTGAATTCTTAAGATTATTAAGAACTCTAACCTCAGGAATTTATTAAACCAATCAACATGATTTCAGCACAAAGCTTGTATGCCTCTGCAGAGTTTCAACTCATTCAGCTATTCAAATTGGATGAGCACTTTTACACCTGGGACATTACAACATGAGAATATTTAGTTTCTATTAAAGGGTAGCTGCTGGTTTGTTTTACGACAAAACAGTCTGAAGTTGGTTAGCAGCAGACATGCACTTGATAATATTTTTTTCCTGTACTCAAGTGTTGTGACAAGGCTAGACAAAACATAGCCAACTGGATTCTACTCACTATCAATATTTTGCATAATAAACACTGCCTGGTTTACAATCACCCTTAGAATTTTACCAAGAAATCAGTAAAGATCCAACTGAAATTAAAGAATTAACAAAACTTAATTTATGAAAACATCAAGTAGTCAAAAACTTGATTCTATAACTTACAATTTTTTTAAAAAGATTTCTCCCATCTCCAGGTGAAATTTTCGTAATAAATTCTAAAATAATTTTCCTTCTCAATTTTCTTTCAATTGTCTCTCAAAGAATTTACATGTGATGTAAATTTTCCTCAGTGGTGTTATTAAAATCATGGAAATGAGTAAAAAAACCATGAAGAACACAAAGAGAGCAAAAATAAGTACAACACATCCAAACCGATCAACTGCTGCAGTGTCAACTGTTAAACAAAATTAATTTCTTTGCATGAGAAGGTGTTTGCAGCAATTAACTCATTGTGTAAAGCGAGTAAGGGAATTAATTTCACTCCAGGGAGGTTTCGGCAAAGGTTAATCAAGAGTAAAGACCAGAGCAGTTTGTTCAACTAGCAGAAGCTATGAACACAACTTTCAAAGTTTTAAAGATGATAAAACAAGGGAAGTCTTTTACACAATAAGGAGCTAATTTGTATAATATTTCACCTGTCAGGCTGGCAGATGGTTCTAACTTAAGGCCACCCTAAACTATCTCCAAAAAATGCAAATTTATCTCTCTCTGGCACATGTTCAGAATTTAACATGACGAAAAATTATTATTGGAGGAGAAAAAGACAAGATTTTTAATGGAAAACGAGCCAATCTTGTGTTAGTTAGGTATATCCAAGAAGCAATATTGCCCAGTCAAAGATAAGACCTTGTTAAAAACTGCTAAGCACTCTAAAATATTAAAACCCTTGTGATGAATGGTTCTGGTGAACATGATCAAGCATATGTGAATTATGTGTCCTCAGGGGCTGAAACTGTACACTGAATGGTCTCTGCGACATCTTGATTACCTTTCAATATTGGGATAACATAACACCTTGTTACTAAATTTGAGTCTTCAGAAGAAGGTGTAAGTAAAGAAGTAAGGGTTTTGAAGCTGGGTCAAGCAATCTGGGGGGCTAAATTTTTGGCATAACTTACACATTCGTCCTGATAAGGAACTCATATACCATGGCAGCACAATTTATTATCTGCTATAAGATAACAATCTAACCATCCTTTTGTGATGCAGGGCAAAACTGCCTTTCTTGTTCATTGCCTTGATTGTATCCTGGCCCACTATGAGCCGAAAAGCAACAGAAGTATCTGTAATTTACGCCACGACCGCCGAATTAAGCAATCCAAAAGTCGGAAGAAAAAAAGACAATTTTTGAGTCCTTGAACACTCTTGGGATGGCCATCACAGGCTCTAGAAACGTGAATAACTGAAAGTAATATAGCTGTTACCCCACCTCGTAACATTCTTTAGCTTCGGACCACTTGAAAAAAATGGTTAAATGTTTCAAAAGATCAGCGTAAAAGTTACGTCTCAATCATTGAAAAACAACAACGAAATAAATGTACATTTCAAATTTTCTTTCGCTGGGTAAATTAAAACCAGATGCTTAGCGAGAAGTTTGAGATTCACCAGAATACAATTGGCCCTTGGCCATTAATCAAAAATATGACATATTTTGTGAATACTAAGGGAGAAACTATGAATTGTGCGTATAAAAAACAATCGCTGTCGAGGCCCTCGGACTCCAGTGCGGATTTTATCCAGACAAATTGAATTCTATCAAAATATACCCTAGCCTCGGCGACGCACTCCTGAGGGTATATGAACACATCGCCGTTAAATTCTCCGCCGTAAATGACTCGAGAGAAAATAATCCAAAGCCTATTATAAGTTTTTCGCGGTATGAAGATATGAGGGATTATATTTAGCGCAGCCTGTCACAGAATACAATGAACTTCCAATATGGACAGACTTGATGGAGACAGATTTTTGTCTTTAAGACTTCCAGACTCGAAATACGGATAAATGAAAATCCAACAGCTCTTCAAAATAACAGAGTGTCTTCTATTTAGAAATAGAATAAAAGATTTCGACACGAAGCCCAAAAGAAACGTAATACCTAGTCGGTCAAAAAATTAATTACAACACGTCAATTTTTGTTTTGAATAAAGCGATTTGAGCCTGTGGGGCGAGTGGAGCGATTTAAAAAAGAAAAATCGTTCTTGCCATGTTATTCGCCCGCTGAGGAGTACGACTACACGAGAATTTTCCGTCTCCTGGGGAGAATACGACCTTTTTAAAACATAAACAGAACTTCTGTAACTGCAATTAAAATTATAGGGTTACTCGATTACGGGCATCTCTGAACTGTTCAATCACGGTTATTCGAAGCTTTACATATGCTTGTCCGATTGACACTTCTCGAAAGAAAAAATCCTTGATTCTCGGTTCAAGATCAACGCTTGAGTTCACAATCACCCTTGTTAATGCGATGCTACGATTCTTTTAAGCTGGTTCGGATCGGCAAAAAACATGTCCTCCTTTTGAAATTTAGAGCTTTCACAGCTCCCCCCAACTGCGCTGCCCGAACACAAAAAAATATCGCCCAGCTAATAAACACGGGGCAGAATGCAGATTTGATACTGTGCAAGAACGTTCAACTTCGATAAAATCACGACAATTCAATGAAACAGCACTACGCTCTAGAAGTGCAGAGCGTGAATCGCACGTTTTTCTTACCCGATACGAAGGCACCAAAGGAGGGTCTACTTCGGCGTTATAGCGGAGTAAGAGTTCAACGCACGTTGTGTGCCCATGACGAACAGCCGTATGCAAAGGTCTCCAGCCTCCGTTTGCGGTTGCATTTACATTAGCCTCATGTTGTAAAAGGACTTCTAAACAGTCCCTATGTCCGTTCCTTGCAGCATAATGCAGTGCCGTCCACTGACTTCTAGTCGCGGCGTTTATCTCAGCTCCATGATTTATAAGTGCTACCAAACAATCTACAAAGCCTTGTTCGGCAGCCTCATGTAGCGGTGTAAGTCCATCATACGTTGATATATTTACGTTGGCCCGATAGTTCAGAAGTATTTCAACACATCTAATTTGACCGTGCCTCACGGCTTCGTGAAGCGCAGTCTTCCCGTATTTGTGACAACCGTCGATAGGTGCACCAGCTTTCAAAAGCTCCCGAAGATGCTTATTAGAGCCTTTGTAAGCAGCCCGTTTCAATCGACAAACCAAAACTTCTGGGCTGACTTCAAGCTGTTCCCTTCTCGAGCAAGGCGAGTTCCCCATCGCTCCCTTTCACATACGTGATGGAGAAGAAAGACTCTGCTCTATGCTAGCGACATAATGTCTAGCCATCTCATAAGAGGCGATTACTACGTTTGTTGAGGTTCATTTTTTTTATGGGAGTACCTAGAGGCACGACAGTCTGAACCTTATCAGGGAGGGGACGGGTGACGACCTGGTAGATATATAAAAATGTATCTATTTATTCTGCGTAAGAGGTTGACCAATATTTGACATCAGCTGTTTTCGACACATTTATTTACGTCCATATTTATTCAAAAGTAGATTAAATTTCTTCATTCAGAGAATTAAACTTTTTTTTCTTTCTGTTCTCAGCTTTTGTTCACCAACAGACATGTTTTTGCTATGGACGGGGAGGGTAGGATTGTAATACAAGGGTCAAATATTTTCGACCTACTTAGGCGTATGCCATTGACACTTTTCGCCGTGGAAGACTTTAAAAAGATAAAATAAACTATCTAGCACCACAAAAAAGTTGAATTTTTATCAGAAGGGTATAAAAATTTTGAGTTTTTGCGAGTGTATATCGCGTGCGGTAGCTCCACCCCTGTGTTTTTGGAACTTCTTTGTGGCTCCGACTGCGGTCTCGTGATAGGCCATTCACCGTGTTTTGCCAAAATGGCGCCCCGAGGTCATTCGATAGCAGTGCAAACAAAAGCGAAACAGGATTTATCTTATTCTTGTTGACTCACAGGTCTACCTAAAGTATGACGAAAATGAAAGATGCTTCTCGTGATAAGCTGGATCGAAAGTGTCAGAGCACACAAGCATAAAGACTGCTAATTGGAGGTAAAAACTGTGTACTTTTCCTAGGGGTGCGCGCCTGGACTTCTCTTTTCACCGTGTGGCGCGGATATTGAAGTTTCTAAGTTTCAAGCACTTCAGCGAGGAACGCAAATGTGTTCTGCGCATAAATATTAGATCAGTAGTAGACAAAGCTGTAGTATTTGTGCTTTCGGCTTCTCTTTCAAGGCCGTGCGTTGTGCCCTGAGGTCAATTACCCATTCTTCGGAAGGCGCCAGGTATACTGCGCATAAAATTTACTCGCCCATATTTTCCACCGACCATGGCGGCACACGTGCGGAGGAAATTACTTCGTAATTGTCAGTGCAGCCAGTTCCTCTTTACTGTCGCATACCTTGAGGGAAGAAGAAAGATGTCTTCTTCGATTGTGAGAAAAAGTTGGTGCTTTAAAATGCCTCCGTGCCGTCAAAGTGACGGCGAAGCGATGCGCTAAATATTGATTGTTTGTGATTTATCGTTCGTTGAATGAGAAAAATCACACGAACAGTGGACGCGTTTAATTGGTTCAATGTTTTGCCGTGAAATGATGCATAAACACTTTGAACCTCGAACTGTAGTTGTTTTAGCGATTCACCGCTAATGAGTTACAAATTTTATTTACACAGAATTTTGCGTCTAAGTGTACGAAAATTGAGTAAAATTGTCATGTAAATGGAAAATCCGACGAAATCGCCACTAATTCCGCACAGACGATTTGACGAGATAACTCGAGTGAAAAAGTCGCCACTGGGCAATTTGCGAGTTTAATTTACTTCTCGAGATCTGTACTTGACCCCGTTAGCTATTTCGTGTTGGTACTGTGGTTTTTCTAAGCTCTTTTTTGCGGCCAGAATTGTTCACATGCAGACGATCTTAAGCGTCAATAATCTACGTGACAATTTGTAACAGTTGAAATATTGGTTGATGGATTACTAGAGAGTTTGTAGATTTAAGCTATCACGAAACAGCCTTCCTGTCTAAGATCTAGAGACAGTCAGTCTTGACTATGCGATTTTGCGTATGCCCTTAAGAAATTTTCCAACCGCTCTAATTTGGCGTGCCTCGTCGCGTATCAATGTTGCCATGTCGAGCGAGCTACGTGCAAAAATAGGATATTAGAAGAGCAAGCTATGGGCAATATTTATAATACGTATATGTTCTTTGTGTGTATTTGATGTAGACATCATTAAGGGCAATTTTTTCGTGGTAACACCATAACTCTGGCATCGAAACGGAAGTTCAAGAATGACAAGTGACTGTTAATTGAAAGCGAATCACGCTTTCAAGCAAGTTATGTTCATGTTGTTTCGTGATCGTAGTTTATTTATGAAGCTGCGAGAAGTCATAAATACCTACACGAAAACAGACTTTTTCGATAGCTAGTTACCGATGTCTTTTATGCATTACTTTCTGTTTGGAATTTTGAGATATTTTAAGAAGTTGTTGTTATTTTTAGTGCCTTGCTTTAAGACACCCTAGAAAGGGCACTTGTCGAAAATGAAATTTTCCAAAGCAGAAGACTTCAAGGGTCACTCTTGAAATGCAGTCTTTACGTTAACTTAACTTGTTGTGATCTCGATAAGCCAGTTTGCCTTATTTACAAGACCAGTCTTAAAGTTGAAAACTTTTTGTTTAGAATGATTTTGCTGTAAAAAGTAGTTATTGATTATGGTGCCAACCTGTCCCTAGCTACTACCAGGTTGACTGCTGAGAAGATGATATCAAAATCGACCAGCAGACTGACTGAAACCAAGTTTTAGAACCAATTTCAAAGTACATTAGTCTTAGCAATCTGTGAAAATCTCAATTTGACTCACTGCAATGTGGTCTTTCATCAGTAACACAGAATTAAGAAATTCTCAAAAATTGATAATTTTCCAGACCTTTGTCTTTGTGTTATCTTTTATTGTGAAGGAAAATAATAGATTTCCAAAATTAGAAAATCATATTTGAGGAATTGCAGTGTTTTTCCTTTGTTTGCAAATGGAATTAGACATGTGTCCACTGAATTTGTTAATTTTCGAAAGTTACTTGTTTCTCCTTAAATATGGAAATGCTCCCTCTCTTAAAACGCTGAGTAATTTTAACTGTGCTCTTTAAGCTGATGTTGTGATTGAACAACTCAGCACTTGCTATAAACAAACCCATTTAGTACTTAAAAATATGATGAACTGTCTAGAAATCTTAAGAGAAGTTCTTGGGGCAAATTGTGTTTTAGTGTATTTTTCGGTGCAAATGTGTTACCCCTGGAGGTATTGTGGAAGGTTATCATGGAGTTGGTCACGAACAGTGAAAAGTTCTTGTCATGCTGACGACAACAACTCTCAAGTTTTTTTTTGTATTAATGAAGCCTTAGGGGGTGAAAACCCAATTAGGCATTACAGAAAACTGAATTTTTGCATGAAAAATTCTTGTGGCACAAATGATGATGAAAGATTTTCATTGTGGCCAACATGAGTAGGCTGAAGGTTCTTGGAAGTAAATGATGCTTCAATTTTAATTTTTGGTAAAGCTGTGGGGTAAAATTTCCTCGACAGCTTCTCAATAAAGTCTAAGATTATTACTAATAGGACCAACTGAAGAGTGAAAAGATCTGTCGTGAATTCTGGATTATGTGGATCTTAAAGAGTTGCACCATTCATTTCGTGGAAGAGGTTAGGAACACTGTTAGCATTTACAAGCAAATTGTTAGGGCTGAATATGTAAGAGTAGTCAAGAATTAAATATTTAGTGACAGGAACTTATAAATGTCTATCAAAAGGCTTAGTTGTTATGATTGGTGCAGAAGAACAATTTAAAATTATTCCATAACACACCTTAAATATTCTTACGTACATTTTTATTATGTTACATTAAAAGTTACGTGACCCTATCACTCCTAAGATCTGAGTAGTAATTCTCCTTACTATTTACCATATATTTCATGTAATTTTAGTTCTAAGAATTTGGTGTTGAATCAAATGAGAATTTCATTTATCCCTTTATTTGTCACATGAAACACTTTTGTTCCTGAAAGAAGAAATCTAAGCTGTTGAACTTTTGCTCTAACAAAGGGCTAATGCTCAAAATGTCAGCTTTTGAACTCGTTATGGTGGCCAATTTCTGTTATCAACCCCGTCAATAAGAGTTGATAGCTGCCAAAAACCATCCAACAGTCTGCCATCTGAAGCCACCCACTTGCACCTCATTTTACCATAAGTTCTGATGCAAAATTGTACAATATTTGAATTTATTCAGAATAGACTTAAAGGTTGATGTTAACTTTGGTAACATCAGGCACATTAGAACTTTTAACTATTAAAATAGTTTCCAGTCTTGTGTGTAATCTGACAAAACAACATGCAGGTCCTTGATAACTTGGAAGTGTACTATTACTTATTTTTCTTCTACAGTTTAACTTGTTGACAGCCTTGTATGGCCCCACTGAATATTATGCTTTATTGATTTTCCATTAAACTTCATTGATCTACCTTCACAGTGGCACTTATTGCAATGTCTCTCTTAGCATTTTGACAATTTTTTGAATGGAATAGAAGATAGGACCATGATCCCCAAAAAAAAAAATTACTCGCAATCAAATTGGAGTCAAGGTGTATTTTTTTTAATGTATAAATTAGAAATGTGGCACCTATTCTGGGTATATGGGCTATCAACAATTATTATTTAAAGCACATTTTGCAAATAGAAATCAACTTACCTTTTGTGGGTTTGAGGTGACAGATGTTTCAAAGCCTTGTTGAGTCTAACATGTATTGTTCTGAGTCCACCTGCTCTTAACAGAATAATAATTTTCCATCAAAGTTTATGATGATGCTTGCTTGATGTGTCTTTTTAGTTTCCAAGTTATGAATTTAATTGGTGAAAATGGGATCTACAGGTTCAACCTTACTGGTAACATTTGACAACAACTCTTTCAATTCTAGATATTTAAATATTTTGAAATCATCTGCAAAATTTTGTGAAACCAAAACTAAAAACATTTTTTAGCATACATACTTTTTAAATATTAAGCTGTGTGTACTGAAGGAAGATTACTTTAATTATTTCACTTGAATAAATGTTTGGCACATTTTGAAGAATCAAAATAACTTGCCTTTCAGAAAAGCATAAAGCCTTTCACTTAATCTCCAGAGTATTACTGCTGTATGTATCATTTTCTCTACAATGAGTGATTCATCTTTAATAGTTCCAAACCTTAGTATCTAGATATTATGTTTTTACATCCTTTTTTAATTCTCCCAGGCCATGGTGTCTTCATCTTGAAAGGACTGGGCACTAGCTTTTAAGATCAAAGACAGCATATGATGTTTACATGATATACTATACTGCAGTCCTTAGATAAATAGAAAAAGTGAAGAATGAGCCGTTTTTTGTTGATTTAGATAATGATTGGTGCTATTCATGGGGACATCAAGCCTCAGGTTTGTTGATTTAGATTTACTGAGTGCTTAAATGCATTAAAGTACAGTGAAACGTGTTATTTTCAGTGTTTACCTAGACAGAACCTTCCACATTTGATCTTCAACATTGTTGTAAACTTCTTTTTTTTTCCCAAACATCTAAATGTCGATTTGCTCCATTCTCTATGATAAATTTATTATAGTTTCTTCCCTGAGAATTTGATGTTAAATTAAAAAATATTTCCTGGTTGAAATTAACCTTCTTGCCATGAACTTTCTGCTTGAAGTTGTCATCATATTTTAATGAGATATTTCTTTTAGTCATACCTGTGGGGTGAAAGTTTTAAGTAAAACTGTGTTTAGCTTTATCCAACTTGAAGTTCTAAGTTTCACAATTTTTTAAGAGGAAGACTAAACAGAGGATTAACAGCTCTCAAAATTTGTTATAATGGTCTGATTTTTCAGGAGGTGATAAACTCTGCTTGCCGCCGACTATTGAAAAGGAAAAGACCAAGCTCAGGAAAATGGTAAGATGATAATCTTTAATTTAAAAACTAGTTTTACCCTGTCTTTGATTGAGTAAGTAAGTAAGTAAGTAAAAACCTTTATTTCAGTGGCATGTGGATAAAGCCTAGTGGCTTGTGGGGTCGTAGAATGATGAGTAACTCAATCCTATATTTATTATAAAGAGATAAGTTCCTAGAGAAACTGTGGTGGAACATTGGTGGGAGATTATAACAGGATAATTTGATATTATCAACTGAGTTGATAACATAAATTGGCCATCGTAAAGAGTTTCGAAGCCGATGTTTGGCACTTTAGAGTTAAACAATGATGTTTGGTATATAGCAGAGCAGTGAATATGAGTAAGCATATGCAACCATCTGTGCCATTTTTTTGGCTTTATCAGTTAGTTGGACTTTTTGTTTGGACATGTGACCATGTTTTGTTTATTATTTGCTAGAATGGTTTAAGATCTTACCCAAAGTTTTCTTTCCTTCTGGTGTTTGGCAAAGAAGCTTTGTTCCGTTTTTTACTGAATTGCTCAGCCATCAGAGTCTACAAGTCAGGAAGGGTTTTTGACTTTTTTTTTAACTGTCAAAAACTGTGTAAAGTCAGCCAGCTTAACACCCAAGCACCAACTGGGGGCATAAAGTAAAGACTGAAATAATTTACAATCAGGCAATTGAGCAGAAATCAGGGCTACAATTTTCAGCCAATTTACAATCTTTGGTATTTAGGCATCTGGGCATCCACTGAATCTGTAACAAAAATCTACAGTTGGTTGATTGGATGTGTTGCCATTGTAGCAGGAGAGGTTAAACTGATGTATTCAAGGTTCTTAGGTGACTTTCAGCTGTGATACTTATAAGTGAAAGATCCTAGGGTGTTAGGGAAATGATTTATTTTGGAAAATGTTCTCTTGCTTTTTAGGCAGTCTTTAGAGGAACGTCTTCTGGATTGTTACATAGAATCATGTGAAGGGGCCCCAAAAGACAAGGTTAGAGATGCAGTGCTGATACAATTGTTGTCATAACTTTTGAAAATATCTTCCTTTCCTTGTTTTTAATGACTGCAAGAAAGAAGGGAGAAGGATGTTTCAAGAAAATTTTGTCCTTTACACCCTAATATCAGTATGCATATTCTCCATACTGTTCCCAATACATTTCCTGAGGCACTGAAGAGGAGAATTTGTTTAAGAATCTAAAGCTTCTCTAGTTGGTGACCATTTCCTTTATTCTCATGACCATGATGTGTGACTTAATGTTGATGTGGTAAGGAAAAATTAGATGCTAGTCACTCTTAGATGTGAAAGGGTTAATTAAGGGTCATCATCTTCACAACTGCAGAAACATTTCCTCCTATTCCCCCCCCCTGTGAGTGTTCATAATGGGAATATTGGACAGCTTGAAAATAATATCATTGAGAAAGGGGGAGGGGGGGAGGTTGCTTTAAAAAAATGTGATGGGGGCTGTAGGTGGAGGGGTTGTGTAGAAAAGGTTTCCAAGTGACTTCTGATTGACTACCAGATTCTTCCAGCGAAATATCTTCTTTTCTGGTGTGAAACACAGTGAGAAGAAGATATTGCATCAAAAGTAATTTGTGTCTTGTCCTGTGCTCTCTCTTGATTATTTCGGTTGCCATGATAAGAAGGAAGATGTTAGTAAAGAAAGATTTTTGTCATCTTGTCACGAGCGTGGGACAAAGAAAAAAATTCCCTGAGGAATCAAAGTCAAAGTCCCCATGAGGAATCGAACCTCAGACCTTCAGATTCCGAGCTCTGATGCTCTACCACTGAGCCACAGAGACTCCATGGTGAGTGAGGTCTATCACAAAGTTCATATGACATGCGTCCAGCATACTGCTAGGATCAGCATTGTCGATAGCGTAATGTTTGTAGATAGAAATAAGAGAGACGGTAAGTTTTGAGCTCAGTAAGGAAAAAAAGAAAGATGTTTTTCGTCTTGACACAAGTGTGGGACAAATGAAAAAAAAAAAGAAAAAATTCTGAGTCCCCATGAGGAATCGAACCTCAGACCTTTGGATTCTGTGCTCCAATGCTCTACACCAAGCCACAGAGACTCCACGGTGAGCAAGGTCTATTACAAAGTTCGTATGACACGCGTCCAGCATACTACTAGGATCAGCAATGTCAATAGCATTATGTTTATAGATAGAAATAAGAGAGATGGTAAGTTTTGAGCTCGGTAAGGAAATAAAGAAAGATGTTTTTCGTCTTGTCACAAGCATGGGACCAAGGGAAAAAAAAAATGAAAAAATTCTGAGTCCCCATGGGGAATCCAACCTCAGACCTTTGGATTCTGCGCTCTGATGCTCTACCGCTGAGCCACAGAGACTCCATGGCGAGCGAGGTCTGTTACGAAGTAGACTCAACTCTCGGCGAAAGTCGCCGAATTGTCAACCTGTGTTGGGCGGTCATGCATCACAGTATAATGTTTTTGTTCTTTAATTTCTATGATCTTAAGTTAAAGTGAGATAAACAATGACATAATATATTATAAGAAAGGGGCTAAATTGGCAACCCAGGTTGGGGGGTCAGGTACCAATCTGTTAATGTTTATGCTCTTGAATCTTGATTATCTTAAGTGAAAGTAAGTTCAACAATGGAATATTATATTAGTAGTGCTACTCTGCAGCCTCTTCCTCCTCTTTTGTCTTGAGATTTTTTCGCGAACCTTCAAGACAATTCCCAGCCATATTACCGCCATATTGCTTGTTACAAAGACAAGTGTTGTGCTTGGCAGTTAACTAACTCCTAATATTGCACAAAGGTTCCATTTCTGGTGACCATTTTCTGCTTTTTGGTAATCAGATGGTGGCTTTGAAAAACCCTTAACCTGGAGCTCGGTGTATGAGTTTATGATCATGCTAATTCTTGTGCAACCCTAAGGATTTCCAGCCAAGATGAAAATTTAGTCAACATTTTTGTCGAACAATTGCCATAAAAGTGGAATACAAAGGGCAGAAGGGTTTCCTTGAACAGGATGAACTCTCGTCAATATATTCCTTACCAAAAATACCTCAGTTTACAAAAACTGAGCTGCAATACCTACTAGAGGAGTTAAAAACCTTTTCCTGAAAACCTGGCTGTTATGTTTAAGGTATCAAAGTAGAGGGTATCAAGGCATCAGAGGGTATCAGGCCTTTCAAAGTCTGAAGTCATGGAATGGTCGTCGAAAAAAATTTCATTGATCAGAGGTTATAAATGGGCAATATAACACCATGCACTATACTGCTAACCACACTGCTTGTCTTTGGAGACAGCAACTTTGTGAAAGGGGAAATTTCATGTAAAAGAAAATGTCAGAATATCAGTGGTGATTATGAATGTAAATGTTAATCTCCCTTTTAAGACCCCAATCACTAGGTAATTTAGGTGCTCAAAATGGCTACTTTTGCAACAATTTTATTGATGATAATTTTTTAAACTTGCCATGTGAACCAAATGAAAATTGCCACAGTGAATAAAAGGGGTGAATTTCTAAGAAACTGTGAGGCTGCATCAGCGGGGAAGTATAACAAATCAAGTTGGTTTTATCAACTGAGTCAATGTTGTAAATTAGCAGCAAAATAGAGTCTCTAAGGCTGACATTTTTTTAGTGCAATTAGCCCATGATGAGAGAAATTAGATATTTGCCCTGACAAGGGCTAATGCTAGGCTTTAGAAGCTCTTTACTCTTACTGATATGCATTATCAACTCAGTTATAAAACCAAACTCTCAAAATGGCCACATGATGGAGTGTGGAAATAACACAGGCTGTCAACAGCTGATGAGACAAATGGGACATGCACCTATGCATTTAAGGCTGTAGGATATTTCTTATGGTAGTGTTTGTATTTGATATGTCACTGGAATAGGAACATAGCTGAGTGGTATCTTAAAGAGATGTATTTGCAATTTGTCTTCGACCCAACCGAATACTACAAATTATATCTTGTTATGGGCCTCTTGTTGTTGTTGCAGTGGATACTGCATGAGGTCGCAATAGTTAAGCAGTCCTTGTTGACTGATTTGCTATGTTGTTGTTGTTTGAACACTTCACTAGTATCTGGCAGCTTGGAGTTACAAAGGTCAGGAGAAAAAATATAGAGAATGCTATAGAATAACAGTATGTTTACCATGAATGGCATCTCACAAGATTAGTCTTTTGTGTATGCATTAGAGCCTTTTTTGCAAGATTGTGAAAATATTTGCATCTGTGTTAAGTGGGAGGTGTTTTCTTTCTTTTTTTTGCTTTTTTTTTGTTTGTTTGTTCAGACTCTATAAGGCATAGTGTAAAAACCTGCAATCAGTGCCCTAATCTAAACATTTTTTGGAAAGTTCCATTTCCAAACTGAAAATCAGTAAGTAGTTGTCAGAAAAAAATTTTTGTTGCCAGAAAAGACGCATTTTATGCAATATTGCACTCGATTTTTCCCGCCAAATATTTATCGCACTTCAGAACATGAGCACTAATGGAAGGTTACAGAATGGTAAACAACCACCCAACACTTATCGCCGAATCTGCGACTTTTACTACACCAAAATGTTATTAGTTACCATGGCAACCAAAAGGCGGCAGCCTGAAGGGGGGCTTCTATTTGTTGCAGAGTGGATCCTTCTGGATGTACATGCACATGTTGTGTTTGGTAGTGGATAGCAGTGATTGGAGAAAATGAGAGGAGGTCACACACTCTCTGTTTTGATAGTTGCTTTGTCCCTCTTGGATGTAAAATTTACATCAAAAATATAGTTGCTCAGACAGTGATCTTTATCAGACAAGAGACCTGCTAGAGTAAAGTTTTTTTTGGGGGGACAACTGAAGTGTTAATGGCATTTTAGAAACTGTTGTATAGATTCCCATTTCATGTTTGATTGTTGGCAAAATATGGGGTCACACTTTGTGATATTGGCCTGGAAATTGGATGTTGGTTGTGTGTTTGTGGAGCAAGGATAGCTAAGATTCTTTAATTGGGCTGAACTGTAGATGGAAGAAGTGACCCCCTAGTTAGGGTGAGCTTGCCCAATAAAATTTCCCACTTTGTTTTTGCGGTGAGAGAAAATTTGTCTGTGAAATTTGGCACTTCTATTGTCTAGCTTTTTAACAGGCTGATATAAATGCATTCTTGCAGCGTATATGGAGTTAATTTTGTGAAAAAAATGCACGTCAACATCTCTTTTCAGACCACTTTGTCATTTAAAATATGTTAACCCTATAACTCCTATGAGTGACTAAGACAGAATTTCTCCTTACTGTATCAGTACAGCATCAAGCAAACAAGTGATGAGAATAGAGAAAAATATAAAATAGGGAATTATTAGTTGATCCAATACTAAATTCTCAAAACTAACATGATGGGAATTGTATGGTAGATAGTAAGGAGAATTGGTAATAAGATTTTAAGAGTGAAAGGGTTAATACCTTTTAAAAGGATAGGTTTATTTTGATTTTGAATAGTGGAAGGTGATCCAAACATCTTATGATTGGAATGATTTGTTTTATATCCACTCCAACTTTGGTTTTTCATTTCCCATGCTATTAGCGTTTTTGTCATGGAGTACGGCTGTTGGAGAAAGTTGTTCTTCAAGACAATCTTTCAACCCTTGTTGTAAACCTGTACCCCAGGAATGAAGGCTACTCTTTAATGCTTAAAGGCAAGAATGGTGCTGGTAAGTGCATATTAAATATTATGGTTATTATGGACCCATAGTCTGTACTCCAACCAAATGTCCTACCCATCCCGCCTGTGCTTATTCTGCCACTTCTGCTGGCCTGGATTTGATATCAGTCCTTTGCAGGTTACCTTTGGGCATTTGTCAGCTTTCCCAGACAGTTTTCCTGTGTTCACTTATGAGATACATGTCGCTGTTAGTGGAAGAAGGCAATTGATAATATTTTTGGCATGTGAAAGTAATCTAATCAAGTCTGTATTTCTCTTGATTTCCTCAGATTCAGAAACTGTGAAGCTGCCTTACGAAGTTAGTTGAGTTCATTATGAATGAGATTTCAATTATTTAGTTCCTCTTTTTATGTTTAAGATTGTCCTCAATTTTTTTTCTTTTTAACAACAGGAGTCTGAATTCTTGGATTACCTTGATGCCCAAGAGGTATAGGAGATTACTATCTTGTTTATTGCACCTCTCAATTGCCTTGACTTAAGGGCTGGTAACTTTTTTCCTCCTCCCTAATCACCTCTACAACTTCCCCCTCACACCCCTTCTTGGACACGCCCTTCACCCCTCCTTTCTTGCATGCATAATCTTGGTCAAGCTAAGGAAGAGCCAAGTCTAACTGCTTCCAGATTTAAAGAATGAAGTTTTGCCTTTCAGTTTTCATGCTGGTGAATTTTTCAGAATCTTTATAAACCACAGACAGCTTAATGTCTGAAAATTAAGATTGTCTAATGCTTTCTAATTATAGTTTTTTTTAAAGATGAAATATTAGCAGTTTATATGCTCAATAAAGCAGCTTAGTCAAATATTCTGATGAGGTCTTTGTTTGGTGTTGTTTTAGCTTCCTCCAGTCCTGATTGATCTGTTAGAAAAATCTCAGGTATGGTTGCACTGAATCCAGTATTAAAACAGCCATAATAGTTAGGTCTAAATTACAACAGAGTTTGAAATTTGAAGGATGAGATTCTTTTTCTCAGCTCATACAAAAAGAAAAGTGTGAAATGGTACAAGTAAACCCAGAGATGTCATGAAATTTCAGTGAGAGAGAAAAATTAGTTTTGCACAAGAGATAACAGTCTGGATTGAGAAAAAGTCATTCTTATGTAAAAAAACTTCTCTCTACTCTTTCAGGCAAATATTTTTTATAGTGGTTGTGTCATAGTTGAAGTGCGAGACTACCGCCACAGTCCCACAGGCAACTCATATGACAGCAACTATGTCTTACTTCGTCCAACTTACCAGGTACACAAAAATACTTTGTTTTTTGTTTCAAAGGCAAAAACTGCTGATTTTTTCTCCAGCCTTCTGGTAGCTTTGGTGAACCAAAAGCAAGTATAGAGCAAATTCAGAGTTTCTGACTACCAAAGACTGCAAGTCTAAGTCAGAGATTTTTTCAGTGTGAGTTAGCTTTCTTTCCAAGGGAAAATCAAAGAGGAAAGGACTGAACCCTTAAACTCCCAAGATCTGATTGTTAATTCTCCCTTCTTAATGCTATAGTTTTCCTTGTAAATTAGTTACAAGAATTTGATGATAAATCAAGGTAACAACTTCTTCCTGATAAGTTTGAGTATTCTCATTACCTGCTTGCTGGATAATGTATGGATTTGATAGGGAGAAGGTACATTTTAATCATTTCTGAGAGTTAAAGAGTTAAAGAAGCATACAAAGCATTTTCTGTTCCTCAGTGTCACTGATTTTTGCAATGGTCATTGAGTGCTACTTGGTCGTTATTTAAGAATTAAAAAATATAGAAGGACAAAGAGAGAACACGTCATGAATGACTCCACAACCCTTCAAGATAGCCCTAACAGCAGTAACCTTTATCTCTTCCTCATACAGACACTTGTTTGTGACATAAATGCTATGACTCGCGAGTCACCTAACTGGACCGAAGAGAGTAAGTTAGTATTGGAATCCCAGTTGCTGTTAGCAACAGAAGGCCCTTTGTGTCTTGACCCTTCAATAGAAGTTGCACAGGTTGCAAATCAACTCCAGTTCAACAGGAACAAGTTCCATACATGTGGCATCAGAAGGTATGTGTAAGAAACCCCCTCAACTGATTTCAAACAATTATAAATGGGTGTTTACATTTTAACCCTATTATAGAGAAGAACTACTAATAAGTGATTTCTGCAATCACCATCAACACATGGTAAAGCAGAAAAGCAATAGGAAGCTTAAGAAAGAAAAACTTCAAATAGGGGATTTACCTGTCTGATCACAGTTGTGACGGGCTTCAACAGGTTTCCAATCCATGCTCATGGGTGGCTTTGTAGCTCATTTGGTAGTAACACCTACTAGAAGACACAGGTGGGATTCTCATCAAAGCCTGGATTTTTTCCAACCTCTTTACTGCAGTTGCTTGGCAGTCCACCTGTGGGGATCATTTCTCTGCTTGAAACTGTTCTAGTTGTCTGTAATTACAACTTTGTGGGAAAATAGCCTCTAACAACTGTGGACACCCAAAACAAATAAACATGATAAATACTCACCTTTGTTATCACCAGAATGTAGGATTCCAAGCTCAACTTTCACCAATCAAGTTATCATTGAGCAACATAAAATTTTCAAGAGATCACCACAATTGAAAGTTAAGTCACTAAAAGCAAAGATCGGGGTGGCATATGTTTATTAGAGGATTTGGCAATAGGTCAAGGTTTTAAGGGCAGATGAGCTGGCCACATGACTACCCAAAACAAATTGATGACTTCTGCTGCAATGTAGCAGGCAAAACAAAACAAACCTGACCCTTGCTTGATATATTTCAGGAGCATAAGAAGACACTCCCAAGCATTCTATAACAGAGCAGGACTGGTGTCCCTGTGTAATGCTCCCTCTTACCTGAAAGTTCTCGATTTCCTGTCACACTACAAGAAGCCACAGCCACCTGTCAATCTTCGTCTTGCAAAGACACCCCAGACAACAGACACATGGAGACAAAAGCCAATTCACCTCTCACCACCTGCAAGGGTTGATGTAAGTGGGAAATGTTGTCATTCAATAAGTGGCCGAAGTACTGACCAAACCAAGAAGTCATCCGAGGAACAGTGATCCTCATAGCTATTAAGTACCTCATCCAACAAGTGTGTACTTATATTTTCACCCTGATGCAACTCTTACATTTGTAGAAATGATTTGCTAAAATTGTCCACAAATTGCAAGCATTCATGCGACTGAAGCACAACATTTACTACCAGTGCTTCTACTATGGCTGAATGGGGCACTTTGAATTTAGATTTGTTTTTACATGTAGAGCAAAGTAATCACAACAGGCAATCATAACAAATATTAACTGCTCTGCTGGCTAACTAGTTATTGAGGATTCAAAGTTGAAATAGGCAAATTACCAAAATTGCTGAAAATGGCAGGCAACCAAGTCACAATTGGTTTTTGTTTGTAGTCTAATTAGTTTAGAGCATGACGCAAGTTTTCTAGACCAATTACAGACCAAAGTGAAGCAAAACTAAAAGGAGTCCTGGATTACTTTTGATCACTGTATTTGGTGGATGTGCCACACCTTACAACTTAAATATTTTTCGTAGGTTGACTTGTTTTCCAAAATAATTGAACGTCCAAAGCTGACAGCTGATAACACACCAGAAAAGGTTCAGGAAGTCACACTAGAAGGAGAAAAAACCAATAACAGGAATTACTTCTGCCGTGTGACTATTCGACGGAGACCAACAGACTTGCAATACTTAGGTGAACTATACCTGGAAGAAGACACAAGCAATACACAAGGGGCTCCTGCTGTTCCAAACACAAACACTTCAGCATCCAACAAGGCAGGAAAGGCCTGTCACTTTTTTCTTGGAAGTAAACTTGGAGCTCAAAAGTGAGTGGTTAATGTGGGTCTGTTATGTAATCTCTTTATTTCAATGAGTGCTGATGATATTGTAACATGAGCAAGAAATGACTCAATCAAAGAAGACATGGTTTCCTAGTGGGTAGCAGTTGCATACTTGACTTCAGATTAAGCAAGTTAATTGGGTTTTATCAGCTGATTTGATGATGTACATTAGCCACTGGAGAGAGTTCCTTAAGTTGACATTTCAGGCCTTAGCCCTTTGTCAGAGTAAGTTGAGGAAATGCAGGAAATACAGGAGGTTGAAGCTATGGAATAGGTGGGAACATAGTGAGGTGAAAAACACAACAAGGAATTGGTTTAATGAAAAGTGTTCACTAGTACTTTAGGTACATTAGTGCTGATTTGAAAGATAAATTTTTGCTCTAGAGTTTTTGCAGCTTTCCAAACTGCACAGATGTAGTGAAAACTTACAGACCACCATATGAGTAGTGGTGTTTGAAACTTGGCTCACCCTTTGTATTGTGTTCTTGGGCAAGAAGCTTAACTCTTATGGTGCATCTCTGCATGAGGATTTTAAATGGGTTACCAATAAAGGGTTGAAAGCTAGTATTGTATTTGTGGATTACCTTTAAATGTACTGGCATCCCTTACAAGGAAAGAATGGTTACTTGTTCATGGTTTGTTTTTGTATTCTCTTTGCCAGTTTGCTGTATTATGTATTGACATTGTGAGGAGAATTTGATTGTTAATCACCTTGTTGACTTAAAGAGAGATGTAAGTTACCATATGGTAACTGAACCTGGATATGCTAGAGATTTTACTTTAACTTATCACTCAGGTATCTTCAGCAGTTCCAAGACTTGTACACTGAGGAGGGGCGCAAGTCTGTGAAGATTTGTACCTACATTCCTGGCCAACACCAGGTGGCACAAGCTGCAGCAGCTGCTGCCAGTCAACAGGCATCACATGCACATAATCCCAATCAGACATCAACAGCCACTGTTGTTCCTGTTTCTGGAAATCCAAATATACAAGACCAGACACAGGGCAAGGTGGCAATACCTCTACCCACAGCCACAAACACTGTGACTGTAATTCAGAGTAATAATTTGGGAATAGGGTCACACACCACGTTACCTGGTAACTCTGCAGTGTCTCAAGTACCTGTTGTACAAAGTCTTTCTAATGTCCGCACTTATGGACAGAAGCTAGCAATGTTTCAGCAGCAAGGAACAGTAGTTGGCACAGTTCCAAGTGGGACTGGTGTGCCCCTTAGTGGAACAACTAAGATTGCTACAGCAGGTATTTATTAAGTTGTATGCCCAACATTTGCTTTTTGGATGCAAGGGGGCTACTTTCAGATGAAAACAGGGTGTTATGGCATATTATGATCATATTCGGGCCTGCTGAGGACAAACGAGCAAAGAAATGATCTTTGTAGGTGATCTGCAACTGGAGAAATTGCAGAGAAGAAGTGTGAAAAAAATCAGGGTTTGTGTTTAAGCCTGGATTTTCCAGGTTTCTTTTACGCAATTTCTCTTATTGCAGCCCACCTTTAACAATCATTTCTTTACCCATTACAGTCTGTTGACTTGTTTTATCTGGATTACAGTTACTGATTGGAATTTATACATTTAAGGCACAGTCACACGGTACATTTCGACAGCACAGCCAGGAACAACACTTCAAGTCTCAAGTGTAAAACCTGTTCCTGTTTCCTCCATTGTCAAATCCGTTCCAACAACTGGGAGAAGAATTTCTCATCCAGACACTGGTACCTCACTACAGTCACCAACCACACCTAGTGGGGGGTACACTGGAGTTGTGGGAGCCTACATGCAGGTGACTTTATGATATGAAAAAACATCTTAACTTAAGACAAGTGGCCCATGCTGTGGCAACCTGTCCTGGTTTGTGTCGTGATATGCATCCAGGTCTACTGCTTCGTCCACTGAGCAGATTGCTATTTCATCGCACATCACCCTTCAGCATTTTGCAAAGCTCCCCTGACAGTTCATTGGTTTCCATTTATGCTCTTAGGTGAAGAGAAAGTATCAGGTCATATCACCTAAGAGTCGTTTTGCTAATGACCACTTCAACCAGTTGATCCTGGTTCGTTTGTGGTCAATCATACCCATGGGTTTATGGTACAACATTTTATTTGTTGCTAGTTTGAAGAAAACAAAAGTAGAAAGAGACGTCAGTGAAATTACATAAAGGGTTAGCAGAACAACCTATGACATGGTAGAAAAATGACCTGAGATGTTAAGGAAACAACTTAAGATGTTAGTGCGCTGGTTGTAAGCAAAATAATTGGTCAGCAAAACGACCTCCATACAAAGAATTGTCATCTGATGAAGAGTCTAGATTCCAAGCTCTGTTAGTTAAGGTGTAAATTTATCAAATGCAATGTTTGGCTGTAAAACAGTTTTATTTGATCCAATTAGCCAGTTGTTGGTCCTGGAGGAATGAGTGTCACTGTCCCAGCTGGAGCAACTGTTACAGTAGCAGGTGCCACGCCCATTGTTCCAGTTTCCAAAAGTGTAGCCATAGCATCAGGTCCTTTACCAACACAGTTCATCGCGACAGGCTTGAAATCAGCCAATCAGACCTTACAACCTGCACCAGGGACATCTCTCACCCTACTACAGGTAATGCCAAGTAGGTTAAGTCAGCACTGAAGCTAAGTAAGCCATTTCTGAGATGTGGAAAACCTCTGCCTTTTAACTCATTTGACATCATTCTTCTTTTAACAGGGCACCACAAACATCCAAACACAACAAGCTCAGATAGTCCATCAGACAAGATCTCCATCTACAACTTTTACAGTATGTAGTTTGATCACAAATTTAAGATCAGAACTTCTGTTCATTGGATCTATAGTTTTGTCAATTAACCTCTAAAATTCTGCATAGCACTTTCCCCCTGACTAGAGTAGAAAAGCAATATTCAATATTCACAACTTCTAAAAGTATTCCTTCTCTTCCTCAGATTCCTGGTAACTTGGTTCCAATAACCCACATTCAGTCTGTAACTGGAGCAACCATCAATGCTCAGATACAGGCGAAAACATCTCCTCAGGGTACCCCTGCTGGCCAACCACAGCCTATTCTACCAAACACACCTCTCTCCCCTCCCTCAGGGATGGCTACAGTTACTCTGAATACAAGACCCATTCGTCCACAACAACAACAGCAAAGGAAGATCAATGCAGGTATTTTTTTAAAATTAGCTTCATGTAATTGAGCAATCGATCCTTGAAAGGGACAGCTTTAGTTTTGCCTTACTTCAGTGTGTAATTGGTTTAGAGACCAGTTTGTTATCCACTGTATATTGTTTCTTAATCATGGCTTCAAGGAACTGAACATAACCATCAATTTCCCTATAGGAGCTGGAACATCACCAACAGCCATAGCTGCGCTAACATCCACCGTCAACCGAACCACTACAAACCTGCAACCTTTGGTACCAATTGGAACACAACTTCAGCAGCAGCCATTTCAGGTACGAATGGTGCAGTTCCCACAGCAAGGTGGCCCCACCCAGATACAGCCCACCATTGTGCAGTCACCAAGAGGAGCAACCCCTGTCCAAATAAACACACAGCAAGCTCAAGTAGTGCAAGGTTTACAACAGGTAGGTATCATTTGCACTTGTGTTGAACATATGAAGAACAACAACAAAATCAGTCCCTGAAAGAATTGACCGAGAGAAAAAAAATGCATTGTACTGTAGTCCTTAGTTTGTCATGACTCTCCCCCTCCATCTTTTTCTATCTTTCTCGTTCCCTTCTCTTATGAGCTCTCCTCTTAAAAAGTACCCCTCTCTAATTGGTTCCCTTTTCAAATAAGCCCCCCTCTTAAGCACCAGCTCTGATAGTTCTCCCTCTCTGGTATGCTCTCCTTCAAAAGTTCCTTTCACTAACGAGTCCTACTCTCTATTGAACCTCTTCTCTAATAAATCCCCTCAGAAGTACATCTCCTTCTCCAAAAAGTTCCCATTTATAATGAGTCTCCTTCTCCAAGAACAAGCTTCTAATACTTCCCCTTTTCTTATAATTCCCCTCTCCAATAAGTTCCCATTCAGGAGTGTCTTGCTTTAATAAGCCTCCCACTCTATTACATCCTCCTTTCTAAGAAACCCTCCACTCTTGTAGTTCTCTTCTTTACTATGCTTCCCCTTTCCACGTTGCAGTCAGGAAGTGCAGGAAATTAAATTATTCAATCATTTGCAGTATTTCTAATTATAACTCATCTTTTCCTTTTCCAAGATTCAAGGAAAACCAGTCACAACAGTCAAAGTAACTCAACAAACACAAGGAGCACAAACAACAGCCAGAACACCTGGAAGATCCCCAGCACAGCGACGAAGGTCGCAAAATAAGTAACTTGTGCAACAGTATTTATCATGATTTAAATTGTATAATTAAGACTTTTTACAAGCTTGTATAAAGACACTTTGGAAATTGCTCTTCATTGGTATCTGTAGTTAGTTTTTATTGTCAAAATATAGTATAATATATTTGTGTCAGCAAGATTCAATAATTGATGTAGCCTGGCTGAGATGTATATGTTAATATTAAATTGAAATAGAGCAAAAGAGTGCACATCCTCCTCTGGTATCTGACTCATCCCTCTTTTCTTAATGACAGCATTATATTTAGTCCTAGAGTCATACTACAATTGGTAAAATAAAGTCAGAATCCTTCCCCATCATAGAGTTTATTACTGGAAAATAAGAGTAAAGTTTGCGATCTCTTATACTGTTTCCAGTGAAAACTAGTTGATTGTTAGACCCAAAAATGCTGGAAAGAGAACTAACATCCGCAGATAAATGGTTGTGAACAATGTTGTACTGTTTCGTTGGATTTCAGACACTTCCATCCCCTTTCAGATGCTACTGTCCTATTTCAAACACCTTTGGAGTTCGGACACCTCCGTCCAAATTTGGACACCAGCATGCAACTTTAGACACTAACGTACAATCTTGGACTTTTTCGTCAAAATCTACCAATGTTTAAATCAAAGAATGAAGTCATTGTTATGTATGTAGAGAATATTTTTTAATAGCAAGATACTGTAGGATGTTGTATCATCTGTCAACATTTATACAAGCTGTTTGTACAAGATCTCTGACTTCTTTTGCTCTTTTCACTGCCACTTTGAAGCATTCCTGTAGTTTATCATCTGCTAGGGGTGATCCACCTTGAAGAAAAAAAAACATAGACAACAGCAATATGAAGAATTCTCCTCCAACCACCATCACTTCAAAGACTGAAACTGCTACTGAGCATAGTTTTAGCTTACAAAATGGTTGTTGTTGTTGTTATTGCAATTGAACTGTGTCAAAGGCTAAAAGTATTTTTTTTGCCTGCCCCACAATTGTCAGATCACCAAAGCACATGTTACCTGGTTTATGAACTGCTGCAATTTTATCATCATCTGTGATGACTACTGTCACAATTCCAGTCACTAGATTTTCCTCTTCATCTGTTGGGTCAGCAAACAATACTGTGCTACAAGGGAAAAAAGAAATCAATGTTTGCTGGATTTAACAATTAAGTCAAGACATAACACTGTTGTCTTTAGTAGAAAATGCATCTTGTTTAAAGACTTGTTTGACTGTACAGCCTACCATGACTTACTCATCAAATACACCAAGTGTAGCAGAGACAGGATGTGCCCTAAGGTTCAACAGAACTTCTCTCTCTTCAGATGGTAATGGAATTTGTGTCTCTTCATCTATTGTCACTGAATGAAGGTGTGCTGGGAACCAAAATCATTCTAGGTAAGTAGAGTGACCATGTTACTGTTCTAAAGTACCTAATATTAATGTACTGAAACGTCAATAACAAAGTTTTATTAACTGTAAAGGAAAGCTTCCAAAACAGAAAGGACTGTATGTGTTTTGGCTAGTGCCAACACAACATCCACCCCTCCCCTCCCCCTCCAAAAAAAAGGTAACTTGGCAACACAATATTCTCTCCTGCCTGTCTATAAAAGGAATATTACTCACTGTTTAGGAGGGCAGCAATAGCAGCTATGAGACATGCATCTGTTACATTTCCATCATAACTAAGACACATAATATCCACATACAGGACCCATGACAACTGGAAGAAAAAGCACAGTTAAAAGACTGAAGCAGGAAGTACCTGTAGTCCTGTAAGATAGTCTTGTGATATGTGAAGGATGGGAGATTCCAAGGTACAAATTCAAATTATACATGTTGGGAGGTGAAAGAAAAATTCCTTTACAAAAGGTCTTTTACCATGGCACATCTCTTTTTTTAAAGAAGAGGCACAAAAAAAATTTTTGTCTGAACACCACCCAATTTTGGACAGACAGAGATACATTGCATCATATCTCATAAATCATTCCCCTTCTTTTTACAAAACAAGTACAGTGTAGCCTTGAACTCAGTGCAGGAAAAGTGATACAGCTGTATCTAAAACCTGAAATTAGCTTGGAATTTAAATCTTCATTACATGGGTAAACAACAGGACAAAATATCCTGCCATCCAAGGAGTTACCTAGACAAAAACCCATATTTGACTTGATGTTATCCAATGACCTGCCATTATTTTGCACTCTGTAAACACATCCAATGTAAATTCAGCTCACATCAGAACTGTGAAAGGAGCTTCCTACCTTGCCCTCCACAATACACAAGTCCTCCAGATTGATTGGTTCACAGCTGATAATGCAAACAGTAAAACACTCAATTTCCCCAAATTGTACTAAAACTGATTACCATGGAAATGATAGCAAAGAAACAAAAGGTTTCAAATCTATCCTTCTTCATGTTCAGGTACTCACTTGGAGATAACATCAGCCACGAATTGACTCAAAACTTGTGCTTGTTCACCAGGAGGACCCGGGCGAAAACGAGAGGAACAAAGAGGAGGTAAATCTACATTAGGAACTAAATGCACAAATTTTAAATTAATAAATTTGTCATCTTATTCAATCATATTTGAAAATCAAAAAATTCACATGATAATTATTTACTTGATTCAAAAGTACAAGAGGTATACCTTGCTACTTAACCCTTTCACTCCCATAAGTGACCAAGACAGAATTTCTCCATACAATATCAATACAATATCAAGCAGGTAGGTGATGAGAATAGAGAAGGATATCAATTTAAGATTAGTTGAACCAATACCAAATTCTCTGAACTAACATCATAAGAATTGTATGGCAGATAGTAAGGAGAATTACTAATTAGATCTTGGGAGTGAAAGGGTCAAGGGAGACATAGCTAAACCCTTTACACCTTAACCCTTGAATGCCCAAGATCTCATCATGAATTCTCCTTACTGTCTGCAATACAGTTCTTGTGGTGCTTGTTTGGATAATTTGGTATTGGATCAACAAATAATCCCCTAATTAAGATTTTTTCTATATTCTTATCACTTGCCTGCTTGATATTGTATTGATATTGTAAGGAGAAATTCTATCTTGGTCACTCATAAGAGTTAAAGGGTTAATGTTAATATATATATTCTTCATACTCTTCTCTACACATTTCATTTGGTACTGACAAGGAGAATTCCTTTTACAATCAAAGCCTCTTAGGTTGGTCATAATTCCCTTTATTCTTGCGATCTTACAGAATTATTTGGCAGTATTACTATATGGAGAAATTAGGGTTTCAAGGGTTAAATTGTGAAAACATAGTGATGGCATAGAAGTTGAGGTTTGAGTTCTTTGTTGATTGTAACTCCAATAGATGCAGATGTAAACACCAGCAAGCTCCTTTGTGTGATCTCATCACTATCACCATTAGCATTATTACTGACCTATGAAGCCATGTTTTGGTTTATCCTGACTTGGCACAGCAAACTCCTATGGATGAGAATTGACAAAAGCCTTAATTTTGGTAAGAATGCCTATTATTTACTTAGTTTACTATGTAAACACAAAACATTAACGTTAAAACATTAAAATTTGGTAAATTTAGAGTTTCCTCAGTAATGGAAAGCAGAATATGACAGCTGAAGTTCCCTACTTCAGCTTCAGCTTTAACTTCAACTTTAACTTTCAGCTTCAACTTTAACCGTTTACACCTTAACATCAGGACGCATATTCTCCATACTATTCCCTGTACATTTCCTAAGCTGCTGACAAGGAGAATTTGCCTAAAAGTCAGGAGCTTCTAAAGTTGGTGATGATTTCCTAAATTCTCATAGCCTTAATGTGTGACTCAGGGGTGATATTGTAAGGAGAAATTAGAGGCTAGTCACTCGTAGGAGGGTAAAAGAAATACATCGTGACAGTATGGTAGCAGTGTATACTAACTGCTTTGACTCCACAGACAACTGTCGTGTTTCCAACTTTAACCAAAGCCGATCCCTCGGCTGTCGATATAGAACCTAGCAAAAATCATGGAAAGATTGTTAAGATAAGCCTAAAGAACGTAAAAATTCACATGGTATGAAAAGTGTCAAAACGTAGGAAACAAAAAGACCTCATCTTACCAACATTGAGAATCGTTTTTCTAAACTCTAAGAGTGCACGACCATCTGGCCTTACATTCTCCTTCTACAAATTAAAATAAAAAGATAAAGACTTCCTAGCGTGCATTTAAATGGACACAAACCCTGGCTTAAAACAAGATATATTTTTTCAGCCGCACCGTTCAGCACGCTTGTATTTCAACTTAAACGAAAGATTTGCTCACCAGAAACTGCCTGTAATATTCTAATGGCTGTGCAGTCCTACAATGTGAAGATGCAAAGAGTAAAGTGAATGTCGAAAACTGATTGCTAAACGACTCGATCGAAGAGGCAGCACACTTACTTGAAATCCGCCGCCATTTTCTTCGATGTCCTGATTACATGATGGATACTAACTCGCTGGTACATGCCGCTGAACGATATCTGGAATACATGAGCCGAATCGGGAAACGACACAGAGAAACCAACACACAGGATTGGCAACAATAGACTTCTGACTCTGATCATTTGTAGCTGAGGAATTCATACTTGGACTCAGCGTAAAATTCTACGTCACGAGGACGATGAGGAGTTACTGCATAACATCCAAGTACCCAAGTTCTGGGTTACAAACTTTAAAAAAAAAGTACCAATTACCTTATTCCTCCGACCTCAATGCAGAAGTGGTCTTTTTTTTTTTTTAATTTAATTGATTTTAAACTTCACACAGAAAGCATGCAGTTACAGTTGCATGAGAAAAAAAACTTTATACAGTATATTACAGAGTAAATGATCTGAATCCAAGAGTAATAGTTATAAAATCTTAAATAATCATTGCTTGATTTTACAAGCTGAGATGAGTCCTCATAATTTCACTAAAAACAACAATATTGTTATAATATATTACATCATTAGGGGAACCCCTTCACCTCTGAGGGAGAAGGGGGGGGGGGGGGAAGTTTGCAAGGTTTAGATCTGAAACAGACAATGCCATCCAGACCCTTAAAGCCACTTGGCCACACTACCTCCTTAGTTTAATTTTTAATTTTTTGTGATTTAATTATGGCAGTATTTATGACATTAACTAAATCATGAAGTAGGAATACAATAGAAGTCCAATTAATTTTGCTGGTTTGTTACCTAGTTCATACGAGTATGATAATTGTTTTGGATGCTTTACCCAAGGAAACATCTGTAAGAGACATGGTGAGCTTGATAGTTAAAAGTGTGCTGGTCTTGGGGTTGAGAGGTCCTGGTTTCAACACATGGCTGGGTCATTGGCACATCATTCAGGGGGGAGAAAGTCATACTCTTAGTCACTTCATGCTACATGAAAACGGGGATAAGCCCTGGCCGGGTGGACCCCTTGGCTCCAGTACAGACTTAAGCCTTTTTTTTTCCAGGAAACATCCATGCCCACCCTTATAGTAATTACCTCTTACAAGCTTGACCAAAAGCAAACAATCCTTTCCCACTAATTTACTCCGTATGAGTTATCTTCAGCTATTGTTTAAGAAGCAATTATTTGCAGATTTCTTACATTTCTCTGACCAGATATATAGAAAACAAGTTTGATTGTCAATATATTTGATTGGAAAAGGATTACACCACTCAAGAGGGCAGATGATTATGGAAGGGGCAGTGACTTAACCCAACTATGCCTGTGGTGGTAAGGGAGGGGGAGAGGAGACAAGGGAATTTGTTCAGAGTCAGGGAAAGGGGGGACCTTTTAAACCAAAACTTGATTCGTGTTAATGCATGAATATTTCCTGGAACAACAGATAAGATTACACAGATTAATCAAATGAGTTTGTTGAATTCATTCCTTCTGTATTCATCTGAGTCAGCACCTTGTCAAGCCATTGCAGAGGACCACGCAGATGAATTTCAATCCAGCACGGTGTACTTGTAACATCTTGGCGATGATACTCAGCCCCCCAGCCTTTGACAAAACTCAGCCGAATGGAACACATCTTTACCAAATCATATACAGCCTTAAAATCATAATTAACAGACTGAGAAAGCAACTGTGCAAATTCTTGGTTGTTGAAAATTTTCAAGGTACAGCCTGAAGGGATCTTACACACAGTTGTAGGGTGAAAACCATGGCTGTTGTTGCAATTTCTACTCTGCACAAAGATGGCAGAATCACTGAGGCATTCAGCAAAAACCTCTCCACCCACGTAGTACAGATGCACACCTTTTCCAATATGTCGCCTTGCACTCTCAATGGTTGAGTTACGACTGACATTGGTTAATTGACCTAAACAGAATCTTTCCGAGTTTTTGGTGTTTGGATCTGTGAATCCATCTACCATGATACTGTTACGATAAGCATGGAACTGATCTCCAACTCTGTTGTTCAGCTCATAGTAGGAGATAGAACACCATGATATTGGTTCTTGATAGCTTACTGGAGTAACATGAGATAAATCTGCAAGAGAGTGAATTACATCTCCCAGTTACAACTTCAACTCAATTTCTATTTATGAGGCCAGGTTATGACCCCAACTTTTCACGAGCCAATCTCAACCCTTTAATTCCCAAGATCTGATTGTTAGTTCTCCCCTCTCACTGTTATACATTTCCTTGTATATTAGTTTGGAGAGTTTGGTGTTAGATCAAGATAACAATTTCTACCTTTTTGCTGGGTAATGTATGAATATTGTAGGGAGAAGTTACCTGTTAATCACTTCTGGGAGTTAAAGGGTTAATTTAGATTTGGACTGCTCCAAATTTAAAAAAATACGCTAGTCTTACTGTTGATGCTTAACTTAAACAGCTATCATACCTTTCCCCAAAATAGTTTCAGAAGAACAGCATATTCAAAACAAGTCAATTATGCATGAATTTTGTTTGGCCTAAGCTATGAATCAAATACATTCCAGAGGCAATGCAAAATCATAATTCCCTGCTAATCCAAGAATAAAGAAAGGCTATAAGGTGCTCAAAGTTGAACTTCGGCTTTTCAATCAAACTTTCATCTAATCTACTTATGATGTTAGGTTCAGCACATGAAAAGTGTGGTGCATGAAATGGACCTAAATAAGAACAACCAAGAACACTTTCCTGAATATCAAAGGGTTAACCTTCAAACAAGTTGTAAACAAAGAAACAAAGATGTAATGCTCATTGATGACTTCTGTTGACTTACATGGTTGGTTCACCATTGTTGGCAGAGATCCAACAACATCTACATCCATAGTATTTGGGTCTGTAGGACATGGTGATTCTGCATCCTCTGATATATAACTTTTGGGTGACTCTAAGTAAAGAAAAAGAGAAAGCTGCACATTATACTATGTATTTTAGAGGTACTTGACTGAAGTCTCTCAACACTTTTTCAATCAGTGCCAAATTTTCTTCTGGTTGTTTGGGCAAACAGCAGGTAATTTGGGAGGAGAATTTATTCATGTATTGCAAAAGTCTCATGACTTATTTTCTACAAGGATGGGGTCAAGTAAATAATATGTTCCCCTCCCCCACCTAAGGGGGATGTGAAGGAGAGGAATCTAGCCCAACATACATGAATAAGATATGGTTTGTCTTGCTTCCCCTTTCAATACATTTTTAATGAATCAAATGTAGTCTTCAGTAAGAATGGTTAACCAAAAGAAAGATACCTCAAAATGAGCAAAAAGTACAGTTACCTGCCATGTACATGTTCATGCTGCCCTCAGGCCTACGTGCTTGTTGTTTGAAAGGGAAACAAGCATTGTATGGCAATGGAGGTTCTGCTGCACTTTGAAATGGGGGCGGTAAGGGTGGTTGAGGTTTTGGGTATTCACTTTGCCGTGGCACCAACACTGGAGGTAACACTGGGAGAATAAGAACATAAAATGATTAAAGCTTATCAACTGATTGTAAGAGGGACACAGTTCCAAGGGTTTGTGGAATCAACCACGGATCACTGAAAGGTCCAGCTTGTACATAACTTGGTAGGCTCACTGTGTTGTGTTGTTAGACCAGATTCTTTACTCCCTCAATGTCCCTTTCAACCAAGTAGTACGGTTCTCTTGACAGTTTTAAGGTATCATGTAGAGGAAAATTATGTTCAGAGGTAAATTGCAGTATGGATTGGCATATGATCAAGGGGGAGAAGCAATACGTCTTATGCTGCTTATTTGCATAAAATTATCTGAAAAGATGGATGGTAAGGAATTTGGCAAGGGGAGGAGGGGGAGAAAGAAGACTGGAGGAAATAAAAGCTTGCGTCAAGGAAAAAGGAGATTTAGTTACAACAATATGACTGGAGTAGGGAGTCTGCTTGAAGTGTGTTCCACTCTTATCATCTGATTGCGGTTAGCTTTTGTCTGCTAGAAAGGACTGTGTCCCCTGCTATGATGCCCCCCCTCCATTAACACCCATTATTAATGGTGTTTATTGTCAAAACATTATTTCTAACAAAATGTAAGTTAATTAAAAAAAGTAAACACAAAATTTATGGTGACATTTGACAAACACTCTAGCTAGATGCATTGTCACTGTTTAAAACACACTTTGTAGTCAGCTGCACCAAGGAGCAATATTTTTAATCTTTCTTCATTGCAATTAATGATTGTGAATATGCAAAAAGAAAAAAACATTAAAAAACTAGGGGGGGTAAATGGTATACAAACTAACATTTTCGATGAAAGAATATTTTTGACTTCTTGAAACGTTTGAAATTTAAAAGACAAAAATGGATAATAAGATAAGAAATTTTAGGCAGGTTTTTAGGTCAGGAAACAAATAAATGTACATGTCCAAACACGTATAAGTGAGTTGTATTTTATCTTAATTAATCCAAATTCTCAATCTCTCTAATTTTCAGTCTAACTCACCTGGGCTCTCCACGCGACTATAGTGGAAAGGATTGACACAGACTTCTTTCTTTTTCAAACCAAAAGCATATTCGCAACAATCCAGTGCCTTTAATTCGTGAGGACTCTGGAGATCGGGCCATCGCCAAATGCGGCAATAGATAACATGAGGCAAACCTTTCTTGTGACGAACTTGAATTCGTCCATCGGTGCCTCGAGGGAGAGTAACGCATTGTGATAGTTGATTCGGATTGGAAAGCGCTTTCTCCAGCTCCTCCATAGCACCTTTCTTCTTTTTGAGCCTTCTAGCCAAGTATGAAATTGCAATTTCGGCCCATTTTTCTTCCTCGTCGCCTTGCTTCCAACCAAGTATTCTCTTAACAGCAGGGTGCGCAAACGAAAACAGCGTAGACATCTCGTGGTACAATCGCTGGTTTACTGTTGTAGTCTGTGCGTTATAATGAAACAATTAAAACGCTGTAGTGTAGGTTTTTCGACACCTGTTTCTTTCCTTTTGAAGTTTAATCTAGATAGAACAACTGTAGCAATTTGTACATCACTCTTACACATAGAAGTGTTTACCTCCCAGACAGATGTTTACGTCAAAGTAATATGCAAATGTTTTAGATGGGAGGGGAGGTTGAAAGAGGCAACAGTACAAGCAATGTAACAAGATTGATCAGCCAGAATACTCTTTCTGCCCTGTTTGAGCCACAAAAAAAATTTAAAAAATTGATAGAAAAAATTTCAAGCATTCAGTTGTTTTAATTACCACTCACAACCTTTCCCCAGCATTTCCTCAAAGAATAGTAACAAGTTCTATGTACAAACCTTCAAGCACCATATTTGGTGTCTACTTCAAAATATATAAATAAATTTAAAAAACGGGCCGATATCTTCACCCCTGAACTCCAAATACTATGAAACCGAGTGAAAAAAGTATCGAATTCGACAAAAATTCTGATCCATAACGTGTATACGTTAACCTCGGAGTTCACTTCAATACGACTTTCTTCAAACAGTAAATGTTACATCAAAGTAACGTGAAAACCCACATTTTTTGTTTCTCTCCAAGGCCTCGCCTCACTCTCATCTTAAAACACGAACTCCACTTATTAACTCCATTAAAAAACAAAGTCGTAGTCTTATAGTTATCTGTTTTTTTCGCCATTGTTTCTAAATCTAAGAACAGTATGCATAATGAAGTGCGGAACCATGCACAAATGTTGCAGAGTGGCATATTACGTAACTACGCGAAAGTAAAAACTACCAAGACGACTCAAATGAAAAAAAGTCCTGTTAAAGAAAGCTTCGCGCAGTCGAATTCCCATCGAAATTCATTTACAAATGACTCTTTTGTATCAGACCCAAGGAGTAGATGGGCGTGGCAAGGCAGTTGGGAACGATTCGTACTGTCTTCATACCTACCCAACGGGTAAAATATATCTGCCTTGAAATAGATGTAAGCTTTAGACATTTCATTCACGAAAAGATTTCTTTATTTCATCTCCGATACAGCAGTTGTTAATTATCACCAGGCATGCCTTTCACCAAAATCAGCTGGTGTCGTGTATTACCACTTCTCCTAACTAATTTGAAAGAAATTGTCTAACACCTAGTAGGGAGAGTTACTAGTCAGATCTTTGGAGTGAAAAGGTTAAGCTTTTGCCCCCCCCACCCCCCTCCTCCAAAAATGTTTCACCTCCATATGATGCCATTATTTTGAGAAGCAGAAACTAATGCAAAGGATGAAAGAAAAAATTCATGTGTATAAGGCCACAGGTGTAAAAACTAACAGACAAAAAGATGAGAAGCCTCAAAAAAGGAAATTTCACTGTCAGATGGAGGGAGGTAATAGAAAAGCAAATATAGCATTCAAACATAAACCAAGAGAGTATATTTATAATATGTATTCATGATGAAACAAGAAATATTTTGCATATGACAGGGTAGCATAATAACATATGGACCATGATAATATGATTTCTTTTGTCAGAATAAAGAAAACTTTCATTTGAATCAAAAAGTATGGAATATGTATAGTACAAACAACTGTTATGTTTACTATTTGTGAGCACTGCTCCTTAACTTTAGAGAAAACCTGCTCATCAAAGCCTGAATTCCAGGTCTCAATAGATTTAGCAAAACAACACAACCACACAAATATAAAGGAGCAAATAAAGTTTAAAACACTGATTCATAAACTGCTTTCAAAGCCAACAGCATAAACCTAACTACCCAAATAACACAATGCCAATGATGCACTGCTGCCAAATTAACTACACTAAAGTTCTCAGGAAACAGAAGAAATTGGATTTCGAGGTGACCCCATCTGAATCAGCACCTTGTCAAGCCACTGCAAGGGACCATGGAGATGGATTTCAATCCAGCATGGTGTACTGGTAACATCTTGGCGATGATACTCAGCTCCCCAGCCTTTGACAAAACTCAAGCGAATGGAACACATCTTTGTCAGCTCATACACTGCCTCATAACCATAATTGACAGATTGTGAGAGCAACTGGGCAAATTCTTGGCTGTTGAAAATTTTAAGTGTGCAACTTGAAGGAATCTTGCACACTGTTGTTGGATGAAAGCCATGAATGTGGTTACAATTTCTACTCTGCACAAAGATGGCAGAGTCACTGAGGCATTCAGCAAAAACCTCTCCACCCACATAGTACAGATGCACACCTTTACCAATATGTCGCCTTGTACTTTCAATGGTTGAATTGCGATTTACATTAGACAACAGACCCAGACAGAATCTCTCTGAATTTGCTGTGTTTGGATCTGTGAATCCATCAACAAAGATGCTGGTTGAGCTTGCTTGGAACTGTTCACCAACTCTGTTATTCAGCTCGTAGTAAGAGACTGAACACCATGAAGATGGCTCCTGGTAATTAACTGGGGTAACATGTCGCAAATCTGTGAATAACAAATAACAGAAATGTGGAAATGTTAATAAATAGACTTCAAGTTAAGTTCATTAACCTCTGGAATGCACTGTCTCAGTGCAATATTTTTTAAAATATTTTAATCAACAAATACCCTACAATACTGTGAAATAGTCAAACAAGAAAATTCAGAGAAATTTATGTTTTCCACTAACCTGTCTGTGGTGACACAGCTGGTGGGGAGTTGACATTGTCCACTTCCATTGCATTTGGGTCAACAGGACGAGGAGATCCACCATCCTCAGACATATAACCTGTAGGTGTGTCTGCAATAGAAACCAACTTGTTTAAAATTCACTTTACTGCAGGAAGGGAGGACATACACCCCAAAACTCCCCAGTAATTAACATGTAACTTCTCCAATAATATCCATACATAGTATAGGAAACAGCTAATGAGAATTCTCAATCTTATCAAGTAAAAGTTGTTATCTTCATCTAACACCATATTCTTGTAAATAATTCACAAGGCAATGTGTAGCAGCTAGAGGAGAGAATTAACAATTTCAGATTTTGAGAGTGAAAGGGTCAAGAAAACGTGGACACTAAGAAAGAGTCCCACACCTGTGAGTTTTACCACAGGTTCTCCACTGTGATAGATGCCAATCCCTCAGGGGTTCTCTCCACCCTCCCCCCCCCTCCCACCCCCAAGCTTTTTTCCACCTTTCCCTGACAATTTTCCAGTACTCATTTATACTCCTTGTTTATGTTTTTCAAAGCTGGGGTTAAGGTAACCCAAGGTTTGTGTGAAATCTTATTTCAGATGTAAAAGCTTCAAGAGAAAACTCACCATAATTCTTCTTGTCTATAATTTGGTTAATGGATGCTTTTAAGAGAAAAGAGGAAATTATTCAAAAAGAAGCTTTTGAAATAACGAAGTTGAAGAGACCTGGATAAAAATTTAACTCATGGTTAGCACCAAACAGCATTTGAGAAGCTGGGCCCTGGATCATGACAATCAAAGCATAATTAGTTAACTAGGGGTTAGCCAAAAACTTTTGATCCAGTTTAGAAGTTGCTATACTATTTCGATGTTAATAAGATATAAGAAAAAATTATTCAGTTCTGATTGGTTAAGATAAATGCAATTTTCAGGTAATTCAATGTAAAAGGTTAATTCAGTGCAAAGAAGTAACAAACCAGGCTGAACAATTCCTCTAACTGTTTAGCCTGACTTTGGACTTTTTGCTCATTTAAGATGTAAAAAAAATAATTGTATATTATTGTTGCCAGATCTTGAAACAGGACTTCTCTAACCAAAGACTACTGTGACTACCAGTTGAGGTAAAAAAATTGTGCAACTGACTAGATACAATCCATGAATAAACACTTTTTCAAAATCTCACTGAATCTTGAAAAGAAATAAATATGTTAAAAGAACTCCCCAGAAACCTATAACCTTTACACCACTTTTACATCAGTATGCATATTCTCCATACTGTTCTCTATACATTCCCTAAGGTGCTGACAAGTAGAAATTGTTTCACAATCAAGAGCCTCTTTAGTTGGTGATCATTCATTTAGTCTCATGACCTTAATGTGTGATTCCGGGTGAGAATGTAAGGAGACATTAGATGCTAGTCACTTTTAAGGAGGGCAAAGGGTGAGCCCTCTCACAGAACAACTGTTACTTGTATTTGCAGTAAAGATACCTCAAATTCTTAGGGTTATCAAAAAAACTACAAATTCTTAGATGTGCAGCTTGTTAGAATTTTGCAGTGAGTTTCATCAAACAGAGCAAGCTGATAGATTACTTTTTGTGTATCAGTTCCAACGTAACAACTCCAAAAATAAATTGTCATCATTTGCTAAAGTATTGTGTAGATGAAGGCAATATAGGACTCTTGAAGACTGTCTACAACAGTAGCATCCCTAGTCTAGTTGACCACCCACTAATATAAAAAATACCCATACCTCTTGATCTAATCATACAAAAAACTTGTTAAGTAACAAACTACACATTTCACTCAAGTTCATAGATTAAAACTACACTGAAAGAGAAACCCCCAGAAAAGCAAGGGTAATGAATACTGCCCAAGGGTAATGAATGATGTCCATAAGGAAATCCAAAAATTTTGATCTGATTTTAATTCTTTGGAAGCCTTCATAACAGGCAAAATAGCCCCTTTCTTTCTCTGCATGGGTCTTAAATCAAAAACAGAGCTCTTTGCATCTAAATTTTTACAATTTGCTGCTATAAAATGGCGAGCACCTGTCAGATTTCCCGTTTACAGTTTACATAAATGTTGCAAGGTAGAAAAACAAAAGAAAACAAATTAGGCTGCAGTAACTGCAGGAGCAAATCTTTCACAAGAGATATCGAATTTCATTTTTTTCCCAACAAATATTTAGCAAACAAAATGTTGACCATGTTGGAATTTTGACACAACAGTGTCACCAAACTAGATATTACGATGTTGACGTCCTGAGGCTTATATCATCTGATTATGCCAATGAAGCAACGTTTCATAAAATCATAAATTATGATATCAAAACAAAATCCATTTACCAACATGCATAAGTGCAAGGGTGAGTGAAGTCTAAAATTTACACGTTGAATATTTTGCTTTGGTTTCAATTCAATCTTCAGTCACACATGCCAACTGCAGACAAAGGGGTGTAAATATCACATCTATAATTACTTTATCATTTCTCCTTTGGCGGAACGTCTGCTAAAATCCCAACCCTAATATTAGCTTTTTAATAGCTAACACGTGCATGGTCCACTTTTGGGAACAGAAGAAAAAGACCCTGACAAGGAAATCTCGAAATATTGCTCAAAAGTTGCATTTGTATATGTTGCCAAGAAAAAGAACCAGTTCTAATATTGAATATTGTAGCCGACGCAGTGAAAAATATGAACAAAATGGTGCAAATCTGAGAAATAATAAAACAAATAAGAATCTTTCATCACCTGGCATATCAAAGGTGTTTGCACTGTGATCAAGTTGATTTTGGCGATTTTGGAATGGAAAAGAAGCATTGTAGGGCATCGGTGGGTCATCGGCGCTTCGAAATGGAGAAGGCAGTGGTGGAGGAGGTCTTGGATATTCGCTCTGCCTCGGAACAAGTACTGGTGGTAATACTGTGGAAACAATAAAAGGGAAAATATCCACTTGCGTTTATTCATTGTTACAAGGGCAAAATGTTTCAGTGCGCTAAACTTCGCCTACGAATCATCTTGATCAGCTGATTGATAGAACAAACGATGCTAAACATTGTAGAAGAAAATTATGAATAGCGTAATATTCGCAAGACACTTTAGTACTTCAAAGCTTTGAGGTACTTATTTTTCTATAATAACTAAAGCTGTCTGTCTCGCCTCACCTGGGCTTTCTACACGTCTGTAGTGGTAGGGATTAATACAGACTTCTTTCTGCTTTAGCCCAAAGGCATATTCGCAGCAATCTAAAGGTTTTAATTCGTGGTGGCTTTGAAGATCGGGCCATCGCCAAACGCGACAATAGATTACATGCGGCAGACCCTTTCGGTGAGAGACTTGAAGGCGGCCATCCAAACTGCGTGTGATTGTAACACATTTGGAAGGTTGTCCAGGGTTAGACAGAGCTTTTTCCAGCTCTTCCAAGGCGCCCTTTTTCTTCTTTAGCTTCTTAACCAGAGACTCAATGGCTTTTTCAGCCCATTTTTCCTCCTCGTCGCCTTGCTTCCAGCCAAGAAGTCTTTTCACCGCAGGAGGGGTGAAAGAGAAGAGCGAAGCCATCGTAGTCATCTTGTCAACTTTTTTCCGTTATTCCGAGTGCTTACTCGGCGGTTTATGCTCAGTCACACGCTAGTAATGAGACAATTCGACGAAAAACCTTGCAAATCTCAGTTGAGTGAGATAGGTAGAGGGGTTTGCCGACTCAAACATGCACTGTGGTGACCAAACTTGCGAATGTTTCAATGGCGCCTTACTGGCGACGCGTAAGGTGAATAAACAGCCGCGCCACACTGGCGACAAATGTTGGCCTTTGGCTTTTTATAACTGTGCAATTCGATTAACGGCGAACAAAAACCAAGCTGAGGAGCAAATACGGATAGCGAAACACGTAAACAATTCAAGACCCTCTGTCAAATAGTATTCCTCCCTAAAAAAGCAAGCCCAAGTTAGTGTGACGTCACATTACAGGCGACATCCTGTCTGAGAGTCTGACACTGTGACGAGATGACACCAGAATGCAGAAAAGTTCTGGATGGGAGGGGAGGGGGATAAGCGAGCTGAATACTCGCATCTAAAACTTACTTTTAACTCATTTGACCCATGTAATGTTATATCTAAATAGTAGGAAAGAATCATATTTTTGTGTTCTTGATATTTCCATATGCGTAGTTAATCTCTAAGCTGCCATACGTTCAAGGACGAATTACAACCTCTCGCCTACCCCGAAATAATAACAAACGTTAGTAAAACTTGCAACATGTCGCCCCCCTCTTTGACTAACAAAAAGCACGCAAATCTTTAACGCCTATTTTTGAAACTGTTGTTTTCAAATCGGTTAAAAATATTTGTGATTGAATCAGTTTTATTGATTCTCAAAGTTGTGCAATATTTAAAAGAAACTTTAAACATTTCCATTTGAGAAAATTACCAAAAGAATGTTTTTGAAGTGTAACCGGAAGCTGGGGTTTATTGTCACTCAATGACTTCCGGCATCGCGTCTGAATACTGACGAAACTAGAGATAGCTTAAATAAGATGCGAAACGAAGAATGAACGGTGATAAAGTTCATAACTGTTAGCGCCGTTCGGTATCGAAAATTGCCAATGTGTTTTTATTCATTGAAAGAACGATAGAACAAAACATTTTGATACCCACAGGGTTTGTGGCGCCAAAGGGTTTTGAATGACTCATTTGAATAAGCGACGGAAAACTTAGCAAGTGGGGTCCAGTTGTAAAACACAAAAGGCCTCATTTATGTTATCTTTGAAAAGAGTAATTTGTAATCTGCTTGGACAGATAAAATGAATTGTTTACTTTACAGATCGGATTGTTTTAACACGCCAAATCACGTGGTTACTTTTCGCTCTCCCAACGGTCTGCGGTTTTGGCATTCTGAAGTGGAACAATTATTAAATGTGCACTTATCAAAATAATTTTGTTTCGCAAGCTTTCCACAGTTGACTGAATATTAGCACGTTGCCTTCTGTCTTTTAGGCTGCCGATGGTTTTGTAATATGTGTTTGATCACCTTGTCCAAAAAAATGACGGCACAACAGGACGTGCGGGCGATAAAATTCATACAATTTCCCTTCCAGATCATCACATTCCAGTTAGGATTAAGAATGATTGGATAATAATGAGCTGGATTAGAAATAATTCTGAGATAACAGATTTGCCACCATTATACATTTTTTTGTCGCCGATCGGGTCGTATCTTCGCTCGTGATGAAAGGGCATCACAAACACACGAGAAGATGGGAGATGGAACAGAAATTTTCGTTCTCGAGTGGGGTGTGGAAAAGACTACCCGGGTAGATGCCTGAATACATGAACCCGGTTTCAAAAAGGCTGATTTGTAATACTCTGTTTCTTCAATTCATTTCCCAAAAAGGTTTTAATTGATGAGATATGCCCATTCGACAATAATCCAACCTTGAATATGAGTGGGTGATGGCAACGATAGAATGCCGAACTTCACCCGACTTTGACCCCATGTCACTTACTGTTTATTTCCGAGTATTTATTAGGCGCAGCGTACGCTAAAGAAAGAAGAACGTCTTGGTGCATAAACGGCCCAAAATGTTATTTCATTTCAGATCTTATCGTGACACTACAGAAAAAAAAACTTTTCCTTGCAGAAATATCTGAATCTAAAGGTGATATGACCTGTTATTTGCACATAGAGGAAGTTTGGAGAATTTTTTTTATTCAAAGAGAGAGTATTTCACTATGTTGAATCAGTGACTAATGCCCAAAAGAGCCGCAAAATTTGCGAAGTGTGCAAAGGCCTTGAGTTTCTCAGGGTGACCCTATCACATAATAAAGTGGAATATCGGAATATCCTTTAAAACGCCAAGAAAGAATATCTTTAAATGCGTTGTTGTATGAAACAAAAGACTCTCAAAAATAGAATTGCGATAAATTAAAAAATTGATTTATGATTAGCAAGCAAATCAAAAAGAAGTATAGTTCAATCCTAATTCCCATCATTGGAGCTTAGGGTATAGGGAACGGTAAAGTTCTTGAGCTAACCCCCTATGAATGATCATTACTATTACTATCATGATCATAATTATCGTTAGTTTTGAAATTATCATTTGTTGCTATTTGATTATTGGTTGACAGTCAGAAAATCACTATATTCTTGAATCTTCTTCCTCTTGTGGAGCATGGTACCCATAAATATATGGGATGCGGCACGTTTTCCGTATTGTACAACCTCTAGTTCTTCTCTATTTTGCAATTTGAACATTTATTTAGTGGTCGATTTAGGATTTTTGAAACCAGTGTCCGCTTCTAAATTTTTAACACTGGTGACTGATTTTAAAATTTGGATACTAGTGGCCTATTCTGGATATTGGACATTTTTTGCTGATTTCGGATTTTGGACCCTGGTGGCCGATGTTGAATTTTGGACACTAGTGGCCAATGTTGGATTTTGGACACTAGTGGCCGATGTTGGATTTTAGACGCTAGTGGCCGATTTGGATTGTGGACACTAGTGGCCCATTTTGTATTTTGGACACTAGTGTCCCTTTTTGGATATTGGAGATATTTTGCCGATTCCGGATTTTGGACTCTAAAGGCCGATGTTGAATTTTGGACATTAGCAGCCCATTTTGGATTTTGGACACTAATGGCCGATTTTGAAGTATATACGTGGCCGATGTTCGATTTTGGACATAAGTGGCCCTTTTTGGAATTTGGACATAAGTGGCCGATTTTGGATTTTGGACACGCATGGCCAATTTTGGATTGTGGACGCTAGTGGCCGATTTTGGGCTTTGGACACTAATGGCCCATCTCGGATTTTGGATTTTGGACACTTGTGGCCCATTTTGGGCTTTAGACATCGGTGGCCGAGTTTGGATTTTGCACACTAGTGGCCCATTTGGGACTTTCGACACTAGTGGCCAATTTTCGATTTTGGGCACTGATGGCCGATTTTGGTTTTTTAGATGCTAGTGGTCTATTTTGGATTTTGGACACCTGGGGCCGATTCTGGATATTAATCCTCACTGGTCGATTTTGGATTTTAATCCTCAGTTGCCGATTTGGATTTTGGACACCAATGGCCGATTTTGGGCTTTGGACACTATGGGCCCATTTTGGATTTTGTATTTTGGACACTTGTGGCCTATTTGGACACTAATGGCCGATTTTAAATTTTGGACATTAGTGGCCCATTTTGGATTTTTGACGTTTGTCGCCCATTTGGATTTTGCACATAAGTGGCCCTTTTTGTATTTTGGACACCAGTGGCCGATTTTAGACTTAAATCCTAAGTGGCCGATTTTGGATTGTAGACGCTAGTGGCCGAGTTTGGGCTTTGGACGGTAGTGGCCCATTTTGGATTTTGGTCACTTATGGCACATTTTGGGCTCTGGACACTAGTGGCCGATTTTGAATTTTGGACACTTATGGCCCATTTGGGACTTTGGACACTAGTGGCCAATTTTTGATTTTAGACATTAGTGGCCGATTTTGGATTTTTAGACGCTAGTGACCCATTTTGGATTTTGGACACCGGTGGCTGATTTTGGATTTTTCACAAAAAAATAACAGATAAATATGCAAATAAATAAATAAATGAATAAAAAAAGAACAAATTAGTTGAATATTCACGTATAACCAACACAGCTTAGAACATCGCACGCTCTAAAACAGGTGTTTATTCATTATTATTCAAACATTTTAAAACATTGATATTGAATTTATCACTTTTTCGCAACACACATTCTCACTTAAATAGCGGATTGATCAGGGTAGCAAAAATAGATTTTCAAAAGCAAATGTTTCGTCTGCTGTTTTAAGGTCATTTTCAGGACTACATATCTACAGATGATCATCCTGTGTGGACTCGAGATATTTGAAGTGTCAAACTTCATGTTCACTAGATTCTATCTAAATTTTCATTTGGTGCATCACTCTTGTTATCAGTACAACTGAGACAATCTTTATTATACTAAACGAATTTTGCCTGGGACCATAATTGTGGCCGTCATTTCATACATCGATCGTTGTGAACGAAGCTCAGTTCGCAACGAATTCCTTTGTTTGACATATCCAGGATGTATTGGCTGAAGTTCTGTCTTCTGATCAACACCGTCTATCCTCTTTTGTCGCGCATTTCGATTGAGTGCCGTAAAACCAAAGCCAAAGTAATCACAACAGCCAATCAGAACAAAGGAGTATGTCACCAGGAGCCAATTAAGCAAAATAAAAACAGGCAAACTGCCTGAAGCGCGGGAAACGCAGGTGACCAAGTCGCGAACGATTTTATTGTTAAATCAGATTGCTTGAGAGAGTGAAACGAGTTTTCTGGACCAATCACAGAGCGAAATAAAGTATAAAACTAAAGGAATCCCAGGTTAATTTTCACACCCAATGGATTGTGTTAAGATTGAATCCGTGTACGATAACATGATGTGCTGCTCGCACAAAAAGTCAACTCCTTTTTGGTCGTGTCTACTTCTCAATATATTAAATAGCAGAGTTCGTTTTACAGTTAAGGTTTTAATATAAGAAAAATTGAAGAGAAGCTAAAAGTTTTATTGGCTTTTCAGCTTAATTGGTTCGATCCTCCAAGCACCAACCACATATCTTAAACTGATCATGAGCAGATCTTTGCCCATTTGAAGCCAGCTCCACACTGGGATCATCTTTGAACCTTTGGAAAAAATTGAAGAGAAATCAGAATGAGAATTCTATGGTAATTTCAAGGCTTGAACGTGGGAGGGTTTTCACGCAACAATCGGAAAACTCAGACCAAACAAGCGAAAGGCATCAAACACGAGGAAAGGTACAAATAGTACAGCAAGCAGGAGAAAAGTGTAAGCTTCGCCCATGTCTGAAAAAGATGCAGTCTGCAAAAAGAGGGAAAACGTGAAATCTAGACATCACATATGTTGCGCTAAACACTGTTTAAAAAAAACAATGTGCCAGACTTGAGGACGCATACAGATGGCAGACGGGTAAAAATCGAAAACAAAGAATGTCTTGATTGTCTGAAGACAAAGATTAATAAACGCTAGATGTGCACAATTATGTTTCGTCGAAGGCAAAATTTGCAAGGAGGTTTTCTTAGCAACAGTTAGGAGTCGCTTTTTTTCTCTTCTCTCTTCCATTACACGAGCAGTGAAAAGCTTTGGGGGGAGGACATAATCCATCTATGCAATCAAGTAATTCCAATATTGACGGAGACGAAATTTCACAAAATTACGGAAAAGGAAGTTATTTTCTCAAAGTATTTCACACGACGACTAACCTTCAATTTCCGTCCAGTTGACGGCTACTTCTGCTAAAGTGATCTTCAGCTTCTGTGCAATGTACAGAAGTTCTACATCAAAGGCCCTACGAAAGGAGAATACAACTTTAAACAACAAGATAATATAGTTTTTCAAGCGCTCACCCGGTGTATGTACCTTTTAACTGTTTGAACTTGACGCGTTTGACATATATAATTTATCTCAAGGATAACCACGTTGGAAATGGCCCTCCATGCCTAGGAATATCCGTTCTACAATGATAGGCTGGTTTGTCCATCTGTCCATACATCCACTCGTTCATTCGCTTGCTAGTTCGTTAATTCGTTCATTCCTAGGCCTGAGAGAACACTCTAACTATAAGCAATGCAGGTCGCCCATTCTTCAGCCGCCAGGAAGATTGTAGGCGAATCGGGGAGAGGTTTGCCGGAGATCTAGCACTAATAATGAGGGCAGACCTTCAGGGCGTGCTTACAGGTTATTCTTTCCTTTGTTTGCAAATTCGTTCTCCGTTGGTTCGCTCGTTCGTTTATTTGTTTGCTTTTTGGTTTGCACGTTCGTTCGTTTGCACGTTCGTTCGTTTGCACCTCCGTTCTTCGTTCGTTCACACCGTCGTTCTTCGTTCGTTCACACCGTCGTTCTTCGTTCGTTCGTTTCCTTATTCATGTGTTACTTCGTTCGTACCTTCGTTATTGTTCGTTCGCTGAGTCGTCTGATCGTTTCTTCATTCCTTGGAAGAAACGTGTATGTCGTAAAAACACTTACCACCGTTCAACGTGGAGAGCAGAAAAAGTCAGTAATGCCGCTGGTCTGGTGAAAAGCTTGAATCCGCACTAAAATAAAAGAAAAACAGCGATATAAAAACTCCATCAAGGAACAGTTTATAATCTACTCTTTCATTTTAAACTATGTAATGTCTAAATTTTTCTCTTATTTAGTTTGATTAATCTATTAATTGAAACGCATTTTACAAAATGAACTTATGTCGTACTGATGCGGAAAGAGGAATCCCTTTCACATACTTTTAAAATTCTTATTCCAGTCCAGAAAGACACATTATTTTGGTTGATAAAAACCTGATTAACGTAGCCCACGGTCAAAATGAGCTGAAATCTGTCATTGGCCAAAGAAAAATAGCGTATCAGAAAATCTCCAGACCACAGGGAGTCGCTCTCTATTTCTGTTACCGAGAGAAGTCAATTGAAGTGTGAATTTTTATGGTCACTGTACACCACTGGAAACAATGACGAAAGAGTTTCTGCTTTGCATTCACTGAGGACTGATAGGGCAACCTTCAATTCATCTGCGCTTCCATGAGTTGTGTTATACTTCGCTCTGATTGGTCTAGAACACTCGTGCCACCCTTTTAACCAATCAGACGAAGAAACAAAAACCAGTCACTTGCGTTTTCCCGCGCTTCAGGCAGTTCGCCTGTTTTAATTTGATTTTTCTTTCTTCTGACCAGCCGTTGTCGTTACTGAAAATTGAAATAAGCTCGGTGAGGAGTTTAGTTACATTACCTGAGTATCTCTGATTCCTCGTACGCAAAGGAACCACACAAGAAAGTGAAAGCCAAACATAAGAATATTCCTAAAGAAAGTGCGCTGAATAAAAGAAGACGAAAAACGCGTTAGCGACAACTTTAGTCATATGGCCGGCTCCAAGGGTGGGTCTGACAAATCTCGTTTCTCATTAGCTACTCGAGTGCAAAAGATCGGCTCCGCTCAGGATTTCCCGCTTGATTCTTTACTAATTCTTACGCTTTATTCAAAATCAATTCTCAACACTGTCAGCCAAACATTGCTAAAAACTTTCACCACGGAGAATTTGGTTATTAAATCAAGTAACATCACCTTGTTGATACTTTTCTTTCTTCTCATCATATTTCTGTTTGACAATGTATTAACACTGTGAGGAGAAATAACTTATCAATCACTCATGTGAGTGTACGAGTTAAGTCTCTCTTACTTGTGCAACAGCTTCATCCTGTAGGTGAGCACGAGAACCACAGACTATCACAGCCGTGTTTCCCTGAACAAGGAGGAAATGTAAAATGATGCACATTATCTCAATATTCATATTCATATTCCTCTTTTTCCACTCTTGTAACTCAACAAATTAAACTGGGGTGAACAAATCTTCTGGTTTAATTTTGTTTCCCCTTTCTCTTCAGCAAAAATCATTAACTTTACTGATCCAAGGGGTGACACCAGTAATTTTTAAAGAAGAGGGTCTAATATTGATATATTCATGAATTCAGAAGTCTGTCAGGATGTGAGTAATTATTTTTTTGCACAAGAAATTTGGGTGCAAAGCACTTTTCAAATTAGGGGTCACAGTTATGAGTTTCTGTGTCTTAAATGATGAGGTGTATACCACATCTCCCTGTTGTCTATGTGCAGACTTGTATCTATGCCACAAGAAGGACCAGAAAATACAGCATTTGGCATAAGAAAAGGTTTTATCATGCAGATTCTTCTGACTTGTGAAACCTCACACCCTGAATTATAGGCTTTGCATGTTGTTCATTTAGGAACAAAATCCCTCAAAGGTAGACCCCAGGCCTCCCAGGAACCCCCCTGACTATCCCCCTTGGTTTTCTACAGGCATTCCATGACCACCCAAGTAATGCCTTTGTCCACTTTGCACAGTTTTGAAAAACCTGACTAACCTTCTTTCCATTCAGGTCATCTAAAGCTTTCTCTAATTTTGCCAAGTCAGCAAATTTACTAGCACCATCTGCATCAGCCATCAGAAGCCGCCTACCTCTAGAGCTGAACATGCCCTTTAGTGCAAAACAAAGATGATGGATGAAATTTTAGCTTAGTGTTCACTAAAAAGAGAAACATTAGAATATCTCTAAAATTTGACAAAACACGCATTTTATAACAAACTTTGTCTAGAGAACACTACTTTTCATCAAAAAAAATAAACCTCTATAATCACATTGCTGTATGAAAATTTTTTTGGCTTTTATCTTTTGATAATTTTGAAGACCATTGTTGATACCCCCAAAACATGTCCTCATGTGATAAAACTGCTAAAGAAAGGGCTGTAGATATTCACTACCTTTCATCATGTAAAAACCCTGCAAGTGACAATCACATCCAGGATCTAAATACAAATTTTCCCGCACAGTTTCCTAAACATTTCTGGCTATTTTAACTCAATGAATTTGGTGTTAAATCAAACAATATCCCCTGGTTGATAGTTTTCTTCCTTCTCATTACCTTTCCACTTGAAAATGTGTTAATACTGTAGAGAAAAATTCCTCTTTAGTCATTCTTTAACCTTTTAACTCCCAGATCAAATTTGTAATTCTCCTAAATGTCCACCATAAAATTCTTATAATGTTTGTTCAGAGAAGTTAGTATTGAATCAACTTATTATCCCCAAATTGATATTTTTCTGTATTCTTATCACTTATCTGGTTGACATTGTATTGATATTGTAAGGAGAAATTCTATCTTGGTCACTCATGGGAGTTAAAGGGTTAAAACAACATACCAATCTGACTGCTCCTCCTTTGCCCCTGTTCTTTTCCAGTGTCAAAACACGCATTTGGTGAACACCATACTTCCTTGAATAATCCAGAGCCACCTACATTATACAAACAGATACAACAAACCACAATGACACTTTCACATAACAATCAGCATAGGGAACAATTTGTACTTTCCTACCAAGGAATCGCACCACTCATTAATTCATATTGTTTTGTTAATTAACAATTTTCCAAAACTTCACATTAGGAGTCCATTCTGAACTCATAAAAACAGAAGACCCTAAATGTGACTATATTTTACAAAATAATATAATTTTTCCTCCAGGGAGTCATTTCCTTCAAGCATACAGCTCTTTCAAATGGTTCTCAAAAAAACCTCTCATATCCAGTCCACTTATATTTTTCAAGTAAATTATTCCATAAACTTAGTTTTTACAATTTATATGTCAAGAAAGGACTATTCAAACCATAGCTATATATATGTGTCAGTCTTGAATTATTTTTTTAATTGAGAAATCAAACAAGATTGCTTTTCAATCTTGAAAATTTTCAAACTGGTTTAAAAAATTTTAAAGCAAGGAAAAATTGAGCCACAATACATACATTTATTGCACTCCAAATAATAATAGCAATGTAACTATTTCCATTTCACCAACCTTAGATGTTGCATCTCTGCTCCCATCATCCACTACTATAATTTCATATGTAAAAGATGGCTTCTTCCTCTGCAAAATGAGTAAAAAAAATCCACTAAGCTAGAACAAAAGGCAAATTCCTGTGAAAATCAATTTAAGGTCACTTTGTTGTTATCAAATGTTTTGACAACAAAGTTCACTAAAAATTGGTTAAAAGCTCATTAAAATAATAAACAGAAAAGCAAAATAGGTGAAGTATTACTAAGTGTGTGAATTTAAGTCATGAAAATGTACTATATGCTGATTCTTTCTTTACCTTTTCACTTTCCAGATATTCAAATGTTTCATCCAACATAGTAGGCACTGAGAACAAATCCAGACAAGTTGAATGATGATAAATTCAAAGCTCTGTTGCCTTGCTTTGTCATTAAAGCCATTAAAAATTCACTACTGCACTATTAAAAAAAATGTTAGTAAGGTTTGAGGGCTGTCATATAAGAAATCTGGGGTAAAGAACTCTTGAAAGTTTTCAAAATACAAGGTTAAACATCATTCAACAACAAAAATTGGTTGCATGTAGCTCCTGAACTCCCTTTAGAGCACAGCCTTGGTAAATGTTCTTGTGCAAAAAGAAAGGCCTCATACAAATCTAATTCAAATTCAGATGTTTGGTCTAAGCAAAAGTTTGTTAATTTAACTTTTAATCAAATGATTTACTTTTGGTCAACAGGCTTTCCATAAGGTTTTTTCTTTTGCTTGAAGCTTCCCCTCCATGGGGTATGAGGATTTTTCATAGGAAGAGTCTCAGTTAGGAATTTATGCACCCCTTCAGTGAAGTGGTTAATGCTGCTGCTTTATTTTGTGTACTTGCATGTTCATATTCATGCCACAAGAAGGACAAGCTCATGGGGTATCTAGCACTAAAACGATTCATGCAACGAAAATACTTTGGCTTTGCAAGATTTTGCAAACTGGCATGATTAAGTTTCTATGTTGCTGATGCAAAACAAATATTACTCTTACAAGGGCAAAACGGTGTCACAAGCATCTCGAGATCACCATAGCTATACCCCTGCCTTCCAGGTTACACGAACCCCCTCTTCCCCAGGTCAGCACTCACAAAACAAACTTCCCTTCAAAATTGATTTGACCCTCGCGCTAGATTTCAGGACTGAAAATTAAAGACTATGCTTCCAGTAAATATGATTGAGGTGGAGAACTGGATGTTAGAGATTTTGGACACGTAATGGACTCGATCGCGACCCCCTTCTTACGGTTAGTTTAAAACTGAGCGTAATTAAATTTCTTAACTATTTAAAGCTAAAACATTAAAGAGAACCACTCTTAGATTGCATCAGACGGTAGACCAGCTGAGCAAATAAGCAATCCAATTAATTAAACTCACGTCGTTCCTCTTCGTTGTACGAAGGCACGATCACCGAAAGATCAATGGAGCCTGCCTCCTCCATGATTGGGAAGGGATAAGTGGCATTGTTTTTGTTTGGATCCTTGTAATATTTTTCACTGTCGAACCTAGAAATTATCGGCACAGCGTCATAAGTCATCAAGCGAATTCCTATGAGAATCTGTGGAACAATCGAGGAGAAATCGAAGTCACGGCCATGCGATAAAATAATTAAAATCGTAAAAAAATGAAGAATTCTATATCAATAGTACTTACTGTCACAATAACAATTGGAATAAGGAGAAGTAATGCATACACAATGGTTACTAGAGATAAACTGTGAACAACTGAGGGGATGTCCATTGGAGAGAACAAAACGAGGAGGATATCGACTCAAGCGCAAGTGAGTCGAAGAGAGGAAATGGAACTCTTCTTTTTCTGACTTAGAAACCACGCCGCTTATATGGCAGAGAGAAACTGAGGAAGGATAAATAGCACGTCATGTATGTAATGCTTGTTGTGCTTATCCGTGAACATGTATTGTGACAGGTGCTTAAACCTTTAACTCTAATGGGTGACCAAGAGAGAATTTCTCCTTGCAATATCAACCAGACAATTGTTGAGAATAAAGGAAAATATCAATTTGAGGTTAATTAGATGATCCATTACTAAATTCTCTAAACTAACATAATAAGAATTGTATAGTTGACAGTAATGGGAATTACAAATTTGATCTGGGAGTTAAAGGGTTAATGGATAATGGACCTGCTAATCCATATTCCCACGAGACAATAATTTTCCTCAATTTGGATTTGCCAGAAAAACCAATGATAACAAAATTAAATCGATATAAAGCGGTAGTGTGTTAACTCAAAATCCAGCCAGACAATCTCATAAGATCTTTACATACTTTACTTTAGAAATCGGTTTTGTTTACTCGTAATGATGTCGCATTTTATCCCTCCCCTCCCCCGCTATTTCTTTTCCCTGAGTCCCTACCCCAAACCTGTCCACCTGCGTAGGAAACTAGGGCAAATCGACTCTGGTACAAACGTTTCTGGTTTAATTTGGTCGCGAATCTGGAAACATCTCTACTATTTTTAGCCCGTGCGTGAAATGGCTGACAACAGAGAAAAGAGTTGATGTCACTAGAAAACTGGCAGCGTAAAGACTAACTTATTTGAAAAACGCAGTACATTACTCTGTTTCTATTTACATATAGCACTGAGCAAATTGATTTTCCATTCCGGAGACACTCAATGCAAAGTGCAAACTACCTTACGTCATTTGTCACAAAAAGTCAAAACAAGGCAAAGCGAAAATCTAATTAAACCGTGTCAATGGCTCCCTCGCCGAAGTGTCCTCTGTATTGACTTCAAAATGACAAAAGTAGGCTTTTACGAGGATGGTGAGATAGAAGTGCTAAACATCAGCAACGTTTATTTTGAAACGAGACCACTGTGCTTGAAATCTTCTTTGCAAACAATAGCTTCTGAACTGAGTTGTTTACATCGGTAGGACGTGTATTATCTTATGCATGCGCAGTTTTGTGACACATGTATTTCTCTGCAAGAGTTCGCCACCGGGAAAAAGTTACAACTGTTAAGTCCTGCTTGAAAGCGTCCAATTATCATCATTCGCTTCATCAACTACAAGCCAAAGAAAAGAGAAACAGTGAAATTCTTGTTTTATTCTACCGCAAGGCTGTTTTAGACTTGTAAGAGTTTGTGGGTTTGGCAAACAAGTACCTTACAGTCTTGGAATTGCAAGTGTTTATCTGGTACCGGTTGGTTAAGTCTTAAAATTAATTTGTAGTCGTAATTGCCAAGGTTTATGTAAAACAGATGGTTGGTTAATTCCGTGAAATTCTAGAAAGGATTCTCATTAACTCCGCTACGGGATGCTACAGTTTAACGAGACGAATTATGGATTGAAAAGGATCAATTCTAACTCCCTTTGTTGTGGGGGCCTGACGGCACAGAAGGCAGTCGTGGCAACGTGCAGCGTCTTAAAAATCTAAAGTAAATATTCCCTTCAATTCGAAGGAATCTTTTTCAACGTGGACTCATTCCTAAGCCGGACTTACAAATCAAGCTGTCTTTAAAAACAATGAATTCTAAACAGCTCTTGTTTGAATCAAAGAAGGTGTAACTTTTCCGCTAAATTGAAGTAGCTGTCGACTTCTTGATTGGGATCAATTTCTCATTTTATTTGACATTACCAAAGATGCCAATTTCTTCTTATCATGGATTGAGGAAGAACTCTGTCCCAGCAACGCCGTGGAACAGCACAAAAATTTCACCTCATAAAAACCTTTCCCGTAGTGACTCAACGTCTTACAACTCAAGTAAAAGACCCCTTGGTTTGCCAAGATTATGGAACCACGAGGAATTTTTGATAGACGACGAACAAGGCGGGGATAAATATTCCAAGAGTTGCCCATCCTCAACTGTTCATAGTTCAAGGAAACCACTCGTCAACTCTCGACCAAGAAGCGCTCGATCAGCGGCTGACAGAAGACTTAAAAGACGGGATACGTTTCCAAAGTTTGCAAGTGAATTTTATCGCAATGAAAGTCGAGAATATAGAAGAAGCAAGAGTGATCCATCAATTCTTGCAAAGAAGAAGCAGAGGAAAAGTAGTATTACAGCTCCAAAAAGACCATCAACGTTATGGACTGTCGGTAAGAGGCAAGAAAAACCTAATTCGTCCTCGGCGCACAGAAGAAAGGTAGGCTGTCAATTTACTGTTTGCGCTGCAAGATCAAGAGAGAATGAATTTCACTTTACTGGGGGTCGGTGGCTGTGGTCTGAGTTACGGGTTCAAGATTTATTGCTTAGATAGCAATCTCTCAGTACTGTTATTTAATGATTTTGACTTATAATCTCAAATCTAATCATAATGTTACGTTGATTCGACTTTTATTTCAAGGTGTTAATTTCTCATGGGTGCAAACAATGGGAAAGCTTCCTCAAAGAAAACAATAATTTATCTGATTAAGCTAAGTACTCGTGCTTTTATTCTCCATCCAAACCGAGCGAATTGAGGTCAGAACAATATTAAATATTACATTCAATAAAATATTCAATATAAATTGAAAAAATGCAAACATTCATCCGATTAATTCGTACCTCGCCCGTGATTGATCAGACATTTAATATCATGTAAATCCTGTTCAATTTAATTAATTTAGAATATTGTAATTTCAGTCGCCAGTTACGCATGAATCATTACAGTCTTTTGTAGCATAATGAACTCAAACTGACTTATTTTGGTCAATTTTTACTAAAAACGGATTCCAAGAAATATTGTTTCCATTTTGCTCCTCCATCGCTCCTAATTTCTTTCGCCAAATTTCAAGTCAACGATTTGACACAACGGCTTGATGGTTTTTTTGCGCCAAAGAAAAATGCATCGGTGAAAAATATTATCAATAAATTAAGGAACAGCCCACAGCCACGTAATTCGCTTGCAATGAATTTTTTTTAGCAAATTGGAATTTTTTATGGAGACAAAGGGCCTTTGAAACGGAAAACTCATTTGCCGTGCCTCCGAGTTCTTGGCTGCAAGCCGAACCATGGTTGTTACGTGAGAAAACGGAATGGTTCATTTTGTTGTTTATGATCACCTGGAAATAAACCACTCTGTTTGATAGGAAGCTAGGGGCTTGGCTTCAGTGCTCAATAGGCTGCTCAGATTCTTAGCACTGAGAATAAGAGAACTGGACGCCAAGAATGAAGGGGTCATCCGGACGCTACCGCAACCTTTTGTTTTTCTCACATAACTTAAGATTCCAGAGCTACCTCTATTAAGTGGATATTGGCTTGATCAAATATAAGAACTGTTTTCTTTACAGATAAGTGCTATAGTTTATCAATGCCGTGGCAGATGTCAGCTTCGGCAAATTTCAATGATAATACATTCTCTATATAAAGTTATAAAACTGGAGTCGTGCGATATATATCGAGACAGGTCTCTGAGATAAATCTATCTTCAGTTTTCCAAATCCACATTTAAAAAAAGGGACTATATCAGTAATCTCTGTTTTATTGGGCTGAAGAATAACATCATGACAATAAGTTTTTAAGTAGTTTTTTTTGGAACCTTCGTACTACTGTCGTAAAGAGGCTGTCTCTTTTCAAAATGTGCTTGTACTTCTGATGCGAAATAAAATGCCAGTAAGAGTATTAAGAGAAGAAAGGACTTTAAAATTACTCCTATCAATTTGTAAAGAATGACAACAATTACGAATATTCTTTTCAATAACTCTGATCCTCCATTAATTTTGACACAAATAAGCTATTGCCTCACATCTCATTGGTCGACAATTTAAGCTCGTGATCTGTGCTTCGCTCCTTCGCTCACCGTGAGACTTGAGGCATTTGATCAGCGTGGAAATCATTAATCGATGGGTCCTCGGATATTTTAGTTGTCAGCCGAAGACTGTTCTCTGAAACGAACCAAAACGAAACAAACGGCTAAAGAAGAGTAATTATTAACGAAAGGTAGGATTTCAAGTTATCGGTATTCTAACCTTTGCCGGTGTCGATTTCACCGTTCGACGGTATCATAACATTCACGCTAGCAGCGGGCAAAAAATTCTGTCTGTGAGTACATAAAGATTGTTAATCTTATTATAATATTATCGTTGAAGTTTATGTCTTAGTCATTCATATCATAAGATTTCTCTGCGGGATTCGCGTTCAAAACCAGTCGCTTGCATTCCCTACTAATAAACACATCGATCGGTGAAGCGTGCAGTTGAAAATTTGTTGCCGTTTAAACACACGAGCAGATTTCTGTGTCAAACCATTTTGTTCACTTTAATATTATTCATTTCTAACGTGATTAGAAAGTGTTTTCAAATAGATTATTTTAGCTCAGATTCAAATTCTCGGAGTAAACTACAGAATTAACGATGTCCGAGTGAATTTTCAAGTCCGTCAGTCAAGTCATTTTTAAAGGTACTTTCTCGCCTTCATTCCAAATTCAAGCCAACGAGGTTACATCAGCCTTGTTTAGTGTCTGGTGTCTAGGGCCAATGATTACTTCAGTAATTTCTTCAAGGATGCTGTAGTTCAATTATATTTACGTTTCTTTCCTCTCTATTCCCGCAATTTGACACGGGTCAAGAGGAGGAGGTTACTCAAACTTCAACTTGTAAAAAGTTATTTCTTTCAATTGCCAATCGATGTTGTGATAAAAATGCAGTTTAATATTTACCTACAAGTATGTTTAAATTTTGGAATGAAATTTATTGTGATAGGCACGCTTCGACACTTGTACACACACGAAAATTGGACGTTGCTATAGCGAAAATGTCGATATTATTGACTTACGAATAAAGTCACGTTTGTTCAGCATTTGTTTTGGTGTCACATCGTATTTCAATTTTCATTTTATGTTGATTAACAAGCGTTGTAAAATTTTCTTTTTGTTCCTCTCATTTAGGTCAACAATAGTCTCGCTGCATCGTCTTTATCCTCGCCCGACGGGAGTTTATATGGCGGATTGACGAAGAAGCGCCCAAATCAAGGAGACAGGGTCGTATGCATACTAAACAAGAAACCTCAACTTGGTGTCCTTAAATACATCGGAAGAACACATTTTGCCGAGGGCGAATGGTGTGGTATTGTGTTGGACGAAGCCTGCGGCAAAAACGACGGTTGTGTTCGTGGAGTGCGTTATTTTCGTTGTAAGAATAAACACGGGATATTTGTACATTCGCATAAAGTTAGAACTGCCGATGACATTACACTATCGCGATTAAACCTGCTAGAAAGCCCGTTCAGTCCACAATCACCGGAAAAGAATATTAAAGAAGGTAATCACAACGAGCAAAGCATGTCGTCTGGTGATGTGGAAGTAATGCGCTCCAATGATCGCGAGGTTTCTAAATATAGAGACATTAACAAGCCGATAAAGCATACGAGAAGGAATCGTTCTGTCTCGTTGGATAGATATCTGTTCTTAAAAGCCAAGCAATTGGCGAAAGGTCTAAATATGTTTTTACATAATACGGAAAAGAGTGAGAAAATGAACACCTGGGTGCAGAACTGTGTTAATCGCTCGCGTTCGATGCCTAAAATTTCCAAGGATATTTTCCCGGATTCAAGCGAGTATTGTTTGGGAGGTGACATGGGTGATTTGGAGAAAAATGTTTGGAACGAGAAAACGGCATTTGATGCTGTGAATAAAGACTACATCTCTGTTGGAGCTGATCACACTAAGTCTTCAAAGATGACAGGTGTTCTTGACTTGCCAAGAGATGGCATCAATAATTTAGCAGGAGATCTTCAGGCACCTCTTTCTGTGCAGTCTTCATTGGAGAATTCCTCAAATAAACAGAATGGTTTTCAACCAAGTAAAGATCAAATTTATCTTAATGGAGGAAAAGCTGCTCTTCAGAAGAAGGTGGGACATGCTGTTTCCTTGGATACTCATCTGATGGTCGAGAAAGGACACTTAACTTTAATGTCAAATTCTGAGAACAACGAATACACTTGTGCAGCGCATCTCTCTACCAAAGAGGACCCCTTTATTCAAGGACGACATTGCAGCTGCCCAAGCCTGCACTGTGCTGATCATTTTTCAGAAGCTATTACAGCCTGCCTGGATTTGGGGCGCAGAGAAAGGCTTGCCATTCCCGAAGCTGAGAATGAGAACAGAAGCAACACTGGCAGATCTGCTAAGCTCTTGGGCAAAGATAACACTCAACAGAAACATCCTGGGTGTCCTCATGCACAGTCTGACACATTGCATAAAATTTCTGATAACAATAAACTGGTGAATGGTGATTCTCTGATTTCTAGTGATAATAAATCAACTCAGGTGAGGAGCTGGCCTTGTTTGACGTCAACTCCTAAGAAACCTCTTAGGAGATGCAGCAGTAGCAGTGATATTCATGCTGAAAGTGCCCTCAATAGGAGTGGAGACTATGATGAGGTGTTTGATGACAATATTCCTTCAATATTGGCAACAGTCAAACCAATATCTAATAATACAGTTAAAAGGCCTCTTGATCTAAATTGTATTGACACAAGTTTGTCACAAGCCAGTGGTATCAAGGCTGCAAACAAAACAGTTAAATCCCATGATCAAGTTGTGGATACTGGTTCCAACTACACTGACAGTCTCTCTGGATCACAAACGTCATTATCTTCCACTGGAACAAGTGACAGCAAGGGAAAAAAGATGTCTGCGACAAGACGGATCCCCAGCTCGGTCAAAGCTCCTAAGTCTAAATCAACATCAATACCAACAAAAAGCAGCAACACATCAAAAACAACACAACAGAAGCAGTCTAGGCTAGAACAAATGCGTCAGCAACAAAATAAAAAAGTTAACTTATCATCTGAGGGTAAATTTCCCAACAGAACTGGGCCCAGTTCAGGACATAAACAGGAAGGTAAAATACAGAAACGACACACTCTAGCAACAATACCCGATCAGAAATCATTTGTACCACGTCCAGCTGTGAATAAAAGGCCAACAAGTGGTAGCATCACAGAGCAATCCCCTAGAGAGGAATCTAAAACCTCAAAACTTCCTGTCAAGAAGCTAAGTACACCATCACAGATTTCAAAACCAGCAGCAGCTACTAAACTGGAAAGGAAGAAAGACAGTGCTGCTGTTCAGAAACAGCTTAACACTGCAGGAAGTCGACCACCAGTAGCTCCCGCTGTTAAAAAAGAATCTGGCTTGGCAAGGTCAGATTCGAATGCAAGGAAACCTAACAGGATATCTCTTCCACAGAAGGCCACAGGTAAAGAGAAAGAATTTGCTGCAAGTGGATGTAAGGCCATAGGTGGACAAACTCCAGCATCAGCTAAAGGATCAAAAGTGTCATCCACAGCAGTTGGGTCAAAACCACAAACAGCAAATGTGAAGAGATCAAGTAGTTCTGTTAAAGGTAATATATAATATCAATTATTATCACAATGATAATGATGATATTGATAATATAATAAATATCCATATTAACTTAAAAATTCAAATTTCTAGTAATTAACATATCTGTTCTTTTTCCTCTCACTTGGCCATATCTCTTGGATTTTTGAGGTTTTTGTTTAAAAATAGATATTATTATGTTACTGGACACTTAAAATACACACTAAGTTATAACAAATATGTATATGAAATTTATTTTCAATTATGCTCATAAAACATAAAATTTAGAGTCACTTTGCTTGCTGTAAGGACTTTGTTAAACTGTTTGTGCATAAGTTTAACCTAATTAAAAATGTTTGGTTTGAGATCAATTTTGTCATCAGTATTAACCTTATATGAAATTTCAATTATTTTTTAAATGTCCAAAACTTGCCTGAAATTTTTAGCTAAACCTGAAACACAGACTGTAGCTTTTGAGTTTTAACCAACTGGTGTCTTGTGTCATTTACAACAGTTCACTTCATGTGGAAAAACTTTTTTCTCCCTGTCCAACCTAAATATTGGTGAATCTGATTTGAATCTTTGATGTACCTATAAGCTGTTATTGTGAAGATAGGGCAGTGATAGTGGAACAAAATTTTTGTAAAAATTATGGAAATTTATTAGACATTTTCATTCATTGGCATTCGTCTGAACTCCATATTTAATTAATGTTTGGTTAACTTCTCATGCATAAATAATGTTCCACAGAGAATGAACGGATGACATTTCATTCACTAATGGACTCGGATATTGTTGAACAAAAAATCATTTCTATTTCTTTGACACATATTTTATTTGAATTACAATGTCTTAGAAAGGATATGAGAGACTTAGAGTGTTTTCTTGTAAAGTATTTTCGAAAAAGAAGAGAAGAGAAATCTGATTTAAGCAAAGCCAAAAGTGAGCCAAATGTTGCCTGTACAGGTAAGTATAAAGGGTAAATATGTGATATCTCATGAGAAACAGCTTGTTCTCTGTTGGATTTTTTTTGTTAAACCTGGGGTATGTTGTTATGCAAGTTATAGTTTTGTTGTGTTCCTACAAAAAGTAAAGGTTGTGTAATTTTATGAAAGGGACTTGGTTTAGTGAAATGATTTGATGAATATTTTCATATTTGACTAAATTTCTCATTTTTATTTCATTTAAATAAATTTAGTTGTATAATGTTCTCAATCATGACCATGAAGGACTCTCAATCTTTATTGTGAAAGTTAGAAAGTATATATTTTATCACTAATAGGAAAATGTGTCATTCAGCATCAGGAGTTTTTGTATTTCTTAAATCACTGTAAATAAAATAAATACAATAATATTTATCAATACTTCTCAAGCTTTATGGTGAAAGATGTCATTGATAGGAAAATGTTTAATTTAGCATTAATAATGATTTTTTGTATATCTTTCATAGCTTTCAAGCCTATGAGTTAACAGAAAAAAATAAGTAGCCCTTAACATGTATGTATGTAATAAAATTACTAACTTGAGGCTATATGTAAATCTTTATATAGCTAAGACACTAATATTTTTCAAATTCATTTTTATATAGCTCGATCATTTTGAATTAAAGATGATGTGAAGTGCCTTTGCATGCTTGCTCCTATTTTGGTTTTAATTTAAATTCAAATGTTTTTCTTAGGAGAGAGAATACTTTGTCTAGTTCTTGATTTTTAGAGGCCTCCTGAATTTTTTTTTTCACATTAATTTGTGCTGTTACATTTGTTTGTTTGGCAGAGAAAACACAGGCACCTTCAAAACCGGTCACTAGGCAGCCATCATCAGCCTCATCCAACAAAAAGCCTCCGCAAGCTGGGAAACAAAGTACAAGGCAAACTCCAGCAAGTCAAAAGCAGGGATCCTCAAAACTGCCAAGAAAGATTTCAGGACAGCTGAGCAATGCTAGTGATAGTGTATCAGTAACAAGCAGTATTAGAGACCAAGATCACCTTGATGACTTCATCGATTCTGAGGGTGATTCTGTATCTGTTCACTCTGACACTTTCATCCATGGTGCAAGAGATTTCTCAAGCAGAAATTCCCAGCAAGACAATTTTTCACTTGGAGGAGACATTGCTTTGCACAACTCAGATGAAAATGATGGCTCTACAACAATGGTGCTTGCCAGTTCTCCACTAGAAGTGCCTTGCAGAACAATGCCACCAGATATTTTAAGTGAGACGCCATACCTGATTAAGCATTCTGTTGGAATTCAGGTGGAGGATGTTAGTCATTTAAAAGCTATTGAGGATGTCAAAGAGAAAGCACAGCATCTGGGTGAGCTTTTGAAACAAAGGACAGAACTCTGTGGCCAGCTACAGGATCAAATTGACTGCAACAGTAACGACTTTGTGGCAGCATCACTGTTGATTCTGACTACTGTACGTAAGGTAAGACATCTTTTACCACTGATGTGGGCATAATGAATTCTTATTAGAGTGAAGGGAACTCGGTGCCATAAACCATATGTAAATGCAAAAAACCATACAGGTCAAATTAAATGGATACTTTAACAAGGGCTGGTACAACGGAAAAATCTTCAGGGCTCAGTATCTTAATTTGTCTCAACTGAATGCTAAAATTCATATTGAATCCACAGCTGGTTTGGTGTCAAAAGTACAGCAATCAACTCCAAAGGAAAATTGAATCAACTTTGCAGGAGATGAAAGTCATTCAGGAGAAACTTGGTATGTGTATGTCAACAGGGCTTCTTGATACTGTTGGTTAACCAGCATGTTAATTCAGTTCTACTAACACTTAGAAATTCCTGTCTTGTAGTTGAAGAGGAAGCAAACAGCGTCAAGCTACAAGAAGAGATGATGTACCAGCGAAGTGAACATGCAGTCGCCATAGAAACCTTAAAGGCTGACCATGAAAATCTATTGGAGGAGACAAGCTCAGAGCTCAAGCGCAAACATGAGGGAGAAATTCAGTTAGGTAAAGTATCAATCATTAACAATTAATGGTCAAATTTATTAGTTATTGAAATTATCATTGTTAATTTGTGTTGCCTTTATTTTAGCTATTGAAACTCACAGATCACAAATGCATGAAATGAAGGAAGAGCAAGAGAAACAGGTAATATAAACAACAAATTGTTTGACTGTAAAGCTTCATAAAATTAGTTTAGTTTTCTCAGGGATCTCAAAAAGTTCGAGTTGTGGTTTTTTAATCTAGAATCTGTTAAATGTCCTAAATATACCTCCTTTTTGTCTCTGAACAGGTGACACAATTGAAGAAGACACATGATGAACTTGTAGCATCCTTAAAGGACAAACATCAAGATGAAATTGCTGACTTAGACAGCAAACATTCCTGTGCAGTTGATGGTAAGTCAGTTGTAATTGCATGGTGACAATTAGTACAGCCATGTAAAGAAAACTCCTGCAATGGCAACCCAATCCCCATGATCTGAAGCACAATTTTCCTTTCCCTCTGCTCTACAGTTCAAACCAGAGCTGAAGGTGATTACCAGTAGAGGTGTCCAGGGGTATCTGCCTCTGGGAAACATTTTGAATGTTAGATCCTGAGGAAAATCTATTGAAATCTAATAAACATTTTTAATACCTTACTTGTTTACATCAGGATGTTTCTCATTTTGCGTCAGACCATAGCCAAGCTGGGATAAAGCTATGGTCCATTATGTATTCTGGACATTCTTGAAGTTGTGGTCTGGATTTCTACAAATAAAAAAAAAACCAACGTTAAACATTACTATTTTAATGACTGTATCAATTGTTTTTACTTTTAGAGCTTGTCGAGGAACACCAAGTGGAAATAGAAACAATTAAAGCAGATTATGAAGAACAGCAGTCAGAAATGAAGGTGGGAGAGTGTAGTCCAGGCACTTACTTTTCTTTTAGTAAATTTTTTTTTTGTGTAGAAAACTTTTTCCTTCTTGACATGGACCTCCATTTTACAAGATGGGTTCCAATCTGAACAAGATATTTCTTCTCTTTTGCTTTTGCATCATTTTTTTAGTTGTAGGGTTAAAAGAATTTAAAATACAATTTTTGTTGTCTGTGTCAACCCCCGAACTCCCAGAAGTGATTAACATGTAACTTCTCCCTATGACATCCATACATTATCCAGCAGACAGGTAATGAGAATACTCAAACTTATCTGGTGGAAGTTTTTATCTTAATCAAAAACCAAATGGCTGTAACTGATTTGCATGCCGAGAAATGTATAGCAGCAAGAGGGGAGAATTAATGATCAGATTGTGGGAGTTAAAGGGTGAAAAGCTCATTGTATGATGGAAAAACAGTGCTTCAGTTTACTTCTCTTCTTTTTGGGAGTAGTGGTGATGGTTCTATGGTAACTGCAAGTGTATTCTTCTGATCTCTTTCTTGCAGGGAAAGTATGATAAGCTACTGAGCGAGCATAATACATTGAACAGTAAGTTTCAGCAGCTCCAAGAGGATAATCAAAGGGATATTGAGTCCCGAATACAGGTTATTATTATTATTATTTTTTTTTTTTAATTGTTTACCCTGTCATTTTATTCTTTGTAAAGCATTACAATATTATTAGCGTTGGTGATGTGGCTTTTTTCTTCAAAATTTCAGGAAGCGATCAAAAAGTATGAGTCTCTGCCAGCTGAACTTGAAAGCTTAAAAGCTGTGCTGGAAATGAAGAATGAGGAGATAAGACAGATGAGGAAGGAAAAAATGGAGAAGCATTTGGAGGTATGCACTTAACCCTTTAAACCTCAAGAGTGACTAGCATTTAATTTCTCCTTACAGTAATATTGCAGTGTCATTCATTAACCCTTTAACTCCCAGATCAAATTTGTAATTCTCCTTGCTGTCAACCGTATAATTCTTACAATGTTAGTTCAGAGAATTTATTACTGGATCAACCAATTATCCCTCAATTGATATTTTTCTTTATTCTCATCACTTATCTGGCTGATATTGTGTTGATATTGTAAGGAGAAATTCCGTCTTGGTCACTCATGGGAGTGACAAGGGTTTAGAACATGAGAGTAAAGGAAATGATCGCCAACTGAGGAAGCTTTGATTGTTAAATTAATTCTCCTTGTCAGTACCAAAGGAAATGTATGGAGAAGAGAATGGAGAAGATGGATACTGATATTAGGGTGTAGATGATTTGTTGTACTTTCAGAAATTTTTTTTGTACAAAATAGAGTTCATTATGTCTGAGTCTAGAATTATGTTACATGTATATTATAACTTTATTGATAAATTTGTCAACATGTTATGCTGCTTTTAATTGCCTTTCAGTTGGAGAAACTTGAAGATGTCAGAGCAAAAACAAAGAAACTTCAGCAAGAAAATGAGTCATTATCTTTTGTGGTGGAGACGAAGTCTAGATTTGAGAGGTGCGCAATATTTTTTCCATCTTAGGGGCTGGGCTTCTACTACTACTGATTGTGCATTAATGTAGTTCACACATGTTATCATGAATACTTGAAATATTTTGGGGACACCACCACTGCCTCCTGAGAGGCCCATGGTCAACTATGCATGGATGTGAGCCTGGATAATTGGGTGAAGCCCACATAGTTAGGGATTATAGGTGAACTCTATGAGACAATAATTGTGAGAGAGAAAAAAAGTTGCAATCAAGCAAAGAAATGATTCTGGCGAGTGGACTGCAACTGTAGTAATTGCAGAATGAACCTGAAAAAATTCAGGCTTTGATGGGATTCAAGCCAGACATTAGTTAGGTACTACTACCACCTGAGCTATGATGTACAAAGCCACAAGTTGGGAGGGAGGAAATGTTGTAATTTTTTTAGCTTCTTTCTGTAGGAGGTTCCATCGTACAGATGAGGCAGAAAAGAAAATGAATAGAAAAGCCAAACAGACCTTAAAACAATGCTGTCCTTGCTGAGTTTTATGTAATATTTAGCCTTGGAAGTTTACAGTGAGCCTCAACCTTTTCTAGCTCACCTCCAAACATATCAAACCAAAAAAGACTGGCATAAACTGGACCCTGTCTATTAATGCAATTTTATTTAAAACCAACTTTCTTTCATGGAGTTGATTTCAGATCTGGTGCAGCTCATGTTGTGGAGGAATGCTTAGTTAAAAGTGTTTGTTAATTTTTCAGGCAACTTTCTGTTGAGCGAGACACATTAAGAAATAGTTTGGAAAGGGAGTCAGCCAAAAGCAAGAGACTTTCTCTAGAAAATGAAGAACTTCAGTGGCGTCTGGTCAACAGCACAAGTCCTCCGTGTACTCCCACTGATGAAGGTGGTCCTCTCGCAATGGCGAAACGTAATAGTAATCGCCTCTCGGCTAGTTTTCCTGACATTGAGAGCATAGATGAATAGGAAATCAAAACTCAGTGTTTCAAGCTGAATTGATATTAATTGGGTTCAGCCCATTCCAATAACTTGCTAACAGACGTTTTCTCTTTAACTAAGAGAAGAATGTGCAAGTAGGCAGGGTAGAAAACATTGAAAGAAGAAACAATTATTGCGTTGGCTCTCGTTGTTTCATCTTGTCTTACAATGACATGGAGATAGATGAAAATAAACCTGTTGATTAAAAAAATAGTTTTTGTCAGTTTTTTGTGAGCTGAGATATCTCTATCTCTATTTCTTTGTTTGAGAAAATTTTGGATCTGACAGCTAAGGGAACTATTTTTATTGACAGTGTTTTTTTTTCATAATATTTGGCTTTAGTTTTATTGTTTTTTGAAATGCCAGCATTTTGAAGAAATTTTTTTTTCTCCTTGGATGAAGTTTTTATGTCCTAAATTCATCTACGTATCACTTGTCTTTTGAAATCCAGGAAGAACTTGTAGAGCAGATTATTGATCATGGAATTATGATGTTAGAGGAATAAACAATTTGAGGTACACTGTTTAGTAATAACAGTAGAAGAATGAATCATTCAGTAGCTATTTGGAATTATTAAATAGATTAATGGAGATTGGTTCTTAATTGCTAGTAAATGCCTAATAATGCCTCATTTAATTTGTAAAGTTAATTATCAAAGATTATGTTTGAACATCAGTGTTCTCCAGAAGTTCTAGCAGGTGGTATTTTTGCCAGCCACCTGTTTCTGAAGTGCCTACTACAAGGTAGTAAAATACCTTTCACAATCTGATATAAATTTTATTCTTTGTTTACCAGCATATTTCTTAAGGCCAAAAAAAAATTTATAGAGAACACTGAAGTGTAACTTATTTAGAAAGGATTTTACTATCCCTTGTACATTAGAGCTAGATAATTTGCCAATATATATATATATTCTATAGCTAGATAATTTGCTTATAGTAAGTTAATTTTATTTTATTCTAGTAGAATGCTTTTGTTTATTATGAATTAAAAGAATTTATTTTTGTAACATTATTATCAAATTCTAATTTGAAGTGGAAAATTTCATGACTGTTGTCAATTACATTATTTAAACAATTTGAATAATGAGTGGTGCAAATTTTGGCCATGATGCATACTGCAAGATATGTTTATGAATGTAATAAAATGCTACAAGCTCAGGGCAAATGCAGAGTTTGCAAGATATACTTTTAAGATGTACATTGGTTAACATTAATGATAAAGTTTCTGAAAATTGTCAAAGTCGAACTATCAGTCATTGAAATAAATATCATGGTGTGAGGAGTATCTCAAGTGCAAACTCAAATTTGGCATAATATTATGTGAAAATTCACTCCCTTTTGAGTTGACAGTGTAGAGCTGCAACAGTCAACTTTGATCTGGTAATAGGACAGGTTAAAGTCCAGTTTGGTCTTTAATCATACAAACAACAAATCAGGCAACTGCAAAGCTAAAGTCTGATTTGTTCAAACAAAGAGAAAATTTGAGCAACAAAACACCTTTTGACAAACAAAGTATCGAACTAGATTGATGTTCCTGTCCTCACCATCCACATCTTTTCATTTGGTCTATATGATGCATGCCCTGAAAGCTCAGCAAGTGAATTTTTTTAAGAACAGAGCAAGCTTGTGAGCTGAAAAACATTCATTGCCATCCAGGGAAATGTAGTCCTTGCCCAAAAAGTGAGAGGAGGGTCATTTCAAGATCAGATCTCCTAAGTCACCCAGATATTTCCTTCAAAAGTCTTGGGGGGGGGGTAAGCTGACTTAAAAAAAAAAAAAAAAAAAAAAAGGAAAAACACCATCGTGAAGAACACCACTTTTATTCTCCCAAAACACAGTTACACAATGGCTCAACAGTTTTACTATCACCTCATACCTCACATCCTGCCTCACACAAAATGAAATCCAAACTGCACTCTATCATTGTTTAAAAAGCACCTTGTCTTAGGCCAGTGTTTCCCTTTTCAGGTAGTAACCAGTAAAATTTATTGCCAGTAGTTCCCTTTCATTAACATCTAAAATTGCTTAAAAATTCCATGGGTAAAAGGATTGTTCCACTGGATTGAAAATTTACTTTACCTATAGTGCGTAAATGTGGGAGAGCACTGTTAGGGTAGGAAAAAACTTTGCAATTTCTCGTAAAAATGAGAACATATATACCAAAAAAAAAAAAAAAAACTCACTATTGGTTGAAAAATCCATCCTGCATAAATTCAAATTTTAACCATTCAAATTAATATTTTACAATAGTATGCCATCAAAAGCATACACACCATAATGAAATAAATAACACTCCAAAACAAGCTATACAGTAACCATGGCCCAAATATCCTCTCTTTATATAACATTACTTGCACACCATGTACATTATTATACATACAGCCAATACAGATTTTAAGTGAAAAACATATTATTTGCTTTTGTTTGGTGAGCCCTTTTTAGGATTATCAGGATAAGTTTGTTTTAAGGGAGTTAACCCTAGCAACATGATGTGTCTATCATACACTTTTGAGTTTCTGAACATGACGTCGGTGCCATGAAGGCGATCCAGAACACCAAGAACTCCATAATTTTGAGTAAATCTAAAACAAAAAAATATATAACAATTATAAGTTATTGCATGGCCAGTTGCTCTGTCCTCCTGGTTATTCCACATGTAAAAAATTACTTTCACTTTTACTATCATGAGCAACATTCAGTTAACCAAGGCACCTTTATTGAGAGTACACATCCAGGGAGCAGGAAATACCACTATACAATGGTTTTAAGACATGCACGTGTTATTATAGATTAGGCTTGTAAAAATACACATAAATGCATTTGGAACTCCAATCTACATGTAAACAACATGTATAAAACAATTTGCATTAAAAATATTCTGGTTGGTTTTCTCATTAAAGAAGCTTAAAATTATCACCAGCAAAGGGCTAAGCTGTGCAAGTCCTCTCATTACACAGGCCAGCACTAAATACAAATCAATTCCTCTTACTTGAGGTGATGGAAGTCATGAGCTTCTGGTGATGGCATAAATGGCAGGTGATAACCACTGTGCGTGTTGACTGTGGTCATAATTGCCAAAGCAAACCACATCCAGGCCGTAGCAATGTGGGAGCCCATTAGCAATGGTCCAAGAACGATTGGACACAGGTTTGAACAAAGATGCTCCAAAGGGTGGGCATATAGTGCTACAACACCGATTGGAGCTGTCCATTCATGGTGGATCTTATGAACAAAACGGTAAATACGAGGATGATGGAAAAGTCTAGTGGAAACAAAAGCAAAACAAAAAAAATGAAGCTCAAAAAGCTGACTAAATCATGGGAATGTCTTTCAACAAGTTAAGTTCTAAAGTTCAAAATCTACTTTTAATTGCATGTACCTGTGGCTGTAGTAGAAACCAACTTCTTCCACCAAGGTGAAAATTGCAATTTCAAACAGCACCCATTGGAAGGTGGGTAATTCTGGACCCAAGGGGCAGCCTCGCCAGGTGTACACAGGGTATAGAACAATAGAGAAAAGGCCACCAACTACAATCTGGTTGAATAAAACCAACTTCACTGCACGCAGGAGCTTTTTGTGGTCAAGCTGAAACAACGAAAAGCACACTGTTAATACAACACTGTTGTTACCACTCTCTGACCAAGTTTAAAGAGAACGTGCAATGACATAAAATAAGATGTCTTCCAACTCTTCTTAAAAAAAAAAAAAAACCCCCTGTCTTTTCTGGCTTCCACCAACTAAGAATTTCTCAATAAACATCTACAGATTTGATCTGTTGTCATTAAAATAATTATCTGCTTTCAGATTTTTTGAAAGCAGATTGATTTACCTTTACCTCTACTTTGAACTCTCCCCCCCCCCCAAATGAAAAACAGTAGCATCTTGTTGGGTTTACATACAACCCTAATCTTGTACTCTTTCATTCCTAAAATATTAATTCTTAGCACAATCTGCAAAACATTTCTTGTGGTTTCACTCTGAGAAATTAATGCTACATCAAACAATTCAACATCATTGATATTTTCTTTCTTGTCTCATCACCTTTCTGTTTGCAAACATACCGACATTGCACGGAGTGTTAAGGAAGGGAAAAGGTTAAATTTCAGTGCTAATAACAGCTTTTATTTTTTACATCATTACAGCAAATGATTTACCGGCTGATTTGTTCCATCCTGTATTTTATACTGCAGAACCCACTTCGGCCACCCAGTAAGATCCACAAACAAATAAAATGCATTGAATAACCAAAACACAACAAATGTCACCACATTTGTTCCTAAACAACAACAATACAAATGAGTGAAGATTTGAACTTAATGTATTAGTTAAGTCAGTAATGACATGAGTATGCATATATATTCTTCATACTGATTTTGATAAATTTCCTACACTTACATTTGTATAGCTTTTGTTTAACTGTATGAAAAATGTAATTAACCTAAAAGGGCAATTAATTAACTCACTATAACATTCCCTTCTCCATTTCCTTTTTCTTGCAATTATTTAAAAGGTTGTAATTGTTGAAATGGAGGAAATAAAAAATACACAAATCATACTGTCAAGAAGATTTTGTGTAAGTATGGAGAGCTTCTTTTGCTGGCAATCATTTCCTTGATTCTCACCACCTTGGTATTTGACTTACCAATGATATTGTCAGGAGAAATAGGATGCCTGTCAATTCTAGGGGTTAACCCTTTAACTCCCAGATCAAATTTGAAATTCTCCTTAATGTTAACCATGCAAGTCATATAATGTTAGTTCAGAGAATTTAGTATTGGACCAACTGATTATCCCCAAATTGAAATTTTTCTCAATTCTCATGACTTATCTGTTTGATATTGCATTGATATTGTAAGGAGAAATTCTGTCTTGGTCACTTGTGGGAGTGAAAGGGTTAAAGGGTTGAGGGTTCCATAGTATCAGTGGTTACTAGTCTTAGAATATATTCCTATCAAGATTTAATTTATTTTTTGGCTTGAAATTCATTGAAAGAGTATTATTTCTACTTTGCTCTGTGTCAAATATGATAAGTCCAGGATAAAGGAAGATTGTAAAATGTATTCAACTGTAAGACATTAAAATTATTAGAAAAGTGATGACTATGAAGATTATACCTCTTACCTACAACAGTAAGTAAAAATTGATCTCCACCAAACAATGAGTGGAATTTTGCCCACCATCCCTGCCAAAGATCCCCAGAGGCTCCCCAAACACGTTCCACATGCCTGTGATCAAACAAATTTTTATAACTTGAATTAGAGGCATCAAATGAAAACATTTCTCTTAATATGATTATCAAAGCAAGGATAGATATTGTGGAAAAGCTTTAAATACTTTGAATTACGGTTCCTTTTTGGCTTTGGATTGAAGTGAGTTTTGTCCAGGGCTTCACCCACTGGATAGGAGAGCAGGAAAAGTTCATACTAGGCAGGGAAGTCTTTATGTCAAACCCTTTACACCCTAACATCACCATGCATATTCTCCTTACTGTTCTCTGCACATTTCCTAAGGCGCTGACAATGAGAACTTTTTTAACAATCACAAGCATCTTTAATCGGCAATAATTTCCTTTATCCTTGTGATCTATATGTATGACTCAGATGTAACATTGAAAGAAGAAATTAGAAGCTAGTCACTCTTAGTAGTTCACTAGTTAGGATTATGATAACAGTTCTATGTTTTGATATTTGATATCAAAGAGTGGAGGGGATTAGAAAGAGGAGACTGATGACATTAGAGTATGGTCACAAGACTGCTTTCAATACTAGTAAGGGGAAGGCCCTGAACAGAGAAAGATTGAGAACCATTTTGCAACAACCCCTGAGTAGGGGACTCACAAGAGATCAGCGTCCAAAGGAACATTTATGGATGATCAAGGAAAGGAGCACAAAGAGCAGTACATTGTAGTATGTAACATTTCTTACCATGTGATGGTGTTTCTAGCCGCTGCAAAGCAAATTAAAGCCGTACCGACCACAAAGGCTGTTTTCTTTAAGGCAGCTATCACAGACTTGCCATCCTAGAAAAAATATGCAGCAAGGTTATTAAGAATCCTACACAAACATCACACAATATTGAAGGATTTCTAGCTCTGTTTTATTGTGCAAAGATTATTTATTATATAAAAGTTTGTACCGAAGGTGGAGCATTCTTATCTCTTGGTTTGGCCCATTCTGGCATAACTGGACTGCTTTCTACCTCTGTCATCCTGAAAAGTAAAAGAATGTTAGGTGCTTTGTCTCTGCAACAACCATTAAAAATGGCAATTTTTTCATTTTCCTAATGCATTCAGTTGTTGAATAAGAAGGATTTTGAAAGAGAAAGCATCTCAGAAAACATGCCTAGTTTTGAGGCCTAAATCAACCAAGAAAATATCAAGAATTTATGTGTTTAAGTCAGAGGTCATCTATTAATAAAAAGTTTTCTTTTTTTTTTGGAATAGCTTTATATAAAAGAAACAAAAGGAACAGAATAATAAATTGAAAACAGTAAAAAATCCCCTCAACTTTGTTTATGAATTGTTCTCCTTGGCATCATTATGTGTTCTTCATGGTATACAATGTTCCTTTATCATCTAAATAATTTTTTTAGAGCTATGTGGATATTATTGCATCATTATAAAAGAATTCCCTGGGGCAATATCATACAAACTGAACAGGAACGGGCAATTAATTTCACTATTCCCTGGCAGTATTGTTTAATTCCCTGGGTATATAATATCATACAAGCTTGTTTAATTCCCTGAGGTAATATTAAACAAGCTGAACAGGAATAACAGGCAATAAAGTGCATTCTTTAACTACTCCTTAGGGGGCCTTCTTTTGATGTCATCTTGTTGAAGTAACCCCCCTCCCACGTCCCAACCCCCGACCCATCCCACACCATTCAAATGCCCACGCAGGTGATACTAGGTGAAATATTCACAAAATTCTTACTTATTTCGAACAAAATATTCATGTTTTCTTCACTACACTGTTCACGTTGAAGTGGAAATTCACGAGCGTAATTTCAATGTAGGGGTCACAACACCATACCAATTCCTTTATATTATAACTCAAACTTAGATCGATAAACAAAACATCTTAAGAATTTACATCTTCCGTTCTTGCTGAAAAGCCCGTTCCTTCTCATTAATTAGTATGCTTCTCAGACACAGCTAATCAGTTTTTGTGAAAGAGAACTGTAAATTTCACTTCAAAAGGCCTTATTTATATCCAGTTATGCAACCGCAATGATTCTAATATCTGCGTATGATTCAATATTTACTTGGGCAAGAGTCAAAACATTGCGACAGTCCGCCATTATCGTTTTTCGCGAAAAACCCACAACATAGCTTCGGCGACGGTTAAAAACCCGAAAATTTCGACTAGTTTCGATCAATTTGATAGCTTCTATACGAGAACACGTGTGAAACAGAAAAAAGAACAAAAATGGCAGGAATCTATGAGGAATACAGCAAAACATTTGTATGAAAAGTCGCATGACATAACACATATTCGCACGGGCGGTTCGTTTCCAACCAAAAAAATATTCACTCGCTAAGCTTACCTTCACTTTCAGGCTTCTCGACTTTTAAAACTTGCCTTTCCTTAAACCTCAGTTATAGATACCTATCCAAGAAGGTACAGTTAACTTTCCTTTTCCGCTGAATCAGACACTGCTCGGTTAGTTTGTTAACAACTTGATATGATCATGTGACTCAAAAGAGTTGCATAGTCCCCTGAGAGATAGGCCCGATGACGTAAGTGGTATGATTACTATAGAGATCTTAATTGACTTGCATTCAGGACAGGATATTATCAATTTTTGTCGACGTCAAAAGTTTAAGGAAAGGCTGCCAACGTCACGAAGCTAAACTTTTCAGGCACTGATCTAATGACGCAACAGACGAACTTCAACGATGTTCTTCCGCGCGCATGATCTGCTGGGAAAACCTCTAGGTCCCTCCAGGTCACGTTTTAGAAAACGTGACCTTTCCACGGAAGTCTATATGAACACGAGCCATTTCGTTACAATTCTCAAGATTGATCGAGTGAATAGACTTCTTTAGCTTGAATGTTTTGTTTACCCATTTAAGGCCTCAAGGGAATTCCGAAAAAAAAGGGGGGAGGGGAGAGAGAGCGCTTATTGAGAAACTGTCAACCTGTACCAGGATTCCATCACCCTGATGCTGGGCCCCTGCCTGTACTAATTCCAATGTAGTTGAGGCCTCAAAATTTATTTATTAAGTGGCAATAGAAACGGCTTTTCCTTGTGTCCTCACTACATAAGAAAGTGAGGAAGGAGAGGGGGGGGGGCGCTTGTTTGATATTACAGCCTTGCGGATGGGCGCTCATTTGCTAAAATTGAATTTTAGTACTTGTTGGACCCACTGAACGCAGACCTTCACATCGCAGTGTCGCCAGAGAAGGTATTCACTGCCTGTATTTTCTCCTTTCGACCACTTGAGCTGAAAAGTTTAGTATTTGGGGGCAATGGCTCTTGCAAATGGTCGTCCGTTATTCTCTTAAGATGCCTTTTCATTAGTTAGGGGCTGCTTTTTGTTTGTTTGTTTGTTTCTTTTCTTTTGCTGTTTTGTTATGAAGTGAAAGAAAAAAATCGACAAGCCAAATTAGACTGTTTTATAGCAGCCTTGATAAAGAAATATAAAGTGGTAAGGGGCACTTTTTTTTACCCTCAAGTTAAGGAAGATTGTGAAAAGCAGCAAAGGGAAGGGACAGCGAGAGGAGAAAAGGTAATCTTATACCTAACTACTTGGCCGTGAAAGGTTTGGGTACGAGACATGAGGAAAGGCAGTCACAGAAGCAAGGGTAGGGAAAGGAACCATGGCAGCTAGAGTAGTAATAGCAACAAAAGAAGCGAAAGTTCATGGAGTATAGAAACCGAGACCAGACTGAACTGTACAATGACGTACTTTTGTATTAGATCTGTTTTAGCACGGTGCTTTCTAACCAATATACGAGCCTGCAATGCCACATTACGGAGGTGTTGCGAACTACACCAGGCGAGTCAGGCGCATAAGTGCTCATTACCAGACCTCTCTCTTTAAATAAGTAGCTCTTCCAATCCCGAGCCTTGGGTCATTTTGTGGCTCCTTGTCAGCGGAATGGTCGACACCGCTGACAAGGAGCCAAAATAACTCTGGGCTCGATATTGAGTTCTAACCGGCGGAAAAACGTTACGATCGAGAGTTGCACATGTACGCAGATAACTATTCTCCATTTTGATCTCATTATTTAAAAACACAGTGATACTTATCAGTTCCTAGACATAAATTCGCAATTTTTTTTTAGTTATTTGAAAAGATGGGCGAAACAACAGAAAAAAAGGATGAAATTAAAGATGTCGCAGATTTACTGGAAAAAACTAAAGTCGAACAAGTCAACGTTGTAAGTTTCAAAGGAAAAAGTTTCAAGTTGAACACAGCCGATGATGGTAAGCCTGTTTTATATTGTTCGGCAGATAAATAACTTGGTTAACGCACTGTTGAGCTCCTAAAATTAATACGAACTAGACGGGTCGTTTTTATCTTTTAGTTTGAGGACATTTTCATGTAAAAAGGATATGTTCTGAATGTGATCATGCGAAAAACATTTTCGACACAAATTTGATATGTTGAACCAACCTGCTTATTGCTTAAATTGAGTTCAGGGTTCAAGTGCACATTAAGGGTGCTATGATGTTTCAAGAAGTAGATTGGTGTAACCAGCAGTGGTTAGTTGCTAAGTAACAAAGAATATGACATTGATGGAGACTGAGAACCTCTAAAGGTGTTATTCCATGCCTTTGTATTTTCTGTCCGTTAAGATACCACTTTGCTTTTCCTAGTTCTCCATTTAACTTCTGAGTTACCATTTAGCAATCTAAAATCCTAAAATGGTCACTAATGCATCATCTTTTTTTTTCTTTATGATATATTAGCTGCAGAGGTTGTAAATGCAATCAAGGCAAGCAAAGACGTCCAAGCTTTGTGTTTGGAAGGAAACACCATAGGAGTAGAAGCAGCAGAGGCTATTGGAGGAGCACTTGCAGCAAGACCTGAATTTGAGGTGATAAGACATAGTTATATAGATTTAAAAAATCAAAAGTAAGTAATGTAGTGAGTCAAACCAGCTGCATCTGCTTTTCTGCATGCATAATGTCTGTAGCAAACACTGCAAGATATAGGTAAGAGTTCCCATAGAGAACAGGATTGTAATTAAGTCTGACTCGGTTATTGCATTCCTGACTCAGTGTAAGAGTCAAGGGTTTTTTTAGGCCTGACTTCCTCTGAGTTGTTGTCAAACTCTGCAAGTTTGCAAGTTTCTTAGAGGAGTGTAGTAAAAAACCATAGAGAAGACAGACAGCTTAAGGGAGTTGATAGTTGATACCAACAGCTCAGGGAAGTTTACTGATAACTTGGAGGAATTCATGACAGTCACAGTCAGTGAAAAAGTTAAGATTTTTCTCTTATTATAGAGAGCATTATGGAGTGATATATTTACTGGCAGACTGAGATCTGAAATTCCACCTGCATTGGTAAGTCTTGTAGCATCAGTTATTTTGAAAGCTCACGTGAGTTAATTGTTAAAGAAAGATCCATACTATCCTTAACCCTTTAAACCCTAAGAGTGACTAGCATCTAATTTCTCCTCACCATATCACCCCTGAATCAAAAATGAAAGACATGAGAATGGAGGAGATGATCACCAACTAAAACAGCTCTTGATTGTCAAACAAATTCTCCCTGTCTGCCTCTTTGGAAATCTATGGAGAACAGTATGGAGAATATGCCCACTGATGTTAGGGTGCAAAGGATTAAAAGTTTAAAAATGAAATTGTTGACCAAGTTGAACAGTATCTTTTTTTTTTTAATCACTTAATGACTTATTTACCTGTTTTATTCCTCTAGGGTCACTTGAGTGATGGTGTTATTGCAGCAAATGCAAAACTTGTTGAGCTGGATCTCAGTGACAATGCATTTGGCCCTGATGGAGTGAAGGCTTGCGTAAAGTTGCTGACAAGTCATGCCTGCTACTCATTACGCATTCTTAAATTAAATAACAATGGTCTTGGTGTCGGTGGAGGAAAGGTATGTGAATACTAGTAACTCTGCAAGGTGATGTGGAATATCAGGGTTTGCCAAATATTTTTCTGCCCCTGTTGGTAATCAAAATGGTTGCTGCTCTGAATACTACCCAACAACCAAATTGTCCATTCTTTAAGATGCCAACTATTGCCAATTTTTCTTGACAGATCCTCTCAGAGGCACTGATAAATTGTCACAGAACAAGCTCTGAAGCAGGAACACCCTTACAGCTTCAAGTCTTCATATCTGGGAGAAATCGCCTGGAAAACCCTGGAGCCAAATCGTTAGCAGCAGCATTTGAGGTAGGGGATTTGTGGAATTAGTTGTCATGGTGCTGTGGCAGGGGCAGGGGAAAGTGCCTCTCATGTTTGATTCCAACCTTCTGAGGAATTCTTTTCAGTGTATGACCAGTTAGAGAACAGAATCTCATTTGCGAGAAATAGTAGGATCTTCCAAATCTAATTTTTGTCTTATTTGCTCAACAGACAATAGGAACACTAGAAGAGATACAAATGCCACAGAATGGAATCCTTCATGAAGGGGTAGCAGCTCTTGCTGAAGCCCTCAAATCCAATCCAAACTTAAAGGTTGGTTGCCTCTTGTTCTGCTTATTATTTTAGGGAGTCTGAAGCTGTATGCTGCTACACTCTTTTGGTGCAGGTTCTTTCTGTTTTAACTTGTGCGAATTGTGTTCAGTGTGCTGGTTTTTAGGGTTAAAGTCACAATTCATTAAAAATTTTAAGCTTAACTTTATCAATACATCTCCTCCTCTCTAATTGCTCTTGTGATCAGGGAGACCTGTTGAGGTGAATAAACGTGCAACTTTTAAGAGGATCACAAATATTAATGGCTCACAATCTTGTTTATTGTAGATTTTGAATCTGAATGACAACACATTCACCCCTAAAGGAGCCATGGCTATGGCCAAGGTAAGCTCCACTGTAATATTTGTACTTGTACATCTATCTGTATCTGTGATACTTTGTAAATATGTAGAATCAATATCTTAAACCGCAGATGTTGTGAACTACCCTAATTCTTTACACCCTAATGTCATTATGCCTATTCCCTACACTGTTTTAGAAATTAATCAGCTCCAAATTTGGTTACATTTGTCATTTAAATAATTTATTTCACAGGTGCTACCAAACCTGAAAAACATTGAAGTGATAAACTTTGGAGACTGTCTTGTGAAAACGGAAGGAGCAAAAGCATTGGCAAAATCTTTACAAGGAGCGGTGAACAACTTGAAAGATCTGAATCTCTCCTTTGATGAGATTAATAAGGAAGGTGCTCTAGCAATTGTTGAGGCTCTGGTGAATAAAGAATCTCTAGAAAAACTGGAATTGAATGGTAAGGTTGTATGCAAAGATCATAGAGTAGTTTTGTGCTCAGAAGGTTTATAGAATGAGTAATCAGGAAGGTTAACATAATGATTATAGTTGATAGCAATTTTCAGAGTTAAATTAGACTAACAATGTTCAGGAGCAAATTTTTCTGTGTAGCTTGTAAAAGGACTCTGATGCAACCTACACCATACTTCACATTAAAATATTATTAGATTTTTGTTTAATGAATTTTTTGACCACACACTAATGATTTTAAAGACTTGAAAATAGAGGAGGTCCAGCACTTTTAAATAAAGACAGCATTTTGCACATGTTTTCCCTTTTTATTTGTTGGTTTATGTACTCTAAGACCTTGTCAGAGACTGTATTTTGTTTTAATTTGGTCTGGCTCTTTGGCTGTGAGCAATGGCAGACTGAGATCTGTTTCATACACAATAGTTCCAATTTTCCTTTTTGGAAATTTCAAATTACAAGGACAGAAACATTAACATTTTTTCCTTGTAATACAGGGAACAGCATTGGGGATGAAGGACTTGAAGAGGTAAAAAATTGGCTGAATGAAAATGGTCGGCTTGATATTTTGGGTTCCATGAGTGAGGATGAGGGAGAAGGTGATGATGATGATGATGATGATGACGACGACAAATGACGATGATCAGGAAGATGAACTTGAAGGTGGAGACAGCGAAGGTGACGAGGGAGATGTCAGCAATGACTTGAACTTGAGTGTGACAGGTGTCAGTCTTAAACCACAGTCACCATTGCTTGGTGATGATGAAGAAGTGGAAAATGAACTGATAAAGGTATGTCTACTTTGTAATAGTGTAGTTTTGTTGGCGTCATTTGCCTTTTTTCAGAGCTTGGATTGTCAACAAAATTTTACAAAAATCAAACTATTTTCCAAGCAATTGTCTGTTTGATGCCAAGGTGATGTCTTGTTGTATCCAAAGATTAACATGACAACATTTTGCATGTGACGTGATGCCTCTTTTGCTGACAATAAAGGTTCAATCCTGTAAATTTTATGGCTGTTGTTATTATTTTGTAGGCATATATTCATTAGAAATTCCAAAAAAAAAAAAAAAATAAAACAGCCTTTCTCTCGTTGCTGAGAAATGATGCTTTATAGATAGTGATGAACAAAACTTCTGTTTCTAGCGACAAGTGAACACTTGCTGAGACAGTCAAACCCCTAACAATATGAAATTACAATAGTTTCCAGTTTTAAGTCTGTTCATGAAACTCAAGACAATCACTGTTTATTCAAAAGCAGCACATATACATGTATGGTTTCATACAAGATATTTCTGAATTTTATATCTCTTGGCTAATTTAAAGTATTGGGCCTTTTAAAAAGACAACATTTTGGGTGACTGTTTAAAGATATCTTAGTGACCTTAATTTGAAAGTGTGGAAGTGGTGTTGCACTAATTGGTGTTTTCGTTGCCTTCCACACAGGGACATTGCTCACCAAGGGACAAATCAAATAAAGAATGATAGAGATTGTGATTAGCAGTCAATATATGAGCCAGTTCACTGAATTATGGTTTTCACTCAACTAGATTTCCTTTTTAGTGGAATTTTTATGCTTTAATTATAGGTAACATTTTTAATTTATTGTCATTGTTCGTGGCATCACATCACATGCATCCTGTTTATCACAATATGAAGGAAATGACACTGAATTGTTCTTGCCCTCGACAATTGTGTGTAGATAAATCGGTATTCTTATTGGGTACCAGGAAACAAACCAACAGCATCTAACCAATCACAACTGGCTTAAAAAAACTGCACTAAATGGCAAGCGGGCGAAATGATAATCTACATCTACGGCGGTAAAAAATGGAACTAGCACAGAGCGCGGGAAACATGTTACCGGCGTTAAGCGCGGGACAACACCATACCGATATGTTCGGTTTCTTTTTGCACGTGATTTGCTTGGAGATACTGTTCGTTGTGATTGGCTAAAGAAATTGCACATTTTTTTCTTATAAAACCATGGAGCCTCATGATCGAAAGAAAAAACACCGGGCAGGCAACTAAAGAAATCTTTTCGTGAAACGAAGCTTTAATTTTGGCCAGAAAGCGTTGTAAGATATGTATTATAAGCAAGTTCGTTTTAATGTGATTTTACATGTAACTATTATTTATTCAGTCTTGCGATCAGATTAAGGAGGCTTTATCTTTATAGATTACTTCCATTTCCGCTTCTTCATAACATAAAAGTACAAACCTAGTAAATATGCCAGACTACGACCAGTCCCTTCTTTTCGGCGAAGTCGGAAAAAAAAAATCAGCGAAAAAATTGTTGATGTTAGCGCGCTGCCCAGGACTCTTGGAGTTAGGTGCACGAAAAGTACTTACTCCCAGAGTTCCAAGCGGCACGCTTACACCAATTTCACATTTCGCCAGGAGCTCATTATTTATTTCTTTGACTCGGTCGACGGACCTCGCCGTAAAGGAAGGAATGCGCGTAGTTTATAAATATTCCAAAAGAATTGTGCTAACTTTTATTATTTACAAAGGGATTTTATGTTGTTTTTGTGGGCTTTTTTTGTAAGGGAGTTTGTAGAGTTATTTATCATTTCATAGACGTATTTTTGCTTATTATTTACAAATAGTGATAGTTAGGTGGTTTGAATGAAGTATTAAATAGCGTGTGAAATATAATTAGTAATTTGCTTAGAATTTTTGCTTGGGTCGAATACCGGTAAAGATGTTTGAACCGATTTTTGAATTAAATGGATAAATCTACCCTATAGGGTCATGTGATTTCCCCCTCCCCTCCCCCCTCCCCCCCCCTCCCCCCCTTCCCCCACCCTTTCCACTCGCACGCAAACAACTCACACAAACAAGCACATTCATCCTCCGTAAAGAAAGCAATTGAGAGGATGAATTTGAGGTACGCTAGGTTATTTTTGTATCCATTGCAAAATAACTTTACAGTCATCGATATGTGTGGAGCATTTTTACTATTTACGTGGAAATTTTATTCGTATTGAATTGTTTTTTTGGTTATGTTTTTGTTTTTTTGGTTATGTTTTTGTTTTTCGAGAGGACCACCCTTAATAGGTAAAGATTATCAAAGATAAACTGAAAAAAAGGAAATTGCTTTATCTATGTACAAGAGACTGTTTGGAGAAGTGTGTAAAATCAGACCTTACTTTTTGCCGTATTCCGTTGCTGTAATCTTCATTCTTTAACTCGTGACTCTGGAAAGTTACAAAATACTCGTCATCAGTCTTCCCCTTGTAGAAACAAAGGAATTTAATGAAAAGGGACCGGTAGCGATCAAAGAAGAGCCTGCAGTTCACCTTTCTGGTCTCTGTTTCCGTTCAAGGTTCCTTGCGTGGAGTGTCACGCGGGAAAATTGCCTACAGAGGGGGAGAATTCATGCCTTTCGTGTGCGTCACGTGTGGTGAACACAAATTTGAGACTTGCCGACCGTCGTTGAATTTCGAGTCGACTAGACAGTACATGTTTGCTTTCGAACGAACAGAAAAACTCACATTATGCTATGACAAGAAAACTGATAAGAGAAATGACATCAAGGAGTTCTGATATGGCTTTTTCTTGCTTTACTGGGCTGGTTGTTCAAAGCTAGGTTAAGATAACCCAGAGTTAGTGTGAAATCTGAATTCAGAACTGAGAGCTTTAAAAGAAAATTCAGTCGAATTCTTTTTTATTATGATATGACTCTTTGATGCTCTAAAAAGAACACGGGACATTATCCCAAAAAGGCCTTTGAGTAAAGGAATAAAGAAACCCAGATTAAAATTTAACCATGGGTAGGCGCCAATCGGCCTTCGAACAACTGGGCTCTGTTGTCTTTACCCTACCTATTTTAGAACTAAGAACAAAGGCTTAATATCTATTTTTGTGTTGCTTTACTTTGACACTCATGTTAGGTGGTGAACATGGAAGGTGTCCAAGACTTTTTTAATTCACCAACACTGGAAAAATTCAAGAACATACCGAGCAGTCAACGGAAATCGCTGTTAACAGAATATTTAAAGGTAAGAGGAGTAAGCAAAAATTTATTATGTAGCTACAACATACACTTGAAGTCATTGTTTTCTTGGATTATGTTTTGACAGGATGATTTATACGAAACCAGTAAAGTGGCAAAATACTTTGTGTCAGTAAGTGTCGATACTATTTTCGTGAAATTATTTATTATACCAGATGCTGAATTATACGCGGGTTTTGATTGCGTCTTGTTTATAATCTACCGGAGGACGGACGTAGAAATGACGTCAACAATAACAACATTTTGCTTTTTTACCCAGCAAGACATCGATTCTATAATGGCGTGGTTCTGTACGGTAGTAGATCATAGAGAACGTCAGGATGTAGTCAGAACATCAACGTATCAATGTTACCACATTTTGATGCTATCTGAAAATGGAATAAATTTTTTAAATGGTCTTATGTACCCTATACTTCAGTTTGACACCCATCTCCTCCCTTCAGCATTGAACATCGACACATACGGTCTGCGTATGCCTTAAAAGCTCATTCGCGTACCAGTCTCCCATAGATGACATTTTTCAGCAGTCAACTGGTACCGAACCTTCTCAGTGTTTTTGCAGTAGTAGAAAACTGTTTGGCAAGTTTAATACCTTGCTTTTATAGCTTGATTTTGAGGTCGTCTTTCCTTTCAGATCTCGGTTGCTCTAAAAGACGACAAAGATGCGCTCATGGAATGGGCTGGTAATTCTTCTTCGATATTGTCTTAATTTTTTTTTGCAAATTTTCTAACCTTCTTTAAAATGTTTTAACATTTCTCCCTTAGAATGCATTCCATTTCTAGTTTACGTTTTCTGGTTAAAGGTTTCAAACTCCATCCCGTAACCGCAGTAGCTGTATGTTTAAGTGAAATTATTGCTGCAAAGTAATGAAGTTTATTTAATAAATTTTTAGAAACAGTTTTGAAGCCAGCCCTCGAGTCCGCGGACTGCAAGGAGGAATGGCTCATATCTTCTCTGTTAATTCACATGGGACTCCTCAAGGTA